ACTAAATGGTTTCCCTACTAAGGTGATAACCTTGAGTGAGAAGAGAGCTTAATTCTACTAGTTCAACCTTTCTTGAGATAGTTAATAATACTGCTACTTCCATTACGCTATAGGGCATCACTTTGTAATATAATCTTTCCTTTATATAGAAAATTAGATAAATATAGAAAAAGAAATATTATATTTTCGAATAATATAACAATTGAGATAGATTATAATTATATTTTTATAAAATACAAGATACAAGTTTTAATAAAATCTGATTTTCTTGAATTATATAATATAAATCGAGGAATATAAATATAGTAATAATTAATATCTACTTAGATAGGGTTTTATAGAGAGATATACAAAATCAGAATAACTATTACTACTAGTTTAGTCTTTTATATAATCATTATTAATATTAGCAATTGAGCTAGTAGTAATAGCTATTTTGAATTTGTATATATATCTTTCAAGACCCCCCGAGTTATATGTGATTCTCTTCTTCTCGATCGTGACGGGTCCTATCATGTGATCAGTATGCAAAGTGGATAGATAATCTCGAACTCATAAAATCGACTGCAACCCAAAACCCGTGGATTTCTCCGATGGCATCCGTGGAACCTCTAAACGAGAAGCCAGCAGGCAAATCTCTTCTCTCGTCATCCGCCGGCGGAGCATCCCTATTAATTGCGATACAAGCAGGGTCTCGAGGGCTGACATTCATCGTAAACCAGATACTTCTGCGTTATCTTTCACCGGAGCTCCTCGCCGTGTCAACGCAGCTTGAAGTGTACTCCATCACTATACTGTTCTTCTCAAGAGAGAGTCTACGTGTTGCAATACAGCGGCAGACAGACATTTGTGATGATGATGATCCAAAGGCTAAACGGGATGGAATCACACAGGTCGGATATCAGGATAGCCGAACGACTGCTGGTAAAAGTCAAGCAATTGTGAATTTGTCATATATCTCTATTGCGCTCGGACTGGGATTTACTGTGCTGTTTGGTTGGGTTTATGCTGTTGCTGGGCAAACTGGTGTGGTCGAAACACCATATTTTCTACAATCCTTGAGATTATATGGTCTGGCAGCAGTTTTAGAATTGCTGGCCGAGCCATGCTTTGTGGTGGTTCAACAGAAATCGGCCTTCAAAATTCGTGCTGCTGCTGAATCGATTGCAACCGTATTGAGATGTTTCGTTACTTGTGCCGTGGCAATCTGGGCTGCGCGTCGTCGGACAGAGTTGGGTGTGCTGCCATTTGCCATTGGTCAGGGAGTATATGCTATCTCGATACTACTGGTTTACCTCTCGGGCGTTTGGAATATTGCGTTGCGGGGCGGATTCTCCTTGAAGATCAAGCCTATCTACAGGTATTTTCAGATTTTGTGCAACGGTATTATTCGCAAAGCTAATTGATAGTAGCAAAAACGACGAATTTAGCTACTCTTACTTTTCCAAACCACTCTTGTCACTAGGAGGAAGTCTGATGATACAATCAATGGTAAAACATGTCCTAACCCAAGGCGATACGTTTCTTATAGCATCTATGGCCACGCAAACAGCCCAGGGCATATATGCACTAGCGAGCAATTACGGAGGTCTCATTGCTCGTCTCGTCCTACAACCAATCGAAGAAATGTCTAGAAACTACTTTGGCAAGCTTCTTTCTGGCGTTAATTCGCCAAGCAAGGAAGCCACCGAGAAAGCCAGTGCAAACCTCCATAGGCTTCTACGTATATATCTTATATTTTCCGTTGCCGTGGCTGCCGTAGGACCCACCGTCGCTCCGCTTCTCCTAAACTTCATCGCTGGCCCACGATGGCAGTCATCTGGAGCTGGTAACGTCCTTGCAGTGTATTGTTATTACATACCACTACTTGCACTGAACGGAGTTTGCGAAGCATTTGTAGCGGTTGTTGCTACCAAAGCCGAAGTTCACAGGCAATCTCTATGGATGACTGCCTTTTCTGCTGGGTTTGGCGGCGCTGCTTATCTGTTCTTGGGGGTCTTGGATCTCGGCGCCGAGGGCCTTGTACTGGCAAATATGGCCAACATGCTCTTGCGAATCATATGGTGTGGTAATTTTATTCTGGTGTACTACGGGCGCCACGGAGCTAAATTTAGGGTTATTGATTTGCTCCCCCGACCTAGCACGATATCATTTGGGATTGTCACGTATGCCGCACTTGCTCAGATGAGAACTGCATTCACGGGAGGTCTATTGGACATTATCAAAAGTGGATTGGTGGCGGTGATTTTTGTGATTCTCCTGTAAGTTCTCAGCGGCAGTGCCGATCTATAAAGTACTAACCATACGCCTTGATAGAGCCACGAGTGAAAAAGGATACCTTCTCGAATGTTACCGTGCATTAAGAGACTGACTTCATATCTTCCGAGCATATAATTACCCTAACCTGTTGTATCAATCGAATGTTATTTTCGTTGCTTTTTTGGTGGTATCAACATTCTTGAAAAATGCGCCGTACGCGTCGTGAGCCTTCTTCTTAACCGTGGTCCCAAACTTCAACAATTCATCAGGAACTGGTTGATTAGCTGCCTTGAGGACGTTGATCAAACTATGCCAATTGTTAGTGATTGGTCAAATCGAGATTCAAATATTACTTACGCGCCAGACTGAGCCTTGTCATGCTCAGTGAACAATGTAATCGCCAATCCATCTTTGCCAGCTCTTCCAGTTCGACCGATGCGGTGCACATAATCTTCTACCGTAAGAGGGAATGTGCAGTTGATGACTAGCATAACGGCAGGAATGTCTAGACCTCGAGCTGCGACATCTGTGGCTACGAGAATTGGAGTATTGCCACTCTTGAAAGCTTCCAAACTTCTTGTCCTTTGTTCCTGACTTAAATCGCCATGAATACCAGCAACTCGAAACCCCTTCTGTCGAATGAAGCCTTCTACTCTTGTTGCTTCCTTCTTGTACAAACAAAAGACCAGGATCCGGTCATCCTTCTGACTACCACTTTGATATTGCTTGAGTAATTGCATGAGTCTGTATTCCTTGTCTCTTGGATCCACAACCTCAACCTTTTGCACGATACGAGAGTTTGCTCGAAGATCTCCCGTCGGATTATCGCCAATGGCGATTTTAACAGGGCTAGTCATGAAGGTGGCAGCCAACTCGCGGACCGACTCAGGCCAAGTAGCCGTGAACATGAGTGTCTGTCTTTTCCCAAGCGATGGTGTAGTATTGATAATCTTTCTAATCTCTTCCTCAAAACCTTTATCCAGCATGCGATCTGCTTCATCAAGGACGACGTATCTGGCCTTGCTCAAATCTGCACAACCTTGATTGATGAGATCATTGAGACGACCGGGGGTGGCGACAACGATATCTGCAATTCTCAGTGCCCTTATCTGTTCGTCCTTGGGGACACCTCCATATACGCACACGCACTCAAGACCAGATGCCTTAGCAAGTTTCACGATCTGTTCATAACTTTGCATCGCCAGTTCTCGGGTCGGTGATACAACAACAGCTCTGGGACCTTTATTTCTCTGGTTTTTAGGTAAAGATGACATGTAACGTACACAAGGCACGGCGAAAGCCATCGTTTTACCCGAACCAGTCTCAGCAACACCGATTACATCGCGACCAGCGAGCAAGAATGGCCATGCTGCGGCTTGAATTGGGGTGGGGGTTTTGAAGTCCTTGAATGGGGCCCGTTGGGCAGGGTCGGTGATCGGTAGGTAGTCGAACTTTGTCAGCGGTCTTAAAGTAGCTGAGGTGGACAATGGGTCGGTGATGGTGATGAAGTTTGTGGTCAAGAAGGAGTCTATTTCGCTTTGTGGTAAGCCACTTAGATTGGGATCTTCTGTGTAGGTGGTTCCATTTTGCTGCGGAACAACACTTATAGGAGCTGCAGATTCAGTAGATTTGGAAATGTCTGCTTTCTCTTGTTTCCCTTCCATCTTCAATGCCTTCAAACGCGCCTTTTCGGCCTTTTTAGCCACCTTCGCTTCTGCGGCGGCATTGGCATCAGATGCAGGTTCAATAGCATCGCCTTCATCCAATTGCTCCTCTGCTTCTTGAGCGATCTTCGCCTTCTTGATTCGTTTTCTTTCTTTGCGAGCCTCCTTTGATTCTACTTCAACCTCGATCAGGGTCGATTCTGTAGCTGGCTGTTCGACATCTTTAGTTTTCTTTTCTTGCTTTCCTTTGCGACTTTTCTTGGAGGAAATCTTGACATCATTATCTCCAGAATTCAATTCCGTATCTTCCAGAGTACGTTTCGGCATGATTGCAAACTGCGATTGTGGTTGCTTTACAAGTCAAACGTATTTTTCCAAATGCTGAGACGCTTCCCGCAGAAAAAAAAAGATTTGGTTTCTGACAAATGATAAGATAAAGATACTACACCGCCTTCGGAGCCGGCTTAAACTTTTCTAGTGTACTGTAAGTACTAGGTACCTAGTAGTCAGCCATGTGGGTACAGTAATTAGATATTATCTGCCATCCTGCGACTTCTGCATTATCACTTATAAGGATTCTTATTATGACTGTCGGAGGGAGGGATGAGTATGCAATGATACATGTCACGATTCACTAATTCAATCACTCTTTGATATATCAACAATAGTTAAGGAAAATAATCTTTGGTATCTTATGGTCCATTTCAACTTAATTTCAGAAATGTACTTAGGTAACTGAGATAGGAGAGAACTTGAACTCCCTTCAACACTTTGGTAGACGCCCTTTTTAGCATTTTTTTCAAGTGAATATCATGCAGACTAGTCTCCTCTGCATCTTCCATCAATTGGACATCCTATCACCGATCCATACTTTAACCTGCTTTAACCTTTTTAAAACAAGTACACCTTCCCAGCATAATACAGGAGGAAAAGGAAAACTTTCATACCCCCAAAAGCGCCTCCAGAAGATTAGACCGTTACTGTCTGAGACTGTGCAGGCTCCATCACTGTCTCTACATCAATCTTTGGCATGGATGCACCAGTACCACCAAGGTTCGTAGACTGCGATTTAGGATTCTTGGTGTAGTAATTCGAAATGGCAGATTTGATAGCATCTTCAGCAAGCATAGAGCAATGAACTGAGCGAGTATTAGTATACACAATCAGATAAAGACCATTCAAGTAGACTTACGCTTCACAGGTGGAAGACACAGTTCCTTCGCAATTTCTGTATTTCTCACTCGGCTAGCCTCCTCAAGCGTCATTCCTCGAACCAATTCTGTTAAGTATGAAGAAGAAGCAATGGCAGAACCACAGCCAAACGTCTTGAACTTTACATCGGAAATGGTGTTCGTATCTGGATCCACCCTAATTTGCAACTTCATAACATCGCCGCATGCTGGTGCGCCGACCAAACCAGTTCCTACATCGGTATCTGTCTTCGACATACTACCGACATTTCGCGGCCGCGAATAATGATCGAGAACCTTTTCATGATATGATCTGCGACCAGCAACGAAAGAAGGTGATGCAATTTGAGCAGATAGAGGTTTGGTGGCGAAGTGAGTATTTGCCGATAACGCTCTACCGGCAACGCGGGGTGCATTTAACAAAGCTCTTCGAAACATTTTTGTGATATGTGATGGGAGTGGCGATTGAAAGGTTGAGTGAGGAAAGATAATTGTACAGGTGAAAAATGATGATATAATGATAAATGGATAACTTGGGAAGCGTCGAATGTGATGAGGTGATGAGATTTGATGTTATGTTTTGTGGTTGTATTTTTAAATATTGTGTATTGGTTGATGGTTGATGGGTTGGGTTTTTTGTGGTGGTAGTGTTGGTTGTTAAATTTGGGGGGTTTAGATCTGATAATAAATCAATTAATTATCATGAAAGAAACGAATAAGAGATTCACGGAGCTCGGAGCTCGGAGTCAAAATAATATCTTAATGAAGTTTAGCTTAAGCGTCATCATAGAGACGGAGATAAGGTATAATAGTAACCAATCATCAAATCGTAATGACTGTAGGTAGTGATATGATCATGTGAGAAGAGAGCGATCGATGCGGAGATAAGGTGGAGAATGTCCGTTTTTGGTATAATCAAAATTTATTCCAAATTATTATAGAGAGATGGTAAGTGGGTAAGTGGTGGGTGGCGAGATATCTTTTTGATAAGCAGATGCACACACCCGTGATACCGCGATCTTTCCGCGTTGCTACATATCATATTAGGTTCCGTACTTCTATCTGAACCTTTTACTACCCCACCAAATTGACGGGATATTCCGCTTTCCTAGGTATTGTCCATTCCTCTCTTCCTCCCTACCTTCTTATCAACTTCAACTTAACTTCATCTTCTACCTCTACCTCTACCTCTAACTCTCAAAGTGAACCGTATTGGTTACACAATCATAGGTAATAGGAAAAGTTAAATACATTCTAGGAGAAGATGTCTTGCAAGCATGTTGATACAGTCGGTACGTTTCAAATTCTTATAACTACCTAGTATTATAACTAATAGCCTCCCTCTCCAGATTTGCGTCCTCCAGGACCCAGCCAAGCTGTTTATCGTGAAGATTGTACACAGTGTTTTGACTCCGTAGTAAGTGTGATATATTATCTTCTATATCTTCACAAAAATTACCCCATTCATCTTAGCAATTTCTCTTCTAAAATAGGATATCTGACCTTTTTATTTAGGATGACTCCACTGGTCTGGATGTTTGTCTTTTATGCTTCAATGGCGGCTGTACAGGTGATAGGAATCATTCCCAACTTCATAAGACTATCAAAAACCATCCTTTGGTTCTCAATATTCGGAGAACAAGACGCCATGTGGTTCGGGATGAGCCTCCTCAAAAAATATCCAGATTAGCCATTACAGCGGAAACTGAAGCCGACCGATACGAGTACCACACAAAAGTTCGCTGTTATGAATGTGCGGTGGATATCGACAAATCCTCCGGGAAACTATCTGCAATAGTGGATGGAGTAATGAACGCAAATACATTTTCAAGGCAGGAAGAAGTGAAAGCTTGGGAGCAAGAGTTTACTTGCTGTGAACATATTTTGGCCTTACAACAAGGAAACGCTCGTCAAATACAGTCTCAAGATCTAGGTCACTGTTCTCTGTGCGATCTTAAAGAGAATTTGTGGCTTTGCTTGCAATGCGGTAACTTGGGATGCGGACGAGCACAATTTGGTGGACTCAAGGGGCACTCCCATGGACTGGAACATAAGAATCAAACTGGGCATGCAGTTGCGGTCAAATTAGGATCGATTACTTCGGATGGTACGGCTGATGTGTACTGCTATGCATGCGACGAGGAACGAATCGACGAAGATCTTGGTAAACATCTTGCTCATTGGGGTATTATGCTTGCCGAACGCCAGAAGACTGAAAAGAGTTTGATGGAGATGCAGGTCGACGAAAACTTGCGCTGGGAATTTTCCATGACCGACGAACAAGGACACGAATTGACGAAGCTGTTTGGCGAAGGATTTACGGGTTTGAAGAATCTAGGCAATAGCTGTTACTTAGCAAGCACTCTCCAATGCCTTTTCGATTTGCCTCAATTTCAAAAGCGTTACTTACTACCAAATACAGATCTGCCTATTGTTGAAGACCCGGCTCAGGATCTGGAGACACAGTTGCGCAAGTTGGCAGATGGTCTACTCTCGGGCAGATACTCTTTCGCAGACCCTACTACCAACCAATCGGATTCGAATGGCGTTGCGAATCAGAAGGGTTTGGCACCTTCGATGCTTAAATACTTGATTGGCAGAGGTCATTCTGAATTCTCAACCATGCGTCAGCAGGATGCCTTCGAGTTTCTCCTCCATGTCTTCAAATTGGTCACACGTTCTCAGCACACAGCTTCATTTGAGGACCCCACGCGAGCCTTCCGTTTCGTTATGGAGCAACGCTTGCAATGTTTAGGCTGTAAAAAGGTACGATATCGAACGGACGAGCAAGATAATATATCTATTCCCGTGCCAGTCAGAAAGGTAAAGGCAACTGCCAGTACAGATGGTGAAAATGTTAATGAGTATGAAGCTGTAACCTTGAAGGAATGTCTAGACAGTTTCACGTCCGAGGAGATTGTGGAACTTACCTGTTCGGCGTGTGGCAGTAAAGATGGTTTCTCTAAACGATCACTCTTTCAAACATTCCCAGAGGTTCTCGCTGTGAATGCTAGAAGATTTAATCTGATAAACTGGGTGCCCACAAAGGTTAACGTTCCTGTCATTATTGGAGACGATAAATTCACACTAGATGATTATCAGTCACATGGTCTGCAGCATTCAGAGTCTATTCTCCCCGATACTGATGAGCCGAGCCAGCCTTCGTTCTCGGCGAATGTAGAAGCTTTACAACAGCTCCAGGCCATGGGATTCCCACTGAACCGATGTGAGAAAGCCTTGCACGCTACCGGGAATAGCGACGCGAACACCGCAATGGAGTGGCTCTTCGCACACATGGACGATGCAGACATTGACGCTCCATTCGATTCGAGCTCCGGTCAAACCACAACTACTACCGCCGATCCTCAGAAAATCGAAATGCTAGGGGCCATGGGCTTTGGACCCCCACAAGCACGAAAGGCGCTAAAAGAAACTAATGGTGACATGGAACGAGCTGTAGAATGGCTTTTCAGCCATTCGGACGATCCAGGCGAGTTCGAGGATGACGTTCCTGCTGTCAATAGCAATGTCACCAAAGATGTCCTCCCTGGAAGTGCCACATTGCCTGCCGCATTCCAACTTCAGTCTATTATATGTCACAAAGGATCTAGTATACACGCTGGGTAAGTCCTTATTTACTAAAAAATGCTGGCATAACTAATGATCGTTACAGTCACTACGTTGCATTCATTCGTAAAAAGATCTCCGAAGAGAAACCAACGTCGTGGGTGCTCTATAACGATGAGAAGGTGGTAAAGGCGAATGACATAGAGGAGATGAAGAAATTTGCATATGTCTACTTTTTCAAGAGAATTGATTGAGCGAAGATAGGGAGCAAACAGCGGTTACAAGTTTGCAATTATTGATGAAGAAATAACGATGGACATGATAACGGCAATAGATACTAGAGCAGCATGATGGCATGATGAGCGTGCACCCTATCAATGAAACTCGTTGGTATAGTCATAGTAGTAAAATCATAATCGATTTGATCCGTTTAAGCTATATCATAACTAGTTTGACCATGCGATAATTGCGTCATCATGCTGGTATAGTCATAAAAACATAGTCATAAAAACACAACATTTGATGCTAAATTCCTGATTAAGACAAATAATTTTTTTAAAGACATTCGCTCGGGTATTGCTCTTTATTGCTCCACCATTGGTTCCTCGGCCACATAATGCAAATATGCGCCCAACAACTTGATGCCCTCAATATAATTTCTCTTGTCCAATTTCTCGTTTATTGAGTGAGCCGCGTCAGTAGAACTACCCATAGGCAGAAGGAGGACATTCTTGCCGGTTGCCTGCTCGAAGGTCAAGGTGACGGGAATACTAAATAGAACATCAGCACAATCCTAAGCACTCTCGGCAAATAGCGTAACTTACCTCCCTCCCTCTCGAGTCAAATCAGGCTTAACACCCCAGACCCTCTCAACAGCTTTTGCAGCGCTCGAAAAGTTCCAGTGCTTTGGACTGGCAACCCACCACTTACCAGCATGTTGCAAGAAGCATCGTAGAGTATTCTTGCTTCCCAGTTTCTTGAATTGCTCATCAACATACTTGAAAACAAGACGATCTACGTCCTCGGGCTCCATATTTGGTACAGTTCGAATAGAGAACTTTCCGGTCACCTTGGCGGGAATAACTGTCTTGGCTCCTGGTTGAGAAAATGCACCTTCAATACCGTGAATCGATAATGATGGGTATCTCCAGCGGGCCATAAGGGTATTCTCCTTGTCGTTGTGGATGGTTGTCTGACTACCTAACGATTCATGGAGGTTGTCCATGGTGAATGCAATATCACCGTAAAGGGATTTCTCCTCATCCGTGAGGGGAGCAACAAGCTCAGCCAAGCCTGGGATCTGAATCTTGCCATTTGTATCCACTAGACTGCCAAGCACCCTCACCAAATCAGTCATTGGCTCTTGTGCTGTGCCACCGAAAACTCCACTATGGAGATCCTGGCCGGGTCCTGAGATTTCGATGGAATAATAACTGCAACCACGGAGACCTATAAAAGGTCGATCAGTATGAGATGAGTAGACTTAGTAAGTGAGGATGCTGAGAGTATTTGGGGAAGGGAAAGCGATTGCCAAGACAAAGAATGAGAGGGCCAAAGAGGTTACCATAAGTAAGGCATGGCTTTTCAGTACCAAGCCAGTAATTATCAGATATACACACAGCATCTGTATCTGCGAAGAATTTATCGGCCTCTTCCCTAATAAAATCGTCCAAGCCTTCTGAGCCGTATTCTTCCATTCCTTCAAAGCACATCAACAGATTGACTGGAAACTCGACACCAGCCTTCTGGTGAGCCTCGATTGCATTGAGCCAACCAAGAACCGGACCCTTATCATCTGTACTTCCTCTGCCATACATTCTTCCTTTGTCGTCGATGGTAAGTTCGAATGGTTCTGTGGCCCAGCCATCCTCTTTCCCAGCAGGTTGTACATCATAATGGCCGTACACGAGGATGGTGCGCTTCTTCTTGTCATTGCCATATCGTGCAATGACTACAGGCGGAAGCTCTAAATGCTCCATACCAGGTTGCTTGCCTAATGGTCGTTTCTCGACTTGGGCGCCAAGTGCAGTGAGCTCATCAGCTAGGAACTCTCCCATACGAACAACATCAGGTCTGCGTTCCTCGTCTGCGGAAACCGATGGAATAGCAACGGCTTTGCGAAGTCTCTCAATAAAGTGATCCGACAAAGCATCTACTTGCTTGAAGTAGCCATCGAGTTGAGGTGCCATTTTGACTTGCCGAGCTTGGTGTAACTTGATTGCGGGGGTGAGATAAGTTGAGATTCGGATTCGTGAGGGACAGTAGAGATGTGGAAGGTAATATACTGGCTTGACTGAAGTTATATCTTCAGTAGATCTGGCAAACGTTGATCGTTGTAGGGTTGTCGATATTGACTTCGTTGAGATTCGTGATCTAATTTTGAACATGAGAGTGAGGATTGAAGATTGAGGGATCGTGGACATAAACTTTAGTTATGAGTTTACGAGCTTCCTATTCTGGAAGGGGATAGTGGGGTAAAAGTTGTACTCGTAGATTAGGTAGATAGATAGTTTATGTTTATTGACTCAATTATTATTCAATCAAAAAACAATTCGTATATTCGTTGAATCGGAATATCTTGAATTCAGCTTTTGGTATAAGTAAATTATCACACTACTACCTCGTACTCTTAGAGATAGCAAAGTACACAGTGGTTATTCAGTATTCACTTATCCGAATTAGTGAAATATATAGTATACGCTAATACTTGTAATAAATGAATTATAATAACAAATATACAAGTTCATATTATATTTAGATATACAAGTTTATATTATGTTTCAAAAAGCAGCTTGCAGATTCCAGTATTCACATCTTTCTTACACAGGTTTCATGTTTTGAAGTTCTTCAAAGTGGAAATACTCTCTTTCAATAACTCAAAATCCAGCAATTGCTTATTGATCATGGCTACGATCATGGATAGATCAATCTCATGCACATATCAACTTCTACCTGCAAAACAGCCGTCCATTATGTTTCTATTTTTGTTGGTCAAGTTACTTGGTCTTACTCAGCGCACCAAAGAATGAATGGAGTTTCTCCTTCTTATCCCTTCTACCCATTATCATCTTTCTACAACTCGAAACCCTATTTTGAGATGAGGCTATAATATGGATATTACAATTGAGGCGAAGCTGAGCATATCTCTGCTTCTGCTGTATACAGTACAGTACAGTACAGTACCACTTACCACTCCATCATATCTTCGAGCCATGCAATGTAGATAGATATTCGACTAGATATTATCTTGTTTCAAATTACTTGCAAACAATAAAACTCATACTGTACTCGAGTATGTAGTACACTGAGGTTATACTACAAATCCCCCAATGAGTCCTGTAATATGTAATAACGAACAAGACTGAATATGAACCCACACCACCTCATGGATCCTTCTTGACTCCATTCCCGTCACATCGATACTATCTATGGATTGATTTCCTTTACATTTTCCATTTCATTTATTCAATCTCAGAAAATACACTTTTACATTACACATTCATATGTATTCGGGTCCATAGGTGGGTGGGTGAGTGGGTATATGTATATTTGAGAATAGTAAATTCGAATACATATGATATCCCTTTCAGGAATCAACTGCAGATACGCGCATGTTATTAATACTGTAGTGCGGTGTCCACTTCTGGATTCCTACGTCCTTGTCTCCCGGAGCGTTGAGTAAAACAAACAAGTAACCCGGATGTACTCGAGGAGTACTAAGTAAGGAAAGATGAAGAAGAGTTCGGTCATCGGTCAAAAAAAAATCGTGGTCAACCATGCTTACTATTTACCTTGGTGTGATACAAGACATATGTTGTATCCCACCACCTACTAGGTAACAGACCATGCAGCCTGATATAATTGTCGTACCGGTACCTTAAACCTTTGTTGTCTTCCATCTTGGGAGAAAGAGACCATGAAAGATACTGATAATTCAAGGAAGGGCGCAATCGTGGTCAACTGCTTTCCAATTTTAGAGTGGGCTGAAAATCACCGTTTATCCTTTCGAGTTAAACGACGGACCGCATTTGCTGGGAGTGAGAGCATGGCATGCCAAGGGTATAACAGGGGAAAGTAGTCTCGAGGCAGGGGGATCGGACGAAAAGTCCCCAGTCCATTGGTTGTGTAGCCGTGCTGACAGTACCATTTCTTTTCTCTTTAGTCCTACCCCGTAGATGAGTACCCAGGTGCAGACTCTTCCAGCGAATGATGGCTGCATCTAATCCGCAAGCTGGATGCAGAACTGCAACCAACATATTAATTCGGTCATTTTATTTATTCTTGTCTACGGAGTACTCTGCTGTGATATCCCACCCAGCAGCACTCCATGCACTTACTTGACCTGCATCTACAGCCGGACAATCTAACTCAATCCAGTAATCTTCATTCTTCTGCGATGATTAGAATGTTACATTTTGCATCATCTTGTTCATAAATAACATCAAACTACTTGCTTTGCATAGAACTCGTGCATGGTCTATAAGCGCAAACGTCAGGGGTGCCACGAGAGAAAGCTGACACTCTGAGTTTGATGCGGGATCCGAAGCCATGGGGTATGATTTCCATAAGCGCCCTCAGACAAGGTCTGCAGTATGCATGGGTTTTGCGGTGGTTGATGGACAACTGGCAGCCTTTCACAATTTTCCTCTTCGTCTTCTCTTTTCCCCCTCTCCCCCAACCAGTTCTTCTTCGCAAACATAATAACGAAGCTCAGCAATGCCCCGCGATAAGTTCTATCTTTGTGCATCTACTGCGCATTTGTCTAGAAGCATTGGAAGTACATGACATATACTTTTCCAAAAGATATCTTACACCCTGAAGCATCGTCACCATCCCAGACTCTGCTCACCACAGACTTCAAGTGCCGGTATTGGTTCTTGTGCTGGACCCCCCCGCCCCTGACACTATCTATTCTTTTTCAGATAGGCTGTGCAGGGCTGTAGGGATACATCTTTGATCGTTTCCAATTTGAGGATAATTATCATGTCGAGCCTCAAAGATATCATGGACGTAGATGTGGACCCTCTCGAATCTCAAGCCTATAGAAGGAAGGAAGCCGCCCAGCAACAAGCTTCCCGACCATCCATTGATCCTTCATCTCAAAGTCCTTCCCCTCAGCTTGACGATACTAAAGGAAAGTCATCTATCAACAGTCGTAGATCAAACCGAGTTTCAAAGTCGTCCACCCAATCTACAACATCGCGTCCCCACTTACTACGGCGGCGTAGCAGCGGTACTGGAGAAGTCATGGATTTCTCGGCCTATCAAGGTGGCGGGTCCAACCAAGGAAGTCTATCAGGTAGTCCTCTGCAACCATCTACAAGAGGAGGAATGGACTCAATGGTAGATATTGTGCCTGTCAAATACACACCTGTGACTGGACGTATCAGCAAAGCAAGGAAGGGTATGCCAGTTCATACATGCGATGACTGTAGGAAGGTCTGTTCTTAATTCCAATTTGTTCGCAAGTCATAAGCTAACAAATAACATAGACGTTCACCAGAGCGGAGCACCTCAGGTAAGGATGGATTCCCACTCAGGTTGACGGTGCAATAAAGAAACAGCTTGCGCGCACTATGATGGAGATATTAACAGTGACTCATATATGACGAACAGAAGATAGGGATGAAAATAACATTAGAAGCAAGTACATGGACTAATTATTGTTCTTTTCGATCGCAGGAGACACAAACTCAGTCATGGTAAACCTGCCTATCCATGCACATTTGAAGACTGCGAGAGAACATTCCACCGTCCTGACCTACTGGCACGTCATCTCAATCGACAGTATGTTTTCCTCCCCTTACCTTTCAAAACATGACTAATGAAACAAAGTGAGACACAAGGTGAAAAGGCATACAAATCTAGTGACCCAAGAAGCAGAGCCTCCTCAAGCGCGTCAGAGAGCGCTCTGAAGCTAGACTCGACACCGCGCGGAATGTCTATGGTCTTAGGTCAGATGTCTCCAAATGATTCTATGACACCGAGAACTTCAGGAGGAGCGGAGAATTCGGCCGCAGCTGCAACCTTTAATACAATCACAAGCAATTTCCAAGCTGTTGACTTCTCATCCGCGGACTCTCACAGAGGGTCTGCCAGTCAGGCTCAATTGACCGGTACGGAGGCGTACACTGCGGCATCATCTGAGCCAGTCTCATCCAGGTAAGCATTAATCATATCTCCCAGAATGCGTGTTCGTTTTCACTTGTTCCTTTTTCAACCGGGCAATTTCTTGATTTTTACGATATACTTGCCCACACAGCGGATACATAGAGATTGCCCGACTAACGTTAAGTAGGACTTCCTCAAGCTATGGTGAGATGACCTCAACCTTTAATGTACGGCCCATGCCGAAATTTTCGGACCAGGATCCCTATCGGGCAACAAGTACCAGCTTCCAAGGATTGTATCCGGAAGAAGCTTCCTCATTTCAGAGCTATAGCGACCCGCATGCTCTACCACTTTTACGTATTCCAGAAGAACCTTATATGCCGGGTATGTCATACACGCAGGAAACTTCACCTTGGTGTTCATCGGCTTCCGATAGCACACATTCAACTCAGTCGGAGAGCTCACGTACAGGGAGAATGACATACAGAGGTCGATCTGGATCATTAGTCACAGCACCTGAATGGTCCATTTCAGTTTTAAGCACGCAGTGGCCTCATGGTATGTATTAGCACTTCAGAAGTATAGTTCCACTACAATCTTTCAATCATAAACTGATAACACGACATTGTAGGAATGGCCAACACAACTCAAGACCTCAGAAGTCCGCCTTATGAAACAGTGATGCAATCTTATGAGGCACCTTATACGCCCCCTAGAATGTCACCGCCATCTCGGCAGCTTCTTGATGTGCCTGGTTTCGGGGGCTATTATATGGAATCAGTGGGTAACCCACAAACCTCAACATATAATAAACACTTGGCTCAGACTTTTCTTCCAGCGTCCCCGTCGCGATTATCCAACCCCCGATTGGCAATCCTTAATAGAAGATCGAAGGAGCTGGTGGGATCCCAGCAATTAGAAACTTTGACGAACATTGGAACGAACATTCTATCTCCTTCGCAATCCGCTACCTCTAACCTCGACATCTATCTTTCACTGTATTGGATCAATTTCGATAAACTGTTTCCATTCATTCACCGCGGAACTTATATACAGAACCAAGATTTATTACTCACCTTCGCAATGGCTGCTATCGGCACCCAATACCATCCCAACTCTGAAGCTCGAAAACATGGCGTGGAGTTCCACGCGTATTGTACCAGAACAATTCCTTTGGCACTCGACTGGACACCACAAGTAATGCAAGCCATATTACTCACAGAGATATTTACCCGTTTCCGTGGCAAGAAAACCACCACTCGCCTATCTCGCCAGTTTGAAGAGTTATACAACCGGGTAAATTGATGCTCCCAAGGTTGTTGTGGGTATATTCATTGACGTCCAGCAGCTTTTGAACTCATCATATCCAACGTCTGAAACCAGCACTACTCCAATCAATAGCAGTACACCTGATGGCCTAGTTAATCACTTCAACGCAAGCACCAGATTCCAAGATATACAAGGCAATTGGTTGCTCTGGGTTGACACCGAATCACAAAAACGCCTATTATGTCTTTGTTTCATTTTCGACATCCATCAAGCAATGTATCACCAACAAAAACAAGCCGTACCAGATTTAGGTCCCGCCATGCTAGATACTCCCTGCTCGGAAGTCCTATGGGATTTTACCAATGCAGCTGACTGGGCTACCAACGAAACAAGGAATAATGCAGGCCAACCACTTCATGCCGTGCAACACCAGTTTGCCCAGGAGGGTCCTGTCGAACTTTCACATTTTGCTCGATCACTTATAATCTGTTTCTTAACATCTCAACTTCCCGGGGGTGCCAATAATGGTTATCAATACCCGGATGACTTTCAAATACACAACACTCATGCCACAACACTCGAGCTTGTAACATTATTTCCAGAATCTTCAATGGTACATACTTACCTTGCGTTATACAATACCCCACTCTACGACCTTTTGATTATCAGCGGGGATACCTGGGTGTTTTCTCAAAAGATAACACACCAAAACTACTTCCGCGAAGCACAATCCCGTCTTAAAACATGGTCATCATCTCTAGCAGCAGCTACTGCCACACACCATGCTTGCCGCATCTTACTATCTGAGTTCTCAACACCATATATTCCTTCCGATCATAACACAACTTCATGTTCTCTCGATCTCTCCCATTATTGGTCTTTGAATGTAGCTGCCTTGATCTGCTGGGCATTTGGACATCGAGCCAGCGGAAGTAGCGGTACTTCTTCCCGACACGGTTTAGACACATTCACAGATTTAGACTTCAATTCTTCTCCAGAAGCTTCGGAAAAATTACGACTTAAAGCTCTCACGTATCTCGATTCTATGCTAGAGCTAGATACCAAGGATCTCCTGACTGGCAAAGCGACCATGCGAAAGGAAACCTCTCCCATAATCGATGCAGTGCGCACACGGCTAGAGATTGATAGTGCTGGAGGCAACTGTATGAGTCTCGTTGATTCTATTTGTGTTTTGAGACGGCTCAGAGAGAGTGGAAGAGGAAAGTGGTTCTAACCTTTTCTTTTGTTTCCTCCACGTCTCTTTGTTCCTGTAAACTGTTTTCCCAATCTTTGCTTCTCTTGCTTCATTTCTTCTGGATCAGCCTTGAGCGTTTTCTATTGTTGTTTCCTCACTTCTTGCTTAGGAAAGGGGTTGGCAAATGACATGCCTCATGTAATGATGTCGGAATTTTTTTAATCTCTTAATGTTTGCGTTCCTTCTATACACGTCTCCTTCATCTTCATCTTGATTTCCATTTTCATCTGAGGAGTGTCTGTTTCCTTACTCCTTCTCACACTGTATAACGATTTTCATCTATATAACAACCTGTATCTTTTGTTTTCCCCATCTATTTCATTCTTATATTTCTTACGATCACTTTCCTACTTTTTCTTTGCACATGACTGATATTGATGAACAAAATACATATCATGTGGTGACATATCATATTCACGATGAGGATGTTAATCTAGAGGTCAAAGGAGGCTTGGTTGATGGGACAGAGGCACTACATACACATACTTACAATTCATGATACCCAAGGGGAGGCCTCGAGCGAGGAAAGAAAAGAAGAGAGGCAGGAACATTGCGCCTTGTACACTATTGTATTGCATTGCATTTGCATTGTATTGTGTTGCACCACATATAAGTATTTAGATATAGATAATACAAATAGCCGCAATAATTTCTCAAGTGAAAAGGGAAATGAACCTTATAAAAGTACAAAATTTGGCAATTGCTGCATTGTTTGTCACAGTTCAACTCGAGAATAGACTAACTCTTCACACAATACTGAATCCCCCGCCTACGAGTACTCACACAAACATACAAGAGTACAAACCCATTCATCTCCAGTACCACCACCTAACATCCCCAACTATTTCCCCCCTTCCCTTCTCATCCACCGCACAACGCATCTACATCTACATCTACATCTACATAAAATAGACCCCGAATTCGACATTTACAAGCCCGACTCCGAACGCACCCTGTTGTCCTATCATGCCATGCCATGCCATGCCATGCTAGAAGGGTCTCCACTCCCCACATTACACTTTACAATACTCGTAGAATCCAATAACCCCGACCGTACTTCCCCTTTATACATCCCATCGGTACTTTACTGTACTGTACTGTACTGTACTGTACTACTGTCCACCATCACCATCATCCTCACATCACAAGGAGCACAAACAAAATGATATGGCAATTTCGGATAATGTATGTATCACATAAATACTCGAGTATGATGCAAAGTTACTCGAGTACTCGAGTACTTGACTGGTACTACAAAGTACCATCTACTTGTATATTCTCCATCACATCTGCGCATACGGTTCTATTAGCTTTCGTATACGATACCAATCAGGGGTCAAATTATTCTGTATAACTGAAGTAGGCAGTCAAAAGATAATGGATGGCTAGCTAGCTATATCAATGTATAGAACAGGGGGTTGTAAGATAGTACTTGTATATCTTGCTTGAGGCTATTGAAATGGGGTAGAAAATTTGATAATAAATAAATAACTATTACAGTATGTCATATCCCCAACACCAATATAGTACTTCTTGAACCCCAAGAACACCCACTCTCCTAAATATCCATCCCATAAGACATTTTCAAACCACCACTGCAGTACTCCAGCAGACATAAATCGTTTCAAATAACAAAGTCACACACACACACAAAGCTTAGATGCCCAATATCAAGATTATTGAAAACATGTTTTTGATCATTAGAGAGATGGGACAAAGTCTTTATTTACAATTTTCCAAAGTGGTACGCTTGCTTGCTTTCCTCCATTCCCAAATTTGTCTTTCATGAATTGACTAGCCCTTCATCATCATTCAATCATCAACTAGACTAAATACTAACTAACACCAGAATGTCGGCGAAGTCAAGAGAACCATTTGTAACTTTGTAAAACGAGAACTAGAAAACTCAATGCAGCAAAACGGGCAGGGGTAAGTTGGTAACTCAGCTGGTATCTAAAAGCACAATCCACAGACTCTCTCCTTGTTTGCACTTATCCCCCTTTCAACCCCCTTCCTCCACATTACATGCTTATGGGACAAGGCAAACAAGGAGCTGGTATTATTGTACAGTTCAGGGAAAAAATTTGTGTCTCCCAGGATACAATAGCTGCGTTTGTCTTGCCACACTCATTTCATTCCGCAACCATTCACCATTCCCTTAATCCTTGTGAAATTTTGCCTTCAACTTTCCGAAAAAGCTGGTACGCTTCTTTTTCTTGTCGGCCGCGGCAGAATTAGCAGGGCTATCTGCGACTTGGCTGCTTGATGGAGTGGCGGATTCAGCAGATAATTTTGCGGGGGAAACTGCAGCATTCTCCTTTGCAGGAGTAGCTGGAGCAGCATTTGACTTTTCTGCAGTTGTTGTAGAGCCCAATCCACTGGTGACAACTGGTGCAGTCCGGTTGTCGGTGGCGAGAGTGGTATGTGGCGAAACATCCCTGGAATCGATTGGGTATGTGTCTGTTGGTGGTGTTGGACCAGAAAATGTTGGAATATTAGTGGACTCTACTCCACTTGTAACAGCTGGGGCAGCAGCGGCCGAGATGGACGGAACCTCCACAGAGGCGACTCCACTGGTGACAACTGGGGCAGTAGGAGTAGCAGATTTGACAGGCTCAATATCGTTAACATTTGCAGAGGCAATTATTGGTGCAGGTTCACCAGTGGAAGTCTCGGGTTTGATCTCGGACAACAATTCTTTTTCAACAGCCTTCTTGTCGAGAACAGCTGCTTCAATGGCAGCAGCCTCTGGGCTTTGACCTGACTCTGCAATAGACTTCTTAACAACCGCAGGGGTATCCTTAGCGGTGCATGTCTCAGACTTGTGTCCGGACAATAATTCCTCCTCGACAGCTTTCTTGTCGAGAACAGCTGCTTCATTAGCAGCAGCCTCTGGGCTTTGACCTGACTCAGCAATAGACTCCTTAACAACCGCAGGGGTATCCTTAGCGGTGCATGTCTCAGACTTGTGTCCGGACAATAATTCCTCCTCGACAGCTTTCTTGTCGAGAACAGCTGTTTCATTAGTAGCAGCCTCTGGGCTTTGACCCGACCCAGCGATGGATTCTCTAACAATTTCTGGGGTGTCTTTTGCAGTGGTCTGGTCAACAGTTCCTGTGGTAGCGAAAGAGTTGATAGGTTGTTGAACAGATTCTGGGAATTTGCTGGTCAAGCTTTCTGGAATGTCCTTTTCAGTGATTTGATCAACGGTTCCCTTAGCGGAAAGAGAGTTGATGGATTGTTGAACAGACTCTGGGAGCTTGCTCGTCAAGCTTTCTGGAAGGTTGCTTGGGATGCTCGATACGCTCTCTGGAAGCCTACTTGGTATTGTGGCGGCGGCGGCATAAGCGGCGCCTCCTACAGCAATGGCAGCTGCCCCAACAGCAGCAGCAGCCTCACCTGCGGTAACCTTCTTTTCAGTCTTTATTGTGCCCTGTCCCGCAACTCCCTCAGAGGTTGTTGGGGCAACATCGATCTCTCTCTTGAGTTCCTTCTCGACCGCGCTCTTGTCGGACACTTCAGATAGAACTGCGCTGGCCTCGGGTGCAAAGCCTGCCTCTCTTTGGCTCTCTTTCACAACCTCTGGCACTTTTGTGGATTCGAGTGGGATTTTGGCGGCAAGGATCGATGTTGTACTTTGAGGACCGGCGGATTGAATAGTTGGGTTCACATCAAATGTGCCTGCTCCACCTTCTCCCATCGGCAAACTTGATTCAGGGATCAAGCTCTTAGTAACAGGAGGCAGATCAAGAATTCCGGTACCTTTAAAGTCCCGCTCAGCCTGGGGAGTGACAACTGGAGGAAGGATGGGAGCATTGCCAAGTGCGCCGCTGTTGTCATACGATTCCTTGTCGGTACGAACAGCTGAGTGGATGGTGTTGGTGGTCAAATCGCTTGATTTTGGAATCTTCTCTCCAGGTGCAACCTTTATAGGATTGACTGCACCGGCAAAAGCGGGGAGTGGCGAGATACCAAATGTAGGCTCGGATTCGGACTTGGCCTTGTATGTGGCGACAAGCTCGGGATCATCATGTACACCCGAAGTAATGCTGTTGGTTGTGAAGGAATTTGTATTTGGAACTTTCTCTCCTGGTGCAAGCTTGATAGGGTTGACTGCACCATCTGCAGCAGGTAGGGGATCTATAGAGAAGTCACCTCTTTCGACAGCAGCAGGGGTCTCAGGGAATGCTCCAGGCAAATCTGAAGATCCATGTTCTTCGAGTGGGGATTTCTCCTTCTCAAGAGGGACATCCTTTGCCAATTCCGAGGTGGTCGAGGTTGGTGCAACACCAGACATGATTCCAGCAGTCGCAGGTGTATGCTTCACAATTCTATCTATAGTGAGGACGTTGTTCAGATTGCCTGAGGCGTCGTTCTCTTGAGGAGCTGTATGATCTGTAACCCAATTACCGTCGACAACGAACTGTTAAAGTATTCAGTTAGTTTTTGTGAAGATTGGTAAAATTGTTTGGAGGTTCGAGGGAAAAAGCGGGAAAAAAATAAAGAAGATGGGTCAGGCCTCTTTAAAGAAGGCCGGTACCATAGTTGAACATAGCTGAAGCAAACAAACAAGCGGGGTTGGGGAATAGGCGGGACCTAGCCTGCGTGTACAAATAAATCATGCAAGCAAGAGGGCCTGTTTTATTATTAGGAAGTGAAAATTGCCAACTTCGAGGCTTGACCTCTCCAAGAAAGTTTTAGTTGAGTGGGAAAAAGCAACTGCATGCGTCATAAGTGGAATTTGAACCACTAGGATAGGAGCATTTGGAATGCAACCTTCATTCAACTTTGTCACATTGATTGTTGTTGTTGTTGTTGGATGTTGTTGGATGTTGTTGTTGTTGTTGTTGTTGCTGATAATCCAATTCCAATTCCAATACCAATTCCAATTCCAACATCAAACCCAACCCATATTATTCTTTATGTTTAGCTCACCTTGTAATAAATCTTTTCCCTAGCATTTGCGAGTTGAACATCTTTCTTGAAGACTTGCCCAGTCTTTACTAATTTTTCGCTCTTGGACCAGTTATCGAATGTTCCAGTAACAAAGACCTCTTCAGCTGGATGCTCCCTAATAACAACCTTTGTTAGCAATTGAGATGTTCAATTTTGACAAATAAAGTCAATTAAGGGTGTTGTGTTATTGTCAAAGTATGATCTTGCGCATAGTTTGCACATGTCGCAGACAATAAGGATCACAATACAGCCTGGGAGAAGCTATCTCATTATCTTGATTGAAATTCGTCATTGGACATTACACTGACAATGGTGGGACTTGGTGGAAAGGATATGAATATTGAAAACTCACCACTTGAAAATAAAGCTTCCCATTTTGATGCGCAAAGAGTAGTATGTATTCAGCAAATTAGGAAGAAATGGATGAAAAGCTAGGTTATATTATTGAGGTTATTGAATCAAAGAAGATATCTGTATCGGTTGAAGGAAAGAAAAGCTGAGGGTTGAATGTGTAGAAGTTGGTTGTCGGAAATTATCTTGGATTGGCGTAAGATGCAAGATGGCTATAATAGGTAGCTATCGAATCATTGCGATAAGAAAGATACTAGGTAACACTGATCATTACTCATTTGAACTTGATCTAATTTTAAATATGAGCCGACTTTCACTTTAGTAAATCAAAAGAAAGAATACGAATCTTTTATATTCTTTATATATATAAAGAGATTATAGGAAAAGAACTATATATTAATAAAAAATAAATATACTCGAATTAATTAAATTATATTTCAAAGTTATCAAATAATATATATAAAATTAAATACTATTAAATAAATACTACTAGTAACTCGAAATTATAGATTTATTAAAAATTAATTAGTTCTTTAAGATAACTAATATTCATTAACTATAAAAATATATAATAACGAAGTCTATTATTATTATACTTTATATAAAACGCTTATCTCTGACTTACTATACTAATCTATAATAACTTTGATATCAAACTCTCTAATTAACAGAGCTCAACTCAAATCTTATATCAACATGGATTCAAATAATCCTATAAAGAATAGATTCCTATATTCATTAGATTGTCGCAAACAATACAATCGGAGATTGAATATTGAGAGAAAGTCAATGGGTCTTGGATGAGATTCTTTGATGAACAACATTACCTATCTCTAATAAGTGATCTAAAATCTAATTAAGGACCAAACTACAAATACAGTCTTTGTTCATTGTAAATGGAAATGTCTAATATTCAAAGCTATCTGTATTAAAATGAAGGTTCTCACAGCTTGGACTTAAAACCCTTTCCTTCTCCTTTTTTTACCCTAGGTACCAAGATATATATTAGATGGGACCTTTTCAAATACAATTTACTCAAGTTATTGTTCATCTCTCACCCTACCTGAGGCTAGCTTTCCACCAATCATCAAGCATTACTCCTCCGACCTTGCTTGCTTCGATTCCTTCTAGGTTTCTTCTCGAACCTTTCATAGAAGCTATACTTTACTTTTACTTACAAGTACCTCTTTCTCCCCACATCAAAGCGAGAGGAGGTCTTCCCCTCAGTAGATCAAGATCAAGATACCTACCTACCTACCTACCTAGTAACTACCTTTTCTCTCCACTCCAAATACCTTCTTGTCAAAAATATCCTTTATACCCTTTATTCCAACTTATATCATCTCAACTCCTTTAACCTTCATATCCATCCAACATCATTGCCTACTTTATTAGAGTCTCAATCTAACATACATAGAGAAAGCTCTCAGAGAACCGACCGACTCAAGCTCATTGCTCCACTTCCGTGTGGATTCACTCATTCCAGTCCGAGTGTCCGAGTTGAGTTACTGAAGCTTGTGCATTATAGAAAAGGATAGCTAGCTATTTGTGAGTACATCAATCATTTCCACCCACTTTCTAGCTGGTTGGCATATAACCTGTACCTACTCTACTACTCTCCTTTAATTCCCTATCCCTTCACTCATCCTACATGCTTCTCATGAGCTTTCACTAAATTGGTTCCCGATAATATAGATTACATTAACTTGGCCTATCAACCCCTTCTTAATTCCCCCGCATTTTCTTGGAATTCTCCCCTCGATTTACTCACTGGATTACTTTATTGCGATCCTATGAATGTTCACTGTCTGTCAATAAAGCATTGAGCTGTTAACCTCTCACGATAAGATCGAATGTCCCTACCGCCGGCGTACTTGACCGAAATCGAGTCCCTCAGTCGAGAAATCCTTAGAACTCAACCTATCGATATCCTACAATTCTGTGCCAACTATTTTGGTCAACGCCTAGAAACGGAGCGCGCAGGGTTTCTTACATCTACCTCTCGTAATAGATCGTATCGTTCTGTATCGCCCGGAACAGTAAATCGCCCGAACATGGCTGGGAATACCTTCCCTGGACGGCTTGGAACTTATGTCAACCCTTTTGGCGGCGATGGAAGTGGCGCAGGACATGAACAAACAAGTTCCGGCACTATTTCGAAAGTCATAGAGGAGGATGAGAATGATACTATTACATCACCAACAACACCCAGTTTTGGGTTCTCGAAAGGGATACCTTCGTTTGGAGCTTCGTTTGGTGGAGATGCAACTGCTGGAGACTTCCCACCATCTTCTTTCAAACCCGCGAGTGAAGGTTTTCCCGAGCATTATGGCATGGGAAGGCGCACTTCTGTTTCGGCCGAATCTCTCAACCCCACAGCTTCGTCCAACGACAACTGGTCTCCACCATACCATCAGAAAACACAAGAGCAGGTAGCACGCCTGCAAAAGTCGATTTCCGGAAACTTCCTGTTCAGTCATCTTGATGATGAGCAAAGCGCCCAAGTTCTGGGTGCTCTCGTAGAGAAGCCAATTCCAGCTGTCGGCATTAAGGTATGTGCTAACTACTTTTGTTGTCTTTTCTGAATTCCACTGACTTTCCTCAGGTCATCACACAAGGCGATCAGGGAGATTTCTTCTACGTAGTGGAGAAAGGCTCTTTTGACGTACATGTCAATTCCTCCGGTTGGCTGCAGCCAGGTTCCGATGGTCTCGGGACTAAAGTGGCCACCATTGAGCCTGGTGGATCTTTTGGTGAACTCGCCCTTATGTATAACGCCCCCAGAGCTGCCACGGTGATATCTGCCGAAGCATCTTGCACTCTTTGGGCGTTGGACCGTATCACTTTCCGCCGAATTCTTATGGATTCGACATTCCAGCGCCGTCGTCTCTATGAAAGTTTCCTCGAAGAAGTACCTCTTCTTTCAACCCTGACCCGTTATGAAAGATCAAAAATTGCCGATGCTTTGGAGACGCAGAAATACCCTCCTGGTACTTCGATCATTACTGAAGGAGATGCTGGAGAAGCATTTTACCTTCTTGAAAGTGGGGAGGCTGAAGCATACAAGCGTGGCGTAGATAACCCGGTGAAACTGTATCATAAGGGAGATTATTTCGGAGAGCTGGCATTATTGAATGATGCTCCCCGAGCCGCCAGTGTCATTAGCAAAACCGAGGTAAAGGTTGCTACCCTTGGCAAAAACGGCTTCCAGAGGTTATTAGGACCTGTCGAGAGTATCATGAGAAGAACAAAGTATGAAAGTGTGGAGAGCATTGACCCCCTTCACCAGAAGTGAAGTACTGTCGGATTGGGATGAATTCATATACTTGATGGCGTTCAGATACAGGTTACGCTCGTTCATGAGATGATCAAATGGACTGGGGTTTGTGGGCAATACGTGAGATGCAGACAAGTGTCAGTTTTTCAGTCACTTTGCAATTGTATTATGGAAGCTGTTGGCGGTACTCCTGTCGAATGCAAATTAGTTTTACACCATGCATATTTTATCCTAAAGCCTCAATTATAATTTTAAGATGCAGTCCCAATGATACCAAGACCGTGAATATAAACGGTAGACTAAGTTGTATCCACGATCAATCCTTTGTCGTTCAGATATATTGTGTAATCTCAACTAAAACCAGGCAGAGTACTTTCACCATCATTCTTTTCTCCCTTCCCAATTGTACACTCCCTCCCAGCTTTAAAATTAAAAAGCACCAGCCCTTCTCCTCTCCAAAATCTCCCTCCTAACCCCCTCAGCCGCCACCTCCGTCTCCAACACTCTTCCTACCCCTTTCTTCCACCCCTCCTCCAATCCCCTAATCTCTGCCTCCACCGCTTCCTGCGCATTCTTTCTCCCAATCACCACAATATCAATTTCATCTTTCTTTGCCGCCACTTCCCTCTCCAACCCCTTCAATATATCCTCCAACTGTGCGTTTCCAATCAACCAAGCGTTTTTACCGAATTGATCGAGTAGAGAGAGGTTGGTAAGACGCGTGTTGAGATAAATTTGAGAGGTGTAGGCTTGTGAGAGGAGGGTTGAAGGGGGGAGAGAGGATTCGGAGGGGGAAAGTGTTTCGTAGCGGGTCAGGTCGATGGCTTTTAGAGGTAGTGGGGGCGTGGAGGAGGAGATTCGGGCGTGTTCGATAGTGAGAGCGGGAGAGAGGTTGGAGGGAGCGAGGGGTGGGAGAGAGGGGTGTAGTGTGGATGTTGAGGCGGGTTCGAGGTAGGTGATTATGAGGGATTCGACGGCGGCGCGTTCAAGGGGGGTAGGTTCGATGTCTATATACGGGAGAGACTCGTGGGTTTCGGTAACGAGAGGCATGTTTGGGGTGATGCTTAGTGTTTGGGTTGATGGGTTGGCTGTGAGGTTGAGGTATTCGATGTGCAGAAGCCTGACTTTTATTCGAATTTGTGCCAGGCCACCTGGTGAATCAACTCGGGATTCTATCTTTCCCGCCAGTACATTCAGTTGTTTCGAATTCGTTTGTGTTGTGAAAGACCTTAACAATTAATTTGCACACTATCTTTGTCGAATGTGAGTGAGTATCTTGTGTTTGAGAGATGGTTAATTTCTCTCGTGAAGTCAATAAGCTATGAGCATAACTGTAAGATTCAGGTCTGCCTTGCGCGCCAGGCTCACCCGATAAGAGAGCTTGAGAACCACCAACTTCCTCTCATCCCATCTTTACCTACAAACTTCACATTGTTCAACATGCAATAATGTAATGACATTCCCATATTTAAAGGGAATTGGATTACGAAATACAGCTATTCTTGCTTTAGCATTATGGAGCAGGATCCAGAAATGAAGGCTGGTCCTTTTGACCTGGACCGACGTGAGCCTAGGCGGAATAGCTTCTACTCTCGACGATTTGTGATGAATGCTGTCGGAGTGATCCTCGTTGCCGCTTTCTTATTATTTTCGTACAGCACCTTTACTGGTGGGTCTCTACGAAAGGAGTTTTGGATATGGAAAGATGAAGATTACGGGCAACAGCAGGATGTTAGTTCGAAAGGAAGTCAGTATTTACTGGGAATTGGGAAAGCAGATATCACTGGGTATGGGAATCCTTCCTTTTAACTATTATACTGCAATACTAATAGTCATTAGCCCAGTCGTGGAGATAAACATGATGGGATATGCAGACACCAAACAAGTTGGATCAGGACTACGGCAACGACTCTATTCTCGAGCTTTTATCGTAGGCGATGTTGATCGGCCAGAGGACCGATTCATCTATCTCGTTTTGGACACACAATCAGGAGATACTGCCGTTAGGTACGGGATATTAGAGGGCCTTGCAAATCTTGGTAGCGATTATGCTTTGTATGGACAACAGAATGTCGCTGTGACAGGTACACATTCCCATTCGGGCCCTGGAGCTTGGCTGAACTATCTATTGCCTCAAATTACCAGCAAAGGATTCAGTAAACAGAGCTATCGGGCTATAGTAGACGGAGCTGTTTTGTCTATCCAAAGAGCACATACTAGCCTACAACCTGGATATCTTAATGTTGGTTCGACGAAAGTCTTTGATGCCAACATCAATCGGAGTTTATATGCCTATTTAGCAAATCCAAAAGAGGAAAGAGCGAAATACAATGCTAGCACCGAGGATGATGGATCTGTCGAGAAAGACCTCACTCTGTTGAAGTTCTCGCGGGTGTCTGACGGGAAGAATATCGGGGTGTTGACCTGGTTTCCCACGCACGGGACTTCGATGCTAGGAAATAATACCCTGATTTCAGGGGATAACAAAGGTGTCGCTGCAGATCTTTTTGAAAAGAGTGTAGCTCAGGAGGAAAACGCAGCTGAAGGCTTTGTCGCAGGATTCTCACAAGCTAATGTTGGCGACACAAGCCCGAATGTCCTTGGGGCTTGGTGTGAAGATGGATCCGGACAGCAATGCAGCCTCGAAAACAGCACATGTAGTGATGGTAGAAGCCAGTACTGTCATGCCCGTGGGCCTTACTTTCGCGTAAAAAATAACGGAGCATCATCCTGCCACGAGGTTGGCAAGAGACAGTTTCAACCTGCCAAGGATTTATACGATGGGACTGGCTCAAAGTTGACTGCTGTTTCGGGGTCATCGGTGAAATCATTCCATACATTTCAAGACATGTCCAACTTCTCCTTTCCCTTGGCCAATGGAAGTTACGTTCATACATGTCCGGCTGCTTTAGGGTATTCCTTCGCCGCTGGAACCTCTGATGGACCAGGTGCATTTGATTTCACTCAAAATGATCCCAACGCACCAAATGCTTCGCCCGTGTGGCGAGTTGTCTCTGGTCTCATTAAGGCACCGAGCAAGCAGCAACAGCGTTGTCATTACCCCAAGCCTATTTTGCTTGATGTTGGTGAGATGACGACTCCCTACTTGTGGACACCCAATGTTGTCGATGTGCAGGTGCTCCGAGTCGGACAGTTACTTATAATCGTCAGTCCGGGCGAAGCAACCACAATGTCCGGTCGTCGATGGAAAGAAGCTATCCATGACTCGGCTGCATCAACCATCCTCTCAGAATCATCCTCCCCAGAACCGATAGTTGTCATCGGAGGCCCGGCAAATAGCTATACGCACTATATTGCCACACCCGAGGAATACGGCATTCAACGCTACGAAGGCGCTTCTACTCTCTACGGCCCCTACACTCTCAACGCCTTTATCAACCTCACTCTCAGCAACCTCCCCTATCTAAGCACATCCTCTACCTCTCATCCCCCGCCCGGCCCCCTCCCCCCAAATAACGTTAACACCTCCCTCTCCTTCATAACCGGCGTCGTCTACGACGGTCACCCCCTTTTCACTTCCTACGGGGATGTAAAAATCGATGTTTCTCCCTCATATCCACTGTCCTCCTCCCCAATCATAACCGCCACATTCATCGGCGCCAACCCGCGCAATAACCTGCATCTCGAATCCACATATGCAGCCATCGAGATGCAGATCTCTGGTACCAATAGATGGCAGCGGGTGCGCGATGATAGCGATTGGGGTTTAATCTTTGAGTGGAAGAAAATTAGCGAGATATTGGGGACCAGTGAGGTTCTGATTACGTGGGAAACGGAGGAGTGGGCGCAGAAGGGTAGGTTTAGGATTAGATATTTTGGAGATTCGAAGGTGGTTGGAGGGACGATTACGCCGTTTGAGGGGGTCAGTGGAGAGTTTGAACTTACGGAGTGATGTATCGATAGTGTTTTCTATGTCTATGTCATATGGGATAGATTGGGATCGAGATTGAAATGCTATCACTACAACCAATTTCAACGGACGAATTATGTTCTGATTATTCTGTATATTTTTGATTTTATTTGTTGGGTATTGTACTGTATAGACAAGCTCGCCTTCGATAAAACACCAAAGTATGCCCCAATCTCTCAATCAAGTATATGCCAATTCTTCGCCATCAAACTCCATCAAATCACCATATCTCCACATTACTATCGTAATCTCAACCATGAGTTGATCTCTTCAACTTCACTCTCTCTCTTTGGTCTACTTTCCACGCATCTTCAAATAGCGTTGGCTTCACTTTGAGATCATCAGGAGTAAGATCCAATTGTCTAATGACCTTGAACGCACCCGTGCCTACGCCCATCGTCTGTCCCATGATGATGCACTCACTGACACCCTCAATTCTATCCGTCTTCATGCCCGCAGCCGCATCGAATAAATGATCTGGTGTTTTCTCGAAGGAAGCAAGCTGCAACACACTATCTCTCATTTTCGAAAGACCGAAACGAGTGATACCTAAAACTTCCCCCTTGTACGTCATGACATCGGCAAGAAGTTGCATGTGACGAGGATCGATGTCCATATCCGCCATGACGGTTGCGATTTCGTTGGCGATTGTGTAACGAGCAGCTTCGATACCGAGGACGTCACGCATTTCCAAGACGCTGTTAGATTTGACTTTAGTGCCGTCGACACCTTCGGTTCCGATACAGGCACGAAGACCATATCCTTCAACAACAACTGTGTACTCTGGCTTCTCGTGTTCAGATGTATTGATAATAGCTCTTGTGGCTTCCGGATATCCGGATATGGCCAAGTCTGGCACAGCACGCTTGAGGTGGTGTACGCGGAGTAAAAGGTCAGAGCCGCCTTCATCAAGAGTAGGTTTGCCCTTAGCTGCGGCTCCACGAGCTGTGGTAGGAGCGCTACCATCGTGAGTAACTCTAATGAAAATGCAATCCCCTTTGACGCTGAGATCCTCACTCTTGACCTTCAGCTTTTTGTTCTTTAAAATTGTAGTGGCGATATTTTCAACAGTGACATCAATTTGCCTATTTAATAAATATTCTGTGTCTACAGCCAGACAGATTATTGCAGATCTTGCTGACCACATGTCCTCAGCAAAGTGAAGAACTTCATGCAAGTAGGTCTTCTCCATACGAGCTTTGACGAGACGGGCCACATTCAGATCCTTATCGTTTAGCAGAGGGCATTTGACGAACGGCGTAGCAATCGTCTTTGAAGCGTTGATGATTTCCTTAATCCGGGGTACACCTGCAGTCAAGTTCATACCAGCGACACCAGCAAAATGGAAGGTTTTCAAGGTCATTTGTGTTCCTGGTTCTCCGATCGATTGCGCTCCAACAGCTCCGACGGCATGACCTGGTTCGACTTTGGCTCTCGAGTACTTCTCCAGGCAAAGTTCACAGAACTTTTTCAAAGTGGTCTTGGAAACCTTGGCTACCTGGTTAACATATGCTCTTGAGCTTGGAAACTCGTTTTTCTCGTCGTAAATGATCCCCGTAACTGTGGGATCGTTTACGAAATCGTGAAGCATAGCCCTCGCACGTGCTCTAGCCATGTGTGATGCTTTTTCACCTACAAATTTGCTGACGGCTGCAAGGAATTCCCGGCCACCATCGTGCTCATCCACACCGTAGTCGCTCGCATCGTCGTAGCTTAATGGCTCTCCGTGACGAAGTCCAAATCTAGAAAATTTGGCTTTGAATTTTGCCAAGTGTTCCGTGCATTGACTAGTAACCTCGAATGGTAGGAGCGATTTCTCTTGGTTGTCCCATGTAAGAGTCGCTGCTTGGGTCCAGGTTCGCTTGAAATTGACAGGAACTGCATTTCCCTCCATGTCAAGAGGATCCAGTCCGTCAGCACCAAACTGGAATTGAACAATTCCACCACCAGAAGTTCTAACAGTATCATCGTACTGGGTTGACAAATCCTCCAGAGATTTCATGAGTCGTCGTGACATATAACCAGTTTCTGCTGTTTTGACCGCGGTATCAACCAAACCTTCACGTCCAGACATAGCGTGAAAGATGAATTCGTATGGAGTCAATCCAGTGAAGAAGCTGTTTGCGACGAAACCTTTGGCAGGAGGCTGTTTGGAATGCTTCGGGAAATGAGGAAGAGTTCTATCTTGAAAACCTTCTTGGACACGAGAACCTCCAATAATTTGTTGCCCTACCAGGGCCACCATCTGCGCAACGTTAATTGCCGAACCTTTTGACCCTGAATTAGCCATTACTAGTGGTGAACTCGAAGCGTATAAGGTTCTGAGACACTCTTTTCCAGCTGCGCCACGAACTTGACTTAGCTTGCCGGAAAGTTTAGCTTCAAGGGTCTCCTCCATGCTTAAACCCGTTGATTTCTCCAATGTGTTGTTCTTGAAACTTTCAATCAGTTCCTCACACTCTGCGTAGGCAGCGGCGATCAGACTAGCCTTATTCTTGTTGAGTTCGTCGGAAGGATAAACATCACTAATTCCAATAGAGAACCCCATGTTAGTCAAGTACCGAGCGGAAAGCTTAGACAAGCGGTTCATGGCCACAACAGCTGCATCGGGGCCATAATCACGCAATATGACGTAAAATATAGAGTCCTTCTTCCCAGATCCAACTGTGCTCTTGTCCATAAGGCCACACATTACTTCCGAATTCCGAACTACCAGCCATCCGTCATTCTCCTCCATGTCATTCGCATACCCCTGTGGCACCATATTTGGTACAAAATCTCGACATTTTGCGTCAACATTGACAAGTATATTATCTTGATTATTTGGGCGCATGAGGATGCTAAAAACTTGCTTGCCAGTCCAAAGCGCTTGAGGTTTTAGAATAGTCGGTGGAGGAAGGTCCAGATGAAGATCTGAGTTGACCATGTACATGCAGATATTCGTGAATGTCTTACGATCGAAAAAGTTTTCTTTACTGGAAAGTAAATAGGCTGCAGTGATGAAGTCCTGGGTAGCACAAATAATAGGTTCTCCGTTCTTAGGAGTCGAAAGATTGTTTTTCACTCCCATCAGATTGATCGCCTCGGTTCGAGCCTCCTCTGTTTGCGGTACGTGAAGATTCATTTCATCACCGTCGAAATCTGCGTTATACGGATTGCAGACGCATTCATTCAGACGGAATGTTCTCCATGGTCGAATTTTTGCAAAATGACTCATGATACTAAGCTTATGCAGAGATGGCTGACGGTTGAAAAGAACAATATCGCCATCCTCAAGATGTCTTTCAACAACGTCTCCTATCTTGAGAAATTTTGCCTCATTATCCCGTTTAGCAAATTTCAAAGATATCTTATGGTTGGAATCTTTCTTGATGATTTGTTGTGCACCAGGATGGACGTTTGGACCATTTATGACGCACTTGCGCAACTTTTCGATATTCTGACGTTGGACTCGTTCGGGATATGTGAGATTCTTTGCCACCAACATAGGAACGGCAACTTCGTCAATCCCAAGATTCGGATCCGGAGAAATGACAGTTCGTCCCGAGAAATCAACACGCTTTCCAGACAAATTGCCTCGGAAACGACCTTGCTTTCCTTTTAACCGTTGACAAAATCCTCGAATGGCCTTTCCGAATCCAGGTTGCTGAAGGCCTGGAACATCGCTGTTAACATACATGGCGATTTGTAGTTGAAGAAAATCCCATTGCTCCATGATTGTCTGTACCGCTTGCCCTTTCTGTAATGCCGCTCTCATCAGAGAGCTTATGTTAACAATTTCGGCAAGTTTGGCGGTGAGATCATCCTCATTACTCGCTCCATCTTGCGCAACAGAGGGTCGAATGCAGATTGGGGGGGCTGGGACAAACTGCCATAAAAACATTTCAGGGCGACCTTCAGCCGGGTTGATCCCAAGAAGTTCGCAATCGCTCGGCGTGATCAACTTGAACAAGTTCAGCACTCTCAATGGGTGTAGATCCTCATAAACCTTCTTTACGTGTTTCTCTAACTCTGTGTTGTTCTTCTTAGCTTCTTCAAACGATCTTTGGTATTCGACCATTCCCGGTGGGACTGCTTTCTTCGCTGCAGTGGACTTATTGTACTTTGTATATTTGTCGTGTGCCAAGCGAACGACGCTGACTTTCCTGATTTGTCCATTGGTAGCATCGCAGTAAGGACACTGACTCGCCTTCCGGCATTGCTCGTTAATCTTCTTACAGATTTGCGTGCGCTTCAAATTATCAATACCTGGCTTTCGTAACTCCTTCAAGAATTGTCGTCGCTCGGCATCGGTGAGTAGAACTCTAGCGCATGTCTATGAACATTAGCACTTAACTAATCACAAGGAGATGGGGCTTTCGACATACCTTGCAAACGTTTTGTAGAATCATTATAACCAATTTCAAGTACCCAATATGGAAAGCTGGAAGCGGTAATCTAACATGACCAAAATGACCATTGCAATCTTGCAGACCTTTATCACAAGTTTCGCAGCGTCCAGATTTGCTGGAAGTACCCTATGGCAACGTTTTAGTACAAATCATCTGTAGATCGAGGCAAGTCTCTCTCACCAATCTTGGATCAAGAGGACCATGTGGAACAGCAGTTCGACCATTCTCAACATTATACAGCATACGATTCGAAACTTCTATAACACCCTGGTTGACAATATCTTGATTTGACTGAATACCAAATTTTAGTTCCTTGAATCGTTTTGGAATCTTGTCGACGACTTGCGCCTTAATCGACTCGCCGCTGGACATTATAGGCATATTGATTGTGTGCTACCGGCAACGATGCATATATGAATGAAGCTGTTTGTGGCTATATTTTGAATTGTATTTGAGCTTTCTTTTTTATCGCATTGATGTTATGATATGGTCGTCAGGATTGAGATCAGCGATTCGGGTTGTAGAAGTTTAGTAGGCGAGAGTTACTCGAGTATTAAATTGTGAGATTTGGATTTGATCCGCAAAGATTTTGGTGTGGTTGGTTGCGAAAAAAGAAACAATTGTTGGAACTGAACCCCGCCCCGCAAGCTTCGATAGACTAGAACTTAGGGCTGTAAATCTTATCTTTTGCGATAAGAAGGAGATATCAGGGAATACATTTTCGTCGCGGCTCAGATATAAATATACCTAAGTATTGCCCAGATATATCCTCATATCATGTTCTAGTTCATTCATACAGTATTCCAATATGGGAGACTTGGATCGAACTGTATTTAATAAGTTGTAATGCAATCCGACAATGAGAAGATTTCAAAACTTTGCATCACTTTCATTCATTCATTCATTCAATCATATACCAGTACTGACTTTACCTACTACAACTACTCGTACATGGAATCTCTTTTGATATTATACTCGAGTACTAGTATCTTGAAATACCACAAAGTCGGTTAATGAAAAATGCAGTTGAGGAGTTGATATAACCGTATCATTAAAGTATTTATGCTTGAAAGTAGTCCTATACTCCATTCCGAACTTGATATTTCAACCCAATCCTTTCCTTAAGAACTTAAGAAGTCATATGCTTCCCATCCTCCCCGCCACGTAATGCAAGAAAAGCCCGTACATCTGTCACATACTGCAGTCCTTCTAAAAGGGGTACGAGATGCAGGAGATCATTATCCGTAGGGTCATTGATCCACCCTTCTATGGGTATTGCGTTGTCTACCGTATTGTTAGCTCCATTCAGTACCTCATAAATGACATGTATTCACCTTGATGGAACAGATAACTCGTTGGACTATTATCTAATATCATGACTTTGCTTAGATCAGGCTCAACAGAGCTAAGGTCCTTGATGTAGGCGCCGTTTCGAAAGGTACAGTGCTGACGATAGTATCGTGCTGAAAAGAATTTACGCTCCTGTTCTAGCCAATCTATAACCGGGTCTGCGTAATCTTGAAGTGATGCAGTGAAAACAACCAAATTATACCACTTGCAAACCTGTGACCTTGTTAGTAACTTTCCTCCCAAAACATACATCACTGCTTACACGTCGCAAGAACTCATCGCAATATGGCCTCTTATTTACATAATACAATATTGGATGCTGGGGACCAACACCTCCTGGGCCCATGAAGTTTGTGATTTGTACTTCAACCATATGACCAGTACTCATTCGACCTCCATGCACCATACTGTGTATCAAAGTTTCGTCGAGGTCAAGGACGAGAGTCTTTTGTGTGAGCTTCCCCATAGGAGCATCAATAGCGTAGGATGGTTGCCGTCGAGGTATGAGAGGTCGCGGTGGCGCTGGAGCTCGTGGATACTTTGTCATGAGGAGAGAGGAAGTGGCGGGGGATGTCGGCGACTTCATAATCGCAGCAGTCATCTCGGTAGCAGACATGGAACCGCCGGATCCATCACTTTGAGTAGTGGTTGACTGAGCCTTCCGGTGCTTCCGCTGCCTTAGATTTTCATCGCTGTGAAGTTTGATGCGAATAGACCTTCTCGCAGGCGAGATCTCGTCAGAACTTTGTAAGGATTTTGAACGCGTTTGACGATGTGGCAGTTTCGTTGCAGAGTTATCTGTCTCACTAAGAAACCGGTCATTATCTGAATCAGACTCAGATGAGATGAAGGACGAGAAATTCGGCGAAGTAGGACCTCTCGATGAGGATATTTGTGCAGCTGACAGCTTTCCATTGGCCAAACCGCTGATACTACTGCTCTCGGAAATAGGCGATCCTCTAGTTGTCTGGGCTATTGACTCTCCAGTTGTGCCACCCAACAGTTTTCTGAACTGAGAGATTGGGGCGAAATTGCCCCTTTCATCGTACAAGCAAGCTATAGCGTATACACCCGGCGCAACAAAAGTAAATAGCACCCACCGTATAGAATCATAGAACCTCCTCGCTATTCCCACATGCTCATTTGTATGATAGAGTGTGTTTTCTTTGTCCAGCAGAGGTGTGCGTTCGTGTATTGAATTGTCATCGTCAGGGTTCGAGTCTGGCGCATCCTCCTGATCAAGCCCTTCCGGCTTCTCGCTGTATAACTCTTCTCGCGAATTCTTTCTTGATTCTGATATAGTTGTGGATGCCAATACATTTCCCAAGGAATTCGAACGTGAAAGTGATGGAGAATGCGGAGGAGACCCTCGCCCCGAGAGGATATTCAGAGAATTCATAATATTTCCCGATCCATGAAGGAAGCCTTCTATCAATTGATCATAAACGATGGAGATGAGCGAGATTCCAAGTAAAAGAGCTGGGAGCGCAAAGCTCCAAAAGTTTATGATATCGGAGACTCGGTGCGGAAAGTAGGTTTTGCTTGTTTAAAAGCCGAATGATGTTTTTCGCGCAAGTTATCGTCGAATTCGAATGTTCGCAAGGGATGAGGGGCTGTGTTGTGTTGTGGAATTAACTCGTAGTACTGTATAGTGTAGAAACAGAGTATGGGAGGCTCCGTACGGGTATGTCACAACTACAAAGCAAAAGCCGCTTGTCTGGTCTGGTCTGGTCTGGTCTGGTCTGGTGAAATGGAACCTTGGATAAAATAAATAAATAATAAAATAAAATAAAATAAAATAAAATAAAATGAAATAAAATAAAATAAAATAAGTTAAAGGTTTGGAGAAGACCGATGCTTTAGAAACGGATAATTATTGACCTTGGCTTGGCTTGGAGGAAAGAATATACTGTATTAATGAAAAGAGTGTCAGTCAGAATTATCATATGAAAGCGTGTTATTAATTATCTATCGTCGTGCTACAGTACAGTAACTCGGGCATATACTCGAGTAACATATAACCAACCTGTACATGTGATTGATATTATAGTGGGGATTTAAGGGGGAATATTCTGAGGTATAGACCCGTATTGTCTCGCCCAGACAAGTACTACTAGGTAGGTACCTAAGTAGATTGTTTCTCGAATATGAAATAGCTACCGGTGAGGGAGGGAAGTGTCTGACCGCCTTTTAAAAAATGGCAAAATGAAAGCGGTCAGACAATATATAACCCAAAATGATGATCCTATAGAATTCGGCTCAAATGTAACTACGGAGGAATTATACTAATACACCTCTTTTCCTCCACAAACCACTTGAATTATTCTCCTTTCAGCTTTTCTAAGCAATTCATCTAACCCCCCTCCTCCCAAGATTTTCAATAAAAAACAAAAACATGCCTCCAGTTCATAGTGGATATGCGCCTGATCTTGGTACATATCTGAAATCGTTGAAAGGTCAACCAGTTGAGTCATCCATAGAAAATTTGATATCGTAATGTTCCCCTCCATGGCACAACATTTACCATAGTCAATGGACTAACGCATTGTAGACTTTTGAAACGAAGACAGATTCAAAACTCGAGATCATGCGCCATAGCTACAGCTCATTTGTTACTTCAAGTTGTCGCAAAGCAAAGATGGGCGGATATCACAAAAGTCCTGGACCGAATTCGAAAAGTGGGACAAAGGCTAATTGAAGCTCAACCAAGGGAAATGGTCGTAGGCAACATTGTTCGCAGAGTGTTGGGTATGATCAGGGACGAAGCAAAAGAGGACCGTACTGAGGATATCAGTGATTCGGCGTCAAACAGTCAGATGGGTTCACCCAGGCGTGAGGGTTTCAGCGATGTGGGATCGATTGGAGATGATGCCTTTGGAGGACGAACACAAGGCTCACGGCCTCCTTTGGGAACATCGCATATGTCTTATGCTGTTCAGCATGGCGTTCCTGTGCAGCAGTCGATGTTCAACCTCCTCTCAGCTGCCCCATCACCAGCCTCGACACCCTCGGGAACCGTATCTCCTCACAGCAGATCTGGGTTGAACATAAGTTCGCTTGCGACTAGAATGGCCTTAACCACGAGAGATCTCAAAGCTGAAATTATCATTGGCATCGAGGAGATTATCGATGAGCTCGATCAAGCAGATGATCAAATTGCTAGTTATGCGCAGGATCTCATTCACGAAAACGAAGTTATACTCACCCATGGTCCTTCGAGAAGTGTGCAGAAGTTTTTGCTGAAAGCTGCAGAGAAGAGAAAGTTCACTGTATTCGTTGCCGAATCGTACCCAAATGCTCACTCAACAACTCATTCTACAGTTGTTGGAAAGACTGCGCAGGATACCGATGGGGACCTTGACACAGAAACCTTTTTGAAACCACTCTCGGCTGCTGGAATTACTGTTGATCTTATTCCGGATGCCGCGATATTCGCGATAATGTCGAGAGTTAATAAGGTCATTTTGGCTACCCATGCCGTCATCGCCAATGGAGGGTTGGTAGCTGCTGCCGGGGCACGCATCATCGCGAAAGCTGCGAAGGTTCACAAAGTACCCGTCATTGTTGTTAGTGGCGTCTACAAGCTCAGTCCCGAATATCCTTTTGAATTTGAATCCCTCATCGAATATGGCGATCCTGGAAATGTGGTTGGATTTGAGGATGGGGAATTTGTAGATAAGGTTGAAGTCGACAATCCTCTTTTCGACTATGTACCCCCTGATCTAGTTGATCTCTACATTACAAATCTGTAAGTTATAAACTTTCATTCGACGAATAATACTAATAGATCCAACAGAGGTACCCATGCGCCTTCGTATTTGTACAGAATTGTCGCAGAGCACTATAAGTCGGAAGATATAAATTTCCACAAGCCAGAGCTTCAATTTTGAACGTAATGTTATAATTATCTTTTTAACAATCTGAAATTTATTGGATGAAACTGAATAGTGATATAATATCAAAATATATTGATTCGCGAATCATCGTGATCACATTCTGCTAAATTCCCTTGAAACTTTGGCCGGCTACCTTCATCGAGAGCTTCTAATGATGTTCAGCTCAAATTTGGCACTGAAGCTGTCAGCAACGCTCACAACGATATATAGAAGAGATCCATCATCAGTCAGTACATTCATCATCATCTCCATGTTCACCCCCACAAGTCCCACTAACCTGCCCCCGTCCATGCCAATATACAAGCCCAAGCCCAAACCAGACCGACCACCGACTCCCATCCACCTTACTCTCATCCTCCTGCGTCTCCCTCGCAAACTCCTCGTCCATCTGTACTGCCTCCGCCATCATTCTCTCTCCCCCCTCGACAATTCCGCCGCTTCTTCTTCTAATCTCTCTATTTCTTTTCTTGTCTCTTCTTTCCCTTGTTCTTTCATATTTGCTCTTGTTTTCTCTTCCCCATTTACATGCTTATTCGTATACCTACCCTCATTCTCGTCATCTAATATGACTCTGAAGTTGGTTGCTTCAGCTTCTTTGGCGCTTGCATTCGCTAGGAGAGATGCGGCTTGGAGGTGGGTTCTTGATGCGTTTTGAGAGAATGAGAGGGTAGGAGAATCATGTATGAAGGGGATCGGGATCTGGGTTTGTGCTTAATTGGGGGTTTGGAGGTAAGCGGGGGGAGGTGCAAAAGTTCAGCTACCGTAGATAGCCGTCATACCAAGATGTTAAGTAGAATGTTGTGTGTAGATTGATGCAGTCGGTACTGTGGATGTGGAAGTTAAAGATTCTCCAACCTTGCTATTCCAGGTACATCTGGATTACTCGCCATAGGTGTATAAGCCGGAAAGCCCCCCGCGAAATCTCTCTTCTATTTATTCTTGTCACTTTCTGGGGTTTTTTGGTTCCGTTTTCCTCGTCTCATCACGTTCTTTCATATGCACTTTCCTGAGTGCTCGGTGTTGATCTTTCCACAATTTCCCTCACGGTTGTTTTATTATTCCTTCTCGTTTTTGAACCTCTTGTGGAGCTCTTTGACTTCTTTTTCGCAAGGACTCGAGTTCTTGACCAGAGGCTGGCTTAACGAAATTGCGATTCTTTATGGCAGATTTTAAATTTTGTTACATTTTCCGTATTGTTGGTTTTGTCACTTGGTATTCGGGGTGATTGAGCCATGCTATCAACGTATCTTTATTAGCTAGCAGTCGCTGGTTTTCGAGATGATCATATTCGGTTAGAGAGCCCACGGATGCGTCTGAATCGGAGCTTGAGAGACTGAACGAGGAAGATGAAGAGGTGAGGGAGGAAAAATGATCTCTTCCACTTCCTCTTCTTCTTCTATGTCGACCACGATGTGGATGCGAACGTCCATGATGTCGGTTCCCTCGTTCGTGTCTCCGTCTCCGTCCTCGATAATGATCTTTCATATGCGTATGTAGACGACCTTTCCCTCCGAGTTTACGATCACCAATACTAATACCGTGTTTATGGGCCACGAAACTTCGCTTACCGCCCACCCGTAGTTCTCTATTATCTGCTATGAACATGTTACAAATACAGAAACCGTTTGCGTCGGCAACGAGTTCACTTCTTCCAATTTGATTCCCTCGTCGTTGGGAAACACAGAGCCGATAAAGCCCTGACATCATTCCTCGATTATGACGACCAAGCATGCGCTCGAGAGAATGTGACAGCTCATCGTTATCCTCTATCTAAGAACCTGGCATGGAATTTCTTTCCCGAAGCTCAGGATGTTCCATCTTAATCCTTACAATCTTTGATCCCCGAGGAACGAAGAATCCCTTATTCCAAATCTCGATCACTCTATCCACGCGCTCTGTCCAGTCTATATTAGGCGAGAGGACGGGTTGACGGAGGAAACTAAGTTGCGCTTCAAGTTGCTTGATGTCAAGTCTGGAACGATCATGTTGATTTAGTGTAAGCTTGTGCATACACTCGTCGATTAACTCAGCCTTGAGCTGCGATCAGCTATGTCGTTCTTGACTCGAAGGGTATGATCTAGTGATCGGTAAGAGCCACTTTAGTAAGACGAGAGAATGATTATTGGTACAGTACCAAGAGAATGGGAGCAATTGGACTCACTCATAGCTAAGATAATCGTCGGCTGAATTCTGATGATTGCACCACTAGTACTAACACGAGAGCGATATGATTGAATTCCAAACATCTTGATGCTGCTTTTGATCACTTTTATTTTCACTTAATCTCCTTAACATTTAACTATTGTATGAATAGGTATCTTTTCCCTCAATCTCGTCTCATAATGCATGCAGTTACTTTCCGGGAACCTCCAAAAGAACACCTCCATCAACCGCAATAATCTCTCCATTAACGTAATTGTTTTTCGACAAGAATAACACCGCCATCGCCATCTCCTCGTCACTAGACAGACGTTGTTAGCTTAGTTTTCTCCCAAATATCAGAATGAGAGGAAAGCATACCTTCCCGCCCTTTGCATTGGTACATGACCCTTTTCCTGTATCTTCTCATCCTCCAAATGACTTTTTTGATTCCCATCACTCTCCCCAACTGTCATCTCACTCGGGAAATATCCCGGCGCAATACTATTAACTCTAACCCCAATTGTCTTAAACTCATAGCTCATCAACTTACTCAAATGCACCGTAGCACCCTTGGCCGCATTATATGAGAAATGACCTTGAGCATGTCTCATAATGCCACTCATGGAACTAATGACTATTACCGAAGACGACATACTTCCATGAACTTTATGCGCGGCTTGCAAGAGTGGAAGAAAGCATACGGTGGTGAAATACACAGCCGATACGTTAGTATTAAAGGTAGTCCCCCATTCCTCGAAACTTTCAGAGTTGAATAGCTTCTCTTTTAGTTCGACGGCATTCGAAGAATTTGGTTCCACTTTGGGACCAGAGATACCTGCGCCGGCGAGGAGGAGACTGATGTAGTTTTCTTTTTTGCTAATCTCGGCAACGAGATTTTCAAGATCTTTCTTGCTGGTTACGTCACAGGGGCCGATTCTATCGTTATGTTAGACTTTCATAGACAATCATAAAGATGGTAAGAAACTCACGGGATAATAGATCCTCCAGACGTGGGTGAATGTTGTTTAGCTGCGTTTTCGAGGGCTTCCATTCGGCGGCCTGTGATGTATACTTTTGCGCCATTAGCAGCCAATGTTTGTGCTGCCCTTTCAAAAGTTATTAGTGTTGATATTTCTACAAATTAGGAAGGACTTAAAAAGGGTAGGGAAAGGAAAAATACATGAGTCCTATACCAGTCCCACCACCCGTGATCACACAAACATGGTTCTTCATGGAGAAGAGGTTCTCCGCCCGGAGTTCATTCGTATCAACCATTTTGTATGGGATTAGAAGTGAAGAGAAGATAAGATGTATTTATTTTTGGCGTGAAAATGAGCAGATGAGACAATGAGCAGATGAGAAAACATTAGCAATATATAAATGATATATTAAATGATATATAAATGATATACGCTATGGAGTATTTGCTCCTTGATTTGATGTTGTTTGTTTATTTGTCCCTACGTCACTACCACTGCGCTTTGGAATTGGTTTGATTATTGATATATGCAAGGAGCTGTGAGTCGACATCAATGAAATTGGTGCGTGGAGTTTTGAATGAAATGAAATACTTGCTTCTTGTAAAGTTCAAGAGAATTTCCCTAGATAAGATATAAATTCATAATCATAGGAATTAAATATTTGAATGAGACTGAATGTATATTCATAGGCCGTGGTATAAATAGGACGGTTAGATGCATCCGGCATTGCTTCTCTTCTCCTTCTACTCTCCGTTTGTTGTACATATTATAAGTTTGCGAAGTCAACCAAAACATTATTCTTCTTCAACACCTTGGCCAATTCTCCATTCTGATGCATTGCAATCAAGATATCACATCCACCTACAAATTCCTTGTTGACATAGAGCTGAGGTATGGTTGGCCATTCCGAGTATTCTTTGATTCCTTTTGTCATACAGGTTAGCTTTTGTATACAACATATCAAGAGTGGACTCTCTCTCTCGGACTAACCTTGTCGTAAACCTTCATCCTCTAGCACATTAAGAGCAGCGAATTTATCTGGATCCAAACCCTGTAGACTCAAGATCTGAATGGTTGCCTTTGAGAAGCCACACATTGGTTGCTCTGGTGTACCTTTCATGAAAAGTACACAAGGCTTTGAACCAACGACTTGATCAATTTGCTTGCGAACTTCTGTCGAGATATTTCGGGAGGGGAGAGGAAAGAATCGAGGGACGGAGAATTTAGAGGCAAATGTTGCTGGGCGGGCAGCTTGTCGGAACACCTGAATATCTTTGTCAGTACTTTGGGTACTCTGAATGGAAATAGGCCTTGAATCAGCTGGAGGAATTAAACATACCGACGATAACATTGGTCTAGCAATCATATTGAGATATAAATGTCTTAATGTACAGGAACAGGAGTTGTTGGAATTTGATACTATTTAGTGTAGTTACCTTTTGCTTGATATCGATAATGTTTATGATGCTCGGAAAAGTAAACTAAATTTCAAGCCAATCAAAGTGATGATATGTAATGCTTAGTTAGGTATGCAATGGCTATATTAATAAGTACGGGTACCAGCCAGTTATCGATAGCTGCATTCAGCCTTGTAGTCTAACCCATATCATATCTAAACACATCCAAGAACAATAAAATTATCATGAGTGAATAAAATAGAGTATTTAATTGTGTACAGTACTCAATTGTTCTGCCGCCAAATTAATGACAAACGGTATTCAACCTGTTCTTTATCTAACGATTAATCTACCCATTCACGATGTTGCAGATGATACATTCCGAAGATGATGTGCACCGAACCCGAGTTTCGGGAACCTCGCACCCATTCACCGCCACGGCTCATGCTTCCGATGGCAAACTACATCTCCTCCTAGCCGCCAGCGGATCCGTTGCAACCATCAAGATCCCCAATATCCTATCCGCTCTGTCACATCATTCAAATCTCTCCATCTGTGTAATTCTCACCAGATCCGCTACCAATTTCCTACAGGGTCAAAGTACTGAACAACCCCATATCGATACTTTAAATCGATATGCCAATGTACAAGGAGTATTTCTGGACGAAGAAGAATGGGTTCATCCCTGGAAACGTGGCCAAAGTATTCTGCATATTGAGTTGAGGAGATGGGCACACATGCTTGTTGTTGCACCATTGAGCGCCAACACTCTAGCGAAGATTACTGGTGGTTTTAGTGATAATTTGCTTACCAGTGTGGTGAGAGCTTGGGATACTACTGGGGAGTTAGAAGTTCCTGCTCAGAATGGCACGGATACGGAGAAGTTGTTCAAAGGGAAGAAGAGGATTATTGTGGCTCCGGCGATGAATACTGCTATGTGGAGACATCCTATTACGAAAAGTCAAATCAAGATATTGGAGCAGGAATGGGGTATTGTCCCTGATGGAGAGGAATTAGGTATTGGTACCGATGGAGAGGAGGGCCCAAGATGGTTCGAAGTTCTGCGACCTCAGGAAAAAGAGTTGGCTTGTGGGGATATAGGAGATGGGGCTATGAGAGACTGGAAGGAGATTGTGAGGGTAATTGAGAATAGATTCAACCTGGAGCAATAATCAAGTGGGACTGAGAGGTGAGAATGCTGGCGATATTTCTTTATGTATCAACTGGTTTCTGTTTGAATACCAGACATTTTGAACACCTTTTTGGTATTTTTAAAAGGTCTCACTATAAAATTGGCGTTGGAAACGGAAAATAGTTTGGTTTAAATAATTTACTCTACAATTCATTCATCTCCTTCATCTTTCATCCTTCATCCTTCATCCTCCATCCTATCCTCTCTAACCAACTTCCCTCCTGCAAAAGAACTCTGCATCCAAATTTCGCAGGCAAAGGTTACTGTTTCATTGTGCGTGGTTCAAGCTTAGCCATGAATTTCTAGTCCAGCATTATCTGGTTGCGGATGTTATCGAGGTCGTTCCTTCCTCCTTCAGACTTGGGGAGATTTTTAAGCGATTTTCACTTTCAAGTCAACGTTGTTAAACATTTGCAGCTCACTTGGTTATCCACGAGTACTTTATACTTCTCTCCTAGTAAAGATAGTGATGGCACGTCAAGCAGAACATCAAAAAGGCCATCTTACCGCTCATCGCAGATCTGGTGATCAAAAAGAAGCGCATGCGGCAAAATCGAAAACTTCAAGAATTAAAACATACAAGGTATCCAAGGTTTTATCACCACCAAAGAACCTCCGAGAACGAACGAAGAAAAGTGTTATTGTCAAACCAATTGCTAAGAATGATGTTTGGAAACTCCAACATGTTGACAAACATGCACGTTCATCTCAGATTTCAAAGCATGTTCATGTAGTCGAGCCATCTTCTGAACCTGATAATCTTACCGTGGCCTTTCATGGTAAGAATTGCATAGATATCGACATGTACTTGATAGCTCAACACTGATTTAAACAATAGAATCTCTCGAAGAAGCAAGAACCCACATTCTAAACACTGGAAAAGCAGCTTTTGACGAAGTTCACGCGGTTCTCATCCAGAAACTTGCCGATAAGAAGGCAAAGGACCGTTCGTTCCTCGAAAACAATTTCAACAATGCAACAGCCCTCGGCGCGCCATTAGCCGGCGAGAAAATCCAGACTACGGTACAACATAAGAACCGACGAGTTTCCGAAATCGTCGAGATTGGCAAGCAGGTTGATCATTTCAACCAGACCATCGAAGATGAAGAAAAGAAGCTAGAGGAATATTGGAAACAGTATGAGAGCTTGCAAAGTGAGTTTGTCAAACTTGCTGCTCAGGTTTTCGGTGGCGAGGCTGTAGGAGAATGCGACGAGGATGAGGGTTATCGTAATGATATAAAATTGTTAGATACCCAATATGCAACTCAGATAAATACATTGTTGGAAGGAGTTAATGAAGTAGGAGATGAGGCTATAAAGAAGATGAAAGCTTCGGAAAAGGTACGCTCTACATCTCCTCACCTCCCTTCGCATGTAGGATACTGATGAATTATTCTCCAGGAAATTGATGGCAAAACGGACAAAGTACGACAAAAGTTCATGACGGCAATGTTTTGGTAAATGGATCTTTAGGCCTGTTGGGTGTTGAGCTTGTAGTATGTCGCTTAAGATTTGTTGCGAAATGTGCCTACTAGCCATATTTTTGAATCTGCTCATATCTCCGAGGGCATGGAGTCGCTATAATGTTATGTTCGAAGATGTTTTATTTGCTGGGGACTGCCAAGTACATATACTCACTTACACACTGAGGCTCTAATTTAACTTTTAACCAACTGTTGCACAATTCAGACGCCATCTAACCTTGTACTAACCCTACATATATGGAGTTTGTCAACAGTTCAGACCGCTTCACAATGAGTATGGTGAGACATGACGAGGTGACACACATTGTTTTCAAAAAAGCATTGCTATGATATTCGGTGTCTACAAAATACAGGAATGCCACCAACGCTGATGAGACTCTATGCAAGCAGAGATCTATGTTGCTGAACCAAAAAAGAGCAAACCGTCCACGCCATAAAACGACTTATGTTCCTTACCACCCCATGCGCAAACGCAAAACAAACATGGTCTGGCTTATTGGAGAACAAACTCCACTATCTATACAAGCAATTCCTAGCCAGACATACCAGAGTAACAAACCATCAAATCCAGTCAATAGATTTATGATTCATGCACCAACTTCATCGATGACAACACCCCATTCGTGCTCCACGTTTCCGTACATGATGTCGACCAACCATTGCTTGATTATGGCGGCATACTCTCCGCTGTCACCCTTGGACATGGGGATATAAATATCCTTTTCTCTGTAGTTGATCTGGGAGACAGGTACTACGAAGTACGCAGTTCCGCAAGCGAAAGCTTCGATTACGCGACCCTCTTTGGCGGTCTCGGCAAGCTCGTCCATGGTAAATGTGCGCTCGACGATTTCGAGTTCGGGCATGCGTTCTCGGACGAGTCTGTGGTTGTTGGGTTAGTATTACTCCTGCAAAAACAACCGAAGTAGATGGGATAACTTACTGCAAAACACTTCTTCTGGTGACACCATCCAAGATGATCTTATCCTTCAAAGGAGCAGTAATCAACTGTTTTTTGCCCTCCTTAGTTTCCCATACAACCATGAAGTTGCTAGCACCAGCCTCGGTGACCAATCCATCGAGCAACCACAAAACTTGATCATAACCACGGGCACGAGCTTCCGAGTTTGCCATCAAGGTAGGTCCGTAATTGGCACCCACCTTTGCGAAGCCGAATCCACCGGGCCAGGCACGGACACCTTCTTGACTGGCAAGAAGCTTCATACCCTTGGGCGAATCCATGGCAGGCATGAAGGTGGAAATGACAAACATTGTACATTCCTTGGGGGCAGCAACGCCAACTACATATCGGTATTAGTGATTGGTCTATTGGATACCACAAATTCATATTTGAATGGGGTGTTATTGTATCGATGCCAATATTTCAGCAAGGGGCGTTACTCACGTGCTCCGGCGCTACCAATCATGGTAGGTCGCAAGTAGAGGAAAGAACCACGTTCTGGGAGCCATTTGGGTCCATCCACAGAAACCAAAGCAATGATAAGCTTCTCCAACTCCTTGGGATCGAATCCTGGCAAGGAGATACGGGTAGCGGAAGTAAGCATACGCTGACAGTTGCAATCTGGGCGGAACAATCTGAGCTTTCCATCGAATCCACGGTACATTTTCATGCCCTCGAAACATTCAGTTGCGTAACTAAAGCAGGTCAGTATCTTATAAATAAATGAATAAATGAAAATTATGAGAAGGTCTTGGCCGTTTCGTGTTCTTTCCACATCATCTCGAAATCAAGGAATTGGTGGCTGTGACTCAACGCCTCCCCACCAGAAAATCGAAATCAAGAAACTTACTGTAAAACAGAAGCTGTAGGAGCAAGAGAAAGATTTCCATATGGCTTCAATTCTGGTACACCCCATCCAGTCATATTATTCCAAACGGCTGTGATCATATGGTCGGTACATTTGGAGCCGGTATTAATGATTGGATCTCCTGCTGAAGGAACAGTCATCGGTGTAACAGTTTTGGTGACCTTGAGTAAAGATGCATCTAGATGAGGAAGGGTACCAAATTCAGTAGTTGCAATCTTCTTGGTAACAGCAGCAGCTAAGAGTTCATCGGATTGTTGTACATCCTTAGGAGGTGTTTGTGAAATTGCTGATGGAGCCATTGCTGTTTATCTTGGTGGCCAAAATAACCAATTGATACCACCTTTTAGAAGAAGTAAAGAGTGTAAAGAAGTGTAGAGAGTGATATGGTATCAGAAATTTTAAGAAATCAAATTAGATTTGTTGTCAAAGTTTGAGAGTGATAAGAGATGGGAAGTGGACAAAGGAAAAGGAAAGAATTTATAGTAGGGTAGAAATCTAAACTAGCAAAACCAAACAATCTCAATGAAGAAACCATCCAAAAAAACTCAAACTCCTCCTTATGTTATGGAACTAGCCAAACTTCACCAAATACCAGTATTTAAGAACGAATCAACCAAATCAACCAGATAAACCTTATTTTAATGCTCCGTCAGCCTCCCGTTTGGGTTGTTTGGGTCCGGTTTGTTTGACAGTTCCCCGATCAAATCATGGTTATTTATGTGTAGTATAAATTACCGGCATGAATGGGGGGATATCGTATTCGAGGTAGCTGTCTAGAATTTACTCAGTGGCTCACTGCAATGCATGGGAATTCAACTATGGAAGTAACAGCACGGAGTACTACCATTAACTTATTATTATCAACTTATATTGAAGCATGAAAAGGTTTATGACTTCCATCGAATAGGTAGATCCATGCAAAAGAAAGATATGATACTGTTGATCAACGAGAAACTTATAAAGTCTATTTTGGCGAGCGAGGACATGGTACATGTAATAACACGGCTTACTTTGCTGAGATCATAATCCGGATCGGAGCCGAATTTGCATTTAGTTGTTGGTGATGAGAAGAGCACGGAAGGGTTGTTTGAACTTTGATGATGGATGTAGCTACTTTGAATAATAATAACTTTGAACAAAGTGAGAAGTGAGTGAGTGAGTGAGTGAGTTGTAATTATACAAGTAGAGTTTGTGTAACATGTAACATATTCTTTGCGGCTACTCGCGGTATAGGCAGGAGGCGGAATTCATATCAATTGTCAATCTCCACCTCCACAAAGACTCGTACTACAAAAGTCACAAGCACAACTCATAACTTAATACTCTCTTAGCGGTGGAAATCCAGCCATGGACCGCTCTTTGTCAATTACTTTATACTTTAACATTTATCTAGTATGTATCTTTTTTCTATGTCATGAAAAATTAGGTGGTATCTATGTACTTTTTGCCCCTCCTTACCCCCCTGTGAACTTTCCTCGAGCTTTTGGCCCAAGTCCTATGTTGGATTCTTCAACAAAAGTGCTAAGCAAGATTTTCTTTCAATCGCTGTTCCTCTTCCATGCGTTCGCGTGTTCTTTGGGCATCCTCGCCAATACCCTTTACCCCTTTTAAGCGTTGTCTTTCTTCATACATGTCTCGACTTTTCAAAATCCGTTGAACAATTTGACCAGCATTGACAAATGCAAACTCATGTGTACCAATTTCACGATAGATGCCCATCTCCTTCGAAGCGACGTATGGATCATAAGTCAATGGCATGAAACTTGTTGGCCCATGATAGACTGCATCAGGTACTCCCCATGGAGTTGTCGTGAGATATGCCTTGGTGGGAGTAAAGGGGGCACCAAAAATGACGGCGTTGACATACTATATAAAGTTAGGGTTGACATGTGGCAGAGGTGCGGGACGTTGAATACCTTGCATTGTAACACGCAAAGACCTCGTTCGTAGATATTCATAATGGGATAATTGACTCCTTTCCAATGATTGATAACTTCATCATCATGAACACCAGCCACCACGAAACATGGCGCATAATCCGCCCCTTTACCAACGCGTTCCGCTACAGCTTCTTTGCTATACCAGCCTTCTTCCCCAGCGAGCTTTTCTTCTGCCTCGATGACCTGGCGAAGGAATTCAATGTGACCCGAGGAAAAGAGATCAAATCCACCATCGACGTACACAACTCGCTGGCCTGGCTTCGGCGTTGATCCTTGCATTAAAGAACTGAATACTCCTTTCTCATTCTCGGTCTCATCCTCTCGAGCCGCAATCGAGGCCTTCCAGAACCAAACACTCGAGCCTGGGTTGAATCCAGTTTCGTCAGTAGCATACATTCGCATCCTTTCGGTCATAGCTTTGCCATCAGCTTTCCTCTCTTCGGTAGTTCCAGAGCCATCTTCCCCAGCCAAGAGCTTGGGTAGCGATTTGATAAAGTGCGTTCGTGTGCAAAGTAGCATTCGTCCAACAAGATCTGTCGTCGAGATACTTGGGGTTCTCTTCACAACCTTGAACCTGCCTGCAGCCTTGACAAATCGATAACAGTCCTCCCCACTGCTGTCCGAAGTAATATCATCACCATGAACCACATATTTGCAACCATAATGAGAAATCCATGGCAGAGACGTAACATAGGGCGCATATGACACCGATTGTGTAACCCATCTGCAGGCATCTACTGCCGCAATTCTTTGAGGATATGAAATCAGTAAATCAATCCTCGACCAATGTTCGTCCTAAATTACCGTTCTTGTAGCGTCATGACCGTTGGTCCTTTGTTCTCGAGAATTGATTCATCGGAATGAATTCCTACAACCAATTCATTGCCCAACTGTCGAGCTTGAAGCATGGCGCCGGCATGTCCTGTAGAGAAACAAATATATCAGTATCTGAGCCGTCAGGGGTAGCTTCGAGGTAGCTTCTACATGAACAAACGTACCATGATGGAAAAAGTCCCAACAACCATCCACCCATATTCTATCCTCTAAGATTTCAGGTGCGGCTTCACCAAATGGACCTTCAAGTTCTTCCTCAAAATTGGTTGGCATGATCTCGAATTAATTTGATTAAGTATTATTCTTTAGTATAAAGTTGATATTTTAGAAAGGTATTCGTCCAAAGGGATAAGATTAAGAAGGGGTTGCGGGGCATCTCAACCCTTTACCGCCCGTTATCACGTTGTCACCGTCTCATTGGGAACAAGAAACAAGCTTACAACCTCTCAAGATACAAAGATGGATAGAAGGTGACGAAAAAAGAATTCTCCGTAGTATAAGATTATGCGACTCTTTGCATATTCGAGCATTCATTCGTCAAATTACTACCATTCATGCCATTCATGATTCTCATGCCCTTTCTTCAAGACTAGAATGGGCTTCACGAACCAGTGGAATAAATCTAGAGGATGTAAGGTTATCCTTTTACAGGAACCTTACCGGCTTACCCCCCTGAAAGTTGGGGTCAATGGACCGACAAGCAGGACAGCGATGCAGCGATACACCGATACACCGTTCTCAAGAGTTAAACTATTATTGGGTTACGAGATACCCAGATCGTCTTACTTATGGGACATACGGATAAGACAAGAGTATAGATATGGATCTTCGATTCCTTCACTTTTAATCGACGCAAAGAATTGTAGGTACTTCATTGTGTTCAAATATCCTTATTGTCCCTCCTTTTTCTAAATTCACCTGTTGTTTCCCGTTTTCCCTCATTTAGCAGAGTTGCTCCTTGCGGTTGAAGTCTGGGGGATGGATGAGACTTTGGTATTTCCTTTCTGCTCCACTCGAATGAAGAATGATATTAGCTATTTCCCATATCGAATTTAATATATAATCCTTCTACGAGTATCTCCTTTTGTTTGTCTTTATTTTCGGGCGATTTCTTCACGAGTACAAACATAGTTGCGATACGATACAATACAATACAGTACAATACAATACAATACAATACAACACAACACAACACAACATAACATCGTTGAAGGAAAGAGAAGGTGGGGGCTATTTGGCAACCCGTTGGAATATCTATTTAGCCGAGATTTTGGCGTACAATTACGGTATGATGCATCGGACTACACCCTCAAGTTCAAATGGTGGAATATTCAAAGGAGGCAATATATTTGGGGGTAGCAAGACTTCAAATCCAACTTCTTCAGTGCGACCAATTACTAGCGGAGGATCTCCTAAAAGTGAATCGAAACACAGTCCGACACATCAACCGACACATCAGCCGAGGGCATCAGTAACAGGCTTCAGTCGCAAACCCTCCTTTACCTCCTCTCGCCATAATCGACGCAACAATTCCACCGCGCACTTGCATTCTACCCTTTTACCTAATCTCCCGATATTTTCTTCTTCAAACTCACCCGAAAAGCATTCTGCTGCGAACAACCCCTATGTCGTACCGGTAATTCTCCCACTACCACCCTCGGATCACCGGCAAAGCATAGATAGTTACGATCGGGTTGTCCTAGCAGAAACCACAGGAGTCAATCTAGTTGGAGCGACATTATCACGTCAATCCATGGACGCTGCATCATTTACCTCGACAACGCCATACTCGAATATGCTTGCCAGACCAGGAACGGGATATCAGTCCTCGGGGGGAGGTCCCGCGGGAATGGGTGTGATGGCTCCTATGCAACCTGGCAGTCCTACGCTTGAGACTATTACTTACCAGCACATACAAGAGATGGCGTCAAAGAGGATATCTACTCTAGATTATTTAAGAAAAGCGTAAGATTTTACCCCTTCGTTACGACTCACCTCAGACCCTCCTCTCGAAGCTTCGGACGATACTAACAAGTGAATCATCTGAGTAGTCATGAAGGAAGGGTCTATTGGTTCAATACATTATTATTCAACAAACCAGATTTACAACGAATGCCATACTTCGATTCGCGAAAACTCGCCCGTCGCGCAACAAACTATCTTCTCCTCGGCCTCTCGCTCCCTACAATCCTCGACCTTAATTCCTCAAGCCCCTCTGAATTTTTGCGCACGCTCAATGCGCTCCTCGGCGAATTCGAGTCTTTCCAACAAGTACATCCGCCAGACGGCTCGACCTCTTCTTCGTTATCGCGCGGACGATTTCCCCAAATGTTCAAGCGCTCGACGATGATTCCCAGTAAAGGGCGACGCACCAGTTCTGCAACTGAGATAGGATTACCAATGGGCAATGATTTCTCGGATACAAAATCTAATAATGGGAGTACATCGAGTGGGGGTGGTAATGGGGCAACATCGTTCCCAGCGAGTGAGAATGATTTGTTACCGGGTGAGGAATATACATATCTATTAACACCATCTTTACCATTCGATCCCGATTTTTACGAGACGTTTGCGACATTGTGCGATGTATTGATTGATTGTTATACAAGGTTGATGGGCTTGGTTTCGTCGCCGAAAGAGTGCAGTCCGCAGATTGCAGAATTGTTTACAAAGGCGGATGCGAGAGTCAGGAAAATCATTGTGCAGGGAGTAGTGAAGGAATTTGAGGACAGCAGCAGAACTGGAGTAAAGAGCGAGGTTGCGGGCGTGGGAAGAGTGGTTTTGGGTGGACTTATGTAAAGAGATGCTAATTATGGTTTCATTTTATGGATGGGGTTAACGACTTGATACCATACGAAGATTATGACGAAACAAGGAAGGAGAGCGGCGTCATTTGCATACATATTTGCATTATTTTATCTGTCTATTTGAAGAAAAATATTGTAATTTAGACGGAAATTAATATAATCTTATTATTGAACCAAAACAGAAAGAGGAAGAGGGAAAGAACAGGGGGGGAAGAAGTAAAGCTTTTTGAAGTTCATCAGACACCATAACGCAATTGTGGTCATCAAATTATGAGCCGCTTTTTACACGGCTCAATTCAGTGCTTGACTCTATTTGGTAATCATCACCTGAACCGCTTTTATGATCGCAACAAAGTCCAGCTCCTTCGACAGAGCTTCTAAGATGAGTGAGTGACCTTCAGACCAAGGACAACTCTTTTAATGAAAAAAGAGTTAGAGTTTGGTGTCCCCAATCTTCAGTCAACACAATCTTTGCTTTCCTATAAGCTATAGACTTGAAAAATGTAATTGAACTCCTCGCATCAAGAATAAGCCCCATCGAGTTACCTTCCCAGCTTTGCAGCAAAAGAAAGCAATCGCATAACTATCGATCTCGACGAAAAAGCCTCTTCTACCATTAGCACTCCCCATCTCAATCAGGAACATACCTTCCACCTCTTATCACTCATCTTCTTCAAGTCGAAGTGAAAACATCGCAAAGAAGCTCGGACTCATATCTTCATCCATGTGGTCTTCCATGCTCCGAACTCAATCGTCAAGAAGCGTCCAGGTAATAGTACAATCGGTAGTAGGATGTATGAAATGAAGATAAAAGAGTTGGTAGAAGAGAAGCCGCAAGTGCTTCTATGGCGACGCGTTTCCGCAATCCTAACTTTTAAAAAGTAGGGTGTCCGGGGACTTTCTCCCAAAGCATGAATGTGAATTGAAACATCAATAAAGATATTTCTGTTTGTGTGCTTCGAATGCGATTCTTTGAGCGAGAAGTTGTAGAAGGAAAGGAATATTGAAGATAAAAATTGAAAATTTATAGCCAAAAAAGATTCTGTGCGGCCGCTAGCATGCGTCTAGCTCAGTACCTTAGCGCCCCATTTCTACCATGAGCTTGAAGTGCTTAGAGAAGCGGCCTTTTTCAATTACGGCAAGCAAGCAAGCAAGCAAGCAACCAGCCTAACCGTAGAACTGTTAAATAATCAACGCGAACGAACGCGAAAGAGAGTTCTCCATCTCGAGGTGGCCCAGGATATTGAAGCGAGTTAGCAAATACTTGGAAGCAAAAATGTCCGGCTTATTTGGTTCAGCGGCAGCGACAAGCTCGACAAACGCGGCCAATACCCTCGGTGATCTTTCGAAAGATATTCCTCTCAATAATCCACCAGAAGATAGTATTGCTGATCTTGACTTTTCGCCGGTATCCGAACATCTTGCTGTCGCGTCATGGGATAAGAAAGTGAGGATCTATGAGATCTTGTCAAGCGGGCAGAGTGAAGGCAGGGCATTGTTTGACTTTGAGGGGCCAGTATTCAGTTGTCACTGGTCAAAGGTATGTACAAGCTTTGGCTCGAGCCTGGATGTAGAGTATACTGACGACTCGGGATAGGATGGAAAGAAAGTAGTTGGCGCGGGAGCGGACAAAACTGCGCGTGTGATGGATCTTGAAAGCAACCAAACAGTATCGCAAGTCGCCGCGCACGATCAACCCATAAAAGCCGCGAGATTTTTCAATGCTCCCCAAACAAACGGCGAATTGCTGGTGACTGGATCTTGGGACAATACCATCAAGTATTGGGATTTAAGAACTCCTAAAGCGGTCATCTCGGTGAACATGAACCATAAAGTCTATACATTGGATGTGCAGAAGAACCATTTGGTTGTTGGAACCGCAGAGCGATTTATCAATATCGTCGACTTGAACTTCCCAGACAAGATCAAAAAGACTATTCAGAGTCCTTTGAAATGGCAAACCAGAGTTATTAGCTTGTTCCCGGATGCTACAGGTTTTGCTGTTGGTAGTATTGAGGGAAGATGTGCGATTCAATATGTTGAAGACAAGGACGCCAGGTATACAATCTTCTTCCCCTAACGCAATTCGCATGAACTCTCACTAATCTATCAAAGTATGAACTTCTCCTTCAAATGCCATCGCGACCCAGCCTTAAATAACATGACCAGCGTCTACTCCGTAAATGCGATATCCTTCCACCCTATCCACGGTACTTTTAGTACCGCTGGTTCCGACGGCACGTTCCATTTCTGGGACGGAATCGCCAAGCACAGATTGAAGGGATACCCAAATGTTGGAGGCACCATTTCAGCTACAGCATTCAACCATACAGGAGGCATCTTTGCTTATGCTGTGAGCTACGATTGGAGTAAAGGGTATGCAAGCAACACACCGCAGTATCCAAATAAGATTATGTTACATCCCGTAAATGCGGATGAGTGCAAACCCAGGCCAAGTGTCAAAAAGAGGTAGATAAAGGTTGCAGAATGGGAATGCCATGATGGAAAGTTGGTGAATGATAAAGAAAGATATATGGATGAGGGCTCCAAGGCTCGAGGGAATTCTCGATCATGTAGAATGGCATATGGACTGGATTGGATTGGACATAGGACTCAGTCGGCCTAGACTGCGCATCTCAAAAGCCACATCCAGCAAGGAAGAGGAGAGTGGGAGGCACCAATTATGCAACAAAAGAAGTTATTAGGTAGGAGTTAAGGACGGTTACAAAGCGATCAATACCAAGAATAGGTCATGTAGGTAGTAATGATATCAAGTGTGCTCAAAGCCAACGTATCTTTTCTACCTGCACTTTGATTTCCATTTTTCTCACTTGCATTTCGGAACATATGAAGAGTGCAATAAGTTAATTGTACAACCCATCGATAAGTTCATTTCCATTCCCATTTCCATTCCAACTCCCCAAGTCCCCACCATGCAGTGCAGTCGAACCAAGTCTATAATAGTAATAGTAACAGACCGATCAACTCAATTCCAGGACCGCCAAGAGCGCCCATAGTAATGATCATACATAAAAAAGAAATTGGGTCTTGCCATTCCTTCAATTCATCAAGCTGTGAATCCACTATGAGTAATTATTTTCCTTCTGCTTCCCGTTTCCATTTCCATTTCTTTTGCTGGTGCCTTCGTCATCACTTGCACTTCCCACACTATATCTTTCTCTATCTATGTCATCCGTAGGCGACCTCACATGTAGCTCATCCAATTCACTTTCATCGAAATCTGCCGCCTCCACATCCCGAGCTGGTCGTTTATTGCGGAAATTTTCTAGACCCGCAGCACCTCTAGGGCCATTTCTCGCGCCCGCCAAAGCCATAGGAGTATCGCCTCCAAAAATTCCAGCGTAACCGGCGCGTTGACGTCGTTCGCGCCAGATGTAATAACCCCATGCTGAGGCGGCGATGATGACGATTACTAGAACAATCTCACCGGATTTATAGTAGGCGTTCCATTTCGCGGCTTCTAAGCGCTCTTCCTCTGCTTCAGCGGCAGCAGTACTATTAGGATGGCCACCAACGGATGTCTCCAGACCCTTCTCACCGTCAATACGACTATCGGTGGGAGCACCACCAATACTGGCAATGTCCACTTGCATGAATCTGTCAAGCATATCTCGGGTTCGTCGTGCATAATCGAATGGTACCATATGAGACGAATTGTAGAAGAGGACGTAAGTTAAGTTGCGCGCCTCTTGCCAGAAACCCGCTGCCTCGCCTTCAAATTCCCAATCTCGACGTGGTGCCCAAGTTCCTGAACCAAGTTCAAAGCCTTTGCCCCCGTTCCATTCCATATTACTGATCAATTCTTCAGTACCAATGTGGTTGCAAATCAAATCCTCGGCACCGGAAAATAGAATCGTAGGGACTTCTGCGAGTATATCCGGTAGAATCTGAATGGAAGGTCTGGAGTGCGCAGCTCTGAAAGCACTACCGACAGCACCGTTACACTCCGTCCACCCGGTTCTCTTTTCTGGCGATATGTGTAGAGCTTCAACCACATCCGATCGGCGGAGGTAGGGTGTAACGTTGACCAAGTCGGGAGGCCAGTTCATACCACAACTTGGGTAGGAGTCCTTCAATCTCACATCATACATATTGTAGCATTCCGATTTGCCATCAGAGCCCTTGGTTTGCGTGGTCGACAGAATCTCCTGTAAGATTTCTTCGCACTGGCTGTTATCTACCTTATCTCTTCCACCGTTTTCGTTCAGCATTTTGGTGCAAATGGCTTGTTGAGATTCCAGTTTCTTTGCCTTTTCACTATCTTTCTTGACCAGCCCTTTCTCGTACGCGAATGGGAGATAGGACATGTACTGTTCCACCGGTGAAATCCATCCATTGCCAATAAGCATCCCCTTGACTGGCCACTGATGTTTTGTATCGGGCTTCTTGTTTCTTTCAAGAATCGCTTTTGTGATGTATGGAATGTGCTGTCCCGCATAAGATTCTCCCGCTAGGTACAACTGTATAATAGTCAGCAACTTGCGAATGAGTGATCACATCTCATTGTACTCACATCATCATGTTCATACTCCGGAAACAGCGCAAACCATTTCTCCAAGAACTTGACGAATTGGTCTGCCATCTCCGGCAAATCGTGAATATAGCTGTCGGAGTCTACGAAACTGAATCCTGTTCCTACCGGGTTATCCACAAACATTACGTTTGCAAATTCATCCCATGACCCTGGATTATACTCAAGTTTTGGCCCGTTGGATCCATCCTTCACTCTGTAAGGCCCAATCTCCATTAAAGCTCCATCCTCAGAACTACAACCTGGGCCACCATTCAGCCAAATAACTGTGCGCTGTTTATTGGCAATGTGTCTATTCTGGAAATGCCAGAAGAATATGTTCCCATGATGCTCAGGGGTGACCTCGATGTGTCTGTGAAACTCGTGTTAGCTAGACCTGAGCTGAAATATATGTTTTAGGGAATGTAACATACCCAGCATGCATCTTGAGTAATGGTCCATCCGGAGCACCCGGCAAAGAATGGACGAAGTAATCCCCAGCAGATTTGTCTGCATGACCCAACGAGGGCATCAACGATACAGACAATAATCCCCATACTGTCAGTAAAGCCGAGCTTGTCTTAGAGGTGAGAGATCGCATAGTGGATAGCGATCCAATTACCCAGGGAAGGGTATCTCAAAGAGAGAAAGGTGTTTAAGAGAGTCGCGGAGTCGCGAATTACCAATATCCTATCATGTATCATCCGCCGATGGTATTGAGATGGGAAAGGTATATTTTGAGCGTGTCAGATTGTGGACACAGTTGATGTTGACCTGCCTTTGGAGGTTTCGCGGCTTTGTTGTTACTGGTACAGGAATGATTGCTAAAGACACTCTGTATCGCTAGATTCCATACACGCTATTTAGACCCTAGCGAAGTGAAACTTTGTAAGAGGCTCGGGATGCTCAATAATAGATATTAAGTGGAGTGAATTACGAAAGCAATGCGTATCTTGAAGAACTTTGAAATTATATTTATCATTTTAAGAGCTCAAGGGACGCAGCTCTTGTGAAGTTATGTAGTACATGTAGGTTTGTTTCCCTCTTCGGGACGGGAAGTTTTTGGGTCGCCGACATCACAAAGGGAGTTCTTCAATCAATTCACTTATTGTGTCCCATTTTTGGTTATTCCCTGTGCAGATCCATTGTCTTTGAATTTTTGAAAGATTTCTACTGTATGTACAGTACCTACGGTCTATACAATGATCAACAGTGTTTTGGCCCTCTGGATTGAGACCCGCTGTGACATGACCTTTGACCTCGAAGGGGGCAAGTAGATTGTATATATTGTAGGTATAAGGAGCAATTTCTTATACTTTGAAGTATGAGTGAGTATCTTTCCAACATTGATATTGCTCTGCTTTAGTAAAGAAGGGATTTCTTCTGTCAAATCTGGTTCGAAAGATGCTATCATTGATTTCTCATAACTGTCTACAACCCCCCTATGTTCAGACTCTTGGCGAGACGTATTCGCCTATCCAATGTTTTCAAAATTCGAGTGAGCCACGTTCTAGATGAGCATGTGGAATTCATATGACCAGAAAATGGGATAGCATTTCATAGCATTCTGCTACCCCGCGCTAATTGGTGTTTGTACCTAGACATCTACGAAATTCTATAATATCGTCTCCTAAAACATATCGCCAAATCCCTTTTCTGTGTCTTTCTTAATAAGCTCAATCATTCCCTATATCCCGAATTAGCTTTTCGACGTAGAAGACCTATGAGAAGAATAGTGAGCTCACCTCAGGCATGATCGGGTTTCCATTTGCGTCCTTCACATAACGGAAAGGCATTTCAGTACTTTCATTCTTATTGACCCGAAGTTCTGGATAGTCAACATATGGAATCTTGTCCAACGGAACTATAAATAAGTCAGTATAAATGTTCTAGGTGGTCGAAAACAGGTCGAATCAGCTGACTTTTATTTTGGGTCACCATTCTCGTACAACGAACGGCTGTATCCGTTGTCAATTGAATAGGGCCAAGCCGACGACCCTCAAACCCTTTCTTCCTCAATTCAGAAGTTCGGTCTCTAGGTGGGTCATCTCCTAGAACACAGCATGTTAGCAGTTACTACATGTGGATCAGGCAAATGCAGTGTACCAACCCAAGATTCCACCAAAAAGGAAAACGTCAAAGAGCTCGCCATCTTCAGGACTCAATTCCTTGGTGGCTGATGGATCAAGCAAGCAAACACGAGACTTATTTTCCACATATAAGGTTTCAACACTTCGGCCGTCTGCTGTGAAACCCGGCACGGCCTTCAAGACCTCGGGTATGGTCAAAGTTGGAGGAACTGACGACAAGCAAAACTTTGCACCAGCCTGATTGGACTCATTGGCTATGGTGATGTATTCAAGCTCAGACCATGGGCCAAGTTCTTCGTCGAGGTGCTCAACGATGTAAGTTTTTTGAGCCATCTTGTTAGACAGATGTCTTAACCGGATACTGAGGTGTGCTTTCAAGCCTAGTTAACAAGAGACCAATAATTGCTTGTGCAAGGGTAAAAGGTAATGCAGTGAATCGGAAGATATCCTCAACAGATGGTGGAATATAAGTTTTGGTTCGTTGCGGGGTAAAAAACCTAAGGGATGGGCTAAATGATCGATAATCGATGATCGTATTATGATTATTGGACTCTGACTCGTGCTAACGACAAAATGCCCCCCGTGTAAGAGCTTCCAAACTTTGGAAGAGCAGACCAACGATGCAACGATGTGCGGGGATTTTGATGAAATCAGTCTCGTGATTGACTTTTCCTCGGCTTGATCTTTGGATATCTTGAGTAGGGTATTGTAAGAAAAGAGGCATGCGTGGCTTACAGGGGAAGAAGGAAAAAGGGAGAAGGAAGGAGGAGGAAAAGGTAAAATATATATCCCTTATTAGTATGATTATAACAGTTTGACAAAGGGATTACAAAATATACATATAAGAGTTATTATATACGTACATTGATTATTTCGATATAGTATAATTATCTGTATACTTTTTTCTGTTTCTTCTTCTTCTTCTTCTTCTTCTTTTTCAATCAAAAGGGTCTGGATGTCTATGAGTATAATAATTGGAATTTATTTCCAACTCTGCATGATTTTCAAGCGAGAGCAAGTACCCCACCATAACGCTATCGGGTCATTCTGAGCTGTTCGTGCCTTTCCCCCTCCAGAATTCCAGAACTTTATTTTCTTGATCCCAAGAGCCATCAACTGTCACTCAAAATCCTCCCATACAGACAGTCATTCAAGTCTCTATTTCCATTCACGACTTCTGTTGAGCACACTATTTAGTCACATTTCAACACGCAATCGCTCGCACTACGGTTTCGCACCTTAGTTATTTAGTGTAAATCTTCTGACGACAAAGAGAGAGAGAGAGAGAGGTAAACAACCATTTGATAATCATAAGTTCTCGACCTCGATACGACTGCAAAAACTACCGATATACGATCTATAATTGTACCAAATTAAATACAACGGAAATTCGTCTTCAAGATGAATCCTTTGCAAAAGAACAAGGTCGATATTGCAGTAAGTAAAATCTAATTACTTCACCCTTCACATAACTTCTATTTATTCAATCCACCCAAGATACTAACTCTGACCTCGCAGTCCCTCTCCCCAGATGAGCAACGACTCTTCCGTCTCTATGGAAAACTCCCCAGCAAAGCCGATCATCTAGCCAAACAACTCAAGGAACGTAAATACTTCGACTCTGGCGATTATGCACTCTCCAAAGCCGGCAAAGCCTCTTCTGTCGATACTGGCAGCGTTGGCTCCGAACACCCTCTTCCAGAAAATATCCCGCATCTCTCGTCTCCCAGCGTTAGCAGCGCCGCACAAGGTGGTTCTGGCAATACAAATGTTGGTCCTGGATCCGCACATCATGGCAGTATTGCGGGATTGGGATTGGGTCAACAAAGTGGAAGTCCAGTGAAGGAAAGCAGTTTTTTGCATCGGGAGACGAGTGTTGATGAGTCAGACAAGAAGAATGATGAAAACACACAGCAAGCAGGGGATGGTAGTGTCAGTCCACCGCCGGTCAAGGGAGGTATTCCAATCAACGGTTGAATACGTTGTGGGGGAATTTACTGCGTGTGCGTCTACGTGGGATTCGGCGTTATGGGGCTAATCAATGATATGATGATGACTGATGGTTTGGGGTGATGGGGCATTCTCTGTACATTTTCGTTTTTATGCCAGCTTTGATAGTCGGGCAACATGCCAATGCGAAACGATGAATTTAGGACTGTCAATACCTTATGACATTATCTTTGTCTGATACGAATGAACTCCTTGATTTGGGTTCTATGTCTCTTGGACCTATCTACCCTTTTGGCTCTTGATACCGAATAACGCCTCATAATAATTTTTCATGTCCTTCGTAGATATCACAAGTCAACTGCGGTTGCTGCCATCTTACTTGCCCCTTCGAAAGTCTTGTTGCCTCCGATGAATCCTGCTGCATGAACGAATACTCCTCCTGGGATACCAGTGAGTTCAGATAGTTGCTCATCTCTGAAACCTCTCCATGCCTCTGGCAATGGTTTCCTGCTTTGGAAAGAGTCCTTGGAAACTGGTACACATTGAATTCTCCATTTCGCATCTGGACGTGTGTTTTCGGGGTAGAGAACATAGAGTACTTTGTTTTCGGTGTTCTCTTGATCTTCGAGTGTGTAAAGGTGATCCTTCCATGGAACAGATTGGCCATCGAAAACCAATATTCTTCCCTTCGAATCGTATTGTAGACGTTTAGTATATGCTTGCTGTACGATTGCTCGTGCTGGCAACCATGACTTTGCATAGTAATCCAAATCTCTTGAGAATTCTTCACCCATTCTGGTGCTAGCCACCAGAAATTTCTTATCTTCCGCCATCTGTGCCTCGACTGGATCGGAGGGCGTCGGATCATTCCAATTTGGGTTCAATCTAGATACCATAGCGCCTAATGAGAATCCTCCATCACTGAATTTCTTCTCCAAACCTGCAGCGGAGATGGCCTTTGGGTCGTAGACCGAGATGCCGTTATCATGAGCATCAAGTGCCTCAATGAAGTTCTCATATATCTTTTTCCAGATAACGCCGACTTCTTCCGCATCTTCGGCGACATCTAAGTGCTGTGCAATAATCGCCTTGCCGTAATGCATATACACCAACCCCGCAGAAGAGAGTTTGGTGGAACGGTTGGGGAAAGTAGTATCGAAAGTACGTTGATGATGGTCATATCTCTTCGTCTCGTCGTTGTATTCGCCGCCCACATCAACCACGGTGTGGCAAGTGTCCAGAAGTGCAGTATCTCGAGTTCGAATGAGTTCTGAAGAGTGATAGGTGGGAAGAAGGCGAAGCATGTAAACAGCTAAGGCTTCATCTGCGTGGAAATGACCATTATGGGTGCCGATGGTGACGGGAGAGATCTTAAGTCTTTTTGCTGCTGTTTCTGCCATTTTGATTTTACTTCGAAGCATTCCAATTCGACGAGATTAACAAATTGTTTGTGATTGCAAAAGTCAAGTCAAGGACAACTCCTCCAAAATTTCAGACTAAGCTAAAAGTGTGACAATAAAGGCGGTAAAATATGGCAGATCTCCACTAGAACCTTAGCTTTTTTACACGTGCGTTGTCATCCTAATAACGATTTACCCACGATCTTCATTTCCTAAATTTATTTACCTTACCTGTGCAATATTCCAAATTTACTTGGAACAACCACCTGTCATTATTTCTCTACAGCAATCTACCATTCTTCTACTGTGACAAAAGATTTGCCGCCAGAACTATAAGAGCTCCTCTTGCTATCACCATTTCCAGCTTGTCAACTTGTCAACTTTCCTGCAGGTTTCTATCAGGAAAACCAGGCACAATCGGATCAAATTCTGTTATCGGAGAATCCCCGTCATTTGTACGCACGCGACAAGAACAATCATTGGATCAATATTCAAGTAGGGCCATCAATCAAAGCGATATCTACCCTTCCTTTTATTCACGTCGATTCCCCTGGAAATTGCTGGAAATAATTTAGAAGTTAAATCATCTTTGTAGCCAGATTCCAGTCTCCTCGGTACTTCCATTTGCTATATCATCCACGCGCAATTGAATAATTATACCACTTCTCCCACGACGTTGAAGAAAGACTGGAAAAGGAATCCTGGGAAGCGAAATTTACATATTTTGGTCAACAGAGGTCATAAAAGCAGGCTTAAGCTTTCAGGCTCGATACACTTCTCAAAGCAGCATCCACATTGCTGAACAGAAGCTGGAACAACATACATACATACATACAACCGGGCGTGGTCAAACGCGATTCCACGGGCCTATCAGGGCATAGATAGATATCGAAACTTCAGATATATCTAAGCTGGGCGCGCTGTCAAGCACGCGCCGGCGCCCTATTCGCCGATGTGGTTATTTCGAGCTCTTTCCTCCGCGACCTTCCTCCTATCAATAATCCTCTCCATACCCATAGCCTTCGATGTTGGAGGTCGAGAATGCGGGCTGGCATTCTCACTCGCCCTTTTCGAGTTTTACCTATTCTACTCGACACTGAAACTGATAACACCCGAAAATTCGAGACTACGATGGGCGTTAATACAAATTATTGGATGGGCGCAGTGGATAATACTGCCTGGATTGTTAATATGGAGCATGAACCGATTCGCAGTAGACGCAGATAGTGATGGAGGTTGGGTTACTAGGACCTTTGATGGCAAGCGTGCTAAAGATAAGGAATTAAGAGAATGGGTATTTGGCTATGGAGGCCTGCTTGAGATGTTGACTGTTGGGACATGGGATAAAGTGCTGCGATATTCAACTCCGCTGTAAGTAGATGCTTATCCTCTGTAGTTAGTGGTTTTCCGAACACAGAGTGGAATCTCTTACTGGTGAAAGAGCCACTATACGCAGGGCGATCATCCCGATTTCTTTTCTTGAAACTAATCATCTCATAGATTTCAAATGGCAGAAGGCTTTTGCTCTCTTTTGGTCATCCAGGCAGCGGGACAGATTACAAGATACCTCGTAAATCGCAGAAGTGATACATGGATGGTACGTTTCCAATATTCTCAGTTGCGTACTTACGCTTACCAAACCATCTAGATTGGGTTACTTGTTCTATCAGCCTCAATCATCTCAAGCGCTGTATATTTCTTACTCCGCATTACGGGCTTTCCACAGATCAGCAACGTTGATGCCACTATGATAGGCATTACTATGACTTGCTCGGTCTTTTTGTGTGCATGGGGTATTGGAAGTGGCAGAGGCAATCCAGTGGAGAGCTCGTTACTCTTTGCTTATTGCACACTATGCATATACCAAATATTCACAGACTACCTTCCATCAGCCACGGATCAAGTTCCTCAAGCACTGGTACAACCTGACTTTCCACCATTCCCTCCTATTATCATGGCTTCGTACTCGACTCTTTTGCATGTTTTATCAACATTGCCATCTTTCGTACATTCGAGCTTTTACTTCCTATACGCAGCTTTCCAGACAATCACTCCATCGATCCTTATATCTCTTGCATACCGAGTCTTTGTTTTCTATGCAGCAACCCGAATTATTCCAGCAATCCGAGAGTCTGGAGCTGGAGCTTTATCCCAAGATCCAAGTCTTGACGACAGTGACGGAGAGGGTAAAATCTTAGGGCTACTAAGCTGGTTTAGTCCCTCTATTTTGATAGCTGTTTATACTAGCTTGTTGATGCAACATTTCTCTTCTGTCACTTCTGAGGGCAATGCAGGTGAATGGTGGATGATGCAGGGAGGTAATACTGGTGGTAATATCTGGCGATGGATTAATGTGTCGGCAACAATGGCTCTTTACGCTTTGGAGCTATACTTAGGAAAGGAAGATATGGATGGATCCCTCACCGGACATTGGAAAATTGATTGAAGAGTGACTGGAGAGGGCATGGAGATATCATATTTCATGTGTCGGGGCTGGGTACCTCGGTCAATTGTGAGACGATGCAATGGCGCGAAGGCCAACAACGAGATATATACAAGACATCTAGAACACAGGAGACGGCAAAGAGGTCACTTACCAAATCTATCGAGTAATGACTCGGGTATAGCGTCTGGAGGTGGGGGAGTGTAATTGTGATGCGACTTTAGCATAGCGTGGCGTTTGCAATGGGCGGATCTCTCGTGGGGCAATAAACATGGAGTGGAGGAAAGTGATGCTTATGCAGCCTCGGATGAGGTTAGGACTTGGAGCGGAGCACAACTATTACTTGGCTTGGGGGAAATACCCTTTTGAGAACAGAACGATCTTATCACCAAGTCCTACTTTCGGATAAGAATAATAACACATGATATATGTATATCGAAATACCAAATTCTATATTCTACATCCTTCATCCTTGATGATGAGATGTGTTGTTTTCAGGTGTTGTTTGTGCAGGTGACATGTTTCAGAAAGATTTGGGTGTGTCTGAGACGAGATGATTAACAACATCAATACCAAGAACCTTCCAAGAGATGCATTGCCAACATTGAAACCTTATTTGAAGCGTTTCTATACTCCGTAACTTCCTAAAATTGCCAAGTGTGGATGTGAATATATTAATGAATGTCACAGTTTTCTAATTATAGTATAGTTAGTATACTTGGCGGGACGGGAGTATGCGAGCCTTGCGAGGGATGAAGATGTGAGATCTTGTCATTTCGAGAGCTGAAGAATTAATAAGAAAAAAGAACTGGGAGCTAGTGGATCGGTACTTGGGGGTGGTCGGTAGTGGGAATTGTGAAGGTTGAAGGTTTCGAAGGTTGAAGGGGGGTGGAGGGGGAGAGGAGGGGATGAAAAGTTTAATATACGATTATTACTCGTATTATGGAGGAGATGAGCTTGGCTGGGCTGGGCTGGGCCGGGCCGGGCGGTTATAAGTGTAATTGATTGATTGAGTTTACTCTTTACTCTTTACTCTTTACTCTTTCGTATCGTCAAGGCTCCGTTCTTTTATTAGTCCTTTTCCCTATCCCCCTTCTCCCCTTCCCTCTCCCCTTCCCATTCCTCTTCCCCAGTCCTTGTCATCCATCAAATGCCAGCAACGGAGTTCCGGACCCCCCTATCTACAGAATACATACTACATACAATATATAAGTTTGGATTTACAAGCAAGATCAGCGGATTGCTCATTCCGTTTCTCCACCGCCCTCCTCGCCCCCCTCCCTTTTAAAATAAGCTGCTTCTTCTATAACTTCTTAGAAGTTCTTAAGCCTCTCAAGCCTCAAGGTGATCTCAACAAAATTCCAAAAGAGTTCTATGGTTTCTATGGTTGGTTTCTAATGTCTCAGGGCGGTATAGAAATACTAAGGGTTGTTGTATATGATCCACCTTTTATTGGTTGATCTTTCCCCACTGAGTTACTGTTTAAGTAAGGATAAGCTGAAGGCTAGCCATGTCACGGACGGGTATGTAATCCTTGTTTGATGGATATTGGAGGCTAATTGGGGGTTGAAGATGTTTCTCGAGTCTCGTATATATTATATATTATAACAATTGTAAAATTTTACGATTCCCTTGAGGCTTGCGGTGATATGATATGATATGACATATATATCTATCTGATTATCTGATTTTAGGATTATATTGTACATCAATTAGAGTTTTGGTAATCATCTTATCAAACCGGGTCCGAACCTTGAGGAGCTTCATTATCAACTCCTCAACAGTTTGGCTTGGCTTGGTATGCTATGCTATGCTAAGGTATGATAGGAAGTATTCGAGTAAGTACCGCCGTGTCCATACGTGAAATAAAAGTATAAGAGATGGAGACGGTGTAGGTATATATAGATATCGCATGACTTTCTCTTTATCTTTTTACTTATTAACTCTCTATCACTCTATCAAATTTATCAATCTTATCAATCTCAATCTCAATCTGATATCCTCCTACAAGTACCTACCTACGTAGTTATTCATATAACTTACCTACTTACTTGTTTACCATACATATATCCCACGCTTCAGCAGACCCCTCCTACTTCCTTGTGTAACCCACACTTCCCTCGAATATATCTATCGGTACTTAGTCTACATACTGTATTGTCCTTGACATCAACTCCGTACACCTCACCTCACTTCAGCTCGATTCAATACATCAACCTACAAACAACATCAACTCATCAATCCATCATCAACATGTCCCGAGTCACTCCTCCCGTTACCAAACTCACCCATGCTCTTCGTCGTAGCATCAGTACTACTTCTACTGTCGCAAGTCCCAGTTCGAAATTGAATCTTAAGGGTGCTAAAGCTGATGTATGCATGAATTCCTCATTTCTCCATTCCTATTCTCTCATAATCCAAAACTAAAGGGAAAACTAAAACGGAAACTAACCTACTCATTAGCTCATCTCCAAACTCTCTACCCACGAACGCACTATAACCACCACCCATCGCCCACTTCCCCCATCAATAAAAACCATCCCCCTCATGCAAGGATTCCGCACCTCTGCGCCACGTCCCTCTCCCTCGTCCACCACATCAACCCTCGACCATCTCGTACTTCCCCGGCTTCACACCGAGCCCCCTTCCACGTACACGATGCGTGTTCCCATTCTCCCCGATAACTACCGCGCTTCTCAATCCATCAAAGAAAGCATCGACACTGCAGTTCCTCGACAGGAAATCCACATTATCAGTGCGCAGCCGGAAGAATTCGTTGCAAGTGTAAATGTGTTGACGGAGGTGGTGGGGAACGAAGCGGAAGCGAGTATGGATTTGGGAGAATGGGTCGAGGGGATCAGGAATAAAGGTGAAGAGATGAGGGGAAAGTTTGTGGGGAGAGATAGTGAACAGGGTGTTCTGGCTGAATTGTGGATGAGTATTCGTGAGGATATTGTTGGATCCAAAGGGAAAGTAGCTCTCTAATCTCAAGTATCAGATGGAGAAGAGAGGGGAAGCTACTGAGTGTAGCCCAGTTTTGTTTGGATTGATTGATTGATTGATTTATTGATTGATATCTACAGTATATATGGATGGAAGGATGGAATGATGAACTCGCTCGCTACGCTTGGCTAGAGCTGGAGTTTGGCACTTTAATGACGTTATGATGATTTCCAATTTCTGCTAGTTAGTTTAGTGGATAGGGTGGCTACCCTCCCTTTTTTTTCTGCTTTACTTGCGTTGCTCCTTTGCTCAATAGGGGTTTGCTCGTCTCCTATAGTTGCTGTATCGAGTTTTAACTGAATGTTAAATAAGATATCTTTACACCTATTTACCTATTTACCTACTCGAATTTGATCATGGGGGAAAGTTCTGTGATATATTATACTCTTACATTTTTACCTTAGCTTCTTAAGTGAGGTGGCGATGTGATGGTCTCGCATTGGTTTGGGGCCCATATACAGGTACTCATATCATACTAATACTACTGAGTACAAGTCGATGTATTTGATCAACAACGAAGATAGCTGGTTTAACAATCCTGAAGTCTTCAGTTGCATACCTATCTCAAAGAAATGGAGAGGTGGAGAGGTGGGGTCCCGGATTTTACTTTCACCCCCAAACCATGACCCTCCTCCCTTCATCTATTTTGCACAATTGACATTCGGTATCCAAGGGAGATAGGTTACATCATATCGTTACAGAACTTAAGACTTGATCAAGACTCAAGACTCAAATACTTATGACTTAATTCATGGCATGGCATTTGATGCATTCCAAGCCAAGAGGAGTAAAAAGGTACAACTATAATTTCGGAAAGTTTTTGGGGTGAGATGGGATATATAGTCTCCTTTACCATATATACATACCCACTCTGACTATTCATTTCGCGGAGGAAATGGAATGGAGAATTGTTGGTTGTGTATCTAGAGAGAGGTACGCAGTCCAGTGAGGTTCCTTCTTTCAATATATTATATATTATTATGTTATATTCAGAGTTTAAATTCTAGATTATCTAGAGGAGATAGACAGGAGATGGAAATGGAAATGGAAATATTGCTTGTCTGAGAGGGGTCAAATGTGTGTTTTCGAAAGTCTACTTATTGTATATAGTTTGCCTTGGCTCTATATATCCATCATCTATCATCCATCTAATGGATATCTATCCATCCATCACTTCTAGATCTGTATGTACTCAAGAGTGATCTTCGATTGACTCGAGAAAATGATGAATTGGGAGGAGCTTTGTTGCATATCTAGAGAGGGGTAAAGAGGGGAAAGGAAACTTCTTGGGCTGGATGTGATGGTCCACATCCTTATACTCGTATATTCGAGTACTCGAGTACTAGTAAGTACAGATATGATTCAGAACATACTACAGTATCAAAAACATACCTACATATTATCAAGTTAAAAGATAAGTAAAAAGAACAGAACCATCAACATTATACTTTTGTCTACTCCTCCCTCCTCCCTCCTCCTATCATTGCCATACCGGTACCGGTACTGGTATTCATGTGTGATGTGCTCCTTCCTACTCATAGGTAAGTAAGTACTGTATTATCAATAGGATGGATAGTAGATCTTACTACCTATTCAACATCATTATTATCTTTCTGTTGGTTGCATATCTATAAGAGGGGTAAGGTACTCGAGTATAAAGACGTGACGACTATGTATAGTCGGCATGTTTTTAGAAACTGTGAGCTACCTACATACTCATAGCATTCAATCGTACGCTAAAAGTAATACTGTACGATTACTGTACGAGTAGATACTACAAAGTGATGGTGACGCTCACGCTGGAGATATCCGAGCATGAAGAATGAGGAAATAGAGGGGTTGAGTGGTGAAGTGGAGTTTATATGGAGTTTTGTATGGACATATTTGCATACCTAGATAACTTGTAGATGGAAGATATCCGGGCCGAGTATACCGAGATAAGATGGGTTAGATACTAGGTAGATGGTGATGTGGATCTATCTTAAGTACCTAGGTAGCTCCGATATGGCAAGTAAGATTATAAGTGCCGGTATGTGAGTTGCGATGTGATGTGATGTGATGATACGATGATGTGATGCGATGTGATGTGATGTGATGTGACGGGTGAGATAGGTAAAATGAGAGGGGAAGGGGAAGATCTACGGGTGATATTCGGTTTGGTGGGGTGGAAAGATTGGTCTTTAAAGAGGGTTTTGCAATGATATGAAATCTGGTTATATCTTCATTCAAGAGTATCACTGTGCACATCATCATGGACTTCAAGAAGTTGCATGCTGGATGAAACTCGGTTGATTACCCCGTTTTAATGAGATGTCATGTCTCATTGTGGGAACTTGGCTTACTGAGATTTGTCAGCTAACAGCATCAACCGGATGTAGAAGAGAAATGAAGATTATTTATCAGATAGGGTTGTCGTACGAGAGAAATAACACTCTGACAGCTATGGAGCATGAGAATGGTTGCACTCAAGCAAACAGTTGATTCATCTCATGATTTGTAAATTTGGGTTCTTCCTATAGAAAATTCACCCATCCACCATTACTTTCTATGTGTTGCATGACCTATGCAGCGGATCTTTACCTTGGATCATATAATCATGAAACCATACCATACCACACCACTAAATGCCATGCCATGCCCCACAATGTGTATATCCCTCTATGCAAGACTCCGAGTCCAATACTCAACTCCACCAATAATGACACGACCGACATGACGCCAAATCCAGTTCCTCAAATCAATGCAAGTGTCTACAACTGAACATCGTTGTTGAGAAGTCGGACTTCTTCGCCTGGCTTAAAGGCAGGCATACCGATGTAAGGACAACCATCACAACGGAAGGCATCACCTAAGCTACAATTTCCGCAGGATCCAACTTTCCCTTTGACTGTGAAATCTACTTCAGCTAGATCATCTTCATCAAGTTTGAGAGCTTGGAGTTGGCTATCGGCTGTGACTCGCTTGTCTGAATCTTCTTTTGCGAGCTTTTCGGCAAGACCACAGGAGCAATCCTTACATGCACGACGACGCTTTCCAGCTCTTGGAGCACACTCGGGAGCTAAAGAATGTTAGTGGAAGATCAAAAATTATATGAGTCACCACGTACGAATAGCAAGAGGTTTCTTCATGTCCTCCTCGGTAAGAAGAGTGTCCTCATCAATCAATTCATCGTCGTCATCCTCCGCATCAAAGTCGTCACTGAAATCAATGAAGCCAACTCCATTTGGCGCACCAGTCTTTGGTATATTCTTCTCTGGCACATCATCTGTCATATCCATACTCTTTCTCTTGCCATATAGTGGTAAAGCATCCGTAGAAATTGGAGGGCCAGCATTTGATACAGCTGCACTCTTACTATTGTCCTTTCTGCGGAGTCGCAAAGGAATTGCAACACTTGCACTATGATCAGGTTTGAGCATAACCCCTCCTTCTGCTACCAATCCGGCCAAAATAGCCTCACGATATTCTGCTCCATCAATTTCCTGCCCAAAGGTACCATCCTGTGCCTGTAACTTTGCACCTGCCTTCAGAGCTTGTGTAATCTTTCCAAATACATCTCTGGTCAACAGTTCTGTAGATTCGGCGCGTGTGCCATCGGCATCAGTGAGGATGAGGACCAGGTCGTAGGTGGATTCTGGGAGCGTGACTAATCCTGCAGAAAGGCGATCCAGCATCTGCAGATCGGTAACAGTTCTATCATGAGTAGTGAGAACATTTCTTAATTTTTCTTCATGGCTGGCGATAGAGGGAGGCGCAAGGAGTAGTGTTCGAGAATTGAATGAAGTCGTCTTGGTGGTTGTGGTTATCGGACTGAAATCGGAGGTATTGTCAATAGTGACAGAGGGGGCCATGGCGGGGTCGTTGGTGGCGACTGCACGCGTCTCTTTATCTCTGAGATAGATGATTGAGTTATCGTGTTAAATCTGCGACAAGACAAATATTAAAAGAAAACGATATCAACTAGTACAAAAGGTGATATTAAAAGAATCGAATTTTCACAATGTTCTTCTTTGGTCGATTTCTTATCAGCTTTGTCAAAGAGTTTCGGAGATGGATGATAATTCTTGATAATTCTTAAAAATTAATTATTAAGCCACTAGAAATTACATATTTTAATGACCAATCATAAGAATTGCTTTAAAAGGCATTAGAATTGACTAGAAGGAAATGTGATTGGTCAGTTATGACTCTTTAACTCGCTTGACACCCGCAATGAACCGCTAGCTCCCCTGCTTTCCCATTAGCTTGACATTTCCCCGCATTACTGGGGGAGGGAAGTGAAATTCCCGATCGAATGATCTTTATTAGTATGTACCACTAAAATGAGCTGTTGTGAGTGAAGACTTATAGAAAGTTAACAAAGAGATCAGATCAGTTTCAAATTGAGCCAATTGAATGAGCTGTTGGATGTTGAATGTTGAATGAATGACTTTTGAATAACTGTTGAATTCACATTTATATAGAATATTGTATATATCGTATATATCCTATAATTATGACGCAGAGAAGGCATGACTTATGATTATATATACCTGTACATATACAACAATCATTACCTCACCTGGTCATACTTATACTAAGTAGGCAAGGAACTCGGATATAAACGTATGAGATGACGAGATCATCATGTAATAATAATATAATATGGAGGACTTGTGTTAAGAGATATGAGAGTAACATAAATACAAATTAGGTCGCGTGATACTTCTATTCTAAATAGAATACAGAAGGGATGATCTAACCGAATTCCTGCATTGTGAATCTTAAACCTCTCAGACCTCAACCAACCTCTTAAAGGAAATCTCATCTTCTTTCTACTCAAAACACTTTTAGAAATCCAATCAACTTGTATCAACTTCTATCAAGTACTCTTCTTTAACTTTCGGATACCATCAATCTACCTGACTTGGTACCTTTCAATTCAAATCTCATCAATCATTCAACAGTAAGTTATTTATCTGATATCGCTTTGTTTATACCCCATACCCCGCCTTATGCTTATCACCGTTGTGCTTGTCTTGTCCCTTCAACCAAGGGTGTTGAATTTCTTGATGAAACTTGATCTTTATCTGACAGACTTCTTGAATTTGTATGAATACATGCTGATATGCCAATGATTTGCAGTGGGTAAATCACACAAGTACAATGATCGCGACCATGCCGGCCTCGCTGATGGCACCGCTCTTCCACAAGAGCATTTGCCCCGTTATTTCGCAAAGTCAGGTCATGTCGATGCTGATCCCAAGAAAGCCAAGAAGAATGGTGCTGGAAAGGGCGGATGGTATGTTTTTGCTCTCATTCCAATCTTCACTTTGACATCTTGGACACTCCCCCTTGTCTATTTCATCGCTAATGTATCAAAAATAGGGGTGTAGATGGCGAAGAAGTCCAAGACGAAGGCTTCAACATGGCCAATGCTCGTCGTCGCTCCAACAGCAGTTCTTATACTGCCGGTCTCAAAGACTTCAAGACTAAGTTCGAACAAATCGAAACCGAGCCAGTTTTCGAAGAGAATGTCCATGGTGCCTTGATGGAAGAACTTCCCGAGACTACTCGTTCCAACACAAACAGCTCGGAGGGCAGCAGTGTTGATGAGGATGTCAAGACCAAGTAAGCTTGGATCTTGATGTGGAGGATGGCATAGGGTTACCAAATGTCATCTGTATGAGGACTCGATGATGGTTATTTACCGGCGGATCAATGGGATTGCAATCTTTCCTCTTTATGAACGGGTGCATGGATGGGAGGAATGAACGAAATGAACGAAATGAAACGAAATTACACTTTGACCTGGCATCGGTTTATAAGTCCAGATGTATTATCAGAGCTTCTCTTAGCTATTACCAAAGGCATAGAAGGAATTGCCCAGTAACTTTCCTCTTCTTGATTTATGTGATAATCTTAATGAAGAAACATATAGTCACCCTTCTCCGAATGTGTAGAAAATTGTTATCGTGCAATTCAATGTAACCAAACCCCCGGTAGGTCCCACGATAGTGACACATGCGTCATGCGGGGTTGGTACTTCCCCAGTTCCTTTTCGTACGGAATCAAATCATCAAACTGATTCACGTTGCGGCAAGAACAGCCATTCTCTCACTCTTCCTTACACTTTCATCTCCATCCTTCAGAGTGAAGTTCACATAATTACATCGTCATTAAACATCGACTCAACAAGGTAAAGTAACAAAAATGCCATACAATCTCGCCAACAGAAATGTACTCGTAACAGGTGGAACTCGGTTCGTAATCCTCGTACTTCCTTCATTCTCCATTTCCCTTAATAATCATCGATCTGTTCATCTCATGGCTCTCGACCTTACATTCCAAAGTATATATAGTAGAGTGCAGTTTACTAATTCGTGAATGCGGAAAGAGGACTAGGTGAGGCAATCTGTCTTAAATTCGCGGCTGAGGGGTGTGATATCGCGATCAATTATGTTTCTAGTGAGGAAAAAGCGAAGGAGATGAGGGGGAGGATGAAGAGTGAGTTTGGAGTGAAGGCTATTTGTTTGAGAGGGGTAGGTTGTCTCTTATTATTGGTTTTGGGGGTGGTGGTATTGGGGTTGGGACAAGGGGTGTGGGATGAGATGAGAGTGAATGAGGGGAGGATGGATAAGATGGAATAATCAGTCATGAAATAAGCTAATCCTGTTGATGAGAATAGGATATGAGTCAAGAATCCGATTGTATTTCTGTGGTAAAGGAAACGATTAAGGGTTTGGGGGGATTGGATGTTATTGTATCGAATGCTGTAAGTACATGGGCCTTTCCCCTTTCTTTACCCTTCCTCTTCCTCCTTCTTCCTTTCAATTTTCAAACAAACGAAACTAATTCAAACAAGGGCTATACACGCTTCTCGACCTTCTCTGACCTCTCGGCTCCTACAGCAGAGGATTGGCAAAAGTGCTTTGCTACGAATGTGGTGGCTCAGTCTATTCTGATGAGAGAGGCGTTGTCTACTTTTGATGGGAATGAGGATGGAGGGGTGTTTATTATGACGAGCAGTATTGCGGGGGTCATTGCCGGAGGGAGTGAGTGGTTCTCTCGCCTTACTCTCTTTATCGTTTCGCGTATCAAGGATAGCACTAACGATGATCATATAGGTTGTATGCCATACTCGGTAACGAAAGCAGCTCAGTTACATCTGATGAAATGTTTGGCTGCGACCCAAGGGCCCAAGGTGCGGGTGAATGCTGTGTTGCCAGGTTTGATCCTTACAGAATGGGTACGTTTTTTTCTTTAATTTCCCTCTAATCAAGTGTGTGGTACTGGTAAAGGGACTCCGATAACGAGTAGTGTTCTTGATGAGAGAGATAAAATGTAAGATTGATCACAAGTGTCATCTCGGGTCAGATTTTCGTTTGTACTGGCTTTAATGCCTAGTTCTCGCTTCAATGGTAGCCACAGTCAACCTAGCATTGACAGTCCGTAGGGAAAGAAATACTCGGGAGAAGATCAGGAAAAATTAAAGGATAAAGCATATCTGAAACAATTGGTAAGTAGTCTCTCCTTCTGACTATCTACTCTTCCACCACCTCTTAGATCATAGAAGATTAGCCAAGTAGAGAATGTTCTAAAAACAAATAAACAGACGGATATCGAAGACTGTGCCCAGGTATTTGTGGATATCGCGAAGAATAGTAGCATGACAGGACAGAAAATACAAGTTGGTATGTATCTTATCCCATTGTTTTTGGGACGAGATGAAAAGGGTTGAAGACGAGTAGAGTGGATACTAACGACTGGTAGATTCTGGCCTTGCCCAGAATGTGTAAAGCCCGAGTCTCGCATTGGGCAATGGAGTTGAAACAAGTATGGAGAAATGCGACGAAATTTTGCGGAAAAGTAAGACGATAGTATGGAGGAAGCATCGATATGATAAATGATACCATTAAACGCTATTTTACAGACGCAATCAATACTCATTCTCTGTTGGTGGAAAGTCAATCCCACGCAAGCGCTCAACATTCTTACGAATGGCAGATTCTACTATCGATGAGGGAGAACTAACTTTTAGCTCTTATGGGATTTCATCCATCGGCAAGCCTATTTTACCTTGTTCCTTCTCTAGATTATGGATAAGTGACCATAGAGGATGACTCTCATGCTTGGAGTCAATTTCGGCATGAATAGCGTCCAGCCATTCTTCTGACAATGGTTCAATAGTTTAACCAAAGTCTTTTCCCAGAATAGCCCAGATTTCACGAACGGATAGACCCTCAATGATCCCAACAACGAGATTGGAGGAATCCACTTATTTTGTATCGCAGCAATCCAACACAACTCTGGCCACTTTACTGACATCTGAGATGAAAAGCTAAGAACAGGCATCTGCCTCATTGAAGCTCCCAATCGCTTTGCAACTCGCCACAAGTTTCCAGATAAAGTTGTCGGTGTTAGCAATACCCTGTCGAGCTGTGCCGATGATAAAGCTAAGCTTCACATCGGACACTTGGCTCTGTTTCTGAGCCCTCGTCTCGTCTCTGCATACCTCTTGTACCAGCCACTGGTCAAGAAAATATTATGTACGAAGGACCTTTCCACGCTGCTTTCCATCCTTCTGCTGTCTGTACATCTGGAAATCCGTTCTCAGATCCATAGACTTTTTAACACTATGACTGACTCCCCACACATTTTACTTGCTCCAGTACTCATAGTGACGGCCTTTAGTTTCTTTCCCTTTTCATCCGAATTTGTGCTCAATGGTCGAAATTGGTTGAAACGCGACTCGAGAGATGACTAGCAAAAAAATACTACTGCATCAATATATTTACATGAGATATCAGAATGCCGGCGCTCCCAGATAAGTCACTTGTGCCGAGCGGCTGTGTAAGTAACTCGTTTAGTTGTACAGAGCAATATCCTAAGGAAGCACTGATATGGTGACGGTTTATACCACATACGTTTCGGCTTATCCTGCTGTGTTAGCTGTGATCAGTTTGTTTTCTTCGTTTACTTCATTTGATGAGGTTCCAATGCTGCAAGTGACAGCAGAATTCGCCCGCAATCACTTGATCGAAGCATCCCTACCCTTCATCAATCAAGTCATCAACTTGTCGCCGATCACACAAATACATTAGAAGGTTGTACCAGGTATCGCTTAGGTTTTATCATGACGGCCAGTGTTTCGTTACAGAATATAGTTCGTTAAACCATCAACCTGAGCTATTAAGTGGCAATTTGTAGCTGGAAAGGTGCAAATGAGAGGATGCTGAATGATTGGAGCCAATATGTGAGTCTGGTATCAAGATGATGTATTTTGAGGATAGGAGTGATGATGTACTGGCAAAGAGTCTAAGGGTAACTAACGACTAAAGCTGGCAACGGAGCCTTTCATACCTCCGTCGCCGAGCATGAGGTTCAAATTGACACCTCAGAGAAGGGAATTAGTTGGATTGAGTCCTCAAACACTACAGATTCCACCCTCCTGGATTTGGTATCCCCAACTACGATGGATCTAGCATTCTTCTCCCAAGAAAACACGAAACAGCTATCAGGACTTGGAAACTTGGGGCTTTCCGCGATATTCTCACTTTCTCCATGTGTCGAGTTACTTGGTTTCTTACGTGGACCTTTCTATAATTTGCTATCCACTGGCAGTGGTAATTTGATTCATCTACTAGTACATATATCTCAATCGCTCTCCATTTGTAATTGTTAGCTGGTTATACGTAACTAATCTTTCTTCTGTGGTTGAATGGCCTGAATTTCGTGCAAGAAACACCCAAAGTCTTATTTTGTACTCAAGTAACTTTAGTGTTTAATCAATTCATGTATATTTATTGCGTCAAAGGTGTTGCACTGCATTTCCTACACAATACACAATAACTGCGCCAACCTACGGGTACAAGTCTACTCGTAGATAAGAGAAACTTGTGAAGTTGTGGATTGCACTACCTGTATTCGTCATCCATCATCAGGATATGCAGCATTGCTAATCAACTTGGTAGGTCCAAATATTGAAATAAAAATATCTCTCCAGTATTCATACTGAAGCTTTATTCATACTGAAGCTTGGTTCATTCGCAAAATTATTGGATGTTTAGCTTGTGTGTGGTATGGTATGGTATCATATGTACTCAAGTGGATGGATTAGCTTTCAGTAAACCATTTTCTATATCCGAGTTGATCATCGCGAGAACGAATAGTTTATGGGATGATAGTACTCGAGTAGTTCTAAAACCTAAAATTGGCTTACGCGCTTCTACAATAGTATTCCCAAACCTTCAGACGAGTTTCTTCAAACAAACATTTCTATCTTCCCACTCAGTACTATTTCCATTACATCTTACTGTATCAGGGACCCGACCCCCTTGAGTTCAAATGCTGTTTGTTTATTGCACATCTACAACATTGTTCTGAAAATTTGATATAATGCCCTCGGAAATCTAGTTTGGGAACTGTCTGTTGCCCTCTTCGCTCCACCTCCTTTACACGCTGAGATATGCATCATAATAATCTCAAACTTTCGGATGATTAGCCTTGGATGTTGAAGTCGAAAATGGAGAATATGAGTTTTACTATTTCATCTCTCAATAAGCCAAACTTCTTTCATAAAAGATGAGAATAAGCGATTTTTAGGTTTAGATCGTAAACCTGGAGAAAACTCGAAGGAGTATGAGACGGGAGTAGCCAAATAATCAGATTCATTTTGTATATCCGAATGGTCTGAAAATAGAAGGTATAAGACGAGAGTGAGAGCGCTTTATGAATCAGATTCGACACGGCAGGGAATTATTGAATGTACTTACTGCCTATATCACCCACAAAGTATCAGAGATGATGTAAATTGCTCACTTGAACATCCGTTGAGTTTGCGTGCACACGACGAGTGACCCTGACCCTCCATCTTCAAGTTCTACCTCCCTTCAATTAACTAATTTTCTTGGCCATTTACGCACTATTTCGTCTCTCCTTATAGAGCTCCTTTGTGCATCCCTATTTCTTCTTGCATGATACCCCCAAAATACAACACGATTTCAAAACGTGTATAAACGTGTATCATTCATCTACTCATCGCGTCAAATGGTCAGTTTCAATGCGATTATGGGGAGGAGAGTATTGAGGAGTGGGGGGAGAGAAGCGGGAGGAAGGTCGATTTGGTGGTTGATATGTTGGGGGGGAGGAGTTTGGAAATGTGTTGGAAGGTGGTTGGTCCAAAATTAACTCGATCCATTATCAATGGAGCTGAGGGGAGAAATAATTAGTTACTGTAACACCACAACATTGGTGATGGATGGCGTGAAACACAGTTACTTGTTCGCCCAATCGTTGTGAAAGATTTCAGAGGAGCTTATATCCACAATGATCAACGACATCCTTCAACAGACTTGTGGTAGAGAAGAGCATAAACTCACACACTGAGACTGAAGCTGGAAAAGAAAAAAGAAAGGGTGGTTCCGACGGTGTCTAATGAAGTTTTCGGTAAGGGTATTGCAGAAGGCGCGAATGTGTATGAGACATCAACACAGTGATGAAGAGAGTGAATGTTTGATGTTTGCTGGTGAATGATTGAATTTATGGGAAGGCTATCGATATAGATACGACCACAGAGGGTACTAGTATATTTTCTTATTTTCAAGCATGGCCCAGACAGCAATACCATACTCCTCTTCCCAAGAACTATATGGCCTAATCTAAGCTCCATGCCTTCTGCACAAACCGTTGTGAGATAACTGAATATAAGACTTCAAGGGCAGTGAAACGGTTGCGGGTCTGGAGGTTCACTCTATGGTAGTAAATCCGGAACTTGATAACACATCTTAGGCGTTTGCCAAAATATGACTGCAAAAGTGTTTTGCAAAATGTCGACGTAATACCTTGAGTATCTAGGTCGAAGAGCGTCAGTGCTCATAGAAAGGCTATAAAGTTTTATACTTCTCAACCCGACCAATCAGTGCTGGAATATAAGCTTTGAAAATAGTCACTGCACCTGTTGTGGGACATTGGAATAGATTGTAGTTGAGGAATGAAGCTAAGGGAATGGGATGAATTGTCGCTAAAACGCCGAGACCATTAGACTCATAACTACAGCCGAGAATCTAGTCGGGTTTTCTCTTTTTCAACTACAGTAGTGCTATATCTCTAAGTCGATAGACCTAGTTAACGTTAGAAGATAAGATAGCCCGAGAAACCCGATCTTGAATTACCAATTGAATAGCTAGCAATCACTACACTTTTAGATCACGAATATAGACCAAAAGAATACAATCTCAATTATCAACTACTATCCATTCGGGGCCAAGATAGACACATATTGACGAATGTGATATTGCATAGCGAAGGCCGACAGCTCACCGAATCGCTTCACCTGCCACATTTGCCCTTGAAAGCCACTATCCCTGAAAACTACATCGGGAGCATAGGGTCCACCTGGCTGAAGGCTGGTTGGTTGCCTCGCGTCGAGAAAGGACGTTTGTCCGGTTTTTCATGCTCCTCGGTTATAGCAGAAGGCAAGTGCAACATATAAAGAAGGAATAATAAGTACCGGATGAGAGAAATAGATAGGGTGGGATCTCAATTGAGATAGTAGGTAACTTGAAAGAGGACTGGGTATATTGATATAGATGGGGATTGACCTTAAGAAATGGCAAAGCAATGCAGATAAACAGAAAATAGATAAAGATGCTCATACTGCGAGTTTAGATACGCAGGCAAAGCTGTCCCACAACAGCCAATCCTAGCCCTAATCACCATCAGAATCTTGCTTGTGGGGCGAGTTTGGTATGTAGATGAAGAGTTTTAATTATTTATTCGTAGATACCCTTCTCAAATGTTTCCGTATCATAAAATAAAGCTGATATGGTATTCCCATTAAATATACGCCCCTCAAGTGCATTGACAGCCTGTCTGAATTAGCTTCAGTAAAGTAAGGAATGATAATTGATATACATACCCTCAACGCCGATAATTGATTAGTAAATTTGACGAAGACTTTTGCTGGAGCACTTTGCCTGTCGATATACACTCGTTCGACTCGTCCGTACTACAGCTTGTTAGTGTCAATGTATAGGAGTTATTGCCACAATCGAACATACCTTTTCACCACATTCATCGCCAATTTCCTGCATTAAACCCCCATCCCCTGAACCCTCTACTTCCTCATCTAAATCCATATTATTCACCATCCCACGTAGTACTATAACCTCGGTCATCGGTCCGAATCTACCCGTTTCCTCCTCCTTCACGATCTTCTTCCCCCCAATAATCTTTCCTCTACCTCCAGAATCCCGAAACCCACCACCTTCTGCATCTGACTTCTTTTTCCGCTTGTCAAGCTTAACCTGTAAAGGTGTAATCATACCAGAGCCATCAGCTCCAAGTCCTGATCCTTTACTCCAACCATATTTAGACATTAGACGTTCTGCGAAACCTTTCTGACCTGGACGAAGTGACTTTGGTGCATCTTCATCTGCTTCTGGCTCGTCTCCATCTTCTGGTTCCTCTGCGAGGGCTTTATCTAATTCTGCTTCCGAAGCTGGAAGTTCACTTGGAGCTGGCGGTAAGTTGTATCGCACTGGGGCTCGGGATATAGCTCCTGTTGATAATGGTGCTGGTGGAGGTAATGGTTGGCTTTCGGATGGCGGAGGTGGTGGATTAGAGTTTGCTTGAAGAGTAGGGCTATAAGAATCGCTTTCTGGTGACTTGGAACGCTTCTTGGGAGGAGAATCTAGTGGTGGAGGTGCAAATGAATAGTTTGGAGGTGGAGCAAATTGGTCTGAGAACCATTAGCATCGCGAAAACAAGAAGAAAGGAGGGTTGCTTACTGCCAATCTTCGGCCGGTATGGTTCCTCGTCATCACTATCGCTTGACGCCTTTCGCGCCATTCTATGAGCATAAAGCCTATCCTTCCACTCTCGTACTTCCCGAACCTTCTCATCACTATTTTTATATTCCTCGTAATTGTTCGGCCGTGAAGGATCATAAATGTCTTCCCAATCTTGCGCCACAGCTTGTTCTTCCCTATTATTCTTTCTTCGCTTCTTACCACCTCTTTGCCTTTTCTCCTTAACGTAAAATCCATTTACATCATCGTCGTCAACGGCCCAATCAGCCAAAGTGCTTTTGGGAGCTGGGACTTTCGATATGGCTACATTACTTGGCTCGGTGGCAGTTGGATTGGTTGGGGCAGCCGCCTTTGGGAATGATGCTTTTGCTTTCGGCTTTTGCGAAGAGAGCTGTGGTCTTCTTGTTGGCTGAAATCTCAGGGCAGCTATTTGAGGATTTAGTATGCTGCGCACAAAGTTGGACTCAGTTCCACAGATCGCCTATAACATACCAGCATCAATCTGAGACTTCTTAGCTGAAATTTCATCTTCCGCAGAAGTTGCAGCTGCAGTAGGTTTGAAAACGACTGGTCCTTTGATAATGGAACCGGGTGTATCACTCGAAGACGGATCTAACAAGTTTGCATAGAGAGAAAGCCCGCTCCGTGCAGGAGTTGGATTAGGAAGATTCGACATATTGGTATGTTGATCAGACGATCGAGGAGTAAATAAATAAAGAGGCTGTGAACATAGAATTGATTGCGAAACACAACCACTTCAGCCTGGCGCATAAGGCTGTGTGTAGTCCTCTGGGTCAGGTGATAAGGAGCTCTTCTTGATAAGGAGGCGCGACGCCGGCGATAAGAAGTCAAGGAAAGGAGCGGGCGGAACCTTTGGGAGCTCGAGCTCGGAAAGTTAGAATTACAAAATACAGGTATTTATAATGTTTCAAACATCCAAAGGCGTCTGATACTATTTCCAACAAATTTCATACCCCTACAAATCAATTTATTTTCGTTTTCCTGAAGTTACATTCTTGATCTTGGCTTCATCCCCTCAACCAACCATCATCTTCCAACCCACGCAAGCCAAGATGTCTGCTACCACTCTCGCCAATTCCTTCTCCACAGGAAATGCTACAACAGCAATCATTATCCCAGGAAAACAACCTCTCACAATCACATATAAACAACTCTCCGCTGAAATATACTCATTTCAAAAGAAGCTCGCCAAGCTCGGTGTCACACCACAAGCTGCAGTATCCATTGCTCTACCAAACACCTATGAATTTATAGTCGCATTCTTGGCGGCATCATGGCAAAGAGGAATCGCTGCACCTTTGAACTCCTCATACAAGCAGGAGGAATTTGAGTTCTATATTGACGATTTGAGTTCTGCAGTTGCTCTTGTGCCTAAAGATTCGTTTCAGAAAGATGGACCTGCTGTGAGGGCAGCGAGGAAATATAATGCTGCTATTGCAGAATGTTACTGGAACGGCAGGGAGGTTGTATTGGATGTTAAAGATGAGGGGAAGCTAAAGGGGAAAGGGAATCAAAAGGTTGAACAGGCACAACCGGATGATGTTGCTTTGGTTCTACATACCAGCGGAACGACAGGAAGACCAAAGGCTGTGCCATTGACACACAGGAACCTCACCAGAACTATGAAGAACATCCAGACCACGTACAAGCTTACTCCCGCGGATCGCACCATGCTCGTCATGCCTCTATTCCACGTCCATGGACTTTTAGCAGGTTTTCTAGCTCCCTTGATGTCTGGTGGTTCCGTCATTGTGCCTCTCAAATTCTCCGCCTCCGAGTTCTGGAGCGATTTCATTACGCACAAAGCCAACTGGTATACCGCTGTTCCAACCATCCATCAAATTCTCTTGAAGAATCCACCACCTACAACTAAACCCAACATTCGATTCATTCGATCATGTTCATCCCCCCTTTCCCCAACCATCTTCCACGCATTAGAAGAAACATATAACGCTCCTGTCCTCGAGGCCTACGCCATGACAGAAGCCGCTCACCAAATGACTTCCAATCGCCTCCCACCCGGAAAACGTCAACCTGGTTCCGTAGGAGTAGGCCAAGGTGTCGAAGTACGAATTCTCGACGGTGAGGGCAAAGAAGTCCCCATTGGTTCCGAAGGAGAAATTTCCATCCGCGGCGAGAACGTTACAAAAGGCTATCTCAATAACGACAAGGCTAACAAGGAATCCTTCACCCAAGACGGCTTTTTCAGGACAGGTGATCAAGGGAAAATGGATGAAGATAGATATGTTTTCATCACCGGGCGCATCAAGGAACTCATCAACAAAGGAGGCGAGAAAATTTCTCCAATCGAACTAGACAATGTTCTGGCACGTCATCCTGCCGTTTCCGAAGCAGTATGCTTTGCTATCCCTGACGAAATGTATGGTCAAGATGTCGGTGTTGCCATTGTGTTGAAGCCGGATCACAAATTGACTGCGTCGGAGTTGAAGAAATGGGTTGCGGATAAAGTGGCTAAGTTTAAGGTGCCTAAACAGGTATGTTTTATTACCCCTCTCCATTTCTCCTTATCTACAATACTAACTATATCCTCGTAGGTATACTTTACAAATGACATGCCAAAGACAGCTACGGGAAAGATCCAAAGGAGAATAGTGGCAGATACTATGCTCAAGCAACCTAAGGCTAAATTGTAGAGGAAATATGAAACTTCTCTACTGCTCTCATGAACGGGGAGTCATGGTATTATCTCCAGGAATGATAGATAGAGATACCTTTGTATATATATACAGATGGATGTACAAATTTTGGAATTTCGCTTATAAAATATTAAGGGTGTATTGGGTTTAGATTTTAGCTTTCTCATAGAATTAGTAAATCAATCAAATAATAAACAGTAGCTTCTCTAGTTACGAAGGCTCAATGGAGGAACAATTAGTACAATCTACACTGCAGGTACTGGTATATAGTAATTAACATTTTCCATCTCACCATCTCACCATCTCATCCATCAATTCAAATTCCGGCTCATTACATACATATACATCCTCCCCACCCATCTGCCATATCAAACATCAAATAGCTAAACATCATCGAAAACAATTTCAAGCACCCAAGACTATCCAAGCACTCCACTTTCCAAATATCCTAATGTATCCCAGCATCCCACTCCAAATATCAACCACTCACTCCATATAAGCATACCCATCCATCTATTTATCTACTGTACCTGCCAACATCATCATCATACATCCTCAAAAGACCACCCTGGGAGTCCTGGCCCTCAATCTCTTACATCTCACCTCAATCCTAAACCACAAACCCAAACCCAAATTCAAATACCTACAGTAGTCTAGTCTGGTCTAGTCTAGTCCCACCACCACTAATACAATACAATACTATTCATCCCATCCCATCCATCCCATCCATCATCATCCATCATCATCCATCACCGTTCAAGATTCTTATAGTATAGTATAGTATAGTACAGTACAGTGTAACCAGTAATTTGAACTCGAACCTATTTATCATTCCCTCCTCATTCCCTCCCCTCCCAACTCCCTAGTACCTACCTACCTACCAAATGAAGGTAATATTAATCTGCCAACGCCATTTATACACGAGACTCGAGAGTATGTAAAACGTTTAATTTGGTAAAAGCAGAGAGGTATTTAAATTACCAAGTTACTCTTTCTGACTTTGAACAAAGGGAAAAGAAAAACGGGAAGGGAAGGAGAAAGAAGGAAAGGGGGAGTACAAAGGGTTGACAGGAGTTGGTTTGGTGGGTTTATTGAATACCCGAAGTTAAAATGCCAAGAGTATCTGCCCCTTTGAATATGACAACAGCTCTAGACCTGCATCCTTCAACTCATGGATCAAGACATGCTTCGGGGTTCACTTCACCACATGATACACAGTAGATCTTACAGATGCCGATCAGATCAAATCAAACTTGGCGCGATCGAGAACATACAAGGGCATGTTGCAAATAAATGTATCAAAAGATCATGGTTAAAATATGAAATTCATTATTATTTTCTTCTTCACTTCTCGGGAAACAATATTCAATGTACAATTTCGGATTCTCTCTTCTCAAAAGCTTCATGTTTCCCTCCTATCCCCCAAATACCATCATGGATTCTTCTGGATACCATCATTGTAACAAATGCACAATTAGAGTAACCTTGACAGCGATGGACATGCAAAGCACACGCCCCCAATGACCCCAATGAAGGTTAAAAAACGCTCAAAAGCTTATGAAAAGTCGTGCATAAAAGAGAGAACGTGGCATATTAGGTCTAATGTAATAATTAAAGGAAAAACGCCGACGTCCCAATGATTTACAACAACATGCTCAAGAAACCTCCGAAAACAGAGACACCCACGAGTGCCTCGTTAACACCGTAGGAGACAGCCGCACCCTTGCTGGGAGAAGAAGATGAGCTTGAAGAGGAGCTGGAGCCGGAGCTGGTTCCGGATTGAGCATTGGCGGTGGTCTTGCAGGTGTAGGTACCTTGGATGTTACCACTGTCATGCTCAGATTTGAAACCGGAGCAGTCGATGGAGGTAGTGGATTGCATGTTGAAACCACCCTTAACATCGTCAAGTTTTGCCAATTCAGGGCTAGAATGGTAATATTAGCCAAGGCAGGGGAATGAGGGTTGTATGAGGCAAAACTTACGTAGTGAAGTTTCCGGAGAAGTCAATAGCACCACCGACCTCAGTCAACTCTGGGAATGAGATACCAGTAAGAGCAGAGTTGTTGGCAATTTGGAAAGCACCACCAACAGTCTGTAGCATAGGGATGGTGATATTGGCGAGGGCTGGGTTAGCAACAAAAGCCAATCCACCTTGTCCGTTAGCAGTGTTACCGACGGCAGTCAAATTTGGTGCATTAAGACTGGTGAAGTAGTTTTCATAGAAGCCGAGGGATCCATTGACAACGGCCAAAGATGGAATGCTGACACTTGAGACGTTACGGAAGGTCATGTTGGCAGCCCAGATAAGGTTAGGGAAGCTAACATCCAAGTTCTTTCCGTTGGAGTCGATGTTGAGGAGAGTGGTGACATTGCCAACTTGGGTGCTGAAGGTCTTGAGACGGTTGTTGTTGTTGATGTTCAAGGTGTCTACGGTGTTCAAGTTGATACCATCGAGAGTGCTCAAGAAGGTGTTGGTAATGGTAACACTGTTCGCGGTGCTAACAGCGTTGGCGAAGGTAAGGGATGGGAGAGCTGGAAGAGCGGCCCAGTTGATGGTTCCAACTGTATCGAGAACGGCGAATTGGAGGGTTGACAAGAGAGTCAAATTGCTTAAGCCGAAAACACCAGTGATAGTGTTAATGGAAGTACTGGAGAGTGTTGTAATGGCTCCGTTGTTCTCAACCATCAAATCACCCGTAATCTCTTCAGGTCCATCGAGGTTGATGATACCAGGTGCGGTGGTACTGATAAGAACGCTACCATCGATGGTTTTGCAATCAGCCAAAGCGGTGGCATCGGCAGCGGAGTTGATGGTGGCGGTTGATTGAGAGCAGATGGAGCTGGTGGCAGCTAAACACGACGAAAGTCAGTATGTGAATTCTCCGAGTTGACAATATCTTGAAACAATTAATGAAATATTAACAACTTACCAGCTGCGGTGCCGATGACTGCGAGAGCCGGGAGAAGAACTTTGGTGAACATGGTGATTCGGAGTATCTTCTACAGTAACTTTGCAATTGTTAGTCCAATTATTGTAAGAAGAATGCAAAAAGTGTTGATCGAAGATGAATAAGTTGCAATGTAGAGAGAGAGAGAGAGAGATTGTTGAACAGGAGGAAGAAGACGAAGTGGCTGATGATCAGAATTCCTGAAGAAGGGTGATCCGAGAAATTGGCAGGAACCAACTGTTGAAGGAAGGCAGGAAGGATGGGTCTCTCTCTCTCTAACCAAGACCAAGAAAAGAAGGCGGGAAAGGAATTTGATTGATTGATTGATTTTGTTGATTGATGATCGAATGTATTGTAATTATGATTGTAATTGTAATTATGGTGAATGATCGATCTCTCCAATAAATGAATCTATTCAAGAGGAGAGAGAGAGGGAAGGAGAGATGAGAGATGGGATGAATGTAAAACTTTCAAAAATATTGACTCACCCTTTAATTTTAATATGTTGTTGATTACTTCTTTCCTTTTTTGATGATATTCCTTCTCGATTGTATATTGAGTTTTGTTGATATTATTGTATTTGTTTGTTGTATGTAAGTGAGTGAGAGAGTGAGAGAGTGAGAAATCTTAACGACAGTGATGAAGAGAGAAAAGAGTGATTGGAAGAAAGACGACAAGACAAGACAAATACAATATGGACAACGTTTTCGAAGAGAGGAGATCAGTTTCAAGTAGAAAATGGCTTTTCTTCAGAGAGAGCAGCTTGCAGGCTTAGGAAATGAAATCAAGGCTTGTAAAAAGGGGAAAGTATGAAAGTATCCTAGTATAGAACGCTTGTTCATAGTGAGTTTTGTTCCTAGTCAGATTTTGGAAAGGGTAGGTTAAATACGATTTGATTGGATCAATTTTAACCTTGGTATTATTACTTAGTTGGGTAAAGAAAACCTGCTTTAGTTTTCTATTAGCTGGTTAAACTTACGGGTCGGTGCGCAGCGGATACTCAAGGGAACTTAAATGACTACGGTAGTAGTACTAGACCGCTCAGGGTAATATTATTATTAACTTAAGTGTTCCAGAAGAGAAGCATTTCTTATAATATCTTCTAATTTTACCCTGCCAACCAACTACAAATACTTTTATATGGAGACTTCGGAAATGAGAAAGCGAATGGCTATCACAATTATACCGGTTTGTTGATTCTATTCTACAGTATCTATATTCTACATCCATCATCGAAAGCTTGTTGTTTATTTATATCATACGAATGAATCAATTTAACATCAAGACTCCTCCCAACTTCCAAGACGATTAATGAAATAAATACTAAGAGCCCATCGAGAGAGAGCCATCTATCGAGGTTGAACGGGGGTTCTAATAGAGTTCAATGGATTGATCGCTTGTTTTAGATCGAATACCTGAAGCTGTCTTATAATACTTGTTTTTATCTGTATTATTCCATTATCCCAGACCGAAGGAGTTGCACATCTATTATGCGGCACCTTAATTATACTCAGCTATTGAAGGAAGACTTCTGGGATTCTGGGCTCAGTTTGATACATACTTCATCGCTGTCTTATACTAATTTAGTATATTATATTTTAGTACAATACGGTATTATCTCGATTCTCCATGACTCTTGATTTTTTTGTGTTAATTTATTGGATATGTACCAGTGGATTTGTCCCCATCTCGAACAATCCAATTGTCTACTCCGTACTTGTACTCGAGTAGAAAATGAACTTCATCTATCCAATTGGAAATCATTTCATTTTCATTCTGGTGCAGCATCATGGCCCAAGTGTTCAAAGTTACGAGTAGCTAAAATTTAAATTTAGCCAGACCATAAATACCCCTGAGATAGATAGGTATCGGTATCAGCGAAATGGGATTTTTAGATAGTGGATCCGAGTGGTCTGATTGATTCATTCATTAGAAAATGCTTGATAGATGGAAATACTCCGTATTCCTTTTCCAAGATCAAGGTTCTCTCTCTTCTTTCTGATTTTGTTCGACTGTGAATAAGCCCAAGCAACAACCCAATTATTTATCAAACCAAGAAAAGACAACCAACCTCTTCTCTTGATGAACACGAATTGGTCTGTCCAGAATCAAAGTTGGCTTTCTCGTGTTACCCTACCCATACAGATAAATTCTACAGTATTTGTGTTTTTAGATACGAAGTCTTTTAACAAGTTGGTTTTGGTTGTCAATTCGCTGTTCACATGTTCTATGATGGTTTTTCCCCACTGCTTCTCGGGATGCACAATTCAATACCCATTTCAAAAAAAAAAAACAGCCACAACCAACTCAACAAGATTCGTTCGTGGCTTAGATTTTAGTCAAAACTCATCCATCCCCTCAATCATATTTTAACCTGAATCTTCGGCACTGATCTCTGTTTATATTACCCCTACACCTTTACAACCCATTACAACCCTTCAACAAAATCAAAACCAAATCCAAATCCCGTATCCATAAGCCTTCGTACACGTTATGATGACGATTCCTAATAAATCTACTTGGCTCCACAAACAAACATACATTGGATGGCAGATATAAATAACCGACCCTCGCTCCCCTCAAAAGTACAGTGTTCCACACATAACCCCTGTCTCATCGACATTACACAATTACCGTACACCAATTTGAAAAACCTTGCTCTGGAGAGACTAGAGAGACAAGCCTTTCTGCTTTCCACAAACCTCCGTAAATCTTGATGCGATGCGATGCGATGCGATGCGATGTTGATGTTTAGATATGAGATATGAGATATGAGATATGAGATATGAGATATGAGAGAGATATGGGGGAAGGAAGTATAAACTGTAAGTACCTAGGCTAGGTATAGAGAGGATGAGGTTATGGAGATTCGAAGATCTTGGAAAGAATAAATACGATACTTATACATACAGTATTTATTTATTTATTTTTCACACGGTATATAAGTCTGTCTGTAAGTTAGAATAGAAAACAAACAAACACTTTCATTAATTCCAATTTCTAAATATCAACCAAACCTTCCTTCCTCTCTCTCATCGGGTATGTATGTATGTACGGTCGGAGGTATGTTGTATATGTGTAGATACCTAGTTTGAGAGATTTTTTGATGCCGGCGGGCCCGATTTACATACTGTATTACAGTACCACACATGATGCAGGTACACACCACGCAATGCGGTGATGGACGGGATTACTGTAATAACACGACATAGTAGATATGTATCAATATGTATCAAGGAGATCTTCGACGGGTCATCTGTACCAATTTTGTACCAATTTTGAAGTTCGTGGAGCCAGTGGAGAGAAAGGAGAGGGGAATGAGTTTGTTTGTCTGGCTGTACCGATGGGCTGGATTTCTATATTTTGTATATATATGTGGTGTATGTACTCGAGTAGATGAATGTTGTGAATGCTTTACGAGTAGAATGTACATACTGTATATACTGTACCTACCTACCTACCTACCTACCTACCTACCTACATACATACATACATACATACATACATACATACATACATACCTACATACATACTTCACCAAGCAAAGCAAAGCAACTCAACTCGCCCATCACTTGAACAAAAAAAGTTCCAGGCGAGATACACGATGCGTATGTATATGTATGTATACGTATATGCATATGGGGGACAACACTATGTAACATATATGTATGTACTACTAAGTATATGTACAAAATACAAATCATGTGGTTTCATAACCTTACAGCGGACATATCGATATCGATATCATGTGGTCTCTCATACTGTATGTACACACACAGAGAGTACAGCGGGCAGGAATAGGAATACGTGCTGTGCAGTGCAGTGCAGACTTCCTCCTGTTGTGCTGCTAGCTATTGCTATTGCTGCCAATGTGATGGATTATATGACATTACTCGAGTATTTATGCGTACCGGTACATTCAGGTCATGATTGTATGGAAAAAAAAATTGATGGTCTGTCTGTCTGTCTGTGTTTCTACTATATATATGGGCTTTGTTGTATGTATGGGATCTGCTGTGTTGTAACAGTGTACGCGTACGGTATGTACATACAGACAGATGGAGTACTGATGACGGCAGACAAAATGTATGTTGACTTCAACCTCAACCTAAACATCAACATCAACCTCCATCACAGCCTGAATATCATATACGATATTTACATCAATACTCTGTCTGTATTAACATAACGTGCCTGATGAGTTAGTATCAGTACCAGTCTTGTGAGTAACAATAGAGTTTGATACAGCACCGGTATTGTATTAGTTCTCTCCTCTCACTCAGTATTCAATAAACCGAGCCAGCCACACACTCACTCACGAATCACTGCTCGCCCAAAAAATAAACCTTAAATAAATAAAATAAAACTTTCGAGGATACCTATGCATACTATCGTTTGTAATTTTGTAGTTTGGTGTAGTGTAGCGAATTCTTGTAAGATTACCATACTTACTGTATGATATGGTATGCAAGTCCATGAGCGCTTTGATGTCAAGCTAATTTACTCATAGGCGACGGGTTGTATGTACTGTAGGGTGATTGATGATTATAATTTTTAGGCGAGGAGATGGTGGATGTGGTGGATGTGGAAAAAAGAAGGGAGGTGGAATGAGTGGGATCTGATAGGTTGGTTGAGCTGTGTGTGGGTTATGTATGAAGTCATAGAGGGAGTTTGAAGTGTTGATGTATTGTATCTACTCGAGTAGTATTGATAATTTAAGAATCAATTGGTTGCGATCTTGTGTTGACAATGAAACGCCATTTCCTGGAAATATTATGTGTGTTAAAGATCTGATGTCTGTTTGTTTATCCCTTGTTTCGGTGTACCTGTACATAAGAAAATACCGTTCACATCTCATAATCTTCTCCATACATTCTATTCTCCTTTGTGATCATCCTCCTGCATGATGAACATACCATACCATCCCACATCCCACACATACATGCATGCATATCCTCCAAAGATCAAGCCTAATCCTCGAGAGTAGTGATATCCGTATCTTCTACTCGCCACATGTACCACATGAATATACTTCTGATGTGTGCGTTAGTTTTTGGTGATTGTGGGGTTAGGTTTTCGTTAATTGTGAAAGGTGTATATGAGGAAAGGGAAGGGGGATAAGGAAGGAGATGGTGGAGAAATGGGGGGTATGTGAGGACGGCAATGGAGGGAAAAATGGGAAAGGGGAGGCCGGTTGGCTAGTGATAGAGCATTTTTCATGTGTATGTGAAGGGGTAGATGTACGAATGTAGATAATGATAATAATGAAAGGTAGTGGGTAGGGCAAGGAGAAAGCTATGAAGATGGTGATGATGAGAGGGAAAGCTGAGTTAAAATCCAGCATTTGAAACTATTCAAAAGAGTGCGTCGTCACCCACTAGCGAGGTTCAAGAGTGAGGATATCTTTTTTTGGTATAAAACAATAGTGGGTGAGGTTAGGCTCCTTAGAGATTTAAGAGAGTGAGTAGGAAGAAAGAAATTTTGACAACTCACCTATAAGGACTAAACTTTTCCGCCATCTCCTCCATTTCCTTCTCCGCCATATACTTCCACTTTCCACCCCCTTTTGCCCCCTTCCCCGCTTTCTTCAATTTCTCCACATCTCTACCGACTAGCGCGGCCATTCCCCTCTGAATCCCTAGATCTCCGGTACTGAAAACATCTAGTCGTTTGAGAGCAAAACAGGCAAACATTTCAACGCTCCATTTGCCGAGACCACGGACTTGGATTAGGGAGGCGAGAACTTCTTCGTAAGATGCGGTGAGGAGGAAGGGGGTGGTTAGCTCACCAGTGGTGAATTTGAGGGCGAGGCCGTGGATGTATTCGGCTTTTCGTTGGGAGAGGCCCGCGGTGCGGACTAAGCTGTGTTAATGAGGAGGGGAGAGGTTAGGGTGAGGGGTCAAGGGGTAGATAAAGTGGATATGAAGATAGATATGTGGAAGCTGGAGATGAATGTATTGGTAGAGGATTGTGCTTACGGTGAGGTATATCAGTAGGTACAATAGCGGAAGGGGTCGGGAATGTGTGGGTAGATGGGTTTGAATCAGGTGGGTTGAAAAGTGCCACAAATTTAGCTTTGATGGATTTGGCCGCCGCACCGGAGACCTGATTTGTGTCAGATTTGTGTCAATACACGGAGACAATTATTTCTTTAGCGAATTTCCTACCTGCTGCGATATGATTCCACTGACCAACGCCTTAAAAGGCTCTATCTCCTCAGCTAATCCCTCAACAGAAAATAATCGACATGGATGCTTTTCAATAACTGGCTTTAACTTGGGCTCAACTTTGATCAAGTGCTCTATAGCTTTGTCCAAAATATCAGAGGTTGAGAATTTGGCTACGGGTGGTTTTGATGGAGATACTTCGTCCATAGGTTTGTTGGCAATGAGTCGATGAGTTTCGGGCGTTACTAATGGAGCATTTGTCCCATTTAGAACAGCGAGACGATCAAGGGGTACAGAAGGTGGAGGCATACTATCGTCGACGTCCTTATAAGGGCTGGACATTGATCCGATAGCTGCAGGGGTCGGAGTCACTGGAGGCGGAAGGATGGGGGATGCCTTTTTTCTCTTTGGGGTTGATGGGCTTGCATTTTTGGTGGATGGAGAATTAGAGGATTTGTGTGTAGCAGTTGCCCTCTTCTTTGGGGTTGGAAGTATGGGAGGTAGTTCAGGTTCGGATGCTTCGGGAAGGGCAGCCTTTCCTTTTTTGGTCTTGGGAACTTTGGGATGTAATTCAGTTTCGGATGCTTCTGGAAGGACAGCCTTCCTTTTTTTGGTCTTGGGAGGTATGGGGGTCAACGAAGATTCGGATGCTTCTGGAGATACAGTCTTTCTCTTCCTGCCGACTTTAACCTTAGATCCTGTTGGGTCATCTCCATCAATAGCCTTGGCGTCTTTTGCCACAGAAGCAGCGGATGCAGTTTCAGATGGTTTCCCGGTGATGAGGGATACTGCACTCAACCGAGCTGATCGTCTTGTAGACATTTTGAAGTAGTTTGAATACTGTGAAGAGAAGTATCTGGGTGATGAAGGTAATGTGTTAAATGACAAAACCCGCTGTAGCCTAATTACAGAATTGTAAGCAAGAGACTTCTACTATCACATCGTATTAGTGACTTGATCATTACTTCAATGTAAGAGGTACCTGTATATTCATTCTCTTACAAGCTTACGAACAGTAGACAGTAATTCCGACTTCAGATGAATACTTCTTCAGCTCTAACAGTACTAGTAGTAAGCCAAGGTATCAAACATGAACCATACCCATGTCCCAGAAGATAGCAATTTCACGTGATGACTCCTTTCCTGCCAGGTTAACCAATCCAATAGAGGCGATTCCGGCTATTGAACATACATTAGATGAATTAGTATGGGATTAGCAAACGCAACACAATCAACACATTCAAAATACCTGATAAGAGTACGAATTAGATCGTATTGTATAAGAAGACTTTGGTTGATACGACGATAGTGGAATTATACCTATATAATTAACTATATCTTTATCATCATAAAGATATAAAAACCTAATGAAGTTCTAGTTTCTAAGTTCCTCTCTTTTCATTCGCTTAAATAGTCTTGGCATAATTTCTAGATTCGTGTAGGACCCTCGAAGCCACTGAACGGATCTCCCTGCCACTCGCGACCTCCTCAATATCTTCAAATCCACCAAACTCCCTAATTTTAGTGTCAAAGAGCTTGTGATCTCACCCTCTTTCGCAACGGAATTCTTGAGCGCTTCTACCTCCACGTCTGCGAGCTCGAATTGATATCGCATACTTTTCGTACTGGTGGTTTTGAAGCCACAGGAGTTTCGCCATGTTGGGTCCTAAGGGTGGCATGAATTGGAAGGCTACAAAGGCACAATTACCGCCTGTGAGAGCGATATGGGTATTTCTTACAAGGACGCGGTTCTTACTGTGTGTAGCGTTAGCTGGTGTCGTTGTATTACTATGGAGAGGGATTAGTACTTCAGCACAGGAGATGCAAAGGTAAGCGCTCTCTCATGGCATATGGCAATCAGTAAATACCATACAATATGAACATCGCTGATTTTTGTACCGATTTTAAAGGTATTATTGTTGGGGACCTTCGAAACCGCCGATGCAAATGACATTGAATGAACAAGCCGACTGGAACGCGCATTTACAGACACCGGTTATCTTTAATCATCATGAACCGGTGGTAGTTAATTCTAGTACTATTAAAAGTGTCGACCTCAATCCCATCAAATCCACTACGAAAGCTATTGCGAACGAAGAACGAATTTTGATCTTGACCCCTCTTCGAGATGCCGCGTCATATTTGCCAAAATACTTCGATTTACTCTCACTCTTATCATACCCACATCATTTGATAGATCTTGCTTTCTTGGTTGGCGATTCATCCGATGATACTCTTGCTGTACTTGCTGCAGAACTCGACAGAATTCAGGACGGAAAGGAAACTGCCGCCTTCAACAGTGCTTTGATTGTTCAAAAAGACTTTGGTGCGGTTTCTGGTCAAACCGTCGAGGAACGTCATGCATATCCGGCACAGGCACCTCGAAGAAAGATTATGGCTCGTGCCAGAAACTACCTCTTGTCTGCGGCTTTGAAACCGGAACATTCGTGGGTATACTGGAGAGATTCGGATATTGTCGACAGCCCTGAGAAAATCATTGAGGATTTCATTGCTCACGATACAGATATCATTGTACCAAGTATGGAAAATCCTCTTTTCACCGGATTTGTTAAAAATACTGACTTGGGCAGATGTATGGTTCCATCGATATCATGACGGGGTTGATATCGAGGGTCGATGTAAGTCTAGACCACACTTGGAAGCAATATGACAAATGCTAATCATCTACAGTTGATTATAACTCATGGATTGAGTCGGATAAAGCAATCAAGATGGCATCAAAGCTTGATAAGGACACAGTTATCGTAGAGGGTATGTACTGAAGGAAAGAAGTTTGTGGCACAACACTGATAATTCTCAAGGTTATAAGGAATTCGATACTGGTCGTACCTACATGGCTTTGATGGGTAATTGGAGAGAAAACAAGGACGAGGAAGTTAAGCTAGATGGTATAGGTGGTGTCAATATCATTGTGAAGGCAGACGTCCATAGATCAGGTAATTATGTCAGACATACTGAAAAGGCTGAAGACTGACGAATTCATAGGAATCAACTTTCCAGCTTACGCATTCGAAAACCAAGCCGAGACCGAAGGCTTCGCAAAAATGGCCAAGAGAGCAGGGTATCAGGTTATTGGATTACCCAACTATGTGGTCTGGCACATGGACACAGAGGAGAAACCTGGTAACAATATTTGAGATGCCACTGTATTGAGAAACTCGTTCGGACACGTCTTAATGCATATACGGAGTTTTTTTTAAGTGAGAAAGAGGAGATTTTGTATGATTGGATTCGGAGGGGGAACCGACATTCAGAAAGGAGGAAAAAATGATTCCCCCACCCAACTTCGAAGGGGTTCTTTTAAACTTTCGAATTTCTTGTACCGAATTTTTTTCATTCTGGGGGCCAGGGAGTTTGATCATTTTCATGAATGAAGATACGGGCTTGGGCTTGATAGTAAGCATGGTGCAAGGGCAGCATACCACTGTAATAGAAATGTCCCAATTGCGATTTGTTTATTCATGATGGCTTTACTGTTGCGGTGCACTGGTTCCTGGTTTACTGCTTCACTGGATGGAAGACTGGAAAAGTGGAAATGCAATGACAATGCGAATACGGGTTGGGATGGAGTGGGGGTTGTGAATTGTGTAAATGCTCTATGGATATCTATGGATAATGAATGAATGGGGTGGTTTTGGGAAGTTTAGAAGGTGATAGCATAGCATAGCGTAGCTTGTGAATGGCATAGCAAATGGAAGGAAGTTCATGATCATCTTGTTTCGGGTCTTCGTGCTCGTGCTCATGCTCGTGCTCATGCTTGTATTTCTGGGGTGGATTTGGATGGATGGATGGATGGATGGATGGATGGGATGGAATAAAAAGGTTAAATGGTAAATGGTAGATGGGACGAGGGATTTGAGAGGGTGCCTGCTTGGAGAAAGGGTCGGCTATTTATCTAAGGGGAAGAGATGGCAGGGGAGGCGAAAGACGAGGAGCGGGAAGAAAAGTTGCTGATTCGTTCCATATATGGACTTCTTACCAGAATTGGGATTCTTACATACATACAGTACATAGATAGCTGTTTCAAAGGGGACCATGACTGTGATTGCGATCCGTTTGTGATTCTGGTTTCAAGAGTGATGGATAGATGGATGGATGGATGGATGGATAGTACAGATGTATTGAATCATCAGGGTGAGAATTTCACACGTTGGGTTGAGTATAGAAGTAAGTAAATTAAAAGAATCGATCTTGGGGTTGGGAAGAAGTTGGTAGTTTGATGGTTCGAGGAGGAGATTCTGGAGGTTTGAAAAGTATGAATGGTTGTATTTTTCATGCTTGAGTTGTTTACCATGCTTGAGTCTGCATCGATATTAAACTGAAAATTAGTGGTATGGTATGGCCTTCAAATCCGCGTACCAAATCACTCTCGGTTTCTGATGAACTCGGTAAGCAAGCCAATCTTTCCATTTGTCTTGATTTATTTCAAACATCTTGTAGAGTGCTTCCCGTCTTATGTCGACATATTTAGAACATTGCTTGCAAAAAATCGGGGCCTTTGGTACCTTAACATCAATCAATTTGCGGTTTGGATTCTCTGAGTTGGCTCTAGAGTTTAGCTCAGACATCTAGACACCGTAGCTGTAGTATATATGACATTCCCTGTTCGAGAATTGCCACAATGCCTCACACTAGTGACGCAAAATCCTCTTCACATAATCTTCACATAGAGTAGAGTGAGTTTTTGTTTTCGAATTGATGATCAACGTTATAGAGTACAGAGCAACATTTCTCAGCGCTTTCGTCCCAACCTCTAAAATCCCATCCTTCCACTCCCAAATATACATATCCAGCATCTCCTCATCCAATGCTTATCCCTTACTTATTTTTGGTGATAGTCAAGGACTCCAAGTCGGCACGTTCCTTGGCTTCAGCTGCGATCTCTATAATGATGGGTGAAAGATATGCGTAATCCTAATGGTGTATATGTTAGAGCTTGGTGAGGTTGTAGGCATTAGAAAAGGCTCACATCTTCCGGCTTGGTGTGTTGGTCTTTTGGCAAAAGCTGATGTTGAACAGAGCACTGAGTATTGCTGTCAATTATGCGCCCATTTTAACAATTCTCCGAGAAATCAATGGCATACCTGAACAGCTCTTCTCAAACGGAAGACACGATCATAAGCTTCCTTTTGCGGTAAACGCTTGAGCGCAAGAAGGACGTCTTCGGATTCTTCGGGGAGCAAATCATCGGCTCTGTAATTTCCTAAATATTAGCTTTCTTTCCTTGCCATATACTAATTGCTCTTCGATCATTCGATCCTTCAAAGTAAAAACCTGGCATACCTCAATCCCAACTGACGGTACCCAGCAGCATTTGTATACCATGAAGCCAAAGGCGTCATCATCTTCAGAAGCAAAGGCTTCTTGGCTATCCAGCTTGCTAAGGATGGTGCAGACATGATGGGCGGTTTGTGAGTGTGTATTGGTGGAGAGATTCTTCGATTTTGGGGGTGTATTGAGGATGAAGTTCAAAAGTCAATGATGATATTAGGTAAGCGAGTCAGCGTAGTTTGAGGAGCTTGTGATTGGTTGGAGAGAAAGAGGAATGGAACGGGAATAAAAACGGCGGGGGAGGAGGTGCGTCAATGTGATAGATCAATAAATCACTAAATTTTTGGAGAGAGGCACGTGGAAGTGGGATGAGGGGATGAGGAGGAGGGGATGAGGATGATTTATTATTTCTTTGTTATTGAGATCAGAAATGTAATCTGGATGATTTCATTTCCACTTCGGGATCAAGTTGAAGACGTTTAATGTATTAGAATGGAGGATTAGATTATCTGCTGTGCCAATTAGACGTTTAGCTTGGTAGGATTGGGATAGCTACAGACTTAAAAACCCAATACTATACTGTACTATATTTATAAGCTAATTATACCTAGTTGTTGATACTGTTGATATCATTATCTTGAACAATACAAATTCTCCCACTTTGTTGAAATGCGAGGGAGGTTCTGTTTCTAGTTTTTTGTTTCTACTGTAGGTTCTGCTTCTGTTCTCACAATTCTCACACAAATTGATTCCCCCCTTTCTTTATCGATAACCCAAAAGATCTAAACGATCATACAACCATAACAACCATATCTAATAATCAAATATATTTGATTTAACTAATTCAAAAGATTAACCATAAGATTCATCCTTTTTGATGAGGTGTATGTACCTGCTTCTTCCCTTGGCTGCTTGGTGGGTCGACCCTTTTTATCAAGCGATATTTATTGTAAGCTTCCGATATTAATAAAGTTAAGCCGGTTTTGAGTCCCGGTGCTTCCCTCAACCACAAAATCCTCAACTCAACCCACTTTCTTCAAAGAAACAAAAACCAATTCTTCCAACTTTCAACGCTTTCACAATTCGCAAAGCTTTAGCAAACATTCAGGCGATTGTCAATGGCCTGCGATAACCGTTAGCTGCTGTGTCACTGGCGTGCTGCGTGGGATCTTTCCCCGCACACCGGGACACACGAGATTGCAAGAAAAGAACGGCGACAACAAGTGAAAGGCCTTCCACCACCTGCGGCTTTCCTCCCTGCGATTTACTTCTGCCTTCGGCCGAAGTAGCAGAAGCTATTGAATATTTGCGCCAAACACAATTACAATGTCACATGAACGCAGCACGCCATCATCATCGCGATCTGAGGAATTTGCGTCCTCTCAACCTACCACTCAACAATTCGCATCGAATTTAACGCTTGCAGGGGGAGATTCACCGATCACTAGATTGGAAAGGATAGCCAGAACAAGGGCGGAATGGGAATTTAATGCTTTTGCGGGGGCGGTGGGTGGTTTTACTTCTGGAGTTGTTACTTGCCCATTAGATGTTATTAAAACGAAATTACAAGCACAAGGGGGTTTCAGGGCAGCACAAGGACTTGGGGCACAATCTGCTGGACAAGTGGTATACAGTGGTTTGCTTGGAACGGGAAGAATGATATGGCGGGATGAAGGGTTGAAAGGATTGTACAGAGGCCTTGGCCCCATCATCCTTGGTTATCTACCAACATGGGCAGTTTGGTTTACGGTCTATGGCAGATCAAAACAGTTCTTTGGACATCATACTGGTATGGATTTTGCACAAGTAATTCTCAAAAGTGAAGATGGAAGCTAAGAAATCTTTACAGATAACACCGTGCTGGTGAATTTTTGGTCCTCAATAATTGCTGGAGCTTCATCAACAATGGTTACCAATCCCATATGGGTCATAAAGACACGTCTAATGTCACAAGTCAGTCGCAAGACCAAAAATAATGGGGCTAGACCACCCTGGCATTATCGATCAACTTTCGATGCAGCAAAAGTAATGTACAGGACAGAAGGATTTTTATCCTTCTATTCCGGCCTCACTCCTGCACTACTTGGCTTGACACATGTAGCTGTTCAGTTTCCAGCTTATGAGTATTTGAAGACAAAGTTCACAGGTCAGGGGCTAGGAGCTTCAGCAGAGGGTGATGAAAGCTCTCATCTAATTGGGGTATTATCTGCAAGTGTACTCAGTAAGATCATAGCAAGCTCTACCACTTATCCTCATGAGGTCATTCGGACAAGGCTTCAAACTCAACAAAGGTCCATGCCCGCTGCCTCGGCAGAATACAGTGCATTCAGGGGAGGTCTAGAAGGGCAAGCCCATCAACCTGGAGTTCCAAATCCTATTGCTCAAGTCAAACAAGCAGTACCGAAATACAGGGGTATTGTAATGACATTCAAAACGATATTACGCGAAGAAGGATGGAGAGCATTTTACGCAGGTATGGGTACAAATATGATGAGAGCTGTACCTGCGGCCACAACCACCATGCTCACTTACGAGTACATTATGCAACATCTAAACCATGCAAAGATTGAAGGAATCCGGAAATCAGGAGAAGAATGATAAGTATTTCATATATTTTGTCAACAGACTTGGCAAGATGTACATTGAACCAGGACATACTTCCCTGAGGTTTGAGATTATACGAAGGCCAAGAAATAGTTCTGCATTTTACAGCATTTAAAGTTTGCGGGCGTTTTTGGTCATGTACTCGGCCATTAGGTACATGGAGATATCATGATGAGGCTTTTGTGTTTATGGAACATATTACAGACGTTCATATCTGGATGAAACCTCTTTGTGGATGAGGGGCATGTACTTATAGATGGTATTAGCCATCAAGACAAATGATAGTTTAATATTCCACCTTCAGCTAATGTGCAGTGTTTAAAAGATGGCCCTAAACTCCCATACGCAACCTCATAAGTCAGACTTATATGTAGCTGCGTGCACGCTGAACGTATGACCAAAACACCTCTCCGTCATTATTATCTTCGATTGTCATTATTCTGATTTCCCAGTATAGGCATCTTCCCTCCCCTTCGCCGCTCTCTCTCTCAATTTTTTCTCCGTTTCATATTTCCCAGGCGCATCCCCCTTCGACCTCAAGTCCTCCAAATTATCCTTTGCAGTCCCCAATAATTGCTTCACGGGATTTTGCTCCTGCGGGACAATCAACTTCCCATGGCGTCTCATACTTTCATTGGCCCAATTTATTTGTCCTCCGTCTGCTTCGCGATGTTTCTGGGCGTTTTGTTTGGCGGCGCGGATAGAGGTACGGGTGTATGTGAAGAGGAGTAAAGCCATGGTTGCGGCTGCTAGAGGGGCCGTTATGGTCTGGGTGGAAAGGTGTGTGTGGTTAGCTGCGAAGTTGCTGGGAGGAGATGATTGAATGGACAGGAGGGAAAATGGAATAGGGAATAGGGATAGTACTTTGGCATTTAGATTAAATTTCCGAGGAGCCATATTGAATTGAATTTGATTGAATTTGAATTTGTATTTGATTTCTGGAGAATTGAATAATTCACATTTCCGTTCCTCTTTGTTTATTAATTTGTACCGTCTTGTCTCAAATTATCGAATGGTTTTTTGAATATTGGAAAATGAGAAGCCGAGGACGTCATGCGATCTTCGGGGGATCAACAGGGATCTTTGAACAAGGGACTTCACAACTTTTTTAAAAATAGGGAAGTCCTCAACAACTTTTGCATTGAACATTTATAAATATTTTGCTGGTAATGGAATTCAAGAACTGATGGATCGCATTCGATAATAACACGGAGATTTTGTGTGAATTTCGCACAGTACGTACGTGTATAATACGCAGATAGACAATGAAGGGACTCAATTTCGCATCGGCGTGGGCGAGGTCGAGAGCGAGTACGAAGGCGATTTCTTGGACTTGTGGGAGGTGTACGCAGAGAGAGTCGAAGAAATCTTGGGTGCAGAATGCGGCATATTCGACGGGGAAGAGGGGAGGGAACGGGAACGGGAACGGGAATGGCTATGGAAATGGAAATGGATATCAGCAGAGTCGAAAAGCGAATAAAGTTATCATGGCCTCTGCTGTGGGGGGTGTAGCTCTGACTGGACTTGCTTTTACGGACGATGTGAGGCATGCGTACGAGGCGGTGGAGAGGACGGGGAGAGTGGTTAGTACGCTGTTTGTTTGTATAAATGAGTGAGTGCATTTTTGGTATTGTGTAAGATTATTAGGGACAAGTGGCTAATTCGAGGTGCGACAGTTATCGAGTTACATTGAACCATAATGAGAAGATTGGAGATGAGGCAGAAAAGGGTAGAATGTTGAAGGATTGTCATCAGAGATGTGCGGATCGGACATTAAGAGTGTTGGAGAAGAATGGGAGTATATTCATAAAACTTGGGCAACATTTGGTATGGTATTTGTGTCTAGGCGCATCATGCAGTGGCTAATTGGGTTTCGCAGAGTGCTATGAATTACCTTCTACCTTTAGAATGGACCACCACGTTTATACCCTTGCAAGACAAATGTCCTGTTTCGTCAATGGAGTCGATAGAAAAATTGTTTATGTTAGATACGGGCGAACAACTTTCAGACTACTTTTCGGAATTTGCAGAAAAACCAATAGGGGCAGCGTCTCTTGCTCAGGTACATTTGGCGACTGTTAAGGAAACGGGACAGAAGGTTGCGGTGAAGGTGCAACATCCGAACTTGGCGGAATGGGCGGCTCTTGATCTGGCATTGACTGGCTTTACATTCTCGACATTGAAGAAATTCTTTCCGGAATATGATCTAGAATGGTTGTCATCGGAAATGGAAGTTTCTTTGCCAATTGAACTGGACTTTACCGAGGAGGGGAAAAATGCTCTACGGGCAAAGGACTACTTCTCACGGTTACCCGAATTACCACTGGTTATACCTGATGTTTTGTGGGCAAAGAAACGCATTTTGGTCATGGAGAATGTAGCAGGACATCGTCTAGATGACCTCGAATTCCTAGACTCCAATGGCATCGATCGCGACGAAGTTTCCGCTGCCCTCTCACGTATTTTTAACGAGATGATTTTCGGGAATGATGCCCCTCTACATTGTGATCCTCATGGAGGCAATCTCGCCATTCGTAAAAACGATAATCGCCGCGGTGCCAATTTCGATGTAATCCTCTACGACCACGGTCTCTACCGCGATATTCCCCTCAAACTCCGTCGCTCATATGCCAAGCTTTGGCTTGCAGTAATCGACGCCAACGAACCTCGCATGCGCAAATATGCTAAAGAGGTGGCCGGTGTCACAGATGAACAGTTCCCCCTATTTGCCTCGGCTATAACGGGGAGGGATTACACAATCCTAACAAAAGACGTAGCACTCGAACGATCAGAGGAAGAAAAGAAAAATATTAATGATGCGTTGGGTGAAGGGATGCTTCAACAACTTGTACAAATGTTAGGACAGGTTCCGAGAATTATTTTGTTGATATTAAAGACGAATGACTTGACGAGGAGTTTGGACGAAAATTTACACACGCGACAGGGGCCTGTGAGGACTTTCTTGATTCTGGCGAGATATTGCTCAAGAACCGTGTTTCAAGAACAAATGGAGGAGATTAGGGGAAGTGGGAGTCTTTTGTGGCCCACGAATGGATTCAGATTGTTGGTCGCGTGGTTGGGGTATGTGAGGGTGGAGTTGAAGTTGGAGGCTTTTGAGGTTTGGTTGAGGGTTAAAAGGGTTATGGGGAGGGTTTGAGAGTTTGAGAGTATTCAGAAGGGTTGGGGACACATTGTTTATACAGGAGTGGTGAAATGGGGTATTCCTTCGTGTGACACGTGTACATGGGTCGGCGGAAGGAGAGATATATTGTACTTTGGGTTGACACACTGGGTTGGTTTGGCTTCTACTTTAGCGTGCATGGATGGATTTTATACATAGATTATAGAGGAACTGGAAGACATATCGTTTATCGGAATATCTTTTCTTCCATATTATTTAGCGTGATGAAAGTAGTTACAAAACTACAGTTCTTATTTGCAAAATCTAATAGCTAAGATCTTCCCAGACCAGCCTGCTGTACGTTGATGTAGCTGAAATATAACATTATATAGGTTGAGGAAATCACCTCCCCTGGATTATGTAGACCAATACAATCAAGTCATGCATGCATGCTGTACTCGAGAAATAGTAGGTACCATGACCGAGGTAGGGTCAGACTTTCTCTCTTGTAAGAATTAAACATCACAAGGGTGATGCGAGCCACTTGCAATAGGGCATGGCTGTCGTCTAATCACCACCCACAACCGAAATAAATGACTATCTGCAAGCGCAGAAAACCTGTCAAGTTTTTCCAAAGCGCTTCAAAGCCGCCCAAATGACAGGATCCGTATAAGCTGCAAACTGGTGTGCTTATAAGAGGTCATGCTCAATGTCTAGCAACCAGCCAGGGTCCAGGTAACACAAGGCCGTTATACTCTGTTATTTGATCCGTGCTCATAACCGCATACTCCTCACGAGCAGGTCATTACAGCTCAAGCCATAATGCCATCTGTAAGATCAACCATGCTAGAACTAGTGACAAGATCCCCAAGCCTGGATGATAGAGTCTAATCTGTGTAAATCTCTGCATATGTCTCATATCGCGCGCATCTGAGATATATGTATTCTGTGTTCCCACTCCATGTCAGTTTCTTTTGGCTCACCAACTAAATATCTCCTCGATCTCCACAGTTCTTTCTAAAGTCTTAAAAATCCGGCTAATTGCGAGCTTGTCCTTTGCATGAGAAAAGCAAACGATCGCTTCGACTGTGGGGAGCTGAAGATATCAAAAGCTGCTTTATTGTGATGAACATCTTGTCGTTAGAATGTGACAATTCCGAAGACGAAACTTGATGATAGCCTAGGCATGTACGGCTTGTTGATGTACATTTTAAACAAACCGGCCTTGCCTCGTCGCACTTGACTCTTCTTACTATATAGCTATTAGCGGATAGTCTATTACAACTCTCTTCTTATTCAGATTTTTGAATTCTTACTCCTACAAGTGAGGCATTCAGTCTTGATCTTCGGTCGATATGCTCGCTGCCTTCTTCCTTTGGCTACCTTTGGCATCGGAGACTCGAGAGAGATTGTCTACCGATATGAATTTGAAGTTAGGAATCCAACAGGTAACTCAGGAGCAAATTTTGTATAAGCTCTAAGCGTCGACCGATGTTTGTTGAATCCCCAAAACTATTGCACAGAGTTAACTTAGTTGGCTGGCGAATCAAAGTAAGAATGGAAGCTGATATCCTTCCCCCCCCAACCCCCCCTGAATCAAAGCCACACAGGACACGTGAGCGTGGACTATACTGATTGCATAAACCATCTCGTACTCATTACTGAAAATTTCAATCGGTCTACCTACTACCTACTGTCTACCGAACGATCTTTGAGCATGATCTTGTGCCGTAACGTTCAGTCCCGGGCATCGGTAGAATCATTAGCACTCGTGCATGGTACAGCTCCATCACTTTGCTAGCTACTCAATATTCCATATTCCAATACTTATCTCACTACTGAAGCTGTTGAACCCATAAGATGCTATTTTGCATATCCTCTCAGAAAACAGCATATTGGAACTCTAGTAGCAAGTAGTCCTTTTCCGATCAAGAATCATTTATGATATCCGCAGCCTTTTCTGCCATCGCTAAAATCAAAGACTGGAGATCTCCACGTGGAATGAAGGGGAAATGCTACCATCTACGATTCTCAGAATTGTCGTCCCCTACATAATCAGTTCATCATCCACAACACCCCCTTTCTATTCTGGAAGCATCCACTAAGGGAACTGTGGGCCCTATTAGATGTCCTATAAATCTTACATCTTAGATATATGGAAATCGGTTTAAATTGAATGTAGATCTTATAACTCAAATAGTGTGCGTGCTTGACTACTGGCTGGAGTTGAAGTTTCATGATACAAAGATCTCGCGCACTCATGAAGCCTTAGATTATGCGTTTTAGTGGTATAAGAGTCGCCTGGATATGGACTCAACAGTATTTTGTAATGGTGGATTTATATATAATCTTGGAATGTGCATCGAAAATACTCAAGTACTGCTCACACGCATAGAAGATCAAGACGTGGTAATAATACTTCAATTCTCGCGCTCGTATCAACGTTAATTGCATTCTTTAGACACCATTGGGATACGATGTGTCGCATTAAATTGAGCTTCTCATTGGATTGCAACTAGTTGGAACGTTGCAAGCCCAGGCCTTACTGGAAGATCGAAGATTGACAAGGAGAGAATTAGCGGAACACTCAAGGGATCAAGACTCCTCGCCAAAGGTTGTATACAGCCGTCGCGTCGAGAAATATCTTCTCTCTGTAACGCATGGGTAATCCGCCATTCTTTCCCTAGAAACATCGAAACAGAAGGCAGCAAAATATCAAAATCGATCTGAACAAATACAGGATTACTGTACTAGAAACCATGCATCACTGCTGAGAAATAAACATAAGCCCATAATATCAAGCGAGTGAAAACAATGATTCGCTCACTCGCTCGTTTTGGAGTGGAGTTAATGGACAGACGCTCCAGTCAGTCGATGGGATTGATGCTAAAGATGCCAGCCAACTGCCCGCACAAACACACAATACAAACCCTTTGGTTGTTTTCGGTTTGAGAGTCGGTGCACTCTGGATTGTCATTACTCAATATACAGATTGTGGGGTTTCAAAATCCAAATCACATTCGGATATCGGAAAATAGCACTTGCTGAATGTCTGGAAATGAAAATGTGAACTAACATTGAACTTTCATATACCTGAGAGGCGAGGTTGCTGGAATCATGGAGAATTGGAATCAGCTCATAGGCACAGAGTCTAAAAAGTTTGCGGCTGAATACGATGTATAATTTTTGACCAAGAGACTAGGACTTGAAAGTGTTACTTTGTCTGACTAGCATGTAATGTAAGAGCTATGCTATAGATGAAACATATGATTCTTAGGTTCATTCTATTGGAGGCCAAGCAATGGGGCCGAGGAAAGGCAAGATGTTCTTTGCAGTATGTAAAGCCGACCACCACATAAGGGAGGAAGATTATATGATACAGGTATCTTTCTTTGGTCTTTTAATAGAGACTCGTATGTCATACCGTTCAGCTGAAAGGAGGGAGCCAGAATGGATATCCACCATTCTTGATGCGGAAAACGCTAAGCAAGAAACTATACATGACGAAGATGACGCCACTCCACACGAGGACTGCGACTTGCTGAATTTTGGGGTCTGCAATACGGGGAACCTTTAGAGCTAAAGAGATAGTTGCAAAAGACAGAAGCCCATCTAGTCGGTTTTATCAGCATTGTAGTAAAAATTAGTAGGGATAGGAAAGGGATGTCTTACACATGGCAGCGATAATTTGTGTTTCTAGACCATATTGATTTGAGAAGCCCCCTGCAAAGTAGCTAACACCTCCATGTCCATCACCGGCAACGTATGGAACCTTTCGAATATGATTGAACATATGGCCACTGGTGAACAAAAGTATGGCAATCAAGCTGATTGCGGCCCAGACATTTCTGTTTTGAACAACGGGGAGAATGTATGGGGAAGCAACACTGAGGAAGGTGATCGTTCCTAGTATAGTGGTGGTAACAGCGATACCGCGAACCCAATTGATGGGTCGTTGAATGGGAGGATGTGGTCGATCGGTAAGATGTTTAGCAATCCAGGAGTGTATCTGTTCAGCGCTTTGAGGACCATTTGTAAAGTCGTATCTCACGGGGCCGTTGATTGTTGAGGCATGAGGGCCAATGGTAGGCAGAAAGAGAAGAAGGACGGGAGCAGTTTGAAGACCAAGCTATCCAGAGATTAGGATTGATAGGTTGAGTAGATTTGAAGGGCCAAACGTACAGATTGGAAAGTGCCTTTGCCATCTATGAAGTCAAGTGTTCCATAGAGCAAACGGGAATCCCCTTGCCTATCTCCTTTTGTCCAGCACTTTGATAAGAGATCCCATTCTGGTTGAAATTCACGACATAATTGACATCCAAATCTAGTTTCCAAAGCTGTCAACAACACGGCTACAGAGTAATCCCTGGGTGCAGAGGTCAATTTGCTGTAAACATTATCGTCGAGCTTCAAAGGAGTAGATGAGAGAGATTTTGTATGGTATCGTTCAAAGTTATCGACGGCGGGTTTTTTGGCAGCTAGAGCAGCTATCGGTAGCAAGGAGACTACCAGTGTCTTGAGGAAATGCATTTTAAAATAAAATGCAAGGCCAAGATGCCTTTAAAGACTGGAATTGACGATATCGATGACAGAGAAAGACCAAAAGTATTGTAACCAGTTATGCCTTATGTGTAAACTGAAGCATTGAAGATTCAATACCTATATCATAATCATCATCAAACACTTACGAAGCTCAGAAGCGTGTCCTCATTTCAATTCGGTAAGTTCCACATCCAAGCGACCGCGGGGAGAGTCAGGAATAGATTGACCGTATCACAAAATTACCGTGGCGTTATAAGAGTATGATGCCTGAGGCATTAAATGATAGCACATCGCGTCGGCCCGGTAACTGGATATCTTGTTGTTGACTTTTGAACGCGATTGAAGGTTTCAACCCTTTTAATAGGTACTTTATTACTAGTTATTCTCACCAAATATAAATTCAAAATGGATCAGGCATTATCATATAACGATGATGAACACATCGAGAGCGTATGTATTCATAAGAAATAATATGAGCGTTTATGGCTAATATAAATTCCTAGCGATTGATGAAATCGCAATGCTTAGAGTTGGCATATCAAGAAGCACTGCAAAATACCGAATTAGTTGTGAAAGATGAAGCAAGCCGGCGACTGAGACTACAGATACTCCTGTTGGAAAATGAGAATGATGAGATGCACCTTCAACTTAGTACTGGAGAGGATCGAAGTGATGGATTAGAAGAAGAGAATGAGGATTTGCGAGCACGACTGGACCAGGCTCAAGAGTTGGCGGAAAGGATGGAAAGCGAATCAAGAGTCCAGACGCGAGAACTCAATAATATCAAGGTATACCAGTTCCTTGAGCATAATCAAATGCATGCTAATTTGTGACCGCTCAGGCAGAGTTAAAATCTATGAGTGGAGTTACATTGGACTCGACAAAGGTTCTTATGGAAAAACTGGCACTTAGCCGCGAGGTCTCTGTACTGAAGCCAGAATTGGAGCATTTACGTTCACAGGTGGCACATCAACAATCAATTCTAGCGGAAAAGTTAGCACTTCAGCGACAAGTTAGCACTCTAGAGGTAGAATTAGAGACAGAGCGTCGTGCATTGAACCGGGCTACTGAGAAAAACAACGACCATTCGAATGAGATTGAGCTTCAACAGAAAATTGAGGGTTTGCAGAAAGATCTTTCCGAGGAGAAGCGGGAAAGGGAGAAGGCTAGGAAAGATATGATGACAGAAGCATCTAATACCCTGAAGGAATTCGCGCAAGAAAAACGCGAAATTGAGAAAAACCGCAAAGTGACAGAGAAGGAGACAGAGACTCTCCGAAAACAGTTGGCAATTTCAAAGCGCGATAATGAGAACGAGCGACAGGCTTGGGAGAAGGAGATAGAGGCTCTTCAGAATGAACTAGCGCTCTCAAAGAGTAATAACGAGAAAGGTCAACAGTCCGGAGAAAATGAAATCGAGGTTCTTCGAAAAGAATTTGCGCAAACAAAGCGAGAAATCGAAAAAGCACATAAGCATACACAAAAAGAGTTGACCGCTACTCAAGCCCAGGTTGAAACTCTGGAAAGCGAGATTGAGCAGCTTCGCGACAGTGAGGAAGGACAGGAAGATGGAGAGAAGGAGGTTCAGGTTCTCCGGACAGAATTCGCGCATACGAAACGAGAGATTGAAAAGGCTCATAAGGAGACACAAAAAGAGTTGGCTGCTTCTCGGGTTTCGCTCGGATCCCTAGAAAGCAAGGTTGAGCTGCTTCGGACAAAACTGCGGGCCACAAAAGATCAATTGAAAGAATCTCAGGCTGAGCTAAATGAAGCGCGCACTGCAGCATTGAAGCTCCCTATCATCACGAGTCGAGAGACCGTCCCGGTAAAGGATCCACGCAAGAGGTCAGCCAGGGAGATGAGCATGGATATCACCATTGGAACGCCGGACGGTGTTGCGGGACGTGGAAAGCGAGCCGGGATAAATAGGGGTACAATTGACCAAACAATGTTAGGAGAGAAGTCAACGTTTTCCATCACACCCTACCTAAATAAGACGATAAATATGGCCCCAGATACACCAAAAAGTGGACAATCACCCGAGTCAAACGCTGGCAGAGCAGCAGAAAGAGAGAGACCTACCGAGGAAAATCAGGTTCCCGAAGAACAGGAGGAGAGTCCTGAATCACCTATACAGCAAGTCAAATCCAAGCTCAAGGCAAGAAAGAAGCTGGTCGATAAGCCCAGTGATGAGAAGAAAGTGTTGGTCGAAGCAAAGGCTGGTACCAAGAATAAGAAATCTGCAGCCCTGAAGATCAAGGAACAACGTACAATGGAGAAAGTTACAGAGGAAGAGGAAAGAGACGAAAACGAGCAGCCTAAGAAACCTGCAGCTCGGAAATCAAAGGCAAAGGCTTTGGAGGAGCCGGAGCAAAAGAAGAAGAAACGTAAAGTTCTTGCAGGTAGTGGCAAGACACTATTTGATGACGAAGATGGTGACGCTCCGAAGAAGCCAGCAAAAATTGCACTTGGTCCAGCGAGGTTGTTGGGTAAAGGCGGCCTCGCAGGACCAAGGGGAGGGTTGAAAGGCGGTCTCGCAACTGGTGGTGGATTTGGAGCATTCTCGCCCTTAAAGAAGGACCGAAGAGGTGCTGGAGCGAGTTTCTTAGCATAAGCCGTGGATAATTAACGAAGCGATTAGGCGTTCAGGAAAGGGGGAATATTGGGTCACTGGGCGGCGTTAATTTTTTGTATATGTAGATGATGAAGAAATACATGATTTGTGTTCAGGAAATTCATTTGTTTACAAACTTGACATAAATCTGCAACGATCATTCGGCTTCTGATTAAATCAACAAATGACCTCGCAAGTTTATCTAATTGGACATTTCTTTTTGAGATATCAAACACGGCAAGAATGAATTCTATTGTAATTGTGGTCTTTTAAGCTCATGCTTTTTATCCAAACAAAAATAAACTCGTATCCCAAATGTGATACCCGAATTCTTCAGAAGCTCCAATCTCCAAAACACAATTTCCCGTCACAAGCTACCTTATGCTATCACATCGATTGGGTCCCACAGTCTTTGCTTCCAGACTGAGACTGCTCCCGCGGCTTCAATCATGCTTTCTGCTCATTCAAAATGAATGTGCGGGATCAATTGCGCGGGGACATGCAGTTATAGGATTTCACAGCGGTGCCGTGCGCGCAGATTCTTCCTCATCGACGCGATGGAAATCAAGACAAGGGAAAGACTCTTTCGCTCGAGAAGCAAAGGTGCAGGGACTGAAGAGTAGGGCTGCTTTTAAGTTACTAGAAGTGCGTGGTTTGGTACCCTGATGTTGAGGGGTTCTGTGTTGATGATTGTGCAGATTGATGCGAAACACAGAATTTTTAAGAGAGGACAAACGGTCGTAGATTTGGTGAGTTTTCTATGCATGGTACGGAGCTATGAAAGATAATATATTGAGGAAATTATAGGGATATGCGCCTGGAAGTTGGTCTCAGGTTCGTCATCATAGCTAACTCTCTCTCTCTCTCTCTCTCTCTATTTATCCGCATATCTCACTCACACAATCACCTCCCACACATAGGTAGCAGTCGAGCGCACGAAACCCGGCGGACGCATAATCGGCATCGACATAATTCCCGCGCAACCGCCGAAGGGCGTATCCACGATCCAAGGAAACTTTCTCTCGCCCTCCGTACAAGACTCAGTCAAGCAATTCCTGCTGGACCCGGACCGCGGGCGACCACGCAAACCTCTATTCGCCGACGACGACGATGAGATCGAGCCCGAACCCAGCTACATTGAACTCGAGCGACACGCGGACGATGCGCCGGATCCGGATGCTGCCGGGAGGAAAGGAAGCAGGGCTCGAGATGAGCAGGAACAGGGCAAGATGGTCGATGTCGTGCTAAGTGATATGTGCGCACCCTGGGAGCAGACGTCGGGTTTTTGGAAGAGAAGTCTGAGTGACCCTTATATTAGGATGATGAATACGACCGGCATAAAGTTTTCGGATCATGCGGGTAGTATGGTACGCTGCGTTTATTCATATGTCATTCTTTTTGTTATTCTAATCGATATTTACAGGATCTTTGCGCAGCGGCTCTACGATTTGCTTTCGACACACTGAAGCCTGGGGGGCATCTCGTTTGCAAATTTTATCAGGGGGCTGAGGATAAACAGCTGGAGTTACAGCTTAAGAAATTGTTTGCGGTGGTGCATAGAGAAAAGCCCGAGTCATCTAGAAGTGTGAGTGCGCTTGAGAAATTGAGATTACAGAACAATTTGCTTATCATCAACAGGAATCGAAGGAAGCATACTTTGTAGCTCTTAGGCGGAAGAGGCAAGTTGATGGTGCAGTTTTAGGCTATGCCGATGCTGTATGAATATGATTATCAACATGAATATAAATATGAACTGCGTAGTAGCACGTTGAAGTTGAATAGGCAGGCATGAATATGAGCAGGTAAATCATCGCATGTGCAAATTGTAGTTTAGATAGGTTAAAATCGAATTCTTCATGATAACTACTCCTATTTGCATCGATACCATCATTTTCTTGCAGTATTCATATGCTAAAGACTGTGCTGCTGGCCCAGCTCGCCTTAAGTAGCTTGTTGACATCCCTCCATCCTTTCCCGAGGTGTCTGGTCCAGCAAAACCAGAAGTTCGTAACGGCATTTTCCAGATTGGGCCATTTAAACCTTGAAACCTCTGGACGCTCTGCGTCCACGGGCCTTCTCGAACTTGCGTCCCTTGGATTCGACGTATGGTTTCTATTATGATTACGTCAGTTTTGCCAACGCTAGGCCAACTCGCGTTTCTTACCTTGTGCTTGTGTGGTCCGAAACCGAAATGCTTGAAAGCCTCTCTGGAGTTCTTTGGTCCTCTAAGGAGAACGGTGTTGCTTCCAGTTGGGGATCTGAGAGCCAATTGATCCAAAGTCAAAGCCTCACCACCGGCAGCAAGAATGCGGGCACGGGCGGTAGCGGTGAAGCGGAGGGCTGCAACGCTGACCTTTGGGACGGTCAAAAGACGGTTGTCATCGGTGACGGTGGCAACGATGACAACGGTTCTCTTCTCCTCCTTGTTGGTTTGGGAGGCAATTGCGGAGATGGAGACGGGAGGTCTGTTGATGCGGGACATAAAAAGTCTGCGGAGGACGACCTTGTTGAAGGAAGACTCAGTTCGGCCTGGAGGGAATTAAAAGTCAGCGCATATAACATCCGTCAGGATAAACAAGATATCAACTTACGAGACAAGAAGCTGTAAAGCTTTACCAGCAACTTAAGGTAAACATTGTCACTCTTTGGCGTCTTACGGTGAGTGTTGCGCACGTGGTGGTTGTCAAGATCGATACCTAGTTAGAAAATCCCTCGTCAGCCTTTAATCAAGTATGCTCATCACATCGGTCTTGTACAGACACAATGTTGCGCAGATAATTGAGATCATTTACGATGCGATAAGATTCCAGTCTTTCAACTTTATCTCAACTCATCGTAAAGTCACACAATTTCCACTTGCACACGACGGCTGGAATGAATTTTTAAATGACCTACCCATGGTTGGCGATTGGGGGGTTTGTCGTAGAGGGTGATAAGTCGTTGATAGATTCCAGCAAGAGGAAAAACACTTTTCGAAGAAACTGGGAATTATGGACCAAGTGCGTGAGCTCGCTTAAAAAGTTCGGTGGAGTATTTGGTGCCTTGTGAATTGAGGCATAAACTTTCTGTCAAGTGTGACCGCCCGGGAAAGGCGGGTGCAAGTTAGAGCCGAAGTATTCGGTACTTTTGTTTTCTGAGAATGTATCGGTAATCGAATATGAATAATAAATCTAAATTTTATTATCAGTGAAGTAGTCCGTCCAGTCTTCCATATATGATATATACCTAGATAATATATATAAGGTATATATAATATACATATACTCAGTACTCATATATATATTACTTATTTCCGTGAATAGATAGAGGAACCGGATTCGTTATTACGAAGTAGATATTCGATATATCAATTAGCTCAAATCTATATATAATAGCTCATCTACTGTAAATTAAATAGAATTGTTCACACTACAGATCCTACAAACTTACAGATAACATCTACTTGTCGAGTTAGCTCGTTAAGTAGGTACTGATACATATCTACTCGGCACTACTGAGTATTGATACGGAAAAGTACGGGAGTACGGGAAAAGTGCTGTACTAGATCTAGACGTTGACATCATATCCAGAGCCTTGATTATTCAGTATATTATAATAATAATAATAATAATACTAGCAAAACTCATAAATATATATAAAGTCATATAAGGAAAAATTAGATGAGAAGATAAATCATTAAACAAAATTATATTTGAATAAATAAAATTCTTAATTGTTTATATAGAAATGAATGTCTGCGGTATAAAGTTTTTTCCGCTTGGCTTTATTGGCCGAGCTCGATAATCAAAAGTTCCCTATCAATTATCCTCGAATCCTGTTAAATCCCCTAATACAATACAATATAGACCCATGAATTATCCTAGACTTTTCCAGTTCTCTTGTCTTTCCAATTCACTACCTACTTTGACTACGTTGGCGACTCTCCTTCCTGTTGATTCTCCTCTATTCGATATCATTGACCTAACTAAATTGATAATCCCGTGGCGCTACTCGATTTCCCACTCACAGATTTGGTTTAAAGAAGCCAACCCAGCCAGCCTCACAACCCCCAAATCTCTACACAATTGTACCAGTACGAAATATTCAGCAATTGATCGTCTCTTTCTTTTGTTCCTTTTTTAAAAAGTCTAGGTTTTCGTATATCCTGTCAATATTGAGACTTCCTTTTATTCTCATAACATTGTCCTCCAGTTCGCATGCGCGGTGGGTTCAAGGTGTGCGTTGACCTTTCTGGCCTCTTTGGGTGCATAGCTTAGCTACCCTTCCTGGATATGTCTGCCGTATGTTCTGTCCTCTGAATCTTGCACATTACCTCGTGTCGATGTTAACATTTTGTCCTTGGTTTAGTCTAGGAATGATATTCTCACGCCCAAATATGGCCCTAAAGTTCTACAATTAAGAGAGCTGATCGCACAGCCTGTGATAGCGGCATTCTGCGCCGGTGGAGTGGCAGGTGCTGTATCTAGAACAGTGGTGTCGCCTCTCGAACGACTCAAGATTCTCTTTCAAATCCAAAGTGTAGGACGAGAAGAATACAAGATGTCCGTAGGCAAGGGGCTTATGAAGATGTGGAAAGAGGAAGGTTGGCGTGGACTCATGAGGGGTAATGGCACCAATTGCATTCGAATCGTCCCGTATTCCGCTGTCCAATTTGGAAGTTATAATTTCTACAAAAAGGTAAACATCCGAAATGGCTGGAGGTTTTATTATTTCTCTAGCAATTTGACGCTCTGGGCTATCTGAACTTAGTAGAGGTATTTATGAATCGCAGTTACTGACTATCTGCGCTTTTCTAGTTCTTCGAAACCTCTCCAGGCGCGGATTTAGGTTCCTTCAAACGCCTCATTTGCGGTGGAGCTGCTGGAATTACCTCCGTATTCTGTACATATCCTCTAGACATCGTTCGCACCAGATTATCCATTCAGTCTGCGTCATTTGCGGCTTTGGGACAACATGGTGCCAAGCTACCAGGCATGCTTGCTACGCTGAAGACAATGTATAAGACAGAAGGGGGCGCTCTTGCATTATATAGAGGCATCATACCCACAGTTGCCGGCGTTGCACCCTACGTAAGTGAGATTCTTTTTCTGTTTGGTGTTCGAAATGTAATGCTAACCGAAGAGATAAGGTCGGCCTCAACTTCATGACTTATGAGCTTGTACGAAAGCATTTTACTCCAGAGGGGGACAAAAACCCCAGTGCAGGACGAAAATTAGCAGCTGGAGCTATATCCGGCGCAGTAGCACAAACATGCACATATCCATTGTAAGAGATTTCGTTAATGCTTCTTGAGTTTAATACTGATAGTACTTAGTGATGTTCTTCGACGTCGTTTTCAGATTAATACGATGTCTGGCATGGGATACCAGTACAAATCAATTTTCGATGCTGTCCGAAGTATTGTGGCACAAGAAGGTGTCGCCGGCATGTATAAGGGCATTGTACCCAACTTGCTCAAGGTAGCCCCGAGTATGGCGAGTAGTTGGCTCAGTTACGAGATGACCAGGGATTACTTGCTGACATTGAGAGCCGACGAGGCCGATTTGTGAGCTTCAGAGAAGCCGTCTGGGTATTCTCAACATAAGGTGCGATTTTGGACAGGCGTATTAAAGGTCAAGGCTTTGTATAGGAAGACGGCGCAGACGTGGTCATTGGGGTGCATTTGGTTAGGCATATGGGAGCGGGCGTTATTTTGTAAAAAGACACAGACAAGATTCTCAAGACCGGGTCCTATCAATCAACGATAATAGGAGAATAGATGTGCTAGAGAAACTGGAGCGAATCTTCGATGTTAATCGAGAAATTCGAAGGTGTATGAACATAAAAGGTATTGCGGCAGATAATTTGACAGGCTTTTAGATCTATCAACCCAATTGGATAGGAGAAAACAACTTTCACAATCACTATAGGTATTACAAATTCTGAAATGTATAGGTATTTAAACTCATTTCAATTATGATTATTGATTATAAGAAAGAGGAAACCATTTATAGGTATTTCGATATAGCTAGATAGTTATCATTTCTATGAGATCATGTGATATCAATCTAATTTATCAAGCCTTATATTAAAGGCATAATACTCTCTTAGCGGGTGGCTCAGAGCAGAGCCTTATTATTACTTGCTTTCCCAGGTTAATATTAAACTTGTTCTCTTGTCTCGTCTCGTCTCTTGTATTCATTTCCTTACAACAATCCCATTTGATACTCATTAATCTGTCAAGTTTCAACCATCTATCTTACTTACTCATCAAGTTTGATAACTTCTACTTTATTTATCCAACACCGAATATCTTAGCAGATATCGGTCAACACTTGAGTAGCAAAGAAGTCATTCATTGATTGGTCTTCTCATCATCTTTCTCATTAACAAAATGTCTCGTGGTGGTACAACACTCTATGTTACCGTATGCGCTCCACCTCCACAACCTCCGGCACCCACACCCACACCCTTTCTTCCAGACATTTATATTCAAAGCTTCAAAGATATTCCATTTGCTAACATCCTTCCTATAGGGCTTCGGAGCTGGCATCCGTGCTCGCGATCTTGCCTACGAATTCGAACGGTATGTCAGCCTCAAATCGATATCTCGATGATCGTCTCTTGATTGCGATAATCCATTTCCCCATCCTCGTCCATCCTCGTCCCTTATTCGTCGTCGAGACTTCGCTGTCAATTCCGTCGCATATACTATCCCCTCTTCCCAAATCCTCCACGTTCGATCGAGCGGTCGCACGGCGATACGAACACTTGATGTTCCCACATTTGTCTCGCGAAAAAAGTTCGAATTGCGGCGGATCGATTACTATTTACTATACATATCTTATATATCTCTTACTTTTATCTATACTTCTGTCCAACATCTTCCTAACAGATTGTACACCGAGTCTAACCATATCCTCGTAGCTATGGTCGTTTGGTCCGCTGTGATATTCCAGCTCCTCGAACTGCCGCATCTCGTCTGTGAGTTAGCCCCAAATACCGTTGGCAACCACTCTAATATGGTTGACACTTTAAGTAGGTTTGCCTTCGTTGAGTATGAGTCCCGCCGCGATGCCGACGACGCCTACCATGAGATGCACAACAAGCGTGTCGGTCGGGATGACCTATTGAAGATTGAAGTAAGTCTTCATGACATCACTTACACCTCGAATTCTAACGCATGATTCAGTGGGCCCGCACACCTCCCTCGGCTTCTTGGCGATTCGATACTGGTGAAGACCGTCAAGCCCGTCGTGATGGTGGCAGAGATAGCGGCAGAGAACGTGTTGGAGCTAGCCGCCGTTCTCCTCGTCGTCGTTCAACCTCTCCCCGACGCGGCCGTTGCGACTACTCTCCCCGTAAAGACGACCGTGATCGCCGAGATCGTGATCGTGATTACGACAGACGAGACCGTGACCGAAACGATCGCTCACGTAGCCCAGATGATAGGTATGCAAATTTGTAGAAGTTAAAGCCGGGCATAAGCTTACGCCTCATGTATAGGGATCGCGAGATGAAGGATGAACATGATGACGTCCGAGAACCCGGTGCCAATGGAGATGACAGGAAAGGTGAATTTACACTTCCACGACGCGACAAAACTTTCTAATTCGGCTGATACCCATCAGTTACCATGGATTCTCCTCCTCCAGCGCATGATGAACTGGACACCGCCGAGTAAACATCTTTCTCGACGACTGAGGCTTGTTTACGGCAGGAAAAGTTTATTGTGTCTTTGGGTTGCTGATATTTCCTTCTTTGCCTGAATTTACATTTGTGTTTCTAGATTCGATTCCCAGAGACCTTACGACTCGAGCCAGGATTGGACTGGTAACAACACCTGCAAACTCTTCAACTCCCTTTTTACCCTTTAGGTCAGCGGCATACGATTGTGGTCATAGTTTTTCATGGGTAGTTATCAGTATTTAAAAATTCCAAATTAAGCACATAATTCACACCGCAATATTTGATGATATCATCTGTATTTGGAAAAAAGTCACGAGGTTGTGAAGAGGGGTTGTGAGTTGTCGTCCTGGCTTGACACACTTCAAAACATGCATCGACGATTTGACTGACTGTAGCAAACTTCGTCATGAGAGGGATAGCCAGTACTTAGAAAATTTCAAATGATCCCTAACCCACTGCGAACCGACGGATATCATCCCCAATATGCGGCTTTGCCAGGATTACTCATTCAAATCAATACATGCATGTACATGCATACATACATTATCACCCAACTCCCAGTAAGCCTCGGAACATGAAGCGAAGAATGTCCATACAACTACCTACTTGAGTACATCATTCTGTCCGCCATCATCATCTCCCATTGATCTCCCTCTACCCTACCATACCCTGCCCTATCCTCTAGACGCCCACCACCCAATCGAATACAAAAGCCGTTCCTATCTTATCCTATCCGATGCTATCCTATCTCAACAATACTCGTACCTACCTACTTACCTACCTTTCTTACAATAGTACTCGAGTACATCATATTGTATGTATGATAGTATAGCATAGTAACTCCGACTAAATGTCACATGCCATGCCATGCCATGCCTAAATATGCGCCTAATTCTAAAATCTATTTTCTTCTCCGTACCTCCCCTCCCCACCTCCCCATCTGCACGCCCTCTTTTTTCGTAATAGAGTCCGAGTATCTATGGATGAGCTGAGATGTGTTTGATTTGCATCATTTTTATATTGCCTGTTCTTATTTTTGGCGTCTTTTCTTGCTGCTATTGCTGGTATTGTTTAGACGAGCAATGGTTCGGTGACGAGAGAGGAGTTGTCCAATGAGGAAATGCGTTACGTCTTCGTCGGCCCTGTGTGTTGGTTGTTAATGTGAATGTTTTAGATTAAGATTCTAATTGTAAAGATAGGGAGGATAGAATTGACGACGTACCAGTATGCGAGATGGCTGGCGATGGTGTTGATCGGATTGAAATCAAGTACGCTTCTGTGGCTGATTAGCATTGCTTCCTTCCAAAAAAGAAAACACACACAAGAGGCATCTCAATACTTACTCTTGAATACTAAAATCCACCCTCCCATTCTGATTCAACGCCCTAACCTTCATCTCCTCCCTCCTCAATTTCTTCGCTCTCTCCTCAACCTCCGCCCGATCCGACTCCGGCATATCATTTCGCCTCCTCTTTTGAAATCCCGCATATAACGTCTCGATTTCATCATCAATCAAAGTAGGCGCCGTACCCGTACCATCTCTATCCGCCGCCGCTGTATCTTCAGCAAGTTGCCTCATCTTCTCGCTTGTATTTTCCCTCTGGAGTGTAGAATGGTCGGGGATGACTCCTCCTGCTATATTGGTGCCCGCGCCGGTGGGTTGGCCCTTGATGGTTGATGAATTCGATGCTTGCATTCTTTCGACGTCTTCGCCTGTAAGTCCGAGACTGCGGTTTAGAAGACTGCTCGCGATTCCAGAGCTCAAACTAGACCATAGTCCACTAACGCTCTGTCCCACCTTTGCTCCGATGCCCGTGATACCCTGGTTCATATTTGCACCAAAGATACCTTTCTTGGTATACGGTAGTAGTTGCGGTTTCATGGATGACATCGCAGGAGCAATCAGAGGCTCAAGTCTGTAACTAATCGGATCTGTTGGGTGGAAGATGTTGTACAGCTGAGCGCATTTTGGACTCGAAATCGAGTATGGCAACCCTGTCGTGCTAGATATGTGTTCTCCCGATGGAAAGCCCGCACCTGAGCCAGCTGCAAGAAAAGGATCTTGCATAGAATCTATATCCATTGGACTATCGGACGGAAGTGATTCCGTACGGTTTCTGGCAGCAATAGTTCTCCCTTTCAACATCTGGAACAATCCTATGGGACTTCCAAGGCAATAGAAATCCTCCACATCGAAGTCGAATTCGAGACTCTTACCATGTGGCTTTGTAGATGGGGCAGAACGATTCTTGTAGTGCGAAGAGCTTGGGCTAGGGTTCTTAGTTTCTCTCTGACGACAAAGAATGTCGAATAAGATCGCTGATCCCAAAGAGTGACCTATCAAGCTAACTTTCCCCGAAAACTGTGGATTGCGTTCTCGGAAAAGATTGTAAATACGATTTGCCTCAGTAAGAACGATATTGCTAATATGTTCTCGGTAAGCACTCTGATACAGCAAAATATCAAGAGCAAGATCAGTGATGAGCGAACGAACAAACGGCACGCCTTCCACTGTAATATCATCAAGACTTGGATATTCTTCCTCTTCGCCAAAGGCATCACCAATGTCATGCTCTTTACGATTCTGCCTGACGCCCTTGCGAGGAAAATCCAGCAAATGACGCCAGCAGACAGGAAGAACTTGAATACGGCAATTCTTAGGAAGCTTATCAATTTCCGCATTTAGAGCCTGCAAATCGGCGGAACTCTCGTAGACACTTTTAAGCGTTTGACGAAGAACGTTGACGTCATGGACGAAATTGACACTTTCAGTCCTGTTGAAAGTTAACAGGTTATCCAATGATTATCCCCTTTACGCACTAAAAGGCGTGTGTACAAGCGAAAAAATTAGGAGAATCAATTAGCTTGCAAATTGATTCCAATTGGTTTTACATCATTAGCTCATCTTCGGAAGTGAACCTCCTTTCAGAGAATGACAGTAGAACCCAACATTTGTTTATTATAGACTATTGTAGAGTTGATATAATCCAACAAATAGTATGCAAGATGGCTTTGAAACTTGACACTGCCACGAGGTGTAGAGAGTATGAAAATGACCGCCCGAGTGACCAACGATACATGAAACGTAAATAAGAATTCAAACACATACCTCATGCCTAAGCGTTGACCAATACCATGCGTCACTAATATTAGATGTTCAATATCGCGCCCCTGATTCTCGTCATCTCGATCATTATAATCATTCTGTATCTCCTTCTCATCACGTTTCCTCACGGCTTCATCCTCTGCATCCGCGTCTATAGAGGTTAGACTTTTGTAAGCTGCTTCCCGAAGCTCACTACTCTTATCTTCTGGCGAAGCATCGGAGTGACTTGTGCTAGGAGGTGCAGATCGTCGTTTCAGTAATTTTTGCTGGCGGTTGTCAAGCTGTAGATACTCTGGAGTGGTTGAGGTAGCAGTTGTGGCACTGGTGGGGGTCTTTGGTCCCTTGTCCTTGTCTGTAGACGTTGTGTCTTTCGTTTTGCCTGGTTCCGAATATCCACGAACAATCTTTACACCCCCAAGGTAGCCACCACCTGCAAATTTCTGATATACGGTGCTACTGACTCGAGACATGATATTATCATTTGATATCCAGGCCACATGATCGTCTTGATAAGTGACAATAGAGTTCATATATGTACCGAATAGACGATGAGTCTGAGGTTGGTGGGGTGGGGGTGAATCTTTTAGTCCATTGCTGTCGTCAGAAGCCTGCTGTGGCATTTTCAGGTTCTCAGTTGACCCCTTTGGAGTCACGGAGGGAGAGCTATTGCGGTTCCTACCTCCAAAGGCACCGCTGCGCGCTAATGATTTGGGTTCTTCTCCTAGTTTGATAGATATTGGCCGAGCAGTACTTTTCTCCGGGGGTTTGGGATATCGGAAAGGCTTCACTTTCAGATAGCCTTCCTCTAACTGGGTGGCCAGATTTTCTTCACAAGGCTTAAGAACCGAGCCCTCTTGGTAGAACCAGCTACCTCTGCGAACGTCGTATATCGGGCCGAGCCAATAGACCGGCGAGAGCTCTCTCTTCTCGATATCGACATCAAATAAGAAGTCTTCGTGTACTGGAACCTTTATACCTCTATCGGCCTCCTTGTTATTCCCAGCTTCATTAATACTAGTGTTGCTTTTCTCGCCTGCACATCCAGAGGTCTGCTCCCAATTCCCACTCTGGGCCCTCTGGCGTGGATCTCTACCATTATCATAGTCCTCGACAAGCTTCTGGTATGAAGCTTCTACTGCGCGAGAATCGTGTTCGGAGAATGTAATGAACTTCTTGGGAGGGGCTGCGGGTTTGGTTTCTTCTTGGTTGGTCTTGAGAAGCTTAGGTTTTCTTTTGGGGATCTATAGCTGTAAGCTTAGAGAAATTTGATGTTCTTGATAGTAATACATACATCAACAGCATGATACCATCTTGGATTCAGTGGGGGGCAGTCGTGGGGATAATTCTTCGTGCTCCATCCATGCCAATGATTGGTACTGTGGTCTCCGCCATGTTGATTCTTTAAACCTGAGCCTTCTCCAGAAAAGGTAGGTGTCGTCGCTTTGGGTGTAGATGCCCGCGAGCCTCCCCAGGGTGAGATCGATTCGACCGCCGCAGACAGATATGATCTCTCTAACGGTTTTGGCTTATTTCCCGGCGCGGAATCCATTTTCTTGTCATTGGCTCGCCGAAGGGCGGCAATTATGCCTGAAGATTTGATCCAATTGAGCGCGGAGTACGATATTGGAAGTCGAAAGGTCCTAGGAAGATGTTTGGGTAGTACTATGCTGGCTTGATGAAAGAGGGCGTTCATGTAGTAAGTGAGAGAGATTATTTGAAACGTTTATATTGTATTATGCGGTAATTGCCGATGCGAATATATTAAATAGAAATGGAGTACAAGTACCGGCACTTGCATATTATATTATTGATGTTGGCCGGACCTTAGGATAAGTTTCTATGTACAAACTGTCCTTTCAATATCCTAGGTATAGCATGCTATCGCTTCGTTGTGAAGCGGTACTTGAAATATACTCGCTCATAAGCATAGTAAACACTGGGATAAGGATGCAATACATACCGGTATGGGCATCATGACGATAGCTTTCGGCTTGTCCCGTCATTATGTTCAGGCTTTATTACCCCACTACAACAGAAATCAATACCCCTAGCTAGGTACTAGGTAATAGGTATTGAATTCGAAACTTGATAACAAGGCTAATTTTTAATCGATGAGATATCCAAAACATTCTTTTTGAATATGATATACTATACTCGAGTATTCTTTCCTTCGATAAGTTTCGTCAACAATGCGTTCGTTGTTTAGTTCATGCCTCAACATCGTTTATCCTCTAATATTAAACATATCAATACACCCGAAGATCATGTTTGGGTCTTCTTTGCTCTCCTTGAGTTCTAAACGCTTAGTATTTATATATACATCATAATCATCGTTTATGGCTGAACCAAAGCCTTTCTAAATGCCGTGATAATATCAAAGTGATGAGAGATGCTCAAAACGCCACGCTAATGACCCATATGCCAGATATTGTACAAAAGCTAACGTAGAGTATCTAAGACTAAATGACCAAATAAAGACTACACAAAAGACTCGGTCCCGTGAAAATGCCTATCCAGAATAGTACATTGCCCAAAGCCTTTTTCCCTTTCATCCACTTCGTTTGACTCATCATGATCAGTGGAATTTGGCACATCTGTAGGACCAGTAGATATCCACGCAGCTTCTTGAAGATACACCACATGACGAGCTCATGTACACAAGCGCTCATGAAGAAAGTGATTAAGGTGGCGATTCTTTTGTTGACCTGTAGGCTAGAGATCGAGGAATGGTAAACATGTCGAAGGAGGAAGTTGTGAACTGGTCGGTTCCAATCGCGTGCAAATTGATCCCAAGAAACAGAATTCCACCAGGCCTCGTAAAAGCCTCGATCGGCGTAGCAGGTCAACTCGGCGAGGAGATTGAGAATGCATTCCCAAATCACATACCACGTCTGACCGAAGGTTAGCGGAAGTAGCAAGTGTTATAGACTGATACTAGCTTACCAAGATGTATTCAGCAAGGAACGGGAAAGCTAGATCGCTAATTATACCCGGGAAATAACAGAGCCGTTCATAAAGTGTCATGCCGTCTTCCTTCATCTTTATCGTTTGAACTACAATAGGGTAAATATAGGTTTGGGAGATGAGATTCATGACAATCAAGAGACCGGCCGTCGCGATGGTTTTCTCAGCCACATTGTACCAGTCGATACTATCGGACCGCGGGTATTCCAGCTCATAGACCAGAGTTGGGAGAACGATGTATTCATAATGGTTGGTTACACTGAGGTTGTTCGGGTACTGATTTCCGGTTGTCGTACATTTTCCTTCAAGTTCCTTTCCCAAGAAATCGATTTCCCATTTAAGAATTCGTGCAAATGTCTGAATTTGATTGACGTCAAGCGGCTCACCGGAATCAATTGCATCTGCTACTTGGTCGGTAGTAGATTCAACAATCGAATGTCTTCGCTCGAATACTCTATGACGAATGTCGTCGGAGGTTGGCCTGGCATCGAGATACGAGGTAGACAATGAAGCTACGGCTGGTGTTTTCGCGGAAGGTATCTGGACGGGCGAAATGTTGTCCAGTTGTTTCAATTTACGTTGAAGTTTGGCACGGATCTTATATTCCTCAGACAGATGACCATTATAAAATGCATAAGAGTGCTGTTTCATAATCATGACAATTCCATGAAGAACAAAAAAGACCTGTTCGAAGAGATGTTGTAAGCGAATATGTCAGGGGAGGGGGAAGGTTAGAAAGAAGAAAATTATTTCAAGGAGAGGGCTGAGAGTCTTGAGACCCCAAATTAATTGTGTAGAATGGGATGTATTAGACATGAAATTGACCACTTACTGTGTGTGTCCATGGCCACTCGCGGTACAATGTCCAGCTTATCACCAAAGCGAGGTATGATACTTCCCATGCCTACAATGAAGTCACGTTCAGCAAATCATTCCTCTCTTCTAGATTTATCGAAGAGTAGTAGACTTACACTTTGAATAATCCAACCTTCTCTATTCCAGCTAATATATCCCCGTTGTATGAGATTCTGCAGAACGAGTCCAAACCCTGTGACACCACACATTACACCATCCGAGAGACCAAGAACTATGACATCCCGGTGGAACATCATTTCCACCATCTCGTTGGTTCCAAGTATATTTCCATGGCTTCGCCAATTCGCAACGGCGAGTTGAAGTACAAAAACGACGAACGCCAGCCAAAAGAGCGTGAAAAAACCATGGAAAGGTGAATCGGCGACGATGTTATTGTGTCGATCGAAAGCAGAAAACTTTTTAGTGAAGACCACTGTTCAAGCCGATTAGCAAATTACAGTGAGATAGCTCTTCTCACAAATTAACCAGAATATCACTGAAATTGTCTGACTTTACATTCAGACATTATGAAAAGGTCGGGCACGACACCTTCGCAAGCCAAGATGATATCATAGGGGCTCATTGCTTCAATATATTTGATGCCTGGGAAAGACTCACGGTCACTAAATTTGGATCGTTTCTTTAGGCCTCCTAGAGCATTGTCTTGGGAATAATGCGCGACGGTGCCCTTCAGGAGATCTCGCAGATCATCATCATCTGCTTTGAAAGTATAAAGCCCTTTTCCTTTCATGTGAAGATTGCTGAGTGTCACCGGAATACTTTTGCGCCTTGTCGCGCCCTGCCGTGACTGTTGCGACGGAATCTTCAATTCTGCATACACTGTCTGCGGACTAACCGCCGATTCAGTCTTTGGATCAAGGCCTCCTCCCCCCTTGCCCCCTGTTATAATTGACGTCGGATCTGGTTTCAAAGTGTCATAATCTTCCAAACTATCACTCTCCGATACATCCGAAGAATCTCGTTTGGCGGCCGTTTCTAACGCTGTCTTCAAAGATTGTGAATATTTAGGGCCGGTCGAAGACTTTTGTATATTGTTTAATTTAGAACTATTGATGCCATTTTCCTTCAATTGTTCTTCTAACGAGTGTTGATTTTGGTGTGCTGAATCGGAGAAAGGGACTGTCATCGTTGGGGGAGACGCAGTTGTGTATGCCATTCGAGCCATCTTATGACGCTTTATTGAGAGAGAAAGGCGTGTTCAAGATGAATGAAGGTTCTGGTTTGTTTTCGGGATTGAGGTTTGGGACTTGTAAAACTTGTATCAGAGGTATTATTCACTGATAGGATGGTGTTAGCCGGGATTTTCCTGCCGTATGGCAAAAGCGGATAAAGTTCACTCGAACAGTCCAAAAGCTCCCCCTGACCCCAAATCTTCGTCGTCACTCGTTGGAGTAGGTTGATAAGTGCGCCTATTCCGTAGAGCTTTGGGAGGAACTCTGGTGGATAATTGAGAAGCCTTCCCAAGTCAGTGACAGGGAATCTGTTGCGGGCAAAACCGTTTCCAAACGATTGCTTGTTGGTCGTGCCTCGATGCCCGGTATAAATCAATGGCCTCAATTACAATAGTCTGTTGAATAACTATAGTATGTCGCCTCTGGTCTAGCTGAGCCCAAAGAGCTGAAATGGCTATGCTGCGGCAAGAAGAGATAATGTTGAGGCTGAATATGCACTGTACGATTAAATGCCGGCTCTATGCAGGCACAAGATTAAAAATCTGATGAGAATAATACAGGAAGAGAATAATACAATGTGTTTGTGTAAATTCGTGAAAGAAGCTTTATGATGTTGTTGTTGTCGATACAACAATTAGATATACAATGGAAAGGTCGGAAAAGGAACAACAGAAATATTCCAAATACCTATCGATCGATATTATATTCTGTACCACCATCAAGTAAGAGAGAACTCGCTCGCACACCTTTTCCGTTCCTAACTCTCCGAATCGCATGACCGATGAATACCTCTTACCTGAGACTTCTCTGCTAATGCCTTTCTTGCCCCTCCGTTTGTTAATTGAGGGGCACGATGAAGCTTGGCATATTGCATATTGCATATTGCATATTGCATACTGCATATCGCATATCGCACATTCAGAAGACCGAGGGCCATTGCTAGATGAACTTAGTTGCAATAGCCCCTTTTTCTTCTGCCGAAAGCTTCGGATCGTCCTTCGTCAAATGATGTGAAGTTCGGTTAGGGATGAAGGAGAAGGGAATTAAAAGGATTTAGGGGCCTAGCTGTATACATGTGGAGTCACGAAATGACGTAGATTTACAGGGTTTTAGCGTTAAATTATTGTACCGAGCGCGTTCCGTCCAATTCGCGCCAACTGCCGACATGTTACATAGGTATATTCAGCCCTGTCTAAACCCGTAGAATAGAAGTTGTGAGGTTATCGACAAAGTCGCTTCGTCACACAGCACGACTAGCAGTAAAATCCCTTTCTAGCCATTGTACCGGTGTAGGAAGTCCATGCATAGCATTTATATCTTCATTTGCAAAAACCATCGCATTGTTATATCTTTATATCAAACAACCTATCAAGGCAAGTTTGCCGACAATAATTCTGTTAAAAGAACATTGCCTGTACTTCTCGCCAAATCGCTTGCCAATTGTCCCTGAGTATTCCGAAGATTCCGGATATCTTCCCCATCAGCAGTATCACGTCCTACCCCCATGGCCCCTGCCATCTGAGTGATTTGTTCTGGGAAAATGTTTGTCGGAAGAGTTGAAGCAAGCCACAATAATAGCCAGATAATTTCCTCCTGTCCATTCTCGACGGCCACGTGTAAACTACTTTTCATTCCATCTAAAGGATCCTGATAACGGAGAATTGGCTTTGCCGAGAGTCCTTCTCCATCCTCATCATCTTCTACTGCACTGAGCAGGTCGTTGACTCCCATGATATCACCTTCGGCGCACAAGGTCATGAATGCTCGAGCGGGACGTGCCTCCGGGTGTTCATCAAGATAGGCTTCTTCAGTGATAAGAGGCAAGATGTCAAGGTCTTCTTGGATCCCTCCTTCATTGTGATATCTCGTGGGAACTCTGGTTCCGGATACGGATGTTGAGGATGAGGCAATTGAAGATGCGATTGACTTATCACACGACGGACAATTCAGTGAATTTATGATTTGAGGAGATTCGTCCAAAAGGCATTGCCTGTGTCATAGTCAGTAAGTTTCTTGAATCCGTCAAACCGGTATAGAGGATGTTCATTGTCACATGCTCTGAGGAACGAGCAATAGAAGAACGGCATGTGAAATAATGTATAATTCCACAAGATCAACGGAAGAAAAGCAATTAAGCAGAACTTGCATCGGCCTGATACAGCGAAAAAACACAGATCATTCTCTTTGAGAGAGATACCTTCCGTCTGACTTTGCATTATTACAGTATAAATTGCATTTGACGTTAGATGTGAGCCCCCTGGAGAACTATCTCCAAGATGGCTTCCATGGAACCAGTCTATTCGGCATAAATGTCCACGTTGAGAGAAGGCTGATGTATAGGTACTTGAGAGAGGACTTTTAACAATCGTAAGGAGAATCCAAAAAACCAAAAAACCAAAAATTCAAAAAACCAAAAATTTCTTACCAATGCATATGGCACCCGCAAGTTAACTGAAGGTCATCTGGAACGCTTCCCAAGAAGCTTCCACTCTCAAACTGGTCCAGCTCATCCGGGTCGAGTTGGACTGTCAAACTTTCCGAGCATAGTCTACAGGTATCCATCATCGTGTTCAGGTAAACATGTAAGAGAAAATAATTATTATTGCTTATTTGAAAGTTGCTATGCGGTTGTGTAAAAGTCTAGTGGGATAGATTCTATCAGCGGGGGATAGAAAAAAAGTCCCATATAAAATTTTCTTATCGTCTAAACTTTTCCAATTTATGAGTATACTCGAGTAGTCTTTTATTCCATTAACCCGTAATACTATACAGTACACCATGTACTGGGCGGGTATCTAAAGCTAATGAATAATAGGGAGACCGGTTCTTGTTCGCCATTCGAATAAGACCGCACATGCATAGTGTTTATATCCTATGCCAGATTCCAACCATCACTTTTTCCAGCCAATTGCCTATTCTCCTCACTTGGTTTGTATGTATTTTGTATGTGATGCCGTCGCTACCATAGGTCCCGGCTCGCCATCAACTAGCTTACTGATTCGAATCGTGGTAAAAGCAACTGATCTCCCAACCTTGGATGCGATTGCCTCAATATGCAAGACATCCCCTACATGAGCAGTTCCAATATAACTGATATGAATGTCTATGCTTGCGCCAGACTTTTCCAATCCATGTGAGGCAATAGCAAGACCTCCAGACCAGTCGACCAGACTTGCACTCACTGCGCCGTGAATGGTACCCCGAGAATTGACATGATTGCTTCCCACCGTCAAGCGCGAGACCACCAGACCTTTTGTAGCCGACACAATTTCGACATCTGCGAGAAGGAAGTCGTAGATGGGACTGTTGCCTTTCATATTATCCCATACTTTCTTGACGTGGGTCAATTCTTCCGTTGGATTCTCCATTGCGATGGTATGTAATGCCGATCTATACTCAGTTGCCTAATATGCGACAGAAGGGCAGTCGTCAATAATGGGTAAAATGTTCTATGTGGAGCCGACTGTAAGTATACGCGTATAAGAATAGACAATTACCTGTGAAATTGGAAATGGCTGGAAATGAATGGGTAGTGAGTGAGTTGTAATGTGCAACTTTCAGGACGGACAATGATGCGCCCGGTGGGTGTACGAGTTTACCAGTGCAAGACGGCCGCCCAGCCCAGCCCAGCCAGAAACGTCAGCGGGGTTTGGGCTTGGGTTTGTATTTGGGCTGTGTATCGCATCATATCATACATAGATATAGGTAATGGTACAATTGGATCTCAAAAAACATTTTACCTCGTATTCCTCGCTTTCATTCTCTACCCACCTTGACAAAGAACAACCTTTCTCTTCTTGAAACTTCTCACGATTTGTAAATGTGTTTTGCACATTTTGCGCCGGCATCATCATTTATAGTATAACTGGGAGGGGTATCCACAGCTGCCCAGCCCAACCATCCTGCCCCTTGATTTACAGAACCAACAATTCAAGTCTTTCCGACTGCGAAAGTTAAGACCAGAATAATAATCCGCAAAGATGAATATCATCAAGTTGCAGAGGTATGTGATACTTTTTGCAGAGTTATTGATTAGTCCAGGTAACCTTTGTCTAACCTTGTTGTACTTTACAGGAAATATCCTCAATTCCAACAGGATGAGATCTTCGGTCTTCAAGATGCCTTCCGTAAGCTCGACGTCGACGATAAGGGATACCTTGATGAGGCTACTGCTATTAAAGCTACCCAAGGGAGTGAAAGACAGCCATACGATGTTGTAAGGCAAGCTCTGAAGGAGGTCGAGCTTGACTCCTCCCGAAGAGTCGAGCTAGAAGATTACGTAGGGGTATGTTTACGCAGACATCTATTTGGCACATTGAGGAAGCTCGACTAATTATCTCCAAGCTCATCTCGAAGCTACGAGTCTCATCACCGGCACAGCAGCGCATGTCAACTGGTCCACAGAATCCTGCCCGAGGAGGAATAGTATCTCAACAAACCGGAGGAGCGGGAAGCGGACATGCCTCAAAGGGAAGCGTCAGTGGCCGTATTCAAGTCCAAGGCTCTTCATCGAATGTCACCCATACCATCAACGAAGATGAGCGAACAGAATTCACCCGTCATATCAACGCAGTTTTGGCAGGCGATGCAGATATTGGCTCTCGTTTACCATTTCCAACAGATACCTTCGAGATGTTTGACGAGTGTAAGGATGGTCTCGTATTAGCCAAATTGATCAACGACAGTGTACCGGATACTATCGATGAGCGTGTGCTAAATCGTCCCGGAAGAAAGATTAAAACCCTCAACGCATTCCATATGACTGAGAACAATAACATTGTTATTGAATCTGCGAAGGGTATTGGTTGCTCGGTGGTCAACATTGGCAGTGGGGACATCATAGAAGTCCGGGAACATCTGATTTTGGGTCTGATTTGGCAGGTTATCCGAAGAGGTCTGTTGAATAAGATTGATATCAAGCTTCACCCAGAGTTGTACAGACTTTTAGAAGACGATGAGACACTGGAACAATTCTTGAGATTACCTCCTGAGAAAATTTTGCTCAGATGGGTCAATTATCATTTGAAAGCTGCGAACTGGCCACGAAGGTAGGACTAATCTTAAAGTAGTCAGAACTTGCTAATATTTATATAGAGTTACGAACTTTTCTAGCGATGTGAAAGATGCTGAAAATTACACTGTTCTCCTATCTCAGATTGCGCCGGAGTGTTGCGATCGAGGACCATTACAAACACGCGATCTTCCGCAAAGAGCAGAGCAAGTTTTACAGAACGCCGATAAGCTTGGCTGCAGAAAGTTTCTTACACCTACCTCTCTTGTTGCCGGAAACCCTAAATTGAACTTGGCTTTCGTTGCCAACCTCTTTAATACCCGCCCAGCACTAGAACCTATCACCGAGGAAGAGAAAGCCCAAGTTGATGATTTCGATGCAGAGGGTGAAAGAGAAGCAAGAGTCTTCACCCTCTGGTTGAACAGTCTTGACGTGCAACCCGGTGTGAATTCGTTATACGAAGATCTCAAGGATGGTACTATCATTCTACAAGCATACGACAAGGTTATCAAGGGTTCCGTCAACTGGCGCCATGTAAACAAGGTACCTGCTAGTGGAGAAATGTCGAGATTCAAGGCTTTAGAAAACACAAACTACGCTATCGAACTTGGGAAACAAAATCGTTTCTCATTAGTCGGCGTTCAAGGAGCAGATATTAATGATGGTCAACGAACCCTTACTCTTGGTCTCGTTTGGCAACTGATGCGCAGAGATATCTCCGAGACACTCACAGCCCTCGCTCAACGTCTCGGCAAGCGTGAAATTTCGGATGCGGAAATGATCAAGTGGGCCAACAACATGTCACAGAAGGGCGGCAAGAGTTCTGCTATCCGCTCCTTCAAGGATCAATCGATTGGAAGCGGTGTCTTCCTTCTCGATGTTTTGAACGGAATGAAGAGCAGTTACGTCGATTACGATCTCGTGACACCAGGAAGAAGCGAAGATGATGCATACTTGAATGCTAAATTGAGTATCAGTATTGCGAGAAAGATGGGTGCGACTATTTGGTTGGTACCGGAGGATATTTGCCAAGTTAGAAGTCGCTTGGTAGTTACTTTTATTGGTGAGTCTTGCATTTCCTTCCTTTCTCATCTTTTGCCATCCCGGTATTAGACTCTAACGTTATTCCCTAGGATCCCTGATGGCTACATACGAGAAGATGCAGTAAATGGTAGCTCGGTTAACGGAATGGTGGATTGATGGATGAATGGAAATTATGATGGCGATGATAGCTGAAGGCGCAGGCGAATCAATGGCTGTAGGACATAGAAAAAAAAAGCACTGGTATTTCATTTCATGAGAGATAAGGGGGGGATTATTGACTTTATGATTATGAGAAAGCGTTTCAATAAAAATACCGAAACACAAAATACCACATTGTACTTCAACAATACAAAGGTTCTGATGACTACAAGATACAAAGCGCATAATTTTATGCCACTATAATTACTGCTAAAGCAAATGGGATCCATCCCACAGCTATACTTCTCTCCAGGATAAAACAATCCACCGATTAAGCCTGCAAAGCCATCTCCTCCCTACTCGCATAACTCCCCCCCTTCCACGCCGCACGCGGATCCTTCCTCTCGCCCACCTCTCGTTCCTCTCCCACTTTGCCCCATCCACCACCACCCGGCGTATGAATGATAATCCTCTCACCTTTCTTCATTGCTGCTGTATTTTTCCCTCCTAGATTGATTCGCCTTTCTTCATATATATTTTTTTCTTCCGATTCATTCTCCTTCTCCTTGTTTGCCTCGTTTACATTCGGCCCTCGGTCCCCGTGCAATAACATATCCGATCTGTCCCTGTTACTCTTCTCTACTTTCCGCACCCAGATATTAAGACCACATTGTGCGTCCTCGCCCCCTTCAAGTCCATATGGTCGGTAGACTCTCCGCTCACTCAGTATCGACACTTGAACTGGAATCCTAAACTCGATATCCCTCACCACTCCATCCCCACCCCTATGCTTACCCTTCCCGCCACTCCCCTTCCTCAACGAAAATTCCCTTAGCAAGACCGGATAGCGACGCTCAAAGACTTCCGCGTCGGTAATCCGCGTATTCGTCATGTGCGTATGAACCCCATTTGTGCCATCCCAGTCCCTACCGGCTCCGCTGCCTCCGGCTATCGTCTCGTAGTATCCAAAGCCCTTGACGTGTTTTTGCCCATCAACGTTGCCGCCAAATCCAAAGGTGAGGTTATTGCAATCGCCTTGGGAGGCGGCACAGGCGCGGAAGGCTTTGAGGATTACGTCGGTGACGCGTTGCGAGGTGAGGACGTTGCCGCCTACGACGGCGGCTTTGTCTGAGGGGGAGAGGAAGGATTTGGGGGGGATGAGGACGGTGATGGGTTTGAGACAGCCTTGGTTTAGTGGGATATCTTCGCTGATTAGACAGCGGAGACAGTAGATTATTGCACTGTAGGTTACGGCTTGGGGAGCGTTTGTGTTTCCTAGAGATATGTTAGATAATGGGCAAGGGCTATAGTTTTGAAGAGCTCACCGTATACTTCTGGTCCTGTTCCTTCGAAGTCGAAAATGGCTTCTCCTTTATCGGCATCGATAGTGATTTTTAGCTGGATGGGGCTACCATCATCCATATAATCGATTGCCGATAGATCTTGACCTTCAAACCTCTTACTAACATCCTTCAAAAGATTTCGTACGCTGAGTTCGGCGTTTTTCTGGATATTAATCATGTAAAAGTTTACCACATCCTCATTATACTCCTCGATCAAAGTGCTGATGAGATTAATACCCTTCATATTGCTGGAGATTTGAGCTTTGAGATCCGAGATATTATCTGCCAAGCATCGTGTGCCACTGCATCCTTGGTATTGTGCGGGTTCGTCAAGGAGAAGCTGTGTCATCCTCTCCTCATTGAAGCGACCTGCGCTCACAAGTTTCTCGGACTTGATTGCTGCTCCTTCTTGGTATAACTCTCTTGAATGAGGAGGCATACTACCAGGAAGAATACCACCAATATCAGCGTGATGGGCTCTGGAGGCGACATAGAAAAGAATCTTATCACCAGCAGTGTTGAAAGCAGGGGTAATGACGGTGATGTCGGGAAGATGTGTTCCACCATATTCAGGATGATTGGAGACTATGACATCACCTTTGACGAGCTTGCCCTGCCATATTTCAGCTTGTCGTCTGACACAAGTAGACATCGAGCCAAGATGGACTGGAAGATGCGGAGCATTGGCTACCAGTCCACCACTGGCGTCAAATAATGCACACGAATAGTCGAGTCTCTCCTTGACATTCGTGCTGACACTTGTTTTCTGAAGTGCTCTACCCATCTGCTCTGCAATGGCCATAAACCTGTGGGCAAAGATACTGAGCATAATAGGATCTACTGATTCTGTCTCATCTCTGGCCGAAGATCTGATTTTTGTTAGCAATTATGTCGTATTCTAAGATATCAATATTGGCACAAAACTTACTTGTCCTTAGCTTCATGTTCACCAATGTTAATCACTACGTGTGTCTCGATTATTAATGCAGCTGCGTCGGGAGTAATGACAATTGTTTGTGTTCCATCCGCGAGAATTGCCGGACCCTTGATTCGATCACCAGTATCAAGATCTTCCAGCTTGTATATAGGGGTGTCTTGTCGTCCACCTTCGAAATAGACTTGAGATCTCTTGTACTCTTTTTTACCAGTCTCAACATCATTAGGTTCGATCTCCTTCAATTGCTGATCGACTGTCTTTTCAAGTCCCTCGAAGCTCTTTCCAATACCTCGGACTCGAACATCATCCACAATGATATCTCGATCGGGTAAAGTAAAGCCGAATTCTTGTTGATGCTGCTTAACAAAAGCTTTTCCGTAAGCCCATTCATCACCTCCGAATTCCTCTACATCTTGCTTCTCGGGCTTGACAATCATCAATGCAGATTCGGTTCCACGGTATCTCATGTTAAGATATTCCTCGTGAACTATAGAAGTATCCTGGAAGCCCTGTTCTTTGAGAGCATCGGTCGACTTTTGTTTAAGATCTTCAATCTTCTTTCTCAAATAATCGCGTGACTCCCCATTATCGGTCCATATCTTAGACTCCGGCTCCTGTTTCTCATCTACCACATCGGCTAAAGCCATACCATACGCCGAGAGAACGGACGAATAGCGATGAACAAGAATTTGACGGATACCCAAGCTCTGAGCAATTGCAACTGCGTGTTGCCCACCGGCACCGCCGAAGGTTGCCAAACGGTGCTTGGATGTATCGTGACCCTTTGCCTCGGTCAAAGATCGAATAGGTCGGGTCATTGCTTCGTTCGCAACAGTTAAGAACCCATAAGCGACCTCGTCAGCAGTCATGTTCTTGCCCATTTCCTTGTTGACTTGTTCAGCTAGTTCTTGAAGAAGCTTCTCGCTTGCTGTAACATCAAGGCCTTTATCTTCATTCTTCCCAAAGATCTTTGGAAAGAAATCAGGAGTGAGACGACCTAGGAAGAGATTTGCATCAGTAACTGTTGCTGGACCTCCCTTGCGGTAACACGCAGGGCCGGGATGTGCACCCGCTGATTCTGGCCCAACAACGAATAAACCATTCTTGAAGAATAACCGCGAGCCACCGCCTGCGGCCACAGTATTGATATCGAGTTGAGGAGACTGAATAGTTACACCAGCTGTAGTGGTCTCAAATACATGTTCATATCTCCCCGAACCATATCGGGATACATCAGTAGAAGTACCGCCCATATCGAATCCAATGACTGGTATTTTGGTCTCAGGATCATATGAAGTAAGTGCGTATCCGACAACTCCACCAGCAGGACCCGACAAAATTGCTTTGAGGCCAGAGAATCTGTCGACGTCAACCAAGCCACCATCACTTTGCATAAACTCGCATCGCGCTCCTTTAGCTCCCTTCTCATTTTTTACACTTTCCGCTCCAAGACCACCCTCAAATCCTCTGGAAAACCCGGCAATATATTTTTTGATTGCTGGGGTCAAGTAGGCATCAGCGCAAGCTGATGTGGCTCTCGGAACCAATTTAATCATAGGCATAAGTTCATGGCTAAGAGATACATGCTCAAATCCAATCTCCTTTGCAATCTTGCCAACCAGGGCTTCATGGTCGGGGAAGGTGTAGCCATGCATCAAACAAACAGCTATGCACTTGATACCCTTATCGAAAACTTCCTGTAACTGTGACCGAATGGTCTGCTCCTCAGGACGCTGCAAGATGCGCACAGCTTCGGATGATAAACCCCGCACTAGATCCTGATCTCGTGCACCGTTGGGTTCGACTTTGGTGATACTACGTTCCGGATCTTCGGCGTAATCTTCCAGGGTAACCCGTTCGTCAATCTCCACCACATGTTCGTACAAGACGTCAGGTTTCTTGATCGCCAGATCAAAAATCTTAGGCCTTGACTGATTGCCAATTTCCAGGCAGTCTTTGAACCCCTTGGTCACCACCAAAGCAATCTTTTCACCTTTTCTTTCCAGCAAGGCATTCGTAGCTACTGTGGTTCCCATTCGAATCGATTCGATCTTTGAAGTATCTAGAGGTTCTCCACGAGGTATGTCTTTGTTGAGGAATATGGACATTAGCCGCCTGATACCTTCCAAAGGAGCGTCGTCGTAGTTGGAAGGGTCTTCAGACAGGAGCTTGATGATCACATCATCCTCCATCTTTCCCGTGCCTGGATTTCCTACACAGTCGGTGAAGGTTCCACCACGCTATGATTATGATCATTGTTAGTATTGTACACTTGCTAACATAATAAATGCTCTTTGCATCCACTTAGATGCTCAAATGCGTGACTATAATTCCTGAAGAAGAACATAGGGTAATTGCAGTCTTCCTTCCCAAGTACTACAGACTAATGAAAGTGTGATGGAGATTGTTCCACGTACATCTATGGCAATTCTAAAGCCGCCTCGCTCTTGTGTTTGTTCGCCCATCTTAAATGAGTGTATTAAAAGATTGTGTGAGTTGTATGATTTGAACAACGGAGTGGCAAAAAAGTAATATATCACGAAATTCAAAATCCGGCCGTCAAATTATGGCAAAGGGGGTCTATTCAGAAGAGATTGTAAAACATTGTATTACTTGGTACTGTAAATCATATATATCAAATTCAGAAGCGGCGTTCGCACTCCGTAGTGGGAGAGTGGGAGACGGTGTTGAGATTCCGATGGATGAACAATCAAACAATATAATATCATTAGTAAACAAATTCTTATCTCTTATCGTGAATGAGGGGAGGGGTACAGTCAATATATTGAGATATATCATAGCAATTACAAGCACCTTTTGTTTGTTTGATTTTGGTCATATTCGGTTGTCGTTTTTGGGATCTTGGACTGTTATAATTATTAGCTGTTGAAGGAAGTGGAAGCTGTCTGCTAAGTACCTCATTCTGACTCGTGTACGCTATTTCTCCTCCGTGCCATCGTAACCATGACAAATGGTCAATATCTCTCGCCATTTCATTTCAGACTTTAACATTGTATTCGGCAAATATTCAAGATCATACTTCAAATCATGAAGAAAAGCAATCCTCTTGGCAGAAATGCAGAGAACTGGAGTTGTTTGACTCGAAGTTGCTTGCTATGACTTTATATCCTGGAAAGCTAACACTCCTGGGGAATTCAAGGAGGACTATGCATATGATCGTGATGACGAAAATCGAAGCTGATGAATGTCTTGCAGAGATGTATGGCTATGCGTACAAAAGATAGTGTTGTCCAAAGTATGTTTAACCGGTCAATTCTGAAGGATAGAGTTGGGTGGTATAATATCCTGCTCCTTTTTATGAATCCTGATGATACCGGCAGTTTTCATAGAATCTCATTCGAACTCACGAGTCACCACTGCAATGCTCTCAACGCTCATTGAATGATACATGAACCTACCCCGGAAGCTTGTTTCAAAACGGCGAACCAAACAAAATATCATAAGGCTTAGTTCAACTAAAAGTGGTTCTTCAAATATCCAAGTTCGTTCTTGAGGAAAGGCTCCACCAAACGGCAACAGTTGAACAGTCGCATAGCAAAGCAGAATCCTCCGCAATGCTGCCGCCGTGATTGTTCATAGCGACCCATATGGTTCAATGTTGCGTCACGAAGAGTCTCATCCGAGGTCTCCCCACGACGGAAGCTCCGAATCAATCAAGCTTCTGAGTTTGCTCGAACGAGCGGCTAGAAAGATAGCCGATGGAGTAGAAGAAGATGAAACTTGAGAACAGACAAATCGGCCAAACCTATTATTGATACTTGTTCGTAAGGTTCAACTATCATGGTTAGATCAAGTCTTGCGGTATTTCTTGGTACATCTTTTATTTAGCAACCAGAGCACTATATCTCCGACGGCCAGATGAACGAGCCTTCCTCTCAACGCTCGATCATGAACCATCCATGTAGCGTATAGAGCCTCAAAAGGGGATGGGAGGTTGTTCCCAAATCCTTGTATCTGATTGAACTAGGGGACTTTAAGATTCAATGAAATGCCATTGAATGGTATCCTTCGTAAGATAGACTTCGCGAACGGGTTGATAATACAGTTCGATTACTGTATTTTTGATAAACTTTCATGAAAGGAGGTGCTTTGATTATATACCAGGTAAGGGAAGAATCCTGATTTTAACCAGCAATACGGCGAACTACAGAGAAAAGGGTAAGTTATTAGAAGATTACACAATCCTTCTAGATCACACTAAATCGGAAGCTATTCAGTTAGTACTATAATAGGTATACCTTGCGTTATCATTATAATACAACCGATCCGAAATAGGGTTGTTTCGCTTGTGTTGTTTCAATGTAATATCTCAAGGAACAAGTTGAGTTGCTGATACTTGATTATAAGCAAGTAATTCCTTCTTATGAATTTAGAAACAATGGTTGATCGCGGGATAGAGACATTTTTATTTATTTCTCAGCTCAGCGTTTGAATGATTGTATTATTAGGCGTCGCAAGATTTTGTAGCAGTCTATCCAGGACCAGGACCTGAGTTATTAAAAGAATCATAATAATAAATCTCTTGCTAGTAAATAGATTAGACCTTCAGTTAAACTTTAAAATAGAATTCACTGAAAGGAATTTAGTCTAAAGTAATGAAAACTTTGGGTAGATTGCCATCATAAAGCAGTTTACCCCTTAATTAGTGAGTGAGAGTTGAAACGACATCAAGCCATTACATTACCGTAACGATTCATATTAGGTGATATGCAGTATTATATTGGATCCGGATATCTACCTACAAGTAACAGCATGAAGATAAGATAGATTCGAGTCCAACGGATGCATGAATGCAATATATCGATACACAAAAATGCACAGCATAGCCGTGGATACCGCTGATATACATTCTTTGATAGTCCGTCCCCTTTTCGGAATAGATGTTGTACAATCCCTGAATCGCATGGTGATGGCGATTTATCCTTGTAGTTCACATGTTTCCCTCCTTGTCAATTCATAATCGTGTACTTAGACCAAAAAGAGTATATACCCCCCGGCTCTACACTATACTACCGGTATTTGGATATATCTACCTATTCCATTTGTCCAAACTGTTTCCCCATTCGATTACCACCCGCGCCGGAATGGAAAAGGGAGTGATAGAAATTCAAATCACTTGCAGCTTAATCTCTGACTTCATCCACATACTTCATTTCTTGCCCATATTTTGTTTATAAAGTTATTATTGGCATTTGATTTACAATCTATGTATGATACATGTCAATTGTCAATATTTAGACACATTACCTTGATTGATGTTACTACTACCGCCAATCCGAAGCCGGTACCGCTTTATGTACCCCTCCAACAGAGATCGTACAATAAACGCCTAAGAATATCCGACATTGCACTGTCTGTCTCAAATAGAAGCATCGTGGAGTCAAGTGGGCTTGATCTCAAGGAACTGTCTCAATCTGACAATACACCTCATTGAATCCTGTCATCATTCGATATACGCCGGGAACTGTATAGGATAAGATTTCTGAGAGCAAAGAGTGTCGTCATTGATTTGTAGCAACACTTCTTCATGAGTATCAGATTGATCATCTTATAATCGTGGAACCTCTCATCGAAATTATATGATCAGAATTGTGTCCAACATTGATGGTAGGGAGATAACTTTGGTTCGGGAGATATCATTCCTGAAGACAACGATCCCCAACAGAGATATTTGAGCAAGTCTCCATTCATTTTTCTTCCAGATGGGTGTTGATCATCACAACCGTTGATGAGTGGGATTGGAAAGAAACGAGAATAGTTATGCTGATATTGTTTTATTGATCGACTAGGCAATTTCGAATAACCTACACTCCACTTCACTGGCCCCTACAACTATCGATCGATTAGAGAAGTGGCACGTTCCCGTCCCAGCTGTCATAATATTTATTTAATCAAGACGTCGCCATCCACACTCACTCTGCACACTGGACTTACCAAGCGGGACAATATATATATATAAAACTCGACGTCGCTAATTCAGGATCGATATCACAATTGGGTTCAAGATACGCCTGATCATCCCACTTCACTCCCATAAGAGGGGGAACACTAGAAGAAGAAGAGGAAAAGGAGCGGAAAAGAAAGAAAGAGGAAACATAGAGGAAAGAAGAAGATCAAGTTTGGAAAGAACACATATGAAAAGAAGAGGAGGAGGATCTTCAGAGAAATAAAAAAAGCTCACCAGACCTGTGAGTTGAGTGTTAAGATACAAGGGGTAAGAAGGGGGAACTTGCCATAACGGATACCTTACTGAGCTAGTCCACATAAGGTCAAGCTTTAACCTAAATAGGCATCCTAGCCACTTTTGATACGGTACAGTACAATTACCTACTTACCTACCAATTTCGAACTTCGAATTCTATTTCGACAATGCCATCGTTATCTTACAGTGCAACAACAGAGGATTGTCTGCCATATGCACCATCTACGAATAATTCCGTACCTATTCCTCGATTCATCAATTCCTCTTCTAATTCGAATTTAAGTCCACCCGTCAATCGTCTTCAGCGAAAACCCTCATTTGGGAACTCCCGCCAGATTGCGCCCCCTCCTCAAGATGAATCTCACGACGCAATAGGGGAATCGCGAAGTCAACCGAGGCAACCGCATAGCCGCTCTAGTAGTACAAGTGGTGTCCAGGAATCAACGGGAAATTTTAATCGGTGGAGTCAATCGACAGCTTCAAGTGCAGGAGGACATACACGCAGCCGTTCAAACTCGATTTCGCATTTGAGCTTCGGCGGATCCGGGTTACATGGGAATGGTGTTGTCCAATCTCCTCCGAGAAAATTACAGAAGAGCCGACCTTCAATTGATATTAGTCCTCAAAGGAGGAGACCGACAGACTGGTCCACGAACCCTCCTTTGCCGTCATCTCTCCCGCCAATTATCACTCTACCGATTCCACAGGAAGCCGAAAGCCATTCTCCATCGCTGTTAGCAAGTGCGCTTACTCCATCTACGGCCGGATTGTTATCAGCTGCTGTCCATTCAACTGTACCTGATTACTTTAGGAAACCTTCGGAACGTTCTAGATCGAGAGACGTTTCTCAACGGCGATTATCTTCAAGGACAGGAAACCATAGTATTAGTCCATCACCCATATCATCCTTTTCAAACGAAACGACAATACCCCGCCGCGCCCCTGAAGAGGATTCAAATGCAGTAAGGGGTCATTCAAGGAATCGTTCCAGAGCCGAAAAAAGTAGTAGTTCTTCGCGAAGTTCTAAGCAGCCTTCACAAAAAGCCATGCTGTCCAAAGCTCTAGAGAAAGCGAATACAGCAGTGTTGCTTGACAATGCTCAGAATTATGAAGGCGCCATGCAGGCATATTCTGAGGCGTGCAGTTTGTTGCAGCAAGTTATGGCTCGTAGCTCGGGAGACGAGGATCGGCGCAAATTAGAAGCAATTGTAAGTGACATACTGAAAGTTTGATTGATTACTATGAACTAATATCCTCAGCGTAATACTTACACCAGCCGGATAAGTGAATTGGCAAAGATTACCCCTGAGTTGAGTGATGAAAAGGCACTTCCGGCCAGGCCCGAAAGCACGGATTTTAGATCAGATGAGCTTCCCACGACCGATGACGATGATGAGCTTGCTACTTTAGAGACGGCTACCATTACGAGGATAGTTAATGATACTTCTTACCCGAACGAGCCCCAGTATGATCGATCATATTCTAGGAGTCGGCAATTGCCCTCGCGTCGTGAATCTTTGTTACCTTCGGCCCTTGAACCTCCAGAAGCCCAGACTAGAAATCATCCTGACCAACGATCAAATCACTTCTCTAGATATAATCAATCCCAAGGACGAAATATTGAGACGAGCTTAAATGTTCCTATGGACAGCCAGTATATGCCACCCCCACTGTCTCCAAGACGACCTGTATCGCCGATGACATATGGGCCATCGGGCTCGGGCTCGAATCTAGCCGCTCCAGCGCCCTCCAAAGGGCATACTCGAGCACCGAGTAATGAATCCATGTCATGGTTAGATACCATAGATGAATCTGGTGGATCAGCCGCTACATCTGTACATTCTAGATCTTCGTCTCTGAATGTAAGGAGGAAGCATATTCGTGCCCACAGCGGTGAAACTGAAGCCGAATTTGATGCCGCACTGGATGCTGCTGTAGAAGCCGCTTATGATGATGGATTTGAGCAGGTGGATCCTGAACGTCGCACTTATGAGTATGACGACGATGATGATGAAATTGTAGCGAATGTTAGACGAAAGGTCGAACTGGCTAAAGAAAGGGTACGTCAAAGTGAACGAGATGCTGCCATAGAGGATGCTCATGAAAGGGAGCGAAAACGGCTGTTCCTGCAATTGCAAGAGCCACATATTGGCCCACACGATGATTATGAAGGAAATGAATCAGAGGAGGAAGAGAGGATGCTGGAGGAAATGACTAGAGGTTATGTGATGGATGATTTTGAATTTGGGCTACAGTCAAAATCTGCATTGCCCCGAGAGTCTGATTCTAGTGGGTCGTATTCTGGTCGGACTTGGCATAGCTCAAGTGGTTCAATACCCCCGCTTACCTCTGCCGTCAATATGTCAACGATGTCACCTGTCACTTTATCGCAGGCTCAAATTCAGCCACCTCACCCGCCTCCTTCCCAAGCGTTGCCTCCACCACCAGTTCTTGATGGCAGCCCGGTGAGAAAAAGTAGTCCAGCGCAAAGCGTGCGAAGTAGAAGACTCTCCGGACAGAATGCCAAGCAGTTGAAGATTGAGACTTCCTCGAGATTGATTGAAGTTCAAAATGCCCCTTTAACTTTGCCGCCATCAATGCCGCCACCGCAGGTTCCTAATGGCGTTGCAGGTCCAAAGACTGCGGGCTTACCACGGCAGAGACACGGTTCAATAAGCACGCGACCACTTATACCCCCACGACAAAATTCGATTTCAGGGCCAAGCTCCTCAGATATCACTTCGCCTCCGACAACCTTTCTCACTCAAACATTGACAAACGATAATAATGAATCCTATAATCCTATACCTCGATCAGGATCCCCAAATCGTTCCCACTCGAGGGCGGGACTGCGAAAGAACTTCTCGTCGTCAAGTCTTAAGAACGTTCGAAGTCATACTTTATCGGTTTCCAACATGGATGAATTTGGTGACATTATACCACCCACGCCATTGACTGCCCAGGGAAACAATGCCAGTGGCAGAATGCCTGTTATGCCCACTCTGCCAACACCAATAGCGGCGGCGTTTAAAGAAAGGATGAACGGTGCGCCTACTGGCGGCCTCTATCTTTTCAATAGTGATCTTCACACGCCAGAGAGCCCTAGCTCACCCAATCCAATGAGTGCAGGCGCACCAATTCCCTTGGAGCCCTGTCCAACAGAATACCTCCTTCGCCCATTCTGGCTCATGCGCGCGCTATATCAGACTATTGCACATCCGAGGGGCGGCTATCTATCCACCAAATTATTCATACCTCGAGATGTATGGAGGGTAAAGGGCGTCAGAATCAAGGGAGTCGAAGACAAGATTGCGAATTGTGACTTTCTTACAGCAGCTTTGATGAAACTGAGCCAAGTTGATACCTGTGACGCGGATGCTGTTTTGGAAGAAATGCAATCCCTGGAAGCTATTCTGGAGCAGGTCCAAATCATACTTAGCAAAAAGCTGGGTAGTGAGGTTGGTGTGCAAGGCTCAAACGGGATGTTCAAAGATGCAACTACGAGTGAAAACACGGACTTTGCTAATATGAGTTCGAAATCCGGAAGCGTATCCAGCAAGGCCTCCACCTTCTCGTGGAGACGTCTACGTTCGAAAAATTCCGCTATGGGTCTTGCCAACAATTACTCAAACAAGGTCACCTCTCCTGACGTACCGAAGGAAGGTTTGACTATGGGCACGTTGCCAATGACTTCTGCACCTAGATCGCGATTCGCAAAGAGAGATGTTAGCCAAGTACAATTTTCTGGGCCTAATGCAAATTACATGGGTGCTTTGGCGAGGCTATTTGACGCTGCACAAGCCATTGGTATGTATCCCCATCACTCTACTCTCATTACATGCAGGATCTAACGGAAACAATAGATCAAATTGCACGTCAAGTGGAAGACCCTGGTCTTCGCCACGCAGACAAGACTCAAGTCGGTCTCGAACTTTGCACTCGTCACGCAGCCGAGTTCTTCGGGTTTTACATTTGTCGCTTTGTGTTGAATGACATTTCGTTACTTTTGGACAAGTTCATCAAAAGAGGAAGCGAATGGGTTCTTGTTTGAACCTTGCTTTGTTATTTGTGTTGATTTTTTTGGATTGATATTTAGCTTTGGAGGTAGGAGCTAGATGCATACAATAGGTATATGATTTTCTGACATTGGTACTGATTCATCTATTGCGAGGAAGATGGACATGGACATGATATACATTGCGGAGAATCATGTCGTACAATGGGCGTCTTGGGATTGCATTATATTATGCTTACCGTATACAACATGGATGGTGTTATTTTGTTTGGGGTTTGGTGGTGGCGGCATGCATAGTTTTCATTGATACCAATACAGGGGAAAAGGAAGGGAAAGGATAGGGCCAGATAGGACAGAGTGGGAAAGGAACGGAGTAATAGAGGGAGAAGAGAATCAAGGGATAGGAATAGGGGATAGGGAATAGGGAAAAAAGAGGTGGAACACGAACAAGAGGCATTTGTATAGTTGCCCGTTGCATATTCAGATACAGATGTGGATGGTGAGAAAACAGGAGGAATGAGATTATTTACCCATGGCAAGAGAGGGATGGACCGGCACATATCATACGACTTATCATATCAGATTTTTATCTTACCCATCGAAAGTTTTGGAGAAACCATTCAGTTAGTCAGGAACAGTTACAGTCACTATTTCTATTACAATAGATTCACGAAGCAAATGAAAAAAAAAAGAGATCTGATATCCATATCTATATCGCATTGCAAATACTTGTTACATACATACAATACACCAACCATCTCAACCCCAACCGCAATGCCATTCATGCAACTCTGTACATTCATATTCCCCTCGTCTCATCCCATCCCATCCCATTCAATCCCATCCTATCCGATCTAACCCTAACATGACTTCCACAAAAGAAATATCTACATCTCATCTCTAATCAATCTTTAACTCATTCATCCATTCATCCACACATCCATTCATACATCTATCATACATCTAAACATCTAAACAGCCAAAAAGTCAAAAAGTCAAAAAGCACATACAACAGTGGGGATTCGCTGGTGGTCACCCACCCAACTACTAATCCACCGATCTGAAGCTTGTGTATGGCAGAGCGGACGGGATGCCCAATTCTCTTCAGTCTATGGTCGTATGTGGGAGAATGTTGGAGTTTGAGGCTTATGTTGGTTGTGAAGGGGTGGTGGTGAGGATGATGATGCTAGGTTGCGGTAAAGGGGGGTCCACTTTAGTTAGACAACCAATTCTTTAGTATTTTTTGGTTATATCTCAAAAGGAAAATAAAACTTCAGTCATAGGTAGTCACAGCACACACACAATTCAGTACTTCTTGTTTGAATTTTCATATTCTGCCAATTACAGCGCGGACTGATGACCAATAAATCATAAGTCATAAGAGAATCAATTACGAGTCAAAATAATACACAGACGATACGGAATACGCTATCCGAACGTCACCCACCCTTTCCTTCCTTCCCATGCCATACCCCCTTTCATTTAATCCATGCCCCAATATCAAAAAAAAGTGTTACGTTCAGTTGAATGGGTTGGTGTGGGTTCCCCACCAAGTGAGGAAGAGAGAAAGACCGACTGTCTCGAAGACGCGGGCGAGAGCACCTACAGCGACGGTGTCGAGGGGACGCTTCTCAGTGGTGATTTGAGCGATGAACTGGGGAGATGTTAGTATTGTATCCTATTCACACATGTTCCTTCATGTTTGACAACGAGGGGAGACATGACATACCGAAGGAGCAGAGGAAGCCATGAAGATCAATGATCCTAAGTATGCAGCACCCTTATATGAAAGAGTACCAGTGGCGTTGATCAAAGCACCAACACCATATGATTGAACGGCGCTACCCACGAGAGAAGTTCCCCAAGCGGCGACAGCCGAGGCGGCTTCCTTTGACTTGACAAATTCCTCTTTAGAGTTGGCAGCTTGGGCTCGGTGGTATGTCTCGCCAAAGACGGGGCCGAGGACAGCAAGGGACGCGGCGTGGTTGAAAAGTGTACCGAGGGCAATAGCCGATGGCTTGACGGGTGGAAGATCTGTTGGGAATTTGTGTTAGTGGAGGCTAATTGGTGGGGTTGAGAGATATTGGGGGGATGTCGGAAGAGGGAGGGAGAAGGTAATGATGGATTTTTTGATAAATTGTTCGAGATCCTTTGATGGCATTCGAACTTGGTTGGAAAGTAATGATGGGTAGACAATCCCCAAGCTCGATATGCTTGCTATCAAAGCTCTCTCACAATCTATCGTAACATCATCTTCCCAACCCCTCCCAACTCCTTCGAATCATCGAGTTCGATAGAAAAATACATACAGTGAAGAGACATGATGTGAGTGTTGATATGATTTGATTGAAAAGATTTATTAGAGATTCTTGAAGAACTTTGAATTGGGTGTTGATGGATTGAAGTGTTTTATTTTGTTTGTGATGTTGGGGAGGGACAAGGAGGATAAAGAATAGATTTATAAAGAGGGGTGAATAGAAGCTAGGGCCACTACGGAAAGTTGGAAGGCACGTCATGGAAAGTTCCAAGGCAGGCAGGCAGGGCAACTGAGCATTGCGTTTTGTGAGAGGTTGGCATGGGAGGATATTGGCATGGGATATGAGAAGCAGTCAGTCAGCATAAGTAGGTAAACAGGTAGGAAATCGATAGGAAAATCGCTCTTTTTTCCCTTCCTAGGTCAATATGAATCAAGAGTAATAGAAATAGAATCTTATTAGATGTGATATGAAAGAATACATCCGTTATACTTAATCTGTATAATTCTTATCGAATTAGATATTAAGATATTTAAAGCAAAACTAATTCTTATTAAATAATAAATGCTAAATTAGTAAAATTGATACCACCAACATTTCCCATTCCATCCATCGGTATTCATATCTAAGACAACCTCCATATACGATTGCAACCAGATTTATCCGACAGGAGTGACATCATAACACGGTCCATCCAACTTCTTTAACATTGTGGCGTCATGAGCTCTGTCACTAACTATTGTGGCTAGATACCGCCGCTTGATTCGTTTCCGCTTTTCTACCCTTTTCACCTATGCTTGCCCGCCTCGGCCCTTGTACCGATCTAAAATCCTTCCAGACTTCTCACTAAGCCACAACCCCCGAGACACAAGCTTAGACCAATCAAATCTCTTCAACATGAAACCTTGACAATTATATTTCCTTACCACGTGATGATGCTTGTTTGAGTTCGATACATTTTATCATTCTTAACATAATTTCTATTCAAAGTATCAAAACCCCTATTCTTCTCCTGGTCGTCGATTCTCTCGTATAATGTTCTGTTGGTGTTTAATCCTACACTACCATTGGGATTTTGGATGGTTGTGAATGTTGAATGTTGCAAGTACAAGTGCAAGTGCAAGTAAGATATGGAGGATCAGGAATCTTTGTTGGGTAATGGGTCGAATCCGAATGGACGGTTGGGCGCAAATGCAAATGGTATTGCTAACGCATATCAATATTCTTATCGGGATAAACGACGAAGGAGCTGTTGGAGGGCATCCTTGATTGTGTGAGTTGGATTTTCCAACCGTTGTCTTCCTTAAGTACCCGTTCGTTCTGTAAGGTTACTTTCTGATTACTAGTATTTGGTTGTGTTGATCTACCGGTATCATTTCTTTATTCCCTGGCAAGGGCAAGGGAATTTTATTAAGCTCATCAACTAATCAATCCAACTCAAAATCTAGACCTTGCTTATTTATAACTACACTTTTTCTAGCCCCATTCTACATCATGAATAACAAAGTACAACCAAAGGGTAGACATATGGAGCTCAGGAACGTGATGGGATATTTCCTACAAGATGATCAGAATACTGATTCAAAAACCTTCAATTATACTGTAAGAGTGTCTGCAATTATGCCGTTGGATATCATACTAACATGACTATTTAGACAATGAACTTTGGTTTGAAAGATCGTGTGTATGATACGGATCCAGAATTTGATCCAGAGAGGCAGAAAACCCAATGGGAAAGATTTGAGAATCATGTTATGAAGCTCAATAATCAGACTCCTGAGAATGTACAGTATAAGGTTCTTTACTGTATGTGTCCCTCGATTGATTCCATCACATGATAAATAACTGACTTTTGCAAGTGGGGCGTCATGGTGAAGGCTACCACAATATCAAGGAGACTGAAGTAGGAAAAGAAGCATGGGATGTATGTTTCATCCGCCCCCTAAGAACAACCGAATTTCACTAAATCCTATAGTGCTACTGGTCTCATTTGGACGGAGATGCAAATTCCACATGGGCTGATTCCCAGCTTGCTCCCACTGGTGTTGCTCAAGCTCTCGTGGCTAACAACTTCTGGGAAAACCTAATCACTACACAACACATATCTCCACCAGAGTCCTACTACGTTTCGCCCCTAACTCGTTGCCTTGAAACATGTTCCCTCACATTCAAAAACCTACCACTCCCTCCCTCATCACCCCCATTCACCCCCATAATCAAAGAACTTCTCCGTGAAGGAATCTCCTCCCACACATGCGATCGACGCCGCTCCAAAACCTATATCCACGCTCTCGCTCCTACCTGGAAATTCGAACCCAAGTTCGTCGAAGAAGATCCCTACTGGCGCGCCAATTACTCGGAGACTCAAGAGACAGAAAACCGAAGGTTTAAAACCCTTCTCGACGATTTATTCATGAATGATAATAGTACCTTCGTATCCCTCAGTTCTCATTCCGGAGCCATCAACACCATTTTACGAGTAATCGGCCATCGAACCTTTCCCTTGAACACTGGAGCTGTTATCCCCGTTTTGATTGAAGGACAGAGTGTATTGGGAGAAGATCCAAACCCGATCTACAAGGGTCCGGAATATACCAAAGATGCAAAAATATGCCCAGCGCCTCCATCTCAACTCGGTATCCCAAAGCCGGTAAATGACATTGGATTACAAAAACCCAGCGACGTCATACCGCCTCCACCAGCTCCAGCTCCAGAGCCAATCGCACTCGTCCCTGCCGAGCCAAACTCCCCTGCGGACCCGCTCCCACCCATTGAACCATTCCCTCCAATTAACCCAATACCACCGACCGATCCCATCGACCCAGCACCCGTAAAGGCAAATCCTCTTCCCGTCGAACAGATAGCCTCTCAAAATGTAGAGGTAAATTCTCCTCCAATCGAGACAGCTCCGCCCACAGATAATGCGGTAAACCCACCTCCATCTCCATCTCCACCACCCACCAATCCAGTTCCCAATCCTCCAATCGAAGCCGCCCCTCTCCCTCTCCCTCTCCTCATACCAACTCCCTTACCCATCGAGCCCAGCAATACCATCGAGGCCAACATACCCGACCCCATATCACCCACCGAACCAGCCCCTCTTATTCCGGAGGACCATGGTAATGGTAATGGCAATGATAATGGAGCGCCTTCTTCATAGCCCATAGTTCATAGTCCATAATTCATAGTCCATAGTTCATACTTTCTTTCTTAATTTCATCAAAATAAATACAAATACCCAGATATTCATTCAAATGAATAAATAGATTTATTGTTTCCCCCTTGCCGTCATTCATCACACTGTATGTATGCACCGCAATACTCGAGCATCGTATTGTGCTTTTTTATGAATGGATATATATTGGATATATATTGGATATGGAATGGACTTGTTTGTTGTGTAATACCGGTATAACATTCTTCAATAAGAGTGTTCCAATTCCCAAACCGGTCACAACTTCACAAGGGTAGGGTGGTTGTGAGTGTGTACGAAGGAGCAAGATGCAAAATTATCACATACTCAACTCAAAATAATATAATAGAATATCACTCTTAACAAACCATATACCCAGATACTTTCTAGAGAAATGAGAGCCTTGAGTATTCTTTATTGTTTTTCCTCGATATCCATTCTATACTATATAAGTAATAAGTACTTGAGAGTAAATCAAAGCACTCTATTCCTGCTCCCACGTTCATGATACATGCATAGCACATCGCTTTCTTTCGTTCTCTCAATTTAAACCAAACCATGTATCAGATCATCTATAGCTGTAGCAGCGTCATCGCATATTATATGTGATATAACCATGATGACTTTTAGACTCCAGATATGTATGCGTGGCATACAGATGCAGCAACGCCGGTAAATAAACCTTCACCAACCTCGTTCCATTCACCACCCATAATTTGAACCCACGGCGGGAGAGCGATAAAAAACTCACTTCCCCTCCCTAATAGGCAACGTCTCATTTTTCTCGACCAACTCCCCCACCCCCAATCCACGACCTATCTTAACCTTTATCTTCTTCTCGCCCTTCTCCTTCTCCTTCTGCTCCCCCTCCTCAATAGCCTTCACATCCTTCCCACTACCCGCACTCCCCACTGCCTCCCCCTCATCCCCATCCTCCGTCTCATCCAATATCTGTTCGCGGATATAGCCCAAGTTTAGATTCATCGAATATGCATCCTCGCCATCCGCATAATATTTCGCCTCGATCTTCTCGGTTTCGAACCCCAGTGTATCGCGGTAGAGACGCAGCGCTGCTTGATTGGAAACTCGGACGTGCAGGGAAACATATTGCGCCGAGAATGTTTCGACCATTGCTTTTTCTATTTGCGCATTGCTTGGTTAGCATTTGAATTTACACATCATCACTCATTGCATTGCAAGCCCACTTCATCATCTCTTCCCCCTTCCTTGATAAAAACGAAACGAAACGAAAGAAAAAACATACGACTCTGCCTCATAAGTTTCTCGGCAATCCCCAATCGTCGATGCGTTCGCATGACGCTCAAACTGGTAATATGACCATGCTGCACGCCGTCGCTAGGATCCTCCTCCATTTTCGCAAGAACATAGCCGACAATGCGGGGGTAATCGTAGGGGGTCTTGGGCGGGCGCGAGACGTCGACGGCGACGTAGGAGAGTTGGGGCCAGGATAGGGCGTGGTAGAGGTAGTATTTCATGAAATAGCTAAAGGGGAGAGGGGGTCAGAGAGGGAGAGAAGGAGGGAAGATTGGTTGGAAGGAGAGAACTTTGGGGATGGAAGGAGAGGGGGGAAGGAGAGGGGGGAAGGAGGAAGGTGCATGGAGGGGAGAGGGAAGAGGGAAGAGGGGGGGAAACAAACTTTTCGGGAAGGTTGGTGATGTTGGCATGTTGAACATGCGGGATATCCGATGAACGAAGAACTCTGATATCCATAATTGCGCCTTTGAATATTGTTCAAATTCTGCAATGGGTAGGTAGATGGTGGGTAAGGTAGGTTTCCAACGGGTAGATAACTAACTGGTTGGTTATGTGAGAAGCTCTGAACTTGATGCACAATGTGTTGATGGCAGAGCTCCACCGCTTAAGAAATATGATTGGTGCGCTTAGATAATAAAGTGATAAATAGACCCCGGTGATTTCTATGCCGACATTTGAAGATAACCCCACCATGAGTGATAGTGGGGGGGGGAGAATGCAATGAAATGGTCACCATTCGTTACACGTACTCGTATATATAATCAACGTCAAGTAGACAGATATCTTTGCTATCTCTCAGTTTTACTTCTCTGTTCCATCCTCCAAACGTGAAATATAATCTCTGCTATTTCTTTTCTCTCTTTTCTCTCTCTTCTCTCTCTCCGTGCTTCAAGATCATTATCAGGACTCACTCACCAGTTAGAAAGTACACAATGGCCGCTCAAGGTTATAGATCATTAGAGGGAAAACTTGCTATTATTACTGGTGCTTCTAGAGGTTAGTTTGTGTGTTACTTTTGTATACATCTCACATGATCTTCTCCATGGTTCCTTTCCCTTTCCCATCCATATTAATATACATTTTATAAGTATGGTTCCAACTGACATATTACCCCAGGAATTGGAGCAGCAATCGCCGAAAACCTCGCCTCCAAAGGCGCCAATCTTGTCCTAAATTACACATCCGATTCCTCGTCGACTCTCACCGCAGAGCTCTCCAAGAGTCTTGAAGGAAAACACGGCATCAAAACTCTGATCGTCCAAGCCGATGTTTCCGAGAAGTTTGGTGCCGATAACATCATTAGCACCACCAAATCACACTTCTCGGATTCCCAAACCGGGGGGTTTCAAATCGATATTCTGGTCAATAATGCCGGGGTGTCTAAAAATACACTCATTCCAGAAATCACCATTGATGATTTCCAATGGCAATACAAAATAAATGTCCTCGGCCCCCTCCTCCTCTTACAAGCCGCCCTAGACTATCTCCCCCACGATCGATCCGGCCGCATCATAAATCTATCCTCCGTATCCAGTTCTCAGGGATATGTTGGACAAACCGTTTATGGCGGTACGAAAGCCGCCGTAGATGCCATGACACGAACCTGGGCACGGGAATTGAACAATCGCGCAACAGTGAATTCGGTAAACCCTGGACCCGTCAAGACAGATATGTGGGCCAGTACCACGGCGGAGTTTAAGAAAGGGTTGAAGCCCTTCATTGAGATCACGCCGGGGAGCGAAATCCGACCGGAGGTGGATGATCAGGATTTGATAGATGATGCGCCAAATTCGGGAGGAAGACCGGCGTATACTTCTGAGATTGCGGGAATTGTGGGCATGTTGTGCACGAGTGATAGTGCTTGGTGTACTGGACAAGTTGTGTGTGCAAATGGTGGAATGGTCTTTAATTAGTGGGGTGGGTATTTGGTTTGATACATCGCTTTGGATTCGTGCATGGTGGATATGTCTATGCACAGAATGTCGAAGAAAGTAGGGGTACAACCGTCCATGTTATGCCCAGAAGTCAATGCAGTTTGATTCTAGCCCTCAGCAGACCCTTTCGTCCAGTATGATATGGATTCCGTGGATCGCAAACGTTCTTAATAAACTGTCGCTACCCACGCATAGTATCCAGCAGGTATATTTTAAAGGGGTTCGCTAATTAAGAGTAGCAAAGCTCGAGATCGGGTAAATCGGAGCTAAGTACCATTTGCAGATATGCAATAACATCATGTTGGCCCATAAGATAAAAGGTAGAATGTCATATGGGACTGATTTGGTACAGTAAATTTGGTGGTGCAAAGTGGCAATGTCATCTTTTGAGATGAATCAATTTCGATTTTTTTCGGGAGCTCCGAAATATTTCGGTCCGACCTGATGGGTTATTCGGAGTGGCGATCCGCTTGTAGAATGGAATCGCGGTACAATGTACGAGTGTTCGATGAGCATTTGGTACGTGGCCTTATTGTTGCTCTTTCATTCGGAAATATGGCTTCTTTTAGTCATGGCGTCGGAAATACTCTGCTGGTGATTGAATTTGATTGACTTCTCAAATTTTTTTGTTAAGTCTCATGTGTTGCATGGCACCATGAGCCATGTGTACGTTCTATGGCAGTTGCCTGAGGTTTTATAGTTGCGCCCTGTGTCATAACGCTTCCATCGTCTTGATTACCTCCAATCAGCGGACCAGGATTATGGGCTGTCATTTACTGATCTGTTATGTTCATAATGGAGGACACATGATTAAACGAGGCGGAAGCGGTCAGAAATTAGATTTCTCTTGGGTAGGGCCAAGACGGCTTGGTCCTGTAAACCACTATAAATCTGGCAGGAAAAGACCGTGGAGAATGGCCACCGGCAAGAGTCATATGCTTCTCAGTGCCAGTGGTAGAATTGCACCTGGTAAAGGCCTCCGATACGCATTGAGATGTCGGCATCGTCAGTACTTCAAGAGTTCATGCGATGTAAGACTTGCTAGCTTCGAGTGACGCCAGGCTATATACATTGTCAGCATTACGAAACGAATCTCGAAGTAAAAGTATTGGATTAATGCTTAACAAGTCGGCCAATAATAGGAATGACTTACTTGGAGTGACCCAAATTTCATAATACCATTCCTCGCCACGAGGCCCATTATTCGGTGATAAGGCAACATACGTCCCCGCTGATTTAGCGGCAGCCATCATTCCAAGACGAAGCTTCACGATGGCAAGTTCAAACATGATGTTGAACTCGGGTTGACCTGTAATCTTCAAGTATTGAAGATTTTGGAGCCTGCCTATAAATAATGGGGAGCGATAAGAATTATCCAAAGCCGTTTTGAGAATGGTATTCGATGGACAATAATGAGGATGAACATTATAGAAATGTTCTTTGGCCGGGGTTTCCACTTGTAGTCTTGGTATAATATACATGGGTCATGAATAGCTTAAGCTTCCTGGAAACGTCGGGATCAGATGTAAGGTAAGTGAAGTCAAAGGAGCATTGCTAAGATCTCTTCGAAGATCGGCTCCAGCAATATGGTCTCGGAAGACGGTACGGATAATTCGAGACTCTTCAAAAATCCCACACAACTCTGTGTGAAAGAAAAGGCCAAACGACACAGCGAAGGTCAATATAATGTAAATCGAGGGTTCATCCGACACAAAAATTCGGCGGCATCATGCAGGAACCAGTGGTTCACACAAAACAGAACTGCTCCTTCATGGGCAAAAAAGTCGTGACATTCTGCTTCACAGAAGATATCGTCTCGACATCTCAAGTTCTTGAAGAGATATGAATCGACCTCATGCCCAGGCTCGGCTGGTAAATTAGAATCCAGATATGGTGCTACGATATGAGCCTGTTCCTATTCCTATTCCTGTTCCAGGGAAGGAAGTGCTCGGACTTGGTTCCCATAGTCAGTTGTGTGGTCACGAATTGACTTTATGGTGGACCGTACTTTTTAGCTTTGATAGAAGATACTCAATCCTCTTATATACCCCAGGTTTGCGGGTGACTTTGTCGCGAAGACGATGTAAACTTTGTGGTACGTGCGGCATGATCAGTGAAGATTGTCGATCATCACGATGATGATGGATATCCGATGGATACGATGGAGCGGGATGGAAGTCAAAAAAAGGGGTGAGAGTGAAGGCCGGATACAACAAACAGGATTCAGCGGTGGAAGGCGCGAGGCATGTTGGTGGCTTGATGGATGTTGGGACACATGTCAAAATGGTGTGCCGCGTGCGTGCGTATTTGTTATATCTACAAACGAACCAAAACAATATCAGCTGTCATCTACAACTTATTGAAAGCGGAGTTTTCGGCGTCAATATTCAGCGTTCAAACTTCAAAGGAACAATATCAAACTTAATGGTAAAATCAATAGCAATGTCAATATCAATACCGGCATGGTCAATGTACTCGAGTAGTAAGATTACAAAATGGATATCCAAGTGGATTCTATGGGGATTTAACGGTTTTCAATACAAGTCTTTGCGAAATTAGCCACTTTCTTTCTTTCTCTTACTTCTCCTTTAGCATGGTCGAAATTAAAGGTCTAGACCAATCGTGAAGCGATATCAGATCAAAATATACTGAACATGATTAGTTATTGGTCCGATAGGTTCCCCGATACGAGTACAAGATAAGTTTAGGGAAGAAAACAAACATGTATCAATGTTCAGATAAGAGAGAAAGAGAGAGAGAGGAAAGAGCGAATTTGTCCCTTTTCATCAATCTGGATGGATGGAGTTCGCCGAGTTTTTCTTTTCTCACAAAGACCCCGGATATAGACAGACGGAGTCATTTCGAAACCGTTCTTTCCCATGCGGTACTTACTGTACGATCCCAAGTTTGAGTACACCCACGTGAGAAGAGAAGAGAACGAAAGAGAATTGAATTGACTTGAATTGAAGAAGCGTACCTCGAATCTCAATTGAAAGATAAAATATGACGAGAAGATCAAAGATACCAACCATCATGATAGACTACTGTACTCAACTGTAGCCGACCAAAAGATCCCATTCTTGTACCCAACCAATATCCCAAAACTTGTTAAGTACATTCAAGAACTACAATTAAACAAATGAAAATGTGACCAAGAAGACTTGAAATACAAAAGGATGATTGACACCAAGAACCCAATTAGATCTTCCTGCTCCTCCTCAATAACAACATGGTACTTGACTACATATATCGAACAGGTATCATCATATCATAACATATCATAACATAACATCGTCGCCAAAATCAGATCACCGGCCTACAAATATCATATGCGTATTCCATTCCACAATCATCAAAAAAACTTAATACCAATCAAGAATCGAAAGCACATTACTCATAATCGAACAAAAAAGAAACTCCGGATCGAATATGGCCGTTATACATATCAAGATCGATGCTTATCCGAAGCAAAGACCTTCTTTCCCAACGTCATAAAGCTCTTGAAAGCATTCTTGGGTTTCTCCGCTGGTTTCTCCGCGGGTTTTTCCAAAGGACGAGATCCTCGAGATGCGGGGATCTCCGGACGAGAGCCTCGTGAACTCTGAGATTGTGAATGGTGTGGTCTCGTCGGTCGTCTCTCGCGGGTAGTTGGTCTTGAGCTAGGTTTTGATTCTTCGTTCTCGATATCTTTTTCAAGGATTGGTTCCATTACATTGTCGCTCCTCTCCTCGGCCTCTCGAGTTTTGATATCTCGCTCCTTGGCCTCACGTTCCTCGATATCCCTTTCCTCTCGCCTTCTTCGTCTCTCTTCACGGTGTTGACGTCTCAAATAATCATCCTTTTCTCTTTGACGTCGGTTTTCCGCTTCTGCTTCTTCTTCGGCAAGCTTCTCTTGTCTCCTCATCTCCCTACGAGCTCTTCTTGCCTCTTTATCCTCCTCCGCCTTATACTTCTCCGTGGTTGATTCTCGTCGACTTGGCTCTTTTCTGGAACTAGAAGTCCGTTCGGACTCTCTCCGAGAGAAAGAGTGCGAATGATGTGGATATGAGCGAGATGACTTTTTCGTACTAGAACTCATCTTTGGGCGTTCGAGAGTTATATCAAATTGAGGAGGCCCCGGTTCATCGACAACAGAATCTCTTCTGGAGCGTGTGACAGGAGTAACTTTCTCCTTGATATGTGGCTCATAATTGGCCATAAATGGACTGGTAACCTCACTTTGAACACGCTTCTTGAGACCGAGAAGTCGAGACTTGATGTTATCACTTTCATAAGGAGTAATGGAATATGGCTTCGAGATGCTTTCTCTTCGTGATCCTGATCGCTTTGGAACCGCTGATAAAGGAATGGATTCTGCCTTCCTTTTTTGGAGTGCCTCGTTAGCTCTTACCTCGTTAGCTCTTGCTTCCTCAGCCTTCAGTGCTTCTTCTGCTCTGAAGACATCTTCGGCCTTAATTGCTGCCTCTCTTTTAGCCGCTCGGCGTTCCTCTTTTTTCCTGTCGTGTTCTTCTTGTTCATTTCGACTACGGTCTTTGCGATGACGTCGGCGACGTTCACGCTCATCATCTACACCCTCAATAGCACTATCTCGACGGTCCGGAGATTGTTTCGCTGGAGAAACTCCGCGAGCGGGCTCCTGCTTGTCCTCCTTATCTTCCTTGTCCTCTTTACGACTAGACCTACGTCGATGGGAGCGCTCTGGGTCGTCTTCTCTATAACTTGATCGGCGACGATGAGAACGCTCTGGTCGCTCCTTATCTTCCTCCTTTTGGCTAGATCTGTGACTACGATAGTTCTCTCTATCATCTTCTCTATCACTAGTCACGCCACTGGATCTTTGATTGTGGGAATGTCTGCGACGTCGTGGCTGCTCTTCAGGTCGACTCGAAGGTGGATATTCCTCGAATTTGCTCGGGTTATGATGACTGAATGAGTGGTGTCTCGAACTCCTATGTCTACGTTTGTCATTCTCCGATTGATCCGATTTGGAGGGAGATTCCACTTCTTTATCCTCACGACTTTTGATGCTATCCGGCTTGGGAATAGATTCGACTTCTTTATCCTCACGACTTTCAAAGCTGTCCGGCTTGGAGGGAGATTGCACTTCTTTATTCTCACGACTTTCAATGCTATCCGGCTCGTCTACCAAAGCTTTATTGATTATCGGCGCTCTCTCCTCCGTATCAGTTGAGATCTTGACTGCGGCTGCACCTGCAAGTCCTGCAAAGGCAACAGCTGCAAAGTCTTCGGTTTCTATTTCGGTTGGCTTTTCGTCTGTTGGAAGTCCATCTTGCTCTTCAATGAGATCTGGGGTTGAAATAGCCATTTGGGGCTCAGGTATGGCTTCTTGTATAATTTCCTGAGACTCGGTAATTTCTTCTGTGGCTGGAACAGAAGGCGGATCGTATGATGGTTCCTGAATAGCTTCTTCGGGTGATTCTCCGATTTCGATGGTATGTTCCACAATAAGGTCATCTGTCACTGGAACTTCTTGAGGTATTTCTTGAGCCACAGCTTCTTCAGCTTGCTCAACGATAACTTCTTCACCTGTTTCTTGAGCAGCTGGAGCTTCTAATCAACGTCAATATAAATTCTTTCAGTAAAGTAAATATCACGCACCTTCTACCGGCAAGCTTTCCTCCTCTACCTTCTCAACGATCCCAGGCGGTTCATTTTCTTGAACCTCCTCAGCTGGTTCAACGACATCAATTTGCGTAGGTTCAGACTCTATATAAAAATTTAGCGTCAGTAACATGAGTAGAAGGGAAAGTGGAATAAACATCTCTGTCTCTGAAACTTCGGGCTATTGCTAACTCGAGACCCAACACGAGAATGGACTCAAGGCCTCCAAGATGGAACGTACCAGGTGGTGCTTGTTCCTCTTCCTCCAAAATTTCAATGATGGATTCTGTTGGTGGTGGAGTGGATGAAATTAGGTCGGCCCCTGAAAATATTTGGTGTTAGTCTATATGTAAGCATGCTATTTTAGATTATCTGATATATGAAATGGACGCTGGACTGCGTGTCGGATTTTCGCAATGTTCAGAATATATCCGAATCAAGATTTATTATCTTTTCGGATGAAATTTCTGCATGTCTGAAATTTGTTGCGGACATTGCAAACATTGAAATGAACCAGCTAAACTCAGGCATTGGGCAGCTGGAATTGTCCGGAATAGGTTTTCATTGTGCGAATCCTGGACTGCGAAATGTGCCAAATGATCGTGGACATCCATATGCAGAGTTGCATATACATTGATTGAAACACAGCATTCGACTTACCAGTAGGAGCTTCTGACTCAATGATTTCGAGCACGGGATTATTTTCAATCGCTAATTCCTCGGCAATGTCAACTGGGGGAGGTTCTATTCATCTCGTGTTAACATATTTGTGTATCAGACCGTGAAACGAAAACGTGAAACGTACTAAGAGTAGCTTCTTCGGTGAGAGGCTCTTCGATGGGAAAAGTGTCCGTTGATGTTGACTCGGGTTCTGAATTATTAGCTAGAGTTTTAAAAATCATGACATGAATATTTTCAACACTTACCAGCCTCTATTTCTGGAACGTCCTCCTCCTTAGGTGCTTCTACCAATGGTTCTTCATCTACCACTGTCTCGATGGGCGTAGGATCAACAGGTACAGATTCTGATTCTTTTTTGTGTCAAGGGTTAGTATATCGTAGATGTTATTGTAGAAAGATAATTCTTCTTATGAGCTCTTACCAGCTGGCGTGACTTCATCTCCTTCTACCGGGGGTGGTTGTACGTCATCGATGGTTGCAGGCTCGTATTCCGTAGCTATTGATATTTTGTTATTTCCTTGAACGTATTCACATCTTCACAAGACATGGAGTTCAATCTGTGAGAGGGAAGATGTGGACACTTACTGGTAGGAATATCTTCGGTGACCTCATCCTGCTTTACCTCTTCTGGAGCTGCTCATTACTATCTTAGTATTTTGTAGTATTCAAAAGGTTTGGTAGGAGGATATTGGACATTCACTTACCTGCGGGAGCTTCGAGAGTCTCAATCGATTGTTCTTCTGGTACTAGGACTGGAACAGTGGACTCTTCATTTGAAACGAGTTCTTCCAACTGAATGGGTTCTTTCTCCTCAATGATCGAATCGGGGCTATCTTCTTCAGCGGCGGGTATTTCAGAAACCTCAGTCGACTCTTGCTTAGGAATAGGAGGATCGATTTCCTGTGGGAGTACATTTCCTGAAGCATCGATGGGTTTATCCTCCTCAATGACTGGGTCGGGAATATCTTCCATAACCGGGGCATCCAGATTTTCGATAGATTCTTCCCCAGGAATATTGTTTTCCTCGCTTGTGATGATTTTATCTATCTGAATAGGTTCTTTCTCCTCCACGACGGGCTCGGGGCTATTATCTTCGACGGCAGATATCTCGGGGACATGATTCATGTCTTGCATTAGAGCATGAACAGCAGGAACTTCGCTTTCCTGGGATGGGGCGGTTTCTGAAACATCGATAGGTGTCTCTTCCTCACTGGCTGGTTCCGGGAGATTATCCACAGCAGGATCTTCGCTTTCCTGAGATGGAGCGGTTTCTGAAACATCGATAGGTGTCTCTTCCTCACCGGCTGATTCCAGGAGATTATCCACAGCAGGAACATCCGGGTTCTCGATAGCTTCTTGCTCGAGCACGGGAACGTGGTCAACTTCAATTTCAGTCTCTTCGCTGGGCTGAGTTTGTTCCTTCTCATCCACCGAATCGTGAGGATTTCCTACAAGTGCGTCCGAGTTCTCAATTGATTGTTCCTGGAGCACTGAATCATTGACTTCTTTAGCGGTGGCCGTTTTTACGGGCTGAATATCTTCCTCCTCATCCATTGATCCAGGAAGATTCTCCACGGGGACTTCCAAGGCCTCTTTTGGCTCACTCTCAAGAACAAAAACATTGATTTCTTCAGTCTCGGGTGAATCATCCTGTGTTTCGGTTGATTCAGGGTCATTTTCATCAACAGCGTGAATTTCTCCGTTCTCGTGCTCGTCGCCAGAGTCCGAATTGTCATCGCTAGAATCGCCATCCCAGCTTAACGCCTCATTTTCCGACTCCTCTGGGTCGGATTCTTTCAGCTCCTCCACCTCGAAGTCATCGGTTTGTTTGATAATAGATGGCTCTGCCTGCGGTTCTTCAATCGACCCAGGATTGGTATTGTCTGGGTAGCTTTCGACTGGACTTTCTGATTGTTGCTCTTCAGTAGCGGACGATTTTTGAGAATTTATGCTGGAGTCTTCCTCCGCAGGTCCGACTTGCGATTCCTCGCTCGAGGGCCCAGAAATCTCTTCGGTATTGGCAGGAATGACTTTACTATCAGTCTCTATTAATATCTCGGGGGTTTCGTGGATATCCTGAGCTACGATGGCGACCTCTTCTGTTGACTTCTCCTCTTGAGTTTGTTCGGATACCTCTTCAATTACGACCGGGTCTTGTTCAGGCATAAGTAAATCTGCGATCTCGTCACTTTCTGGGAATTCGTGAGAATCTTCAACATCTCCATCGGTGAAAGTATCCTCTTGTTCTTGGCTATTCTCAAATACGGCAAACTCCTCAATTCTGGATTCTTCTTCTGTATCGTCATTTTCTTGTGGTTCTCGAACTTCCTCGGTCTTGGCGGGAGATTCTTCGGATTTTTGCAATTCTTGAGGGTGATCAACGGTAGCCGGTGCTTCTTCGATCCCCGACTTGTCATCGCTTTCTTCTACATCAAGCGATGTCTGTTCGGTTGGTGCGAAAGTTTCTGATCCTGTATTCTCCTCAACTATGGCTGATGCACCTTCCACGTGACTCTCATCCAAGGTTTCCTCGCTCACTAAAGATTCCTGCGCATTTTCGATACCAGTTGCCAATTCTTCGACTTCTGCTTCGAGTTTCGGTTCATCAATCTCAGCAGGGTCATCCTTTTGGGCATGTGTCGGTTCCTCGACGTTAACTAGAACATCTGAAATATCTTGAACATCCTCATTGGATTCAGCGATTTCTGACTCTATCGCCTCTATACCGATATCCGGGGTCTCCACGGCTAACGCTCCAGTCGTGTCATGTTCAAGAGCTAGCGCTTCATCGACATCGTTTGCAGGTGCTAGTTCCTGAACGATATCGTCTTTGACAGTGGACTCTTCCGCATCATCTACCACTTCTCCTATCTCGGCGTTCTCTGATGGCTCTTCAGTAGCTCTAGTATCATCACAGATGGTTTCAAGCTCCGATTCTCTAATGACGTCCTCGGTTGGCTCAGGAGTATATTCGTCCGGCTTAGACTCCTCGACCACGTGATCTTCCTCGACCTTTGGTGTATCAATCTTCTCGGTTCCAGTTTCTTCGGGGCTTAGCACTTCGGCTTCGACGACTTGAGATTCATTCGAATATTCTGTGCTTGATTGGTCCGGATCAGCTTCTTCAGAAGTTGTCAAACTCTCTTGATTGCCTTCGCTAGATTCTTCATTCTCTTCGACTTGAAGGACGCTCTCGGTCATTGCGGGATCGATGGGTACAGATTCCGGCTCGCTCGGCTCGGAACTCTTTTCTTGAGAAGAGCGCTCTTCGGGAGAGCCTTTCTCAATAGATTCCTCACTCGGTTGAACTTCGAGTTGGGTTTCTGACACGATGGTCTCCTCGGACACATGCTCATCTGGATGTAGTGTTTCCTCGTCGGGACTTGTACTCTCTTCCATAACATCCGGCTCATCACTTGCGAGAACATCATCCTTCTGCTGCGTCTCGTCGTTTATTGCGGGTGCTTCCACATGACCCATCTCATCTTCACTGGTGGCAGTGTCTGGCGTCGACTTGACGGGGTCTGAGATTTCTTCTCTAGTAGCCGCGGTCTCATCCGTAGTAGCCGAAATATCTTCGCTTGCTGATGGGCTCTCTTCGTTGTTCAAAAGTTCTCCAGTGGGCTCCAGATCTTGTGGAATATGTTCATCCGGGGTAGAAGTCTCCTCGCCATTGACAGGAATCTCCGCTATGGTTTCCGGAATAAGCTCGCTATCGGGATCTTCTGTATCTATGTCTAATCCATCAGCAACCGTGGGTTTATCGTCCTTGATTTCGATCTCTTCGTTTATAATAAGGATTTGCTCGTGGACTTGAACTTCTTCGGTGATAATGGGACTATCTTCCGTGCTCAGAATGTCTTCGTCTGCCAACTGTACGTCTTCCGCTGCTGGTACATCACTCGTCGATGTCTCTTCTGTAATTGAAAGTTCTTTAGGTTGCGTCGGCTCGCTCTCAGATATAGGTACTGTTTCCCCGCCCTCTATATTCTCGCCTTGGAGATCGTCTGATGAGAGTGTGGGCTCTAGATCTTTAGGATGATAGTTAGCGTATGGGGATAAATGAATGTCGGCACATTTAGCTCTAAAAAATATGTCTCGAAACTTCGTCAAGAAATAGTGGTAATCACCTGATACTGGCACGACAACATCTGGAGTCATCTGTGATTCTTGCACTGATTCCATGTCTTCAGATTCAGTCGACTTAGACTCCTCACTCTCTGTTATCGGATTCCATGGTATCTGTACTGGTATCATGACCGACTCCGGAATGACCTTTCCCTTGCTCTTGCTTCTTTTACTACCACTATTCTCTTTCTTGTCCTTTGCCTTCCTTTTCTTCCCCCTCGAATGTGTATCGGAATCATCTGGGTCGCCCCGGGGTGGATCGGGCACCTCTGGTGGCGCTGGTGGTTCTTCCTCAATAGACCTTGAGCTTTTTTCCTTGCTCTTTTTACTCTTCTTGCTCGATAAAGCTTCCGGCTTACGTGGAACTTCGGGTACTGCTGGCTTCCTGTCCTTGCTACTCTTTTTCGTTCTCTTACCCTTTGATTTGGAGCCTGTGGATGATAAGTCATCGGCGAAATGAACTGTAGGATATGACGAATGCGATTGATGAGATTGATGAGATTGATGTGATTGATATGAATCTACTTTACTCAATGAATGCCCGTCGTCGTATATGCTGTATGATGGTGGGGCGTCTGGAACGGGAGGGGGAGGGTGTGTACCATCGGTGGTGTTTGGAGTAGGCTCGGAGGGAATCCCTAAATCATTAATTAGTTCTGGCTCCAGTCCTATTTCGAAGTCAATTGTATGATCCGATTAAGAGAAGGATAGGACCGATAAAGTGCCACATTTGAACACGTGAACATGATACTCTGCATCCAAAGATAGTAAATGGTTCCATACCTGCTTCTGTACTATCATTCGCTGGACTTGCTTCCGGGGTCGAGATGGAGTCTTCCGATTTCGACTCACTCGATTCTTCAGTCATTGAGGGGGGCTTACCATCTTCTTCGGTGGACTGTGGTCGTTCTTCTTGATCAGGTGTGTTTTCATCCTCTTCCTCCTTAGAATCATATTCCTCCTGTTCAGGTGAATCTACATCCTTGGTTTCTGGCTGCGGGGTATCGCTTGTTTTTGTTGTTTCTATTGGCTCCTCTGGAATCCCTTCTAATTTATCCTGGACTTCATCGTCCTCACTCTCTTCATCATCTTCATCATCTGTACCTTTGGTCAGCGATACCAATCCAGATCTATAGGGACATTCAACGTTTCAATCGCAATATAAGTGGGGCATTGAAACATGATAAGTACCAATCTACCAAAAACAGTAGATGTGGAGAATACTGTAGAATTCGACATGTATAATGGAAACTGGGTAAAGCTTACCTTTCTTCCCCTCATAGTATCTAGCAATTTTTATCCTTGATGTATCCAATATTAAAGGTTTCGACCACTGAGTTGTCTGGATTGAGGACCAATTACTATCAATGGCCGTTCTTCTCGCTGGACAATAAGAAATATCCATACTGAGGGTGTTGGTACCTCGTCACAAGCAATAGAAGATGCAGAATCTTCTACGTGAGGAACGAATTGAACGTCCTTCTTATTGTTCTTCTGATCGTTTCTTCCCATGGTCTACAATGACGAGGGGGGTCGTTTTCGGTTGAATGCGGGTGCCCAATTTTTGGGTGACAAAAGTTTGGTTACAACCCGGGTGTCGTTCAACGTGGTTGGAATAGAAATAGGTACAATGAGTGTGAAGGCCTCAAGATTACTTTAATCAGCAGATGGTAAGGTGAAATAATTCGCCTATAGGAAAAAAGAATGAAGAATAAATGCAGGATTAAAGAATGATTCGGAAGCAAGAACGGAATTCCAAACGAAAATTGGTTTCATTGGTAGGTACAAGAAGGGAAAGTCATTGACCCATCACTTTTCTCAAAGCTCGAGATAGAGAAGGACAGAGGTCCCACGGCCATCCCACGATTTGCCAATGTTTGTCGACAGCATTACTAGAACTTTGCCTAATCATGGTCGTGCTTAACCGTTATTGGCCAATATGATACATTGCAGCCACGTCGCAATCAAATGAAAAGATAGTAATCGATCGGATATTCGAGGCAATTCGTGATATTGCAGACCCCGAGTGCAGCCCAACCGGCACAAATGCATATCGACGAGAAAGTGGACAAAACCGTGCAGTAAGAAAATTCCAAAAAATTGTACGAGTAGTAGTCAATATGCAGGAATATATCCGACAATAGACAAAATCCCTGCTACTTGCAGCTTTCATACGTCGTACTAAACTGGATAAATGTCACTATACTCTACGGAGTAGTACTCCGTAGATGATGTGGGACGGAATTATATTATTAGAGACTCTACCAGTATTGGTCAATATGGTCCATTGAAAAAATCGAAAAAATTGAAATACTGTTTGATGACTTGTTGATGACTTGAAAGTTGATGTAATTCTTACAAGACTGCTACCCGAAAAGGTTTCACAGTAGTGCCATGAGATGGCGATGCAACGTGGTCGATCGCCTTGTATACCTCATCTTGAGATGCCTGCAATTGCCTACCATTGAACAAACGGATCATCATATATCTCCAATTTTATCCTCTTCAATCCATCATCTTCAATTTCCATGGAATTGAGAAGAAATGTGATGTGATATGGAAGAGAAAGAATCACAAGCAGAAAGCCCCCTCAGAGTCTCAAACCCCCGCCCCCCCCAAATATGTAGTGATCATATCCGCACGATATCAATGTAATTGTAACCCCTTTTGCAGCTTTGCCACACCAATAGAAATATTGGTGCTGATGCCGGCGGATACTGAGTGTTTGCGACGTTGATGAGTTGTCAGTACAGTACATGACATTAGGTACTAGCTAATTACTGTACCCATCCTTTTGGGTGGCCCGGGTATCCGATTATGGATTGATCTTCAAGGGGTCAGATTTTGAGTCTTTAGCGATTCCGTTAATGATATGCCTCTCGAAAAGGAGGGGTTATACTGAGTAGTGCATATGCCATTATATAGTCAATGAATGTACTTAGATGTCGTGTGGGTGTGAGGGGCAAAATGAAGTGGTTAGAAAAATTCATGTTCAAAGAGAATTTCTACAATTTATTCTATAATTAAAATCATCTGGATGAGCTGGGCAAGCTAGGATTAGATCTCGACCTAAGTCTTTAAAAACAACAGCATTCCCTCGTAGGTACACTTTTGGGATATCTTGCAAGTTGCCATTTCCAGTTTTCGAACCCAATGTTTCAGCTAGGGATTTCCTTGGGAAATATTAAAGACATGGGCCCAAAACGAGGCTGACATGATGGATATATGCCTTGGCTCTACTCTCTGATTGGACGGCGAGTTATAGCTGTTGGAAGATACCGGCAACCACAGACATTACTACATTGTAGGTAGATGCTATTCTTCTAGTTTATTGGTAATAGAAGGTATTCGGTGTCTGCTTGACAGATGTACAACAAATCCCAAACGCCGTCGCATATAATGGATTCGAAGCCCGATATCCTCTCTTGTACAAACTGAAAATTGAACGCACGCCTCCATACACAAAATAAACTGATAAAACCAGAAAGTCCAGGGTTCCGCTCAATGTTAAATTTATTGTCCTTGAATTACATAGCCATCTCAGCTTGCAGCTTTCGAAGTTCTTCTTCTTCGTCATCCTCTTCAACGTAAACGGGTGCTTTGGATTTGACTGCATTGAATATTAGTAATCTTAACACAAGACCAGGATGGTATCAAAGGGCTTACCCTCTCCATTTAGAACAGATGGCAATCTATGAACCTCATCAGAGACTGGCACAGAACCAGTCTTCAGCATCTTATTGTCTAGCTGTTCTTGTTCAAGTTCCGCTAATTCGTCTTCGAGTTCCGCTTCATCTATAGGCTCGCCGAGAGGTGCGCTCGTAATGGCTTGGGCGATTTCTTCGCCCAAGGCATGCTGTTCCCGAAGTTTGTCCCTGTAAAAAATATATCAGTCTCCATCCCCCTTCTAACTCAGCTGAGAAAACGTACATTGTCTCGTCCACCTTGTTGATATCGAGCTTGCCATGAATAGCCGCCATTGCCTTGCCAGCTTTCTCCATGGCAAGGAGAGTCTCTTTGTTGATGTTAGCCGCTTCGATGGAATATATTTGTTGTTCTAATGTCGATATCTGCGCGATAGTTTGATCGAGAGTGTGTTCGTGCTGCTTCTTTCGTCGCAACGCAGCCTTCGCAGCTAAAATCACCAGTTATCAGCAGTTGATAGGAATACGTTCCAGGGTACCAGGACATACCATTCTTGTTCGAGCTTACGTTCTTCCTGGCTATCGCATCTTGTTCGTCCATCTGACTTTGCAAATGACGCTCTCGTTTCTGCAACATTTCAAGCTGCGCACGTAGTCCTAAGATAGCATTCTTCGGGGATTCCTTTGCCTTCTGGGCACTCCCTCCCCCGAACCAGCCCCAAACACCCGACATATTTCACGATACTGTGCAGACTCGAGATCGTTGAGTTGGCAGGACTTTCGAGCCCCCAGCGTCTTCTCGCAAGGTATAAAGAACCGAAAGGGCTGGAAATCAAAGTGACTGTTAATGGTCAGGTTTTGGTGATAAGGCCTGATACCGAGTATTGATAGCGGGGAGCTTTGTATTTACCGGACAAAGACCTTAGAGGACCGTAGAGATAGGTTGAGTGAAGTTGGATGGCAGTGAAGATAGATAATCTCTGGTGTCGTTTGCGTTTTGCTAATGAGATCCTACAAATCTTTTTGTGGTTGCCTGTTGTAGTTTCGTACTGTATGATGAAATGGATTGAATGATTACCCAGAAAATGGTCGCATGGCGTCGATGATGACGCTAGTCCCTCGTCAAGATTAGGCTAGCGCAGTCCAAAACACGAATCACGTGTGTATAATGTTTTTCCAAAGTCCATCTCAAAAGTCCATCACAATTTTATCAGGCAAGCAAGCAAGCAAGCACAAGCACAAACAACAACACCAGTACTTTGATTCTATCTCTACTTCATGGTATTACTTTCTCGAGCTATATGTTGTATTGATAGCCAATATGTCTAAACAATACTCGGGACCTATTCCCTCGAAGCTTACATTGCTTGCCGACCTTCAACAGTTTTCACAAGGGGATAAGGTTCGATTTCTAGGATGGTATGATAATTATTGCTTTTTGTTTATCCATCCTTTTTCTGCATGGATTTCACTGTCTACACAAGGTGTAATCAGAAATTACAATTTTGGGAAAGGGGAAATATTACTCGATCTTGGCTGTTTACCAGTTCTGAGTAGAACTAAAAAGTACCTGTGCAACATTCTCAAAAGTCCTATGTTGGGGGAAAAGTTTAACTGACATTGCACTGTATACTCGTATAGTGTGACAAGCTATGACAAGAACTCTGCTCTTCTTATGTTGGAACACAACTTTCCAGTTAGTAACGGAATAAAAGCCTATGTCAACGTCAAACTTCTGCTTGATAGCTTGAAGTCTCATGAGACTCGAATTGGAGAGTGGGTCAACATCGTGGGTTATATAGCAGATTTAAGGGGCCAACAAGATACCAAAGATCGTCTACCAGGGATTGAAATATATATTCAAGCAATTGTCTTATGGTCATCTGGTCCCATACAGCTTGATGCATATGAAAGAAGTCTTATGCCTCGACATTGAGAATGTAGGACCTTGAAAGTTTAAATACAACTTTGGGACGAATGGACAGTTCGAGTTTGTCTGTAACCCGAAATAAATCATGGAGCTCATCACAAGTTATTCAGAACTCGCACAGAGGAGGGAACGCTCTCTGCCAAATGTTCAAACATCATGTGGAGAAGCCTAGCATGCTTCCCATGGCCAGAATCTTAGTGGCGCATTGCATTGTATCTACTGTGCCCGCCAATTTTGCTGGTGGCCTCATAGCAGAGGAATTGGGTTTGATTTTTGCAGGTCGCTTTACAAAGTTTCATAGTTCCTGCCTACGAGTTAATGGCCAACAAGATGGTTATAATTTCATGGATCGATCATTGCCCCAATTTTCACACACGACTCTCATGAAAATTTACCCGGCACGAAATATCTACTGCCTTTGGGGCTACCACTGCTTATGAGCCTACTTGGGTCTGAGGCCTCCAACGCTTTATGAAATCAGCTCTAGACATTCACAACTTCCATCGTCAAAATTCTCGGGTTCGCGGGACAGAATTGAATACCAATGACCCTCTCTCGGAACTATGGAAAGAAACATATCGTCACTATGACTATCATAAAACTTAAGCCGTCAAATTCCGAAATTCTATGCACTAAGATAAAGAGCTGCAATACCGCGTTTCGTCTCGCTTCTGCCTTTAGCTGCAGATGAACTCAGCCTAATGTGCTATCCGGTCGTATTTGGAAAGTAGCCGCACCTCAATTTTGATGTCCAGGGTTTGTGAGGCTTCAAACCGGTCCCATTTTTGGCTGCACTACGTACGTCTAAAACTGTTGGTTCAGACTGCGACTCTAGTAGTGGGCACGATGAAAATGGCCAAAGCAGTGTAATCGCCTTGATGGGTTAGCACTGTTGGCTTGCCCTGGTTCGCATTCTCAAATTTATTCACAACAGTCTGGGAGTGGTTTCTGGATAGTGATATTTATTCAAGGCATGAATATCTCGAGAAATAGCACCAGCATAGAGATTTATTGATGCTCGAAAAGATGCCAAGTACATGCAGACTATGCATCAACCAGATTCAATCCAAAAGGAGAAAGAAAAGCTATCGAAAAATCAGGACACCGACATCAAATGTGTCAAATAGGGTTTGCGAGCGCTATGCATTTTCACTTCCGCGACAGCCTTACTCCTTCCTTATGGCACGACCTCTGTCTCTAAACCCTTTGTTCTGTAGAGCGAGGACGATACCACACTCTTGAACTCTCGTTGAAGGATCCACATGCAGCAGATCTGCATAGTTCGGGTTATCTTGGCCCATCGATGTTGAACTCTCGATCATTCGAAAATCAAGAACTTTTGTGATCCGAACGATGAGACCTTGGGGAACGAGATTTTGAGCCTCTTGATATGACGACTGGCTGATGTAGAGGTCGCTTTAGTTGCTTGTCTGACTCCTTCTTGGCTCGGGCCGCTGCCTGCTTTTCCCAGAGTTCCTTCGACTTAATACAGATATCGTCTATCTGCTCCTATGCACCAAGTTAATCGAGACATCCTCGGACGATCTCTTATTGCGATAGTGCTCACATCTGTCAAGCACTCCCCAGGTGTGCTAATCAGATACCCGTCTTCTCCCTACGCACCTAATGAGCATGATTATTTGACAGCGGAAGTTGTTATCACGTACGTCTCGTGTATATGGCCTCAGCGTAGATTCCGGTCCCAGGTAGTATTGGATTTCTTTGGTGATGACTCTCTTGTTGATATCAAAATTGGGTATCCAGTATCTATTAAGTTGAGAAGACATTGCACTTGGCGATGGTATGACAGGAGGTTGAGTGCGAAACAAGGGATTTTAAGAGATATAGACTGGTCGTGTAGCACCGTATACACCGGTCCAGGACATACTTTTGTAGGGATATTTAAGCTGTCTATAAGAGCCTTATTACGTCCGAAAAGGTGGCGATATACCTTGGGGGTTATCAACACCTCTCCCTGCACATCCTTATTCAAATCGGACGGTTTTGTGGACCCATAGACTGTTGCGAAGTCGACTAGCTGAGTCGAAGGTCGCAATACCCTTACACGTATCCGCATCGACTTCTGCATACAATATAAGATTCCGGGAAATTGTGGTGTTTGGAAGCCAGTTTCTTAATCGCCTTGTTGAGGCGGACTGGCGAGTTTCCCTCCTCGCACCCAATTGGTTCCAACCACCTCCCCCGTAATCATAAGATACAAAAAGAGAACTAATCGTGCAAATGAAATGCAACGCTAGAGACCGCCTCCGATGCGTATTTCTCGTGGCATTCCATTGCTGGAATTTGAGGATAATTACATTGCAGTAAGATTACGGTCGTGTTACAGAGAACTGCAGCAGGAAGGTTTAATGCCAAAAAGATATCACGAGGACATCAAAGCTTCTCAACCTTTCCAGATGCAACCCAAACTCTTTGGCTGATAAAGTTGCGTTCATCGACGATCTAGATTGAGTTTGGTACATCTTGAGCTTGATTTTGGACTTCGAAGCAATATGCTAAATCTTGAGTAATCGAGGGGTATACTTGTTTCAAAAGACTCAACGAAGACAGTATCATATTTGCAGATCGGTGATTATAACCTGATTCTCAGCTGATTTTCTACCCATCATCGCAGATCCGCTAATCATTAAGCAAGCATGAGTATTGGCGAAGAAGCAAGTTCACATTTACAGAAATCATCTCGCCTTGTATGCATATTTCAAACAATCAATCGATATAATCATCTTTTGGCATTCCCAAAATTACTTGCCAACCACAGAGATGCATTCGTTCGTTGCCCTTGTCTACCAAAGTTGTTATTACATGGGCATCGAAATTGAAATTTTGGTCCCATCCTTTACTTTTTATGACAAAACTTTATTTTATGTCGCATGCTCTGCAGATGTTCTTAGAGCGCTAGTATTTTCTCTCCAACAAATTATCGGACCCGAAACAATGTAGCTTGGCGAAGATGACTGGATCTTGTAGTCGAAGGAGAACCCTCTTTCATTTGCCTACCCGAACAGAAGAAACATCAGAAGCTCAGGATAGATATCATATTTGTCAAGATGTATCTGATAAGTGTCCCGCCCGAAGTTCGTGGGGGGTCCGAAAAATATCATCAAAGCTTTCTCCGCGCAATACACAGAGAGCGAAGATAGATACCTGCAACTTGTGGATCATGAACACCATCCACGTGATAAGCTGTTCCTTTATCGACTCTCTGAGCCGGTTTCTTTTTCACAATCATCATCAATAGCCTTACTTCATTGCCGTCGTCACGAGTGGTTTATTTGAACCCTGGCATGGACCTATCTAAATCAGAAGATGGTGGCAAATGTTGCCCCGATCATGAGAGTATGTATTCCCCAATCGTCCAGATGTATCTTCAATACCGATTTTCACGGATAGAATTTGAACTACAAACATATGGCTCGTATTACGTCTCACCGGATCCGAGCATCTGTGAGGTATCTTCAAATGTGCGAACCCTTCGTATTCCAGCGCTTACCAAGCACAAAATTATCCTCAGATATCTTGATCAATGGATCTGGGCGAAAGATTCTGCCTGCACACCGCTGGATACACTGATCTCAACGCGGATAATACACTACCTAACCGGCTTTCCCCAACACTATAGTAATTCCCGACCCTGCATATGTTGATCCGGCTTCCGGGGTTCATGCCTGACCCTGCAGAAATTGGCTACGCCCGAGCGGTGGAGTTACACCTATGACGAGCTTTTGCTTACCGTCAGAATCTGGGTTGGTGTAACGTGAGACAATCCATCCATTCTTCGCCCCCAAGTTCGCCCCCAAGCATCGGTGTCTCGTGAAGGACGAGCGAGAAATACAAAAATACGGAACGTGACACCAGAAACTGCAAAAGCGTGATTGTGTGAGAAATGAGATTTGCTCAGTGTACTTGTTGAAGAATCTTGAATTTTGAATAACAGAAATGAGGTTGCAAGCGTTGGTTTTGGAACTCTTTTTGCTAGCATCCATCAAATTGTTCATATCATCAGCAATGACAACACAACGAGATTGAGCAACAAGTCAAGTGATTCACTCAACGCCAACAATTACGCTGATTGATTGGCAGGTTATGCTATGTGAGCCGTTTTTTGACCAAGGATATTTGAAACAATGTCTTTGAAATTCGAGGATGACTGCCGCCTCAAATTTTACTGCTCTGCAGTCAGCAACGTCAGTCAATGGCAGTCAGCCATACAGCGACCACGACATCAATTCTATGCACTCACCGGCATGATACTTTACTTTACTTTGATGTAATAGAGATGACATGCTACCTGCTTAGAACTGTGGTTTATTCGATCGTATTTAGAGTACCATTGCATTGAGCAAGTAAATAAGTATAAGTAATGAAATGAATGACCTGCTAGCTAGCTGTGCAGGATGGCCTTTGATGCAGTTAAATCTCATTTATCTACTCGGTATAAGTATAGTATATGAATAACCATAACCATAATCAACTCATGCCACAAAATGAACATGCCCATGCCCATCATAACATGACATGAAAATATTACTATAAATCTCCACCCATCTATCTATCTACTCGTATTTGCACATGTACATGCACATGCATATGCACAGTGCATACATACGCCCAAACACACTTTAAGTCAAACATCCAGTCAACCTGCAGACTACAGACTACAGACTACTAACTACCATATGTACGCGCCAAGCTTAATTTCCATGTATGCACAATACATCTGATGGATCTGATATATCTGATGTATCTAACTAGATACTCTTACAATTGAGTACATATGTTGAAAGTCGTCAGTACAGCAGTGAATCTGGCTGACTAAGCATGGTTGCTTATTCCTAGAGCTCTCCTCTCTTCTTCAATCCTTCAACTCTACAACTCAATATCAAGAGATTAAAAGAGCCACAACGAACTGTTCCCTAGGTGCATTATAACTTTCAACAACATATATCATGAATATAACAAAAATATAAACATAAACATAAACATGATTTGATATATATATATGCATTCATCAATACACATACACATACACACACACACATTCACATTCACATCCACACAAACTCATCAAAAAAGAAAACACCTCCCCCCCTCTCCCTCTCCCTTTCAGTTCAGTTGTGTGGTATAAAAAACCATTGATATTTATTTATTTATGTACTCGTAAGAAGTTGCAAGTTAAATCTAACACACTGATGCTGATACATACACATACGTCTATCCCATTCCATCCCATTCCATGCCATCGCACCCATATCACCATTTATACTCACTTATAATTTATAAAACCAAACCAAACCAACCCATTCGATCCATTGCTTAACTTCAAGTCTTCAACCCATTCAAATGCATTCAAAAGAATCCACAACAGCGCTTCCAAGATTTCATTTCATCTCATCTCGTTCCATATATGCGTTGCCCGGCTATAGCATGCGATGCTAGCCAGCAAGCAAGCAAGCAAGCAAGAAAGTAAAAAAGCAAGAAAGAAAAATCTCAAGATGTTATGTTATGTTAACCAGCTGAATACTCGAATAAAACCAAAAAAAAAGACATGATATGATATGATCAAGCCAATGATTGTCTTTCCCTTGCTAATGGCGGGTAACCCTAAATAACCCAAACCTATGCTATGCTATGCGTGTTACACTCCCCAGAAATCCCCTGCGAAGAAGCTATCATCCATCATCAATGCAATGAATGCATCCTCGAAGAAGAAGTAGGAAAGTATTAGCTGTGTAATGAGAAAAATGTTCAAACGCCCCAACCTTATATATGCTAATGGCCATGCATGCATAGACACGCCCAAGAAAAATGACCACTGTAATCCTACCATCGCTGCCATGCAATCGAGTATGCTAATCATCTCGCTGATGGGATACCTATGAAACGCCTGTTTATTTTCCTGGTTGATTCGCCAAGCTATGCCCTGCATTACGTCGTGATAACATTATGCCCATGCCCAGTTCCAGTTCCAACCTGTCCAAATTCATTTAAAAATCAACCAAGAGACAAAGACCCAGAGACCCAATTTTTCCCCGTTCTTTGAACACCGTATGAAACAAATGAAATGTGCTCTTCCTCCAAAATCATGATATTCTTATGCAAGGAAATAAAACCTTTTTTGTAAGTCCCAAATATATACTCCATATGTGGGCATGCCGGCCCATTTGGATCGAATCGAATTAATTTACTTTTTTAACAGATGGTCTCCATCCATCTGATTGATTTGTTGCAGTGAGCAACAATGTCCCTTAGGTGGTAATCTGAGGCTGAGGGAAACTTCGTACAAAACCTGCCTCGGTCAAAGTTTCGCCAACCTTGAGACCATTATTTGTCCCATTTTGATCAACAACCTGCGCGATCGTTTGATTGACCGTGTTTGCGACAGGTGGCGTAGCACCACCAGTCTTGTTACTGCTTGATACAGCAGCCTGTGATGGGTTTGAAGAATTAGCTGGCGCAGAAGAAGAGGAGGCTGTATTCGGTCTGGCAGGTGCGATCTGATGTGATCCAGAATTGGTTCGCTGTAAACCTGGTGTCATCAATGGTGGCCTGGGTACAGAAGAACCAGTGGATTGATTTAAGTTGTTTCCATACAACGATGGACGCATGATCGTTTGTTTTGGAAGGTCTGGTCCATTGGCTTTAACAGGTTGCTGAGACGTGTTGCCTTGTGGTTTGTTTTGATTAGCCGATTGCTGGGAAGGTTGTTGCGGTGCAGATTGTTGTCGTTGAGTGTGACTTGGGTTGGCGGGAGGTGTACGAGGAACGAGGGGCAACTTGAGAACGTTGAGTACACCATTGATAAGTTTCATCTCATGCTCAGTACTGTCAAGAGAACGATCATCCTCAGTGCCATCGTAAACCCGTTTTATGGCTTTATCCACAAGTGCTTCAGCATCGTTCTGGGGAGCTTTTTGTCGCATTAAGTTGACCACGTGGTTGCGGTATCCCATTACCACAGCAATTAGATTGGGAGGAATGACTCTCTTCTGATGAATGGGTGCTGGTGCAGCTTGAGGTGCAGCCTGAGGTGGTGTTGGGATTCGGTTGCCAGCTGGTAGTCGTGGCTGCTGTGGTAGTACCGGAGATTGAGACGTATTTGGCGGTTGTGGCAATCCCTGTGGTTGGTAGTGAGGTTGCTGTGGATATTGCTGTGGATATTGCTGTTGGGGATATTGCTGTTGAGGTGGTTGTTGAATACCTTGAGGTTGTGTTGTAGCAGCAGGTGGCTTTGGAGCATAAGGGGAACTGTATGAAGCCGGCGCTGTGGGTACCAATTGAGGCGCCATTGGAGGGATGAAAGGTGCTTGAACACCTTGAGGCGGAGCGTAACCTTGCTGCGCTGGATAAGGCGCATAGTGGGGATTTGGAGGGCCCATGTAAGTCTGCGCTTGTTGGTATTGTTGGTACGCTTGCGGTGGCGGGTGTGAATTCATTTGACCTTGATATAGCTGGGGATTGAACATATATCCAGGTGGAGGTTGTATTTGATTGGCACCGTAGCCCGGAACTGGATGGCTAGCTTGATAGATTGGTTGGTTTCTACCTGCGACAGGAGGCGAAGGTGCTTTCTTCTTCTTCTCCCTCACGTAACTTGTACCCTCTTTCAAAGTCCAAGCCCAGCCTTTACCAGCGCGCTTCTCACGTAGAAAACAATCATGCTGTCCCAAATTATGCCTGACACTACTTTGCCATCCCTTCGAGTCCTGAAAGGCGTAATACGGGTACTGAACCTCCATCTCGTTATAGATCTGTGGAAGACATAAAGGACATCCTGCATCACGGAGCAGCTCCCAAATGACTTGAAGGTAATTCTTTGGGGGCTTATTAAGCTGTTCCAGAGTACACTCCGATCTCACGTGGTTGACTATCTTCAAAACATAGGCAACTTTTCTGGAGCTTCCACGTTTGGTTTGTATGCAATTACCATCGTCGTCAAACTTGTCCTCATCAACCTCCTCAGGTTCCTTGGGACCCGATAGTCTCTTGGTATACTTGCGCTTTTTTCGTAGTGGCTCTTTCTCCGATACTTCTGGTCGAGGATGTTTTCTTGGTCTTCCGACCTTGTTCTTGGTTCCAGGCACAGTTTTTGAGGCTGTTGCTTGACTTTGGTCTTCAATTCTCTGTTCTTCTTGGACCCTTTCTTCCTCTTGAATCCTCTCTCTCTCCAGTGCTTCTTTCTTGGCAAGTTGTTGTTCTCGTTTGGACATGACACCGTTCTTAGGTGGTCGTCCTGGTCCACGCTTCTTTGCAGGTCGTGGACTGGCGTCAGTCGGCGAGTCAGTTGGAAAGTTGTCCAACATTTCTTCATCTTCTTCAACGTCTTGTTGTTTGCTATTCTCTTTTTCAAGTTGAACCTCATTATCGACTTCTCCAGCATTGTCTGCTGTTTCCTCTTCGCTGTCGGTAAATTCGTCCCTAGCAAATGCATTCCCATCAATTGAAGAGCATTCGCTATTGTCGGTGGACCTCTGATCGCCGGCTCGCGGTGCGCCATCAAAATTGAGGCTCATCTCTTTACCCCCTTCCGAGTAGATTGTCCCAGTGGTCGCCTCCTCTTCGGGGTCCTCCTGGTACTGAAATCCTGTGCCATCCATCAAGAAATCCGGTAACATGAACGTGACATATATATAACCCATCTGCAATTTGCTACCGCTCATCAATGGTGCTATTTGCTCGCATTCATAGAATGTACCATCCACAAATCCTCCGTTTCTACCGATGAACTTTACTTTAAAAATCTCATGGTCATCATCATAGAATATTTTGACGTGCTCTCTGGATATCGTTTTGAAGCCCGCGAGCCCTTTATCGAAGGGAGGGTGTACACGAACGATAGGGCAACTATGTGGATCGGGGTTCTGGATCGGTATATTTCCATCTAGCAGAGGTAATAAAGAGCCTGCTTTTGGACTGTTGCCAGAGCCACTTTGTGATAACAGGTTGGCAGACTTTGAGGTTTTATGCTTCTTTCCCTTGCGATTTCGCTTCTCCTGTAATGGCATCCAAGATTCCAAGATACCAGCAGACGCATTTATGTTCATGATGGTTCGTCGAGGTTGTCGAGCATCAACGGTTGCTTGGTTGCTATCACCACGACTCGGATCAAATGCATGCCATGCCTGCTCAAGCTGTGCTTGCTCTTTCTCGTATCTAGTCATGTTGTTTTGGGCGGACATGTCGCGACCGATGATCACTTCATGTGTGGTCATGTAAAACGCGCTATCATCGAAAACCAGCTTTGCAAAACCATCCAATTGCACGCCGGAATCTGCCGTATTTATTTGGTTCGCATCCCACGGTTCATCCCAAGATTGCTGATGAAAGGCATCATTAGGCGCAACGTTACTCTGAGGCTGCATGTCGTGGTCGAAGGTGTATTTCATACCTTCAGGCAAATGAAGAGCATCTTGAGAAAGATCATAAGGCATTTGATCGGCGCCTGCCAGTGCGTTTGATGGGATGGCGCAAAACGGAAAGGAGTCGAGAGGTTTGACGGGCGGTGTTTGCGAAAGCTTCTGAATGGGTTGGGTTGTTGGTTCCTCACCCTCACTGACAAGTCCATTAATTTCGTGAGGATCGGGAGCCTGAGTGATCAAAAGTTTGTTGTCGGGGTTAAAAATGGCTGTAGACATTGTTGCAACGGGCGCAATAGGTTGAGTACCGGTAACGGATTCTGCGGTCTGTGATGAAGTCATCGCTGCTTAAAACAACTCGTCCACCTTATCTTGTGAAGTATTGCGAAGGCAGTGAAGAATCATGCACGGTATTCGTGGTTACCGTGTGGTTACGAATGACCCTGCGGTTGCAAAGAAGTCGTTTTCGACGTCAAGATCTATGGAAACAGGAAGGAGATCTACTTGTGAAGTTGCGAATAAGGATCGGATTGTTTTTTTGATGGAGGCTCCGGATAACGTCACGTGATATATATTAAAACCTTACCTAGTATTTATTTTTATAAAGTGAAAAAGAGAGCTTCTTGTACACCGAGTGAGAGTAGAGATAATATAGGTATATAATAAAAGTACCTAGGAAGATGTAATAAAGATTATACACTACTAGATACTTAATCTAGTACTACTACTACTACCTAGTTTCTCCCCCATTTTCCCTGGAATGATTCGATTCACTCCACTTTTGGATGAGGAGAAAACTGCAAACTCCTCACTGCAAACAGTTTTAGACTACCGGTAGTTCATAGGAGCGGATGGCTTTTCCGTTACCTGTGCATACCATACATACATCAATTGGGTAGAAGCTTTATTAAATAATCTCACACCCTGTGATTTGATAAAATGTGATAGATATACGTAGTTACTGTAAATCATACGTCAGGAATTGTCAACTTCACCTAAAGAGTATATGGATCGTTTACTATACTTACTACTTTAGTCTGGGATGTATGAGTATATACTACTGGTAGTAGGTAACCAACTCATCAAGTTATTATTCCAAAATTAATCTCGAGCTATACTACCTCGAGTAGTATACTAGATACTAGTTCACAACTTAACTCTATTTCCAAGAGTTGCTCTTCCCCCTCTTCGCCCTCTATCCCTTCAATCCATTCTTTTCATCTCATTTCATCGCATCTCATCACATCTTATCTCACTCATCTCACATGAATTGTATCGTATTCTCCACAATCTCCATCTTATTCAATTCATATCAGATAATATCCTTTCAATGATCATTGATTGATTCTCCAACAATCCCATCCATCCACTCCATTTCAACCTTATCTTAGCTTGAATCCAACATCAGATCTAGCTATAGTTCGCCCCCAATCCCATTCCATCCCATTCCATCTCAGCTCCATCTCCACCCCCATCCTTTTCTCCGACTCCCCATTCCCAATTACCCAAAATGTGTGATGGATGCGGTCTCCCCATCCCATGGGTCTGCATTCAATGTGGCACTGATCAGAATCCCTGCCATGTAAAAGTCGTAGGTCCCACCCTTGGCTTCGGAATTGGTGTACTATCTGCCGTAAGTACCGACACCCCTTCATCTTAGCCAGAAATACCTATCTACCTAGTAGGTCATTTACATCATCATTCTACACTATATATACACTGCACCTCATCCGCCCCTTCTACTATTGAAAACTTTTCTTCCTCTTTGACTAACAATGACCATAGTTAGTATGTTGGCCAGCCTCTATATTCGTTGGTTGTTGCGCGACTGAGACCGGTAAAAAGTATGTTTCCAAGTTCCCTCTCAACTCGAATGTACCCATCAAGGATATTAAGGCTAACGAGGTCGTACACATTAGAATGTTAGGGGCACCCGTGGATATCAATGGACAGGTCTCGAACGCTATACCATTTTAATGAGGACTTATTTGCCACGAAGAGAACTGAGATTGTCCCGATTCTGGTGATCGCAAGGAAATCTGACAGAAAGGAAAGGATGGAGTTTACGAGGAGGATGTGTACGGTACAGTGATATAATGATAGCATTGGAGATATGGGAAATAGGAAATAGGAAGTGGGAAATGGAAAATGGGAATTGGGAAGTGGCAAGTGACAAGTGACAAGTGACAAGTGGGAAATGGCAAGTGGCAAGTGGGAAGTTGGAAATGGAAAATGAGAAATTATAATCAAGAGGAATGAGAACAGGAATAGCACAGGAATCGGTATAGATGGTATGATATGGTATGGTGTGGTGTGGTATGGTTCAGTATAGAACTTAAATATATGCATGTGTATATGTACTCGATGATATGAGCGTGTAATGGAATCTATAGAACTCGTACTCAGTATAATCTGGTAGATCGATATCGAACACACTCCATCCACCTCAAACAGATCCTCTCGAAACGTACTTTCTCCTCTAGAGAAATCATAAGCATCATTGATTCAATTCCATCCATCCTCTATTATGTTACACCTTACAGATGATATAATATACCGATACTCGTAATTTAATAAATAAAAAGCAATGCTTGAATAAATAAATAGATATTACAATTCCAAGACTTTCCTATACTATTACTCAGAACTCATCATCAACCCCAGACCCCAGACCTCTCAAGGCCAGTTTTTTTCCTTTCTTTTCCTATCCTTTCCCTTCTCCTCTCCTCCTTGAACCCAATAACTCATTATAATAACCCAATCTATCCATCCTCATCCTCATCCTCATTCTCAAAATATCCTATCCCATTTCCGATCTATCCATACCCATATCAATATACCCATCTCCATCTCCATCGATTCCATCCCACTGACCACACTTCACACTTCACACACTTCACACTAAACATACTTCACACTAAACACACATAAACCAACATAGGCAATAAATAGTTTAATTTACCCATTAACCTCTTCAACCACAATAGTTAACCTCCAACAAGCCTCCAACAAGCCTCCAACTACCTGACTCACTTCCTTCGTCGATCCCCTACTAGCAATTGGTTTACCTAGTTTAACAAAAATCCAAACTGCTAGTTTGAAAATGGGTTCGCACTAGGTAGGTATTGTCTATAGGTACTGTGTTAAATATAGGTATATAGGTACTAAGTAAAGAAGAGAAGAAGAAGAGGAAATAGATCTTCTCAGGTTTCCTTGTGCTATATATACTACTTGTACAGTACGTGTACTTATACTATCAAGAGTTACCTAGTAAATCAAATTGTCTGATATGCTATTATATGCCATTACAACATGAGACTGAGAGCACATGAAGAACATGAAGAACATGAGGAACATGAAGAACATTGAGAACATTGAGAAATAAAGAATCGATATTAATAATTTAGTGTTTTATATATATTACCATTACCATTTCCATGACTATGACTATTACAACACCATTATCACATAAAACCATAATTCCTCAGGAGAAGATACTTGGTATGTGTGTTTCTATCTATATAAAACCACAAAGAAAGAGATATAGTATACTCTGAATATTGAAGATGAAGATGAAGATGTGTATCACTCAGATGTTCATGTATAAACAATGGGGTGACTATAGTTAGTATTATTAAACCCATGACGTGCAGATATAGACAATTTCAATTCAATTCACATGGTACTTTTCATTCATTACCCCTCTCTCTCTCTCTAGCAAGGTCGCATACCAAGGTCGCATACCAGAGAAGAACACGTTATGAATTGGTGAAGTGAAGCATTGAATAGAAATGAAGAAAAGGTTGAAACCCGGAAGCATTACTTACGTATCAAGTGATTCAAGTACCTTGCTGGTCAACATACTGGAGTAGAATAGGTAAGGTGAAGACGAAGTATAAATAATAGCACTGACTTACGGTGTGTATGACGATGAAGGAAATCGTAGAATCACTATGAATTAGTATCCATCGCAAGTTGACTTACCACCGCATCACAAAAATAGTATACCGCCATAGTACACTTTTCGCTTCTCAAAAAATTGTCAGCATTATAATAAAATCTAAGTACAATATAGGAGTCTGCACCTTTGCACCATGATGAATATCTTCAGTCCCTGCTCGAACTGATCTGATCAAGCCAATCTCACACCAGCTTGTCGATTTTTCTTCAACTGTTGTGCTGCCGCTCCAGTCATACCACCGATTTGACTGCCGTCCAGTGAACTCTGAGCTTCTCGTCGCTTCTCGTCTTCAATCTTCTTCAATAACTTTTCGGTCTTTTGTTTTCCACTGCCCTTGCCATGGAACTGATGTGACAAGTGCTTGAAAGCCTCCTTTCGGTTCATGTTTCTTCCGTGCTCATCAATGTACTTGAGCTCCACGTTAGGTTTGTACTCCCTATTAAAGTGATCCGCAAGTTGTCTAGATTCTTGCTGGTCTCGCATAGTATTCTGTTGTCTAGCGTGTTCTTCTTTTTCACGAGCAGACATACGATCCAGACGGCCTGTGGTACGATCTCTCTCTCTTTGAGATTTTGCTCTTCTCTCCGCTTCTGCCTCACGTCGTTGCTTTTCGGCGAGGAACATTTGTTTCTCTCTGAAGATTGTGGCCACATCACCAGATTCTGAAGTCTTGAGAATACCTCTTCCTCTTAGGATGTTCAACATTGATCCTAAACCTACGTTGTCCAGGGTGGCTTCCTTCTCTAACCCATTATTTTCGATGTCTTCATTCGCCTCTTCGCGCTTGATCCGAGAAAGTCTGTCTTCATCATCCTCGATATTCGCATACGATTCGCTCATTTGGACATCCCCATCCCCATCGTCATCAGAATCGGCATCCATGGAGGTGACAGCATCTGCTGGTCGAGATACAGATCTTTGCTTGGGCTCTGGTGCCACTGGTTTTTGAAGGTTCGCAACAAACTCCGAGGTTTCATCAATCACGAGTCCTGAATCATTACCTTCCTCATCATCTGCTGCTGGAATAGCTGATGCTTCTTTCCGTAATCGCTGAGCAAACTCTCCTGGTCGTATCTTTTGGCGTTTCTTCAATGCATTCCTTCGTTGGGTAGCAAGTAAAGCTTGTAAATCATCATCATCAACAAAGGATGTATCCTCGAAAGTTCGTTTCTTAACGGTAACGGGCCTAGAGACTCCATCAACATCCATCGCGTCGGCAACATCTCCGTTAGACACCGCAGGCTCAGGTTCAAGGAAAACATCATCTTCATCCGTCGTCCTTTGTCGAGTTGACTTGGCCTTCTTCTTCTTGGATTTCCTAACCTTGATATCTGAAATATTAAGGTAGTCGGATTTCGGTTCATCGTCCTCTAAATGACATGTCAGTGACTGAATACGTTGGATATTAAAGGAGTCGGGGTTCAAATACTTACTCAAAATGTCAAGGCTGAAGATTTTTGCTTTTGCCTTCATGTGTGGTGCGGTATCGGCTGATGCGGTTTCAGTCGTGCTACCCATACCGTCCAGAGTAAACCTATTTCCCTTTTTGCCATCAATGTCCTCATCATAATGCGCCAGAATTTTCCTATCACCCGACTCATCATCATCGTCATTTGGGTTGTACGTAGGCTTCTTCTTCTTGAGTTCCAATTTATCAGATAACTTCTCACGCTCACGCAGATCTAAATTCTCCAATTCATCACCTTCTTCTTCATTTTCATCGATGGTGGTATCCTTCAATGTGAGAACTTGATCCTCCCCTTCAACAAATGTGTCCAGCTCATGTCCGACTCTAACGCCTGCGAGATCTTTGGCTGTATATTCAGCAGCTGCGGCAGCTTCTGCCTCGGCACGTTCTTGTTCCTTCTTTCTCGCCTTTTCAATCTCCTTTTGTCGTTTCTTTTGCTTCATCAACCACGCTTTAGCATCCAAATCGCCATCGTCGTCAGCTTCTCCCAGACCTTTGCCTTCGAGTTTCGCAAATCGTTTGGCCGTATCTCGTGCTTTTTTTATCGCTTCTGCTTTGGCCTCTCGTTTCTTCTTGGTCTCTTCGCCTTCTTGTAATTTTCGATAATTATCATAGCCTTCAGCCTGTCGCGATTCTAATGTGCTGCCAAGATCCTCTGCTGGTGCCGATGGAACTTCTTTAAAAACTGGACCGGCGGCGCCTGGTACTGCTAAAGGTTTCATACCAAGTGAAACTCGAATTCGATTCGTCTCCTCGATAGAAATTGCGTCCGCCATTATTGTATAAAGTGTCGAGAATATTACTTGATGATTATTTGTGTTGACTTTTCCGAGATGGGACAAAGTTGAGGTTGAGTTATCGTGAGACTGACAGGCAAATCTACTCTAACCGAATACACACTAGTGATATCTCGGAAGCGCGCTAAACCAACTAGCGCGATAGTTTCGCTACAAAAATCTTTTCTCGCGCAAAAAGTTTTTGATTTTCTTCTTACAAAAACATGAGATTTGTGTCCAGCGTCCCTTCACCAAAACTGCTTGCAGTGGAGGTGTAAGGTTGTATGCTGAGGCAGTTCAATCGTCTATGGAGCCATCAACCTACCAAGGTATTCTATGATGTCAATATCCGATTGACAAATTTCAGAAAAATCGGTCCTTATGAAACTTGAGTCGCTTCGGCTGATTCGGTGGATGAGTGTACTGAAGACGTCAGATTCCAAATCTGTTTGCCTAGGCTGTTAGCCTTTGAGGTTGCGGAATAACCCTCTCGTCTACATTTCAAATTCGGGGCATTTACATGATGGAGCAAGACTCCAATCAAGACTATGATACTGTTCAATTTACACGAGTGGTGGACGATCTGCAAAGAAGGGGCATTGTCCTTAATCGGTCATTACTCCGTTCAGTTGATTTTCAACGGTAGACTGGCGCATTACGCGTCAAGTTGAGTAATATATAGATGTTCGTTTGTCTTAGTAGCTGTTCGTCTTTTGCAGAGAGAAGGCCCGATATATAATTGATTTCTATTTACCATCACTTTCTTCCGTTGAATTGACATGAATTACACATGCATTGCAATACAAGCGTCGGTATCTCATACCTTTAAGGCTGTCCGCCCTGCCTTGATCATAACTTCTTGGCTTGGCGCACGACTTTGACAGCTGGGCTCATTTTCACTATACTAGGATTGGAAGCTGGACTTGGATTTCTTGCATGATGTTTAATATGACGACCACGATGGCTTGTTCAAATGGCAGTGTGTGTGTCAGCCTTGCACATGTACCCGACTAATAGTCAATGTTCAATGTTTTCGTTCTCTGTTTGAAAGAAAACTAATGCGCTTCGGACATGAATTACCTAGTACCTACATTGCTCGATTGCACGATTGGAGGAAGCTCATCTCCAAATATCAACCCCGGTATACTCGAGTACTTGCTTGCTGACCTGATGGACACTGTCTCAATACTTAGGTAATAATCTTTAGTCGCTGGCTCATTCGCTGGCTCATCATTCGGCCGGATAATGTCGAGATTTCGCTGTCTTTTATGCCGCCTCGAAATAGTTCGGGGACCCGATCTCACCAGTCGTTTTGGTGGCCGAGTCAAGTAGATGGATGTACTAAATGTACGCAGTCCCGACCGGTATCTCAAAGGGCGATCAAAGTATCTATACCCGTATATACTTCACAAAGTGTCGATGACATTACGAAGACGCATATCTCAATCTCATCAGGATTCAGTAAACACAGCCATAACACAGAAATAAACCTCATATACTCGTATATGAATTGATATACCGCTACTGTACTGTACCGTACACCTACAATGAGGACTTTTACCAAACAATCTTTGTACTCATCAAGCATGCATTAAATGCATAAACAAAACGTGCTGAGGGGGGGCAACGCAGGGTCATATATAATTCATGCTGTGGCTGTAGACATGGAACGGTCCGATTAGATAGAAGTAACAATACAATATACAAAACCGAGAAATGACATGTGTGGGGTCCCCGGATTAGAGCGAACATAGGTAACTAGATAACTAGATAGGTAGGTAGGTAAGTAGAGTTTTGTATGGGGGATTTCAATCACATGAGGATTATGAAGGTTATGAGGATATCCACATTGAAAGCATGTTTTGTATAATACACATGTGTTACTAATACTAAGATCTTCAAGCAGATGTTTGCGAGTTGCTGTTGTCATTATTCTACTCGGTCGTCACCGTCTGTCCAAAGGCTAAGCTAGATACTTATTAGGTAGGTACAAGGTACAGTACAATTAATCACATCTACTCATAGACACGATCTTCAAGGGGCCACTTTTACATGCGTGTCGACGATGATTATGAACAGAGACAAGGTCCTAGCTTGCCACGACGTATTTGATAATAAAGGATGAGGAATTAATTTCAATTATTCCATTATTAAAACTTCATGTTAAGTTTATATTTATACCTCATTCACACATATCGAACAGTACAACGTCGTGCCTAGAAATCCCAAAAAGGTTCTACCTCCGTACCGAAAAGCAACATCGTGACTGCCTCCGTACCTTTACAGGTACAAATTTATACAGGTACACTTTATCCCTCCCCGGAAAAGCTCATCTCATCCTTACAGTACTACTACTACCTTAGCTCAACAACTTGCCGTCTGAACAGTATCACCCCTACGAGTAGTCTAATAACCTAGCATACCTACGCAATATCCTGAACTCCCCTGAACGCTTCAGGTGCATCAAGCTACATAACGGCGAAATTCGGTCCTGCATACTTTCATCCATGACAGAAACCGAGAGGTCGAAGTACTCTCAATAATATAAATAGCAATGGCTTCCCCTTTACTTTCCACCCTCACCTCTCTCACCTCTATCAGCAGTTTCAATAGCACTATCATTCTTCAAGCCGTTGAACCCATCATGCATACGCTCACCCCTCTCCTATTGGTTGGCAGTCTTGCCCTCCAAACTATCTTTGCTTTTCCTGGTCCCAGTCGATTTGAGCAACGCAATGCCGAAATATTAAAACGTTCAGTGGATTCTTTCATTGCCACAGAAAGTCCAATTGCTTTGAAGAACCTTTTGTGCAACATTGGCTCTGATGGAGCTTGTGCCTCTGGGGCAGCTTCCGGGATTGTGGTTGCTTCACCCGACAAGGCAAACCCAGATTGTTAGTATTTTCTGATATTGCATTGAAAAGGATGGGATTCTGATACTTTCACAGATTTTTATACATGGACTCGAGACTCTGCACTGGTGTTTAAGACCCTTGTTGATACATTCATCAGCAGCAGCTATTCTGCATCACTTCAACAGGAGATTGAAAATTATATCAGTTCTCAAGCTGGACTTCAAACCGTATCAAACCCCTCTGGTGGTTTGTCATCCGGCGGCTTGGGCGAGCCCAAGTTCAATGCGGACAAAACGCCATTCACAGGTAAGGGGATTCAAACATTCTTTTCTTGATGTTTACTGATGTGTAATTTCTATAGGGGCTTGGGGAAGACCTCAGAGAGATGGACCTGCGTTACGTGCTACTGCCATGATTGCCTATTCGAAATGGCTGATCGCCAATGGATATACTTCTACTGTGCAGACTATCGTTTGGCCAATTATCAGAAATGATCTGTCATACGTTACTCAATATTGTAAGTATCTCTGTGAGGTTTCAGAACTGCAAGAGATCTGGAGTGATCTCAACACATGACTTTCTCTCCGTCTAGTTTCTGTACTGACTAAATACACAGGGAATCAGACAGGTTTTGATCTCTGGGAAGAGGTTCAAGGGTCAAGCTTCTTCACTGTAGCTGCTCAACATCGTGCACTTGTTGAGGGAAGCGCCTTGGCCGCACAAATAGGTCAGAGCTGTACCTATTGTGATTCTCAGTAAGCACATATTTGTCAAGGATCCATAACTTAAGTGCTAATACATTTTCTAGAGCTCCACAGGTTCTTTGCTTTCTTCAAAGCTTTTGGAGTTCATCTTCAGGATACATCATTTCCAATATCAATGCAAACAACGGACGAACAGGAAAAGATGCGAATAGTATCTTGAGTTCGATTCAAACTTTTGATCCTACTGCTGCATGTGATGCTACCACTTTCCAGCCCTGCTCGGATCGTGCTTTGGCAAATCACAAAGCTGTTACCGATTCCTTCAGATCCATTTATAATATCAATTCTGGAATCGCTCAAGGAGTTGCGGTTTCTGTTGGACGTTACTCAGAAGATTCATACTACGGTGGTAACCCATGGTATCTCAATACTCTTGCTGCCGCCGAACAACTTTACGATGCATTATACACCTGGAACAAACAAGGTTCCATCACTGTAACCGCTACTTCCCTAGCATTTTTCAAAGACTTCAGCTCTTCCATCACAGCCGGAACCTACGCTTCGTCATCAACAACCTACACCACTCTATACAACGCCATCAAAACATATGCCGACGGCTACGTAAACATAGTCGCAACTTACGCACAAAGCAATGGTTCTCTTTCAGAACAATTCAACAGAGCAGGTGGAGCACCACTCTCAGCCCACGATCTCACATGGTCCTACGGAGCATTCCTAACAGCAGCTGCTCGTCGCGCAGGCGTCGTCCCATACTCATGGGGCGAACCATCCGCTTCCAATCTCCCCGGAACCTGTTCTGCCACATCAGCCATCGGCACCTACTCCACCGCAACCGCAACAGTATTTCCCGCGTCTCAAACCCCCAGCGGAGGAGGAGGAGGAGGCAAACCAACCACAACCAGTACCAGCACCAGCACCACCCAAACCACAACCCTCACAACTTCCACAACCTCCTCCTGCCCAACAGCTACATCCGTCGCCGTCACCTTCCACGAACTCGCCACCACGTCCCTTGGTCAAACCATCAAACTCGCAGGTTCCATCTCCCAACTCGGATCCTGGGCCCCTGCGTCGGCTATTGCGTTGAGTGCAAGTGGTTATACGATCAGTAATCCGCTGTGGAGCGTAACGGTTAGTTTACCGGCGGGAACGACGATTAGTTATAAGTTTTTGAATGTGGCGAGTGCGGGGACGGTGTCGTGGGAGGCGGATCCGAATCGCAGTTTTACAGTTCCGGTTGGGTGTGCGACGAGTGTGACGGTTAGTGGGAGTTGGCAGTCGTAGATTCTTTGGTTTGTTGCTTTTTGAAGTGAGAATGGGTGATGAGATGGGATGAGGGGATGGTGGGTAGCGGGTGGTGGGAAGGTTAGGGGTTTTATGAGATACATGAAAAGAACACAAAAGAAATGGGTTAGGAGTTTCATGATTGTATGAATTAAATTGCATCAGGTACATCAAACTGTTTGGTATTATGATGGTTGTTGCATTTCGTAACAGCAAATGCATGTGCCCAATTATCCCTTGAAAACATCGTCACATCCAATTCTAAACAAACTCCAAGTTCCATGACTTGGAAGATCGTTGAAATGCTCATAACAAGATGCACCCTTCATAAACTGTATTCTCGCATGTAAAAGAGCATCAAGCAAGTGAATACGCAGATATATACCGGTACATAGATCTGCAGCGACCAAATCCGAAAACTCCCGTCGCCGCAATCAACATCTGCAGACATCATTCCCACGCAGAGGTCGGATGAAACTGCCATCTATCTGGAAGAGCCGCAAGATAAAACACCCCTTAGTTGTTGCTCCAAATCAATTTACCCCTCTCAAATTCCAGTGATTCGACTTCTTTAATCTTCTTCATCACTCGTAGCTTCAATGTTTTGTTTTTTGCCCTTCTTGCCTTTCTGCGCTGCTGGCTTGACTTTTTTACTCTTGTTTTTGTTCTTGGGTGTTGTGTTGGATTCTGAGTCTATTTCTACGGCCTCTTCTTCTTCCTCTTCGTCATCGTCGTCTAACTCTAACTCTTTCTTTTCCTCGACTGCTTCCTCCTCTTCCTCCTCCTCTGGGCTAATGTCAATGCCTTTTTTCTTGAGATTGGCGTTGATTTGGGGGATGAATTGGAGTAGGTTTTTGTATTGGTCGATGGTTAGTGAGATGCCCTGTTTGTCATGCCATGTTAGTTTCTTCTTCTTCTTTTCTCCATTGACTGGCTCAAGAACTGAGAGCTTGCTTGGGCGAGGAGGGGGGAAATACCTTCTTTCCAGGTAAGGTTTTCCCATCTTTCTCGTAAAATTCGCGGATGTTGACTAGGGTTTGACCTTTGAATTCTGAGAGCTCGATTTTGCGAGGGGTGCGACCGGTAGAGAGATCCCATGAGGGGGTAGAGGTTGATGAGGAGGTGGAGGGTTTGGTAGTGGTGGTTGTTTTGGATTTCTTGGTCTATGGGGGATGTTAGTGGGATGTTTGGGGAAATTGGGAAGCTAGTGGACTGAAGGGGACGGCAGCAAAGGAGGACTGATATATTTGGGATTGAGAATAAAGGTGAGGATTGAGAGTTGAGTAGTGTCAAATTATAAAAACGGAGATGCGACTCACTTTGCGAACAGCACTATCATCGTCAGATACGAAACCACCATCAGAATCGTATGTTTCGGCGGGCTCAGCGCGAGTTCGTTTAGGCATTTTAGTAGAGATGTGAGAGTCTGTCAATTAAAACGCTGAAGTTGAGGCAAATGGATGGAAATCAAGAGTGTTGTGGTTGGTTGTGAGTATTTCGTGGTGGGTGGATGTGAGATTATTAGCTTGGGAAGCTTATCGAGACAAGGAATGGAGGGAAGAAGGGGAAGGAGATTAGATGAGAAGATCAAGAGAAGTAAACAAGATGAGAGTAAATAAATGAAGTGACTGAAATCCTTAATTCAATTATCACATTCAAATGGAAAGAAAGATTGTTTGTTGTTGTCTGTTTGTATTATCATCGTTTGATGTTTAATGTGGTTGACGCGTCTGTAAAGAACGCTAAGATGATAAGTTCGCGTTTGCGCGTAAATTGATTTTTGTCAACTCAGGGATCCATCTATTTTTATTTAAAGGAGTTCCCACAGTAATGAAGTCCAGACCAGAATCCCTACAAAGTACAGTTATTTGATAATGCTTGATGCTGGATACTGGTTGCTTGGACGGTAAGTTCATCGTCATTTGGTTTCAACTCAGCCTCCCAATTCATGGAAAGGAAAAGGTACTAGGTAGTCCAGATCAACATTTCATTGTTCAAAATGGAATTGGACATTTAAAGATGTAAGTCTCCTATAACATTCCTTTTTTTGACTTTCGGCATTGTATTAATTAGTACCTTTCCTAGTTTACGAAGCTATTCGAAAAAGAGCAGCGCAAATTGTCTAGGCTATGACGAAAGGACATTCCTTTCTTTTTGATTCATTGCGACAAGTTCGAATTATTACAACATTTTAAACCATTACAGCAAATCCAAACTTTACAGCAGATTCAGACTTTACAATAGATACAGTATTACAACAGATTCAGAAGTTACAACATAATCAGACTTTACAACAGATTGAATCAATACAATGGACTCAACAAATAAGTCCAAGGTCGCGGAAGCTGCGACCCAGGACGACGTAACTACCCGAATATTACGATATCTCTCCACGGCTTCGAACGAGGCACTTATCTGGATCGCCCTCGCCTTGGCATTCAGCACATATATACTACTGGGACGACTGGGACTCATTCTACTAGGAGCTCTAGGCGGCATCGTTCTACATGCAACATGGATGGGTCAGAGTGTTTTGGCTGCACCAGACTGTCTAGTCAAAGCTAATGAAGTCGACGAGGACGAGTTTGCCGAGGATAGCTTAATATTACGGGCCAGCTTCGAGGGATTTCGACCTAAAACTACTATTGCCTTGAACGAGTTGGTTGATGCCATTGTTCGAGATTATGTCAAATATTGGTACAATCCTATACTCCCGAGCGATCAAACCTTCCCCAATACTTCGAGATTGACCCTTACGAGATTCGTTCTATCGATGTCTCAGCATTTATCGAGAAAGCGACCTGCCGACACTTTCCTTGATTTCCTTACCAATTCCTCGTCCATCGTCATTGTCTTTCTCAATGAGTTGGCAAGCGCAACGTCCGCGAGTCTGGGAACGAACAGGCCTGCCGGAGAGATGGTAACTACTTATTTGACTGCAAATCCAAACGGCAATCTGGCGAATATCATGAACGAAGAACAACAGATGAAGAAATTTAAAATGGCAGCGGATGATATTTTACAAAGCTTCCTCGAAAAGTCTACTTATGAATGCGGGCCAGCCAGGATATTTTTGAGGGAGATATTAGCCGGTGTCGTCTTGGAGATGACATTGAAAAGTTGTTCCAAGCCGGAGTGGATCAACGGATGGATTGTATACCTATTGGAGGATGGAGAACCTGGATTGGGACAGGCAATCGATGAAGCCATGGATCGAAGAAACATCCACGACCCATTTTCGGATATTGACGGAAATGTCGAAAACATTAATCTAACCAGATCTTCAAAGAGATCAGGGCATCAAAGACGATTATCAGATGAAGCAGCCACAAACGAAGCCATGGCAGAGGCAAATAGACTAAGCATGTTGATTGCTAAAGAGGACGCACAGAGACTTGCAGAAATCGGTGACATGGAGGACGAAGAGAGTAAAGTGCTTGGTGACGAAAATACCAAAGAAAACACACAGCCGGAATCGACCCTATTATCATCGACAAGCGGCATTCCGCCTTATACCCCTATTACAGATTCGAGACCTTCCATATCCGGATCTGATACGAGTGGCAGATCTCCTGTGCATCCTGATTCAAAACAATCTTCGTCACCTACAACACCGCAAACTATGACGTCCTTCACCAGCTTCGATCAAATTGTACCTGCCACCCCCGTCGCATTGCAATCGAATGAGACCTCTCCTCAACGAAGGAAGACAGTTTCTTTGACCCTACATAAAGCAAACATCATTATGTACGACGACTCTATCGCTTCCGATAAAGGAAGGATCAAGAGCAAGCCTACGATGGATTATATGGTTCAAATTGAACCAGAGTCATCAATGCATCCTGGATGGATGATTGTCCGAAGATATACGGATTTTGAAACATTGCATGAAGTTCTCGGACGAATTGCTAAAGTTTCAGGTGCTACGGATTTCATGGAGCAACATCAAGATTTGCCAAACTGGAAGGCCCGCACCAAACCATCTTTACGTGGTGAGTTAGAGCAATATTTGAAAGACGCTCTTATCCACCAGCCACTTGCTGAAAGCGAGGGCATGAAACGTTTCTTGGAGAAAGACCTGGGAACTATGCCAGCGCCAGTTGCGAAAGCTGGCTTTAGCTGGCCTGCATCTTCCCTCGAAAATATGGGAAAGGGGGTAATTGATACACTTAGGAGTGCACCAAAGGGGGCAGCCGCTGGTGTTACGGGTGTTTTCAGCAACATCGGATCACTTGGACAAAAGCGATCCAGTCAAAGCAGCTTGCAATCCCAAAATCGGTTTTCAACACCGGCACTGTCAAGAGTTGACAGTTTGAATTCATCGAATGGATCTTTCTTTGAATCGAGGAGAGGAAGGTTGAGCGAGGAGAGCTTGAAAGCAGCTTCCGTTGTTTCACACCCCGGAAAGACTGTATCTCTCGGAAGAAAACTAAGTCGTGGATCTGTTCCAGAGTCCATAGAAGAGTCTGGTATAAGAACCAGAGGATCTTCTGTGAGTAGTCATATCAGCGCAGCATACAGCCCATCGCACAGTCGGGAGCCTAGCCAAGCTCCATCGACAAAGGGCACACCACTTTCATCGCCAACGATGAGAGATGAGGAAGAAATAAGACTACCACCACCTCCTACTGAGATGCCTGATGATTACATCTCCCCAGTCGACAGGTCGTCATACCAAGCTCTGGCGGATAATGGTGGTACCCCACGATCATCAATGAGCACAACTACCTCTTCCCAATCCGCGCAACAACCCTCCGACGAGAAACAACCTTCGGAGGTAGCAGCCCCAGAACTTCCAATAGTTTCGGAAGTTCCAGCAGCCCCATTTGTTCCAGAAACTCCAAAATCTACGATTGTCTCAGAAGCTTCGGCAGTTCAGCCTCTTACCAAAAAGCCGAAGAAAGCAGCGGCGCCACTAAGTGAGGAAGAAACCAAAGTAGCGGTCGAACTCCTCTTCGCTGTCATAACAGAGCTCTACACCTTATCTTCCGCTTGGAACATCCGACGGACCCTCCTCACTGCCGCGAAAACATTTCTTCTTCGCCCAGGCAACCCTTCTCTATCTTCTATTCAAACACTCATGCAAGACTCTGTCATTTCATCATATACTTCCGATGCGGGAATCGCTTCTTCTCTATGTAAATTGAGAGAAAACGCCTTGCCCACTGAAGCTGAGTTGAAGACATGGCCTGCGGAATTGAGTGCAGATGATAAGGAGAAGTTGAGAATTAAAGCGAGAAAATTGTTGGTAGAGAGAGGTATGCCGACTGCTTTGACAGGTGTTATGGGACAAGCTGCTACGGGAGAGGCGTTGGGAAAGGTGTTTGACTGTTTACAGTGTGAGGATGTGGCTAGGGGTTTAATTTTTGGATTGTTATTGCAAAGCGTTAAGGCTATTACGCACTAGATCGATGAGATGAAACGTTCGAACGCCACTGTTTAATCGACAAATGGCTTGCTTGTACATAGGTAGTGAAAAGAGGGAACTTTATAATGGGAATTGGAATTACGATTGTGATGGGGCACAAATCGACACTTTAGACTATACAACACAACACACACGCAGAATACACTGTATTAGTATTGTTAATAATGAGAAATGACACGATTAAAGTTAACTCTTTTTTCTTCGCTTTCGTGCTTGTGATATTCCTGATGTATGTTTGCGGTGTGTTTGTGAGTCAATGGAGTGAGTGAAATCCTTCCTTCCAGCATACTGAACTTGCATGTTGTAACCTTAGATCATCGAGACAGTTTTTTATCAACATCATCATTCATTTTTTGAGAAATCTTCTAATTGTTACAAGGTGAGGTTGGAGAGTCTTATTTTCATCCTATGCGTCTCCCTCCATTGAGCCTTTACATATATTCTCTTTTCTTTTATAAGATGATATACTACCTCCCGGTGACCTCGCGCTGTCCATACTCTACTTCGTCTGCATGTCTCTTGATTTTATACTCTTGACGATTATATTTATGATTATATTTCTAGAGGGGATAGTTGTCCTCCTATAGTAGTGTTTACTACTTCTATTTTTGGATTTTTGAATCATACTTTGTTTTGAGGATTGAGGATTATTTCGTTTATATAAAATATAAATAGAATACATGTAGCTATTCTACTCGAGTATATATATATATATATCTACAAGAGATCTAAGATCTCTTTGTATGATTTTTTTATATCGACGTCCTCGCATTTTCATTTCTTACTATACGAGTACATCTTCCAGTATCATTCTACTAGCTATTATATAAGAAATCTAGTTACATGTCTGTCTATAGAAGGAGCTAATATATATAAATATGATTTTCTTTCATCCGCGTCAACAAATCTAGACATTAGGTTTCTAGATAGATGCATAAATAACATAACAACCATCATTCTAAAAAGGGGTTCCGAGTCCGTACATTTTTCACTTGCTACATGGTCTAATTTGATCAAATAGCACATCTTATGGCAAGGCCCTAGAAGGAGGGCAAAGAGCTAATAGTTTATCTTGTATGGTAAACACCGACATATGAATTTGGTACACTACTCTCCATCTAATCTTTTTCATCGTATCTTATTTCTGACCTTAAAGAAACTCATATTACTGACATTTCATATCAGATGAGAATGTAGTAGTAGGTTCCTTGTCAACCTGTCGGAATATCAATCACTACCACAACCTCCAGCAAAGCGTGCTAGCACACTTGTGCCCATGCTACCATTACTCCAGTTGCGACCTGTATGGTCGAACATTCTATCTTTACCGGATGTACTCTCGTCCAATACACTCAAGTCTAACACGACACTATGCATCTGCCGTGCATGTACGATGACGAAAACGATGAATGGAATATAAAAACAAACGCCAGAAAGCGATCATTGGCTATCATGTTGCACCCGAGCATTTGGTAATTGATAACTTTTGAGATACAAGAATTGGACTCATGGCTCCATCTATTTTCCAGTGAACAGTGAGCATGAAGTGACCTCAGAAATGTCTACTGTAAATATGCCTACACTACGACACATAGGAGATTCACCACCAAAACTCGGGTTCTAAATTTCTGATCATGAGCAGAATACGGTACGTAGAAAGGTTGTGAATCAATTATCTTGTTTCATACCTAGTACACATAGCGCTATACTGTGGTCTTCTACTCTACTGAGTAGTATTCACCCTCTAATTCGACTTTTCGTCATTTCAAATAATCTTTGAATAAATCCATGATTTATCTACTTTGAGTAGTCCAGTATTCCGATTCATCCAGTCTCCCCATCCAATCCTTCCATTTAATATTCCAATCTTGTTTCAACATCACCATCCAAAAGCAACTTTACTAGCACCCACCCCCGTAGACCAAATAAAAAAGCGCAAGCGAGGCGAGGTTTACTCCAACCCCTTAAAGCAAAGTATCTCCCGCCAATATACGAGTAGTGCGGAATCAACGAAGGATATATACGATATGTCTAACGCGAAAGAGATGAGGAACTTGTATGCAATTATGAAACTTTCAAGTGGTGCATTATACGATGAAATAATATAAAAACGGGAAAATACCTTCTATTCTTGCTAGAACGGCATGGCACCCTTTTTTTATGATCGATATCTACTGAGATGTACGAGTACAGCAAAACTAAAGAAATTAACAAACAGAGATTAATAATAAAAAACTGATCATAATTCAGATCTTTATGTGCAGCTGGATTTAAGCTTCTTTCCTATCTACAAGTAGAGACAGAGAGGTTTGGAAGTGGAAGTGGAGGTCGAACATTTGGAAAACTTTCTACATAGTTAACATTAATAAAGACACATAACAAAAGATTTAAGTAAAGAAGCTAATTAATAGTGTCATGAGATATTCAAGCTTGAAGTGCAATACTATTATTGGATATAAGTTGAGATGTTGAAGCAGTAAATAGACAATAGAAATTGGAAATTGGGAGATACGAAGCAGAATGTAGGCGAGTGATAGGAGGTTCGGGAGCTGATATTCTGAGTGTTTGGTATATGATGTGCCAATATGAAGCTTCTGGATATAATTACTACTGATCGCGAATATTGCTTCCGGAGGCAATATTGATACTTGAGATATTGAGATGTCTTACATGGAGCTTTTGGGGGGAAAACAGGAGTACTTTTCTAGATACTACATGCGATATTATCTCTGTGATATTCCATCATAACGATAGTGAGAATTCAGTTCCCTCTATCCTGAGCGTCTCGCTGTGAATATCCCATGGTCAAACAATGTCCTCAAAAGTAGAAATGTGTGTTTATTCATTATGTCCATGACCCAACCCAGTATGCTTACACCTGGGAATTCTTCCCCATTAGCGGAAAGAAAGGAGAGTGATAGTCCTTGCTATCCTATACATCATCTCTAGATCACCATAACTTTACAGATCCCTAATTTATCATTGCAAAACCCACAACGACACAAATGCAAAGCCTATCCACCCATCCATCCACCCTGTCCGTGTGTTCATAATAAGAAGCCCAACTCCTTCCCAATCCCTTCTCGTTCAGTTATTCCAACACTTTATAACTAACCATAGTCCCAACCCTATGATTGGCTGTGCTGAAACTTCTCAATTGTACCTTCTCCCCATCCACAATCTCTCTAGCTTCACTATCTCCCCATTCCATTGGAACATCACTATCCGCATCCGCATACACCAGCACATTAAACGTACAGGCACCATCCAATTCTGGCAAAAACGTCACACTGGCAGTAATTTGTCTGAAAATCGATTGAATCTCCAACTGGATTTCTGCTTCCGTTTTCTCGGGTGCAGGTGCGGGCGCTGGTGCTTCTTTCTCGGTGGGGGCATTTTCTGATGTGGAGGGGGTAGTTGTGGGTTTGGATTTGGATAATTTCTTAGATGGTTTGTTGAAGATTTCGACGTCAAATTGCCAGCGTTCGACATCTTCGCCTGTTTCTTTGGAGGTGATTACGATGATTAGTTTAGTAATTTTTCCGTGTATCATCCATTTGTCGAGTTGAGACATGATCTTCTTGATGTAGGCTTTGACTTGGTCGTCCGACGAAACTGATAGGCAGAGTTAGTTATGAATCAAGACATGGCGAACAGAAATGGCGGAGGATTGGATATGGAGAGGGCTCGTAGTAAGACGTACCAAGCATTGTGAGGCCATACTTCTTGACACTGAAAGAGACATAGTTAGATAATGTTCGTAGGCTATATGGCAGATAGGGTGAACAAACGCTGAGAAGTCTTCGGCGGGGTATACGCCTCTTTGGAAGCTGTGCGGTTGTTAGTGATCTGTGGAGGAATCATTGGCAGATCAATCAAAACTTACAGAATTGTGTTTATTGAGAATTGGAACTGCGCAGATCAGTTTCTACTCCTTGCTCTCAAACAAATCCAGTACTCACGAATTCTGCAACCAGTTTCGAGGAACCTACATAGACTATTAACACTGCAATTGATTTCCATAGAATTTGGGATACCCACCCTTCAGCGAGAGTTTATGAGTTTTTGCTTTATCTGATTTATCTACCTTCTCCTTTGACTTTGTGGTTGACTTCGTGGTTGAATTTGCGGTCGACATATTGACTTGACTGTACTTTGAGGATATTTCGTACGTAGAGTAGACAATCTTGCGGGGTTCTTGTCTATCTATCTGTTTATCTGTCAAAACAGTAGAGATTAAAATTGTTAGTTGCCCCAGCGACCACGACTCGGAAGGTTCCGTCGCAAGTCCCCCCCCCCCAAATGTAATTTTCCCCAAACCTCACCCCGCGTCTTCAAGCTGTGCAGCCCACTCCACAAATGCAGCGATGTCCATTGAATCTGCTTAGGCTTCCCAGCATTATCAGATCACAATATGCATCTCACTTTCTCCCTCTCTTCCTGCCTCGAACCTTTACCACATCGGTGACACGATATGCTATCGCTAAGAAATTCGTCGGTGACCTGGAACGGCGCATCCTAGCTATACCTATTGAACGTTTCCGCAATTTCTGCATTGTGGCACATGTAGATCATGGAAAAAGTACATTGAGCGATCGCTTACTCGAATTGACGGGTACCATCGAGCCTGGTGGCGATAAGCAGATCCTGGATAAGCTGGAAGTGGAACGATTACGAGGGATTACAGTGAAGGCACAAACATGCAGTATGTTATGGAACCATAAGGGGGAAGACTATCTGCTTCATTTGGTAGACACACCGGGGCATGTGGACTTTCGAGCTGAGGTATCGAGATCTTATGCCAGTTGTGGAGGAGCTCTATTATTAGTCGATGCAAGTCAAGGAGTACAGGCTCAAACGGTTGCGAACTTCTATTTGGCATTCTCACAGGGGTTGACGTTGGTACCGGTGGTTAATAAGATAGATCTACCAACTGCGGACGCACCGAGGGCATTGGAGCAGATGGAAAGTGCGTTTGAATTGGCACCCGAGAACGCGGTTTTGGTCAGCGCAAAGACGGGATTGAATGTTGAAGCTTTACTTCCGAATATCATCAGGCAAATCCCAGAACCTGTTGGTGACTATACCAAGCCGCTGAGATTATTGTTGGTAGATTCATGGTATGATAATTACAAAGGTGTCATCTTACTGGTTAGGATTTTCGATGGGACGATCAAGGCTGGAGACCACGTCGTGAGTTTTGCATCGGGAATAAAGTATTTTGTTGGTGAGGTGGGTATCATGTATCCAGATCAGACTCCACAAACTATTCTGAGGGCTGGCCAAGTCGGATACATCTACTTCAACCCTGGTATGAAGAAAAGCCAGGAAGCTTTGAGTGGTGATACATATACAACTGTTGGTTCGGAACATCTTGTAGAAGCATATCCTGGATTCGAAGAGCCAAAGTCTATGGTTTTCGTGGCGGCTTTTCCAGTCGACCAAAACGACTATCATCATTTGGAAGACTCTATCAACCAAATTGTACTTAACGACAGGAGTGTAACTCTACAGAAAGAATCTTCCGAGGCACTTGGTGCAGGATGGCGTATGGGATTCCTTGGTTCTCTACATTGCTCTGTATTTGAAGATCGTCTCCGTCAAGAGCACGGCGCAAGCATCATCATCACCCCACCCTCAGTGCCCTTCAAAGTTATTTGGCGGGATGGCACCGAGACAATCATACAAAATCCTGCTCTCTTTCCCGAACAAGAAACCACTCATCAACGTGTCCAAGAACTTCAAGAGCCTTATGTCTCTGCGACCATTACCCTCCCCGAAGAATATCTTGGCAAGGTAATAGAACTTTGCGAATCAAATCGTGGTGAGCAGGTCGACCTCACGTTCTTTAGCGCCACCCAAGTTATTCTCAAATACGATATCCCACTCGCTCAGCTCGTCGATGATTTTTTCGGAAGACTCAAGGGTGCAACTAAGGGATACGCAAGTCTCGACTATGAAGATGCCGGCTTTCGCACAAGCAGCATCGTCAAACTACAACTTCTCGTCAATAAGGGGCCAGTCGATGCCGTTGCAAGAGTAGTACATACAAGTCAGACGGAAAAGATCGGTAGACAATGGGTAACGAAATTCAAGGAGCACGTTGATAGACAGATGTTTGAGGTCATTATTCAAGCACAAGCAGGGAGGAGAATCGTGGCGAGAGAAACTATTAAACCGTTTAGAAAAGATGTGCTGCAAAAGTTGCATGCCAGTGATATTGGTAGAAGGAGAAAGTTGTTGGATAGACAGAAGGTGGGGAGGAAGAAGTTGAAGGCCGTGGGGAATATTGCGATTGACCATGAGGCTTTCCAGAAGTTTTTGGCGAAGTAGGGAGTTGAAAGAGCTTAATGATAGAGTGTATATATACCATAGCAATCTGGAAATCGATTTTTATGTTACGAGTTTCAGTTTGATTGTTTTTACATAGGATTTTCAAACAGTGTATGATCACCAATTCGCAAAAGGAAGTTGTGGGCTTCATCACTCCATGCTAAACCTCCACTATTCACCTCCCAAACTCATCATCCCTTATCCCTCCTCTACTCACCTCCCCAACTTCAGCTCCATCATCTACTGCTAACCTCCCGCTCCACCCGAAAGAAATTCCCAAAAATTCATGGTTTATAGCAATCTCAAACGAGTGGGCCTCCCCGCTGAAACTACAGGTATGCAAACTACATATTCTGTTCGATTTAATTTTTGTATCAAATGAACTTTCGCGTGATTTACTATTTCGTCGCAAAAGGGGAATAGGGGGTTAGGGGGTCTAAGTAGATAAGATGTTAGATTACGGGTAGTAACAATACGATAGATGGATACCAAAGTATCGGTAGTTGTTTGGTTCTAGGGAAATTTAATAACTTGAGGGAGGATTCTGGGGTGCATGTATGTATGTATGTATGTATGTATGTATGTATGTATGTGTAAAGGCTTTTCAAAATGACATAATCAGTCTATTTGATGAGTCAAGATCAGGGTCAAAGTTGTACATATCCCCGGTGAGCTCTTTATATATGGATACAGTTTGAATATATACCAGCTCTCAGGTGAGCTAATCTTTTTTAAATGTAACCTTTTTGGGGTAAGATTAATTGCTTCCTGGCATGGTGAGCTTTTAGTTCAGGTTCTAGTTCTAGTTTCTGTGTATAGTATAATGATGGAGATGGGAATGAGGAATAGGATTGTATTTCAAGTTGGACTTGAATTTGGATTTGGATTCTTAGGAGTATATACTATGTTGGTAGATACTAGTCCTCTTCAATAGATGGAAAATTCGGTACATCTATTTGATTCACAGTCACAGTCACAGTCACAGTCATAATTAATGGAGATTTTTAATTCCCTTTCACTAGTAATCGTATTGATATTTATACTCATTTCTATACTAGTCTATAGCATTCAGCAAAATAGATACTCGAGTACTAGTACTTATACTTATAGAATAAACCTATCTCATCTCATCTCATCTTATTCCTCGTCATACCTTCCTGCCTCTAATACCAGTTCTTACTATCACTTCTACCCCCTCTCTCATTTCTATATCCTTACAATACATCTGAAGTTCACAGTTCAAAGTACGTACAAAATTCAAAAATTCAGTCTCTTCACCCTCCTCCTCTTCGCTATATTTAAGAATTGACTAGCCTCTAATATCTATCTATGCATTCATATATCCATCTATACACACCTATTCAAACATCAAACATCAAACATTAAATAGCAATACGAACCATACTCGTATAATTCTATTTTTCCATTAGGCTCTACTTATCTCTTTACTTTCAATAATATACATACTCATGATCCCCATCCTCATTCTCACCCTCATATACACTCCACCTACTCCACCCAGTACACTACATCTAACATATTCACTAGTTATTAGTTAACCAGTTAAACTAGTCAAACTAGCTAGTGCGCCAACCAAACTATCAGTTTAATTTATCAGAGACTTCAAACTAACAATCGATTTAGTTTATATAATTAACTTCTACTTTAACCTCAACTATTAGTCAAGATACGCTGTTCAAATTACTGACTACACTGACTCCAGTATCCTTCTTCCCTCACCCGCCTTCCCTTTTCCGTTTCCCACCATTCTTCTTCCTTTCTCCCTTCTCTTTCCCTCCCCCCTTCCTCTCCTCTCCCTCTCTCATCATCCCATCACCCCACAGCCAAACCTCCGAGTCCCCCCGTCTTCTCTTCAAATGTGCCCTTCAAGTTCTCTCTCCCAGAGTCCCACCCGCTCTAAATTCTCCTCCCTCCCTCTTTTTCCTCCCTCTTTTTCCTCCCTCTTTCCAACTTGAATTATAAGTTACCGTTAGTCAATATCAAAATCCTCTACTACTTGTAAATCCCTGACTTCGACTTCGATTTCGATTTCGAATCTATCGATAATAGTAATAACAATAATAATACTAATAATAATTGTTGAAAGTCGTCAGTACAGCAATGAATCTGGCTGACTAAGTATGGTTGCTTATTCCTAGAGCTTTCCTTTTTTTTTCAATTCTTTAACTTTATAACAAAATATCAAGAGATTAAAGAGTCATAATGAACTGTTCTTTAGGTGCTTTATAACTTTTAATAGATTATAAGTCTGGTTGTGTGTATCTGTTAGTTAGTTAGGACAATCAATACAATATCGATGTTATTGACTTTGATGATTTGGAGGATATTCAGACTTTACCCTATTTTGGTTATATAACAACAATAACACAAAGACTATCAATACTATCGATTATAAACCTACAATTTATTCAAGTATTTAGAGTATTGATTCAATAGAATGAAATTATTGTTTTGTCAGATAATATAATAGACACTTTGTGATCACAGATGTGATATATATTTCAAGATTATTCTCTAGCCTTATAGTAAGAGAGAATAGTATTGTTATATTTAACAGTATTATGATGTCTACAGAACGATATGTATTTCGGTATATAACGAGTCTAAGGTTTAAGGCCTCAAATATATGTAACAATCTCTGCTTTGCCAGGCATTAGAATAAGCATTTGTAGTTTATAACGATATATATCTCTGCTTTGCCAGGTATTAGAATAGGCATTTGCGGTCTACAATGATATATATCTCTGTTCTGCCGGGCATTAGAATAGACATTTTGGTGTGTAATGAGTCTGAGGTTCAAGGTCTTAAATATATGTATTTGCGGTTTATAATGATACACAATCTCTGCTTTGCCAAGGTATTAGAATATATGTATTCAACTTTATCGGCTGATTAATCAACTTTACAATCTATGACTTATTCAGAATGAATGGAGCAAAAGATGCTGGGAGAAGGGTGGCAGAACAAGGGGTACTAGTTCAGGAGGATTTATTTTTTATATAAATTAACTTTTAGGATAAGAGAGAGAGGTATTGTATAGGGCTAGGGGGCTTTTTTATTGTTTTCCCAATGAAGGGGTATATTGAAAGTCATCAGTTTAGTAATGAATCTGGTTGATTAAGTATGGTTGTTTATTCCTAGAGCTTTTTTCTCCTTTTCAATCCTTCAATTCTATAACAAAATATCAAGAGATTAAAGAGCCACAACGAACTGTTCCCTAGGTGCTTTATAACTTTCAACAATAATACTAACCCCAATAATAACAAAAATACTAAGCCTAGCTGCCTAAGATAAGACATAATCACTCTACCACGAATCTACGATAACTTAGCTTAGTAAAGAAAATTATAAAACTTATATTTATAATTATAATTACAATTATAAAACCAAAAAGAAGAGAGATAGATAGATATGAGAATAGTCATTCTGGAGGATTAAATTTGAAGGACGAGTTACTGAGTATATAGTATACTACAATATACAATTACACTATTCACATTAATTTTTTATACTTATTGGAATATATCCTCTGACCCTACCTCCGACCCTATCTCCGAGTCTACATTCATCACATTCCTTCTTAACACAGGGGAAGCGAGAAAACCCCTTTTCCTCCCCTTTCCCCTTCTCTTTCCTCTCTCTTTCCCCTCTCTTTCCCCTCCTCACATAGATTACATATAAAATCATCATTATCATTATCATTATCATTATCAATCAACATACACTCAAGATAAAGATAAACATAAAGTTATAGCCTGAGTAGAAGTTACAACAGACATTGGAAAATTCTATTTATTCAGTTATTCAATTGATTGATTTATTGCATATCAATCAATACAATACAACCCAATAGAACTAAAAATCCATCATGTCCTTTATAACTTTATATATTAGTACATATTCCAGTCTATCTAGTATCCCAGTACGTACAAAAGTTGGCATCTCATCTGCAGCTGCTACCGCAATACTAGTAGTGGAATTTGGAAGGCGATCGTATGCTATTTCAAATTTCATTCTATTCATTATATTCATTCATTCCATCCGGTCTATTCCATCTCATCTACTTCATCTACTCTATCTCATCTCATCTACTCCATCCGTTCTATTCCATCTACTCCATCCAATCCATCTCATCTACTCCATTTCATTTCATCTCATCTCATCTTATCCATCCTACCGCATCTTATCAGAGTATTTATATTTATACTTATACTTCCACTCTCACTAGCATACATACCCCCCATTCACCTTCCCAACCACTCGACTACTTACTCGAATTCTCCAATATCCCCACAGAAAAGAGAGAGATATATATGTATATATATGTATATTATCCAATATCAATATCGATGTCATCTACTCGAGTAATCTAATCTAATCTATACTACAGGCTACAGGCTACAGGCTACAGCTCAAAGTTAACATATTTACCACCCAAGCCAAAAGCAAAATGCTATGCATGCATCCATTTCGAGTTCCAATCCCATCCATGGTATCGATAAGGCAAGACTAGACAAGAACCCATATACATATTTACACCATTCCTATCCATTCACCCCTACTCATCCCTACTCCTTAATGATAAAACCCCTTTAATCCCGAGCCTTAATCCCGAGCCTTTTCCTTTCCCTTATTTTTCTTAATACAATTCCCATTCCCATTCCTATTTTCATTAGCCTTGCTATTTTCCTTTGTATCTTCCTTCTCATTATCTCTCCCTTCAATCCCACCTCCTTCCTTCCCCTCCATAACCTTCCCATCAAATTTAGTATCCTTTGGTCCACTCGCATCTAAACCCTCCCACTTTCCATCCCATCCTTTCTCATCATCTACCGCTCCCATCGTCTCTCCTTTCTCTGCCATTTGTCGAACATCGCTCCAGTATTCTAATCTCTTGACTTCTTCATCTGCGGCTTTGACTGCTCCTTCCAGATTCTTTGCTCGTTGCTTTGTTCTCTCGTTTTCATCGTCTTCTTCCTCCTCTTTCTTACGACCCTCTCCGTCACTTCGCCCATTGGCTTTCTCCTCCTCTCTCCCATCTTCTTTCTCCTCTTCTTTCCCTTCCTCACCACCCACCCCCTCAAATTCCTTCATCAACCTCTCAAGCAGTACTCGTCTACTCGCCTGAAAAATAAAATGATTCATAATCTCATGCATATGTTCCGTGTCCGTCAAGTAGTGGAGTTCCTCGCCTCCATGCTTCATAAAACTTTCCACTGCTTCCATTTTCTCTCTATCGATTCGACATATTCGAAGGACTTTCATTAATGTCGCTATATCACTGATCTCCTCGACCCTCCATTCGGTTTCAAAATTTCGGCTAGAGACTGCTAGACTGCGTCGACTTCTACTATCTCCATCTAGAGCGGCGCCTGTGAGGGTTGTTGCGCGACTTCTGCTACGTGCCTTTTGAATGGAATTAGTATCATTAGAATGAAGATTAGAGATGGTTGCCTAAAGCTATTTCCAATCGAAAGATTTGATAATGTGCTACTCACTGGATGTATCGTAAAATAATCATCATTGAGCATATGAGCCTGTTGGTGATATCCAGAGCTCTTCTTGACTCGTTTTCGAATCCATACTCTTCTTCGTACGAATGAGCTATACCATTTGGAACTATGCCATGACCATTTCTTGGAGAAAGCGAAAGAATATTCCCACCCTTCATCATCGACCTAATTTGACATCAACAATTAGCTTGCAATTTCCGAGGAATAGCTGTGTACAATTGGTGATCAAGGGTCCAAAGTCCAATCGGATCTTCCAAATCCCCATGTTTTAGATATTCTTACCCCGTCATCGTGATTGATAATCCACTCCGGCCAAGCCCATTCCCAACTCGGATCCGGTACTTGAGCATTCGAAGTATTCGTCGCGCTCGTCTTATTCGCAATATTGGTCCAGGGCGCCGGATCCAAATTCCCCAAAGCTTTACCAGAGAACATATGTAATCCACATAAAATCAACCCTCGTTCATTCTCGTATAAGATATCAATCTCGAAAGGTAACTTGTCCCGTTCCTGCTGAGCTTTTGTTCTTCTTCGACTTCGACCACGCTCCTCATCATCTGAAGTGTTTTCATTCTCGGGAGGCAGGGTTCTGCAATTACGAAATTAGTATTTTTGCATAATTCAACCATGATATCAAATAGTTTCATACATCACCGAGCCAACTTGAATAGGACTATCCTCAATCTCATCCGCTGCAACATGCACATCCCTATATTTCTTCCATTTTCTCCTAGTGAGCTCCGTCCTCAGAGACCTCTTTATCCTCAACGGCTCATCAATCTGATTCCCTGACAAAGAATTCGTTATAATTATCGCCGGTAAGCCATCATCCTTAGCCTGCACACCCCTCGAATGACTCCGACTCGCATTTGGGTCTGCATGATCTACCAGTTGAATTTCGTGATCGTAGTCGGCATCGGTTAATGGTGCAGGTCTTTTATATTTGGATCGAAATAAAGACATTCTCTTGTTCTCATGGGGACAGCATTGCGGTCGAGTCGGGCCCGTGTTGCCTGCCTGCCTATTTCCTTCTCCCTAAAATTAATGGACAATGGATGGCTCAAAAGTAATTCCTTGATTATTTTCTATTAATTAAAATTATAATTGAAACAAATTGATGTTATTCCTATCATAGAGGAGTTGAATACACAGCCATGTAAGTAGTCATCAAGAATCCAGTTTTGAGTGTTTCAAATCATTTAGTACTACTCGAGTAAGTACAATAGGTAAAGTAAATATGTACTTTTGAGTTATTAGATAGAAGTTGAAGATCGCATTGGGATAAGATCTGGATGGATAAGCTAATGCCTACCCCTGTCCGATGACGCGCTATCCCGGCTGAGATCTTCCAAGCTTAAATAATTATGTAATAATGTGTGGCTGAGATCGAGTTGCTGCTTTGTACATTTATATCTTCATTTTAGATATCAATAACAAATTCGATTAATCAATAAGTATTTAAGTAGTACTCGAGTAAACAGAAATAAACAACAATACCTACTCTCCCAATCAAAATGATACGCTATACAATACAACCAACAAAGCAAAACCCTCACCTCACCCTTCCCAAAAATGCCCCTCCCAGATCCAGTCCATCAGCACAGCCACATCTCCCCACTACCCGCCGCTTTCATACAACTTTTCATACCCACTTTCATCCTGTCTACTAGGATCTCAACCTATGACGTTACATTCATCTTCCCCCTCAAACCAAGCAAGAACATCAATCATATCATCGAAAAACTAGATAACTGCCATACTTAACAATTACCATAAAATTCATAAACAAGAATTCACCAATCATCACAATCCTAACCCATCCCATCTAACCTACAAAACCCTCGTGTTACTTGCTCTTTTCCTCCAAAACCAAGTCTCCTCATTCAACTCGTACTTCCTTTGAACAATCAATCCATCAATCAACTAACCTATAACTTTCCTCTATTCATCAAAACAAACGCATTTTCTTTCACAAAAAGAAATCAATTCATCCTCGATTCCAAACCTTAAAACAACCAACAAATAAAAACAAATGGCTCAACGCAGTAGCCGTGCTCCTCTCTACTTTGGCCTTGCTGCCGCTGGTGGTGTAGGTTATTATCTGTACAGCGCCGGAGGAAGTCCCAAGGTTGCCGAGAAGCAATTTGAAAGTATGTTTGTTCACTCTCTCTCCTTTCTCTACAATGAAAATCCCCTCTACTCAATCTTACCTCGCCATTTGTCACCACACCATACCACACCACAAACTTCTACATCATCACCTCCATATTCCTCAACTCACAACAGTACATAACCCCACATCAAACAATAACTAACCAAAAACCCAATCCAACAGCTGATCTCTCCCGCGCCTCCGCAAAAGTAAAGTCCGAGATACCTGGCCGAGCAACACAAGCTCAGAAGGAAGCCGAGAAATGGGGTTCGGAGGCCGGTGCTAAGCTTGATTCTGCCGTATGTTTTCCTTTTCCCTTCCCCTTCCCACTATTCCCTTTACCATCCTTCCCTGGATCCTATCCTATCCTATCATATCCTATCCTATCCATCCCCCACATCCTACCCCCCCTCAAGCAAGCAAACAACTAACCCCACACCCCACCTCTAACAGACCAACCAAGCCCGTGCCGAACTCGGCAAAGCCGAAGGAAAATTCGACCAATACAAGAAAGACGCCGACCAATACCGCAAAGAAGCTGCCCAAACCACCATGAAGAAGATCGACGAGGTAGATCGAAAAGTGGAAGCCGAGGCCGCCAAAGCCAAGAGTGGTATCTCGAGCTGGTTTGGTGGGAAATAAATGAAGGCATTACCTTTTGGTCGTGGAGCTGAGGCTTGTTAGCAAAGCAATTAGTAAAGCAGTTATCGATTGTGTATCTCGTTGATGGGTAATGATGATATGGCTCGAAATGGACTGGAATGGGCGACAGATGATTTCTTTTTCCGGATACGGATGGATGGATGGATGAATGGATTTGGGACTGGACTTCAAATGAAGGAAAGGGTCTTTTTTTTAGTTAGTTAATGATGCCGGCATAGTGATGGGGATTGTATGATAATGATGATGAAACACCCTTCAAACAAATACTTTTGCATTGGTCACACTCAACCCAAATTCAAAGACCTAGAAGCATCTATGACACTTTTTGTATTTGTTTCATTGATATATCTTGTATATGTTGTTGCGAACCGATGTCATCTCCTTTCTTTCTAGCAAGCAAAACCCTGATTTGTAAATCTCGCTACTTCGCTATCAAATCTCACCCATAAGCTTTAAAATCTTGCTCTATACCATGTTTTCTGTTCTGCACTTTCTTCCACGCACCAAACTCCCACTCCCGCCAAATTGCTACAGCGCCATTCGTACCATCATTTCTTTCGTAACCATATACCGGTGATCTCCTATGGTGCTGCAGCAGGAGGTGGAGCCTGCTCCTCCGCAACCTTTCCTCTCAAAGGTAATTCAGTCTCGACAACAACTGGCACCTGAGCATCCTTCTTCTCAGCTCCTCCAGCAGCCTTGGCTGCTTTCTCGGCCTCCTTCTTTGCCTTCTTTCTCTCCTTATCTCTCACCTTATCCGCCTTCTTCTTCGCCTGGACTTCTTCTTCTGCCATTCTGGAAGCTTGAGTTCCTCCATATTGCTTTCTCCATTCTTCGGCTTTCTTCTCGTCGATACGTGTAAAGAGATATTCTGGTTTGCCAATCTTGTGGCCGCTCTTGAGGACAGCGGGGTTCCATTTGTCGGGAATAGAGATGAGGGGGGCGGAGAGTTGGGTGACGATGGATTCGGAAGTGGAGGGCATGAACGGGGAGGTGATGGATGCGATGAGATAGGCGAGATTGAGTGCAAGTCCAATGACTGTGTGAGTTCTTTCGGGGTGTTCGGCGAGGTTGGCATTGTCTAAACGGTATTGAAGGAGGTTGTTTCCGCTGGTTGAGATCTTCATGACTTGATCTAAACCGGCGCGAATCTTCACAGCTTCCATATCATTATTATAATCTTTCAACTGTCCATTGACTTCTTCGATAAAAGCAGGGAAATCGAACGACTCGTCTTTGTAGTCGAGGGAGTATTCTGGGATCACTCCATCCATCTTCGCATTGACAAACTTGATGACTCTATTAACAAAGTTGCCCAAGTTATTGAGCAGGACGGAGTTGTTCAATTGAATGAAGTTTGCCCATTCAAATTGGGAATCTGCTGTTTCAGGTCGATTCGATAACAAGTAGTATCTCCATACGGATGGTGGGACACCAGTATCTTTTGCAGTATCACCGAAGACACCTACACCTCTAGATTTCGAGAATTTGCCGTTCTCGTAGTTTAGATATTCAGTTGTAGAGAGATGGTTGAGTTTAGTCCACTTATCTCCAGTTCCCAATTGAGATCCAGGGAAAATAACAGTATGGAAAGGAACATTGTCCTTGCCCATGAACTGGTAGAGTTTAACGTTCTCAGGATCGCGCCACCAGAGCTCCCAATCCTTTGTATAATTTGCCGTAATCGATGGATATCCAATGCAAGCATCAAACCAAACATAAAGCACCTTATCCTCATAACCTGGCAAAGGAATTGGTGTTCCCCACTTCAAGTCTCGAGTAATACTTCGTCCTAGCAGCCCCTGCTTCAGCCATGAGTTTGTGATACTGATACCATTCTTTGGCCATCCTCCTTCTTCACTAGACTTGTTGAACCATTCCTCAATCGCAGCTTGACATTTATCGAGAAGTAAAAAGATATGCTTGGTTTCGCGAGGAACCGGAGTAGCACCATCGACTTTGCAGTGTGGGTTGATGAGCTCCAAGGCATCCAGAAGACTGCCACATTTATCACATTGATCCCCTCGTGCATCGTCATATTGACACTTAGGACAAGTACCTTCGACGAAACGATCCGCAAGGAAGGATTTGTGCGATTCGCAGTAAGGTTGTGTGGTTGTGCGTTCCTCCAAATACCCATTCTTATGAAGTTTCATAAAAATATCCTGTGCGATAATCGTCTGTTGTTCCGTCGTCGTCCTTCCGAAGTAATCAAACCCAATTTCAAACCAGTCATAAACATCCTTATGTTTTTTGTGGAATTCATCACAAAGTTCCTTGGGAGTCTGCTTTGTCTCCAGAGCCTTGACTTCCGTAGCAGTACCATATTCATCAGTGCCGCAAATATACAGAGTTGGACGATCTCTCAGCTTGCTATAGCGGGAGAATACGTCGGCGCTAAGCACACTACCAACAATATTTCCAAGATGAGGAACATTGTTCACGTATGGTAAGGCACTGGTAATCAGGATGTTATTCTTCCCCTTTTCGGGTAAGATGATCTTTGGAGTCGCCATTTTAGTTGTTTTGTTGGAAGGAAAGCCGCAAGAGAAAGACCCCGCTACGGATTGTGAAGTTACTCGTGAGGGTGAGTCAGGTCAAAAGCCTTGGAGGGGGCTTTATTATGAAACAAGGCTGGATGGATTACATAAGCAGAGGACCCCTCCAAGATAAATCACATTTTCTTAACTTCACTTATTGACAAGCAAATTCAACTTAAGAAAATTTAGGAGCTAAAGATACTCGAGAAGACACAGAAGACATACACAAAGTAGAACGAAGAGTTTCATTCAAGCCTAATTCTGAGTCGAAGTGCTACATCTCAAATTCAATATATTTTACTAAAAGCCTCCATTACCAATTCTTCCAAACACACATAAGATCACATTCACAACACAGAAGAATGGCCAATATCGACCCCTTCGAAGATGTTCTTAACTTGGAAGAAGAATTCTACACCACCGGCTACACCCAAGGTATCTCCGAGGGTATAACAGCCGGCCGCATCGAAGGACGCACTTTCGGACTTGAAAAAGGGTTTGAAAAATACCTTGAGATGGGTCGTTTACATGGAAAATCCATCGTATGGGCTAATCGAATTCCTTCTTTGCAAAAACCCACTATCCCCAGCGCTTCAAACTCAGCCGTAAAGCTAGAGAGCGAAGGACAAGAAGGAGAAGCATCACATGATGTTAAATTACCCGAACTCCCCAAAAACGAAAGATTGGCAAAACATGTAAGAGTCTTTCATGCTTTAGCGGAGGCGGAAAGTCTCTCAACGGAGAATTCGGAAGACGCGGTGGCGGATTTCGATGATAGGTTTAAGAGGGCGGTGGCGAAAGCGAAGATTATTGAGAAGATGGTTGGGGAGGGGCAAGGACAGGGAGGGGGGAAGAGTAGTGGGGATGGGGCGATTGAGGACGTTAGTATTATGACGGCTAGATGAGGCTTTGTCTATGCTGATGGGCTTTTGGAAAATTGGTGGTCATGGGATGAGTACGCAGAGTCGTGCAGATTCTGGATTCCGTGGAACGGGCGTAGAGATGGGAGGATTCTCGGGTTGCCGGTCCCGTCGCGCAGCCACGGAAGGCCCCGTGTGTGGGATGAGAATGACATACCTAGCTGGGACCCAGAGGGTCGACTAAATCACAGAGCCTCATTTCAGCTTCTCAAAAGACTAGCTGCAGATAGATGCCCCGCATCTACTGCTCTCCCAAGTAAGCAAGGTCAAGAAAGTCTATCTTTTTTGAGCGAGGTTCGGAAATCTCTTGCACATACGAGGGGTAGCGCAAGATGTCGGAAACCCGTTCTCGAAGTTAGTGAACTATGAATATTTTCTCATCAGGAGATATATATAAACTTAGATTCTATGGACCACTGGGTTTAAGTTAAGCATTCAGAGTCTGTGCCTCTGAACAGGGAGTGTTCGGTTGTTTCGATGAAGGCGGCGGGGAAAGGAGTTGTGGTGTAAGATTAATATAGATGCGAATAGGTAGAGACCGAAGTTGTGTGGGAAGTCGCTATGGACACTTCGTTCAACATCTTCTAATACAAGACAATTACAATGGTAATTCGCTACGTTTTTGGCAGTCAGACAGTTGACCAGGAATGACAAATTTGCTCCATTAAACGCCGTGTCATATTTGGACGAGTGACTTTTCGTGCACTGATGTCTCCCTATCAATTGCTTGAACCTCGTACCTCTACCCCGTACATGAATCAGATATCTTACAAACAATCCATCCTGCCTATAAATACTGTTCAAATGTGTCCCGAAATTACAACCAAACGCCTTCGGGGGCTTTTGAAGCCACCACCCATACTGCCAGACTCCAATCAATACCCCAGCGATGCAGACTTCACTACACATCGCTTTCGCTCTCTGCGGCCACACGCAGATCATAGCTAAGCTCGAAGCATTCTGCGAGCAGATCGTTGACGCTGCCTTGGCCTTCTGGAATGTCCGGTCCGACCATAAATTTACCATCCACGCGCATGTTGTCGATTGAATTTAACTAGATTCAACGAGTTAGCTCAATTTCAGAACGTAGAGAGATTGAGGAGGTTCTACCTTCATGCTGTAGGGGTACAATTCTCTTGGAGAACTGACACCGCCAGAGTTCTTGACTTCAATGAGACATCGTCTTAGGGTCTGAAGTTGGTTATAGACTGGGAGTAGTGCCTCAGAAACTGGTTCTGATGATACCATGAGGAAATAAATGTACGCATAGCTACGTCTAATTAGGTAAAGTAAAGTCTGTTGAACGTCAGCCTATGCATGATAGTGAGGTTGATGGCACATACTCGCTGAACATATAATTCGGCAAAGTTTCCTTCCTCATCAACGAAATTTCCATCTACCCGGCTTTCGTCGATTTTATCCAATTGCCGCTGAAAGTCATACAAATCTGTTTCCCGCAATGACCAGGCTTGAGTCAAAGTTAGCTTTTCAAGCTTATTCCGAATGTCCACCAGGGTTGAGTAAGTCCCCTGGAAAGCTTCTGGAAATTGTCCCTTTCTGTTTAATCATTAGTGAGTTTTTATATGAATAGATGTATATGAACCAACCTTTCCAGAACAAATTCCGCCCACTTCAAACATCTTTCTAGATGTTCACAAACTTCATCGTTACCCGCGGGTATTTCCCCAGAAACGGTTACAAACTTTCCATCCACTCTTTGGGAATCGATTTCTTTCATTTGAGTTTGAAGCTTCGTAACCTCCGTTGTTGAAAACTATTTTTCGGATGGTAATCAGTATAGCCCTCTTATGTATCTGCTGCTCAAGCCGAGGTTGGATTCGCAACTACAACCGACTCACCTTGCTCCTAGTATTAGCCAATGATATTGACCTCAATATCGATATAATCTTTTCATGAACGGGTGATAAGTCTCCGCTGATTCGCTCTAGTCGTTGGCTCAAGTTCTTCAAGGAGCGCTGGCATATTTCGATTCTATTACCAAGAAGAGTGAGGAGCCTGGGAGAGTAAGAAGGCTTAGCGTTCTTCACAATACCCCCCAGCCTCTCGAGAGTCTGCGCAATATGTGCTAGGTCTTTCTCGCAATATAGATCAACTTCGGTCAGATGGTCGAGCAGGCGTTTGATCGTAGACGTGAGAGAATAAGCTGCGGGAGCTTCATTGGTCTTCCCAATGGTCATGAAGAATAAAGAGAGTAGTTGGAAACATCCATCCAACACGCGATCCACTGCAAGCTTCTCGGTCAGCAATTACAAGATACATCAACGTTTCTGCCCCTCTCATGACTGACCTCGGTTCTGTTCATGAGGCTTATCGGCTCTTATCTCATTGAGCAACGTTACTTGGTCAACCACTTTATCATATAAAGTGAGTACATCTGCAGCTTTGATGTAAGTCGTTCTATCTTGCTTCAGAAGCGTCAATTCGTCCCGTATAGAGTTAAGAGAATCCAATATAGGTTGCTCGCGAGAATCAAGGGGTAGCGGATGGGAAGGCGTATCAGTCATGTTCAATGTTGGTTGAAGCTGTAGACTTTTTGAATTTTTTTTGTGTCTTGTTGAAGGTTCTGAATAGCAGAAGTAATGGTATAATAGATAGATGAATTTGAGATTGTTTGTTTCATTCAGTGTTGAATTGGTAACTTGGAAATCAATAGAATGGTTGTTGATCCCAATAGGTTGTTTCTTAGTAAAAGGGCTACTGGCTATGTCATATTTCCCTTATTGGATATCCGGAACAGCGGGGGCATTTCTCACAAAGAGATCTTCTCAGCCTTGCATAAAAATCTACTACGGTGGTCCATTTTGCTTTTCAATTGCCAGTGCAAAACAATGATAGCAATAGGTAATCTCAATATACTTATTTATTTTACATATAAATACCATTCGTAAATACGAACATAATATTTGAAGAGGAGAGATGGAAGTGGAAATTAATATTGAGATATGATTGATAAAGAAATGAATTTATATCTAATTTTTGGTATTGTAATTGAGATTAGAGGATGTTTTTTTTGATACCATTGGTCAAAGTGGCTCCCCGTAATTATCGCTTGCTGTCCAATTAAACCCTGATAAGATATTAGTCACGCACATTTTGGAATTTCCCAAAACTCTCCCACCATAAACCTTTTGATTCCTTCGAAATATTGAGGACTTTCAAGAACATCAACCTACCGACAACACAACAACCTGTCGGTACGTCGCATATACGCAATCGCATCACCTTTTGCTGCGCATCTTGCTAATTAGTTAAATTCAGATATTCAAAATGTCTAACGCAGAACTCGCAAGCTCCTACGCGGCGTTGATCCTCGCCGATGACGGTGTCGAGATCACTGTACGAATTCCTATATTCTCGAGATTGGATAATGATGATACTCGATTGGGTGGGATAAGTGGCTGACTCGATAATAACAGGCCGACAAATTACAAACTCTCATCAAGGCCGCCGGTATTGAGGATGTTGAGCCAATCTGGACCTCATTGTTCGCCAAGGTATGCGATTGAAATTCACACAACTGGGATGGAGAATGAGGAATCATGGACAGTACTGATTGTTGGAATTCACAGGCCCTCGAGGGAAAGGATGTTAAGGACCTTTTGTTGAACGTTGGATCCGGTGGTGGAGCCGCTCCAGCTTCCACTGGTGCCGCTGCCAGCGGTGACGCCTCTGCCCCAGCTGAGGAGAAGAAGGAAGAGAAAGAAGAGGGTACGATGATCCTTACAATTGCGCGTTTCTCAGCAAGTTCATATGCTAACTATTCACACAGCCAAGGAGGAGTCAGACGAGGATATGGGTTTCGGACTCTTCGATTAAATTTTCGGCTCACCTTTTCTCTCTGTACTTTCAAATGCATGGCCACGGTTTATCTTCCTTCGGTGCAATATTGGGCTGGTAGGGTAGCTTCCATAAATAGGCAAGCATTCATGAGTTCTTTCGAAAGATGAAAATTCTGGTTCCATCGACACTGCCGAAGTGCATGAACACACTGTGATTATGTATGATGAAGGTGGGTTGAGAAGGTTTGTTTCACACAGACCTTCGTTCCTATGGATTCTCACGAACATTCCCATGCGAACCTTCCAGGGCCATTTGCATGAGAAGAACAAATCGGATGACCTATTTAGGGGGTTTCAAGGAAGTCTCTATCAATGTGTCCCACAACCCGTTATGATCGTCTCTTGTAGACATGGTTATATTCCCATCCCTTGACCCTTTGTCGGCCACTTCTTACAATTGCTGCCGCGCTAGAGCTTCAGTTGGGACTGTTCGTCTCACACATCTTCTATACAACCTCCTCCACCTTCCTCTTGTCCACATCTTAAATTGTACAAATCATCGAATTGTCCCACCATATAATTTCCTCCCACTGCATTTACTTCATTCACATGGGCACCATCTCTCGGTCTTCGAGTCCTGCCCAAACCCCCTGCCATAACCATTTCACGACTTTAACCTATTCTCGTCGCTTGGGCTGAAAATCCTTAATCTCACTCACACCCTTCGTCTCTTGATCACTCGCGCACAACATGATCACCGAACAACATGCTTCTTGGATGATGTAAAATGGAACCGGCGAACGTTCTCTGCTACACCAACTAAGCAAATCATTCATCTACCAACAAAATTTAGAATCATGGTGCATCTCATTAAATGGGCTCATTTAATAAGACGATGACAGTAATTGCCTAATAGGTGAAGTGTGAGCTTGGGGTGATGAAAAGGCAAGCTACTAGTATTCGGTCACTTTGTATTAGGATGGAGGGCGTGGTGGTAGAAATGGGTGAGTTGGGTTCTTTGCTTGCAATATTGTTGTAGTTTGTCTCAAAACTAATAGAGTATATACTTGAGTGACCTTCATCAATGCATTGAATATTGAATGTGAATGAAAACATCACAGGCAAATTATTTCAATGTGGTGAATCGATCAATTATTCGATTATTTCACAATCATAGGAATGAGCTCGCTCCCACGCTTCACCAACATAAATCTCATCCCGCAACCAGATTTGATTGCCTGCTTGCTTACTCCAAACAACTCCAATCCCTTACGCCTCCTTCCTAAATGCACATTTGAAGGGATAGATCTGGATCTGCACACACATCAGTGATCAACCCCCAAACCATGTAACTTTATAACCCGTGACCACAAATATTTGCGGCAGTGATAACATAATATAACATACCTTGCTGAAATCCCACACATCATTATCGGCATAAACATCCTTCTTTAATACCTCGATAACCTCTTCCTTGCTGCTGGCCAGAGCAATCATACAACTCCCTTGAAATTTCAAGGGGGAATCGCCGCTGGGGGGTTCGGAGAGGAAGGCTCCTGTGGGTGGTGGAGTGTTGTTAGTTGGTGAGGTTGGCGATGGCTTGTCGATTAATCAATCATAGCATAGCGAGAGAAAGATCAAATGGTATATATCTGTAAAAGGGAAAAGATCGAGGAGCTTACCGCCCATCTTCCAGAACCCAGACTCAAAGCCAGTCTTCAATCCTTCGAAATGTTTACTGTAAATTCATTAGCTACCTTTTAATCTTAAATTCACCACACCATATCAAACCAGCCCT